CAAACGATTCCTTGATGCATTTCGGTCGTTTGGGCTTCTTTCCGGCATTTCTAAGTGCCGCCGTTTTCGGTGTAGGACTTTGAACGCGGTAAGGCCCTTTCGTTCGATACAAGGGGAAGAAATCTTCCGAAAAATATGGACGAAAAGCGAGGTTGTAGGGCGCGGCGCGTTCTATCGAGCTCAACAAACCACTCCTTCAATAATATTTGTTTTGGTTACTAAAACTGCGAAGTAGGAATTGCGCGTTGTAAACATCCGAGCCGGCCGCCCTGCCGGGCTCCGAAGCGGCAGGCATGCAGTACCGTTCTCGCACTAATGCGTTTACAAAGGGAGCGAGAGAGACAACACCCTGCCTCCAGATGCGGCCGAGGCCGAGAGTGGAGGGGGGTGCAGTGGAGCAGCGCGGCGGCGGGCGGCGCGCCGCCAGCGCGCAGGCTGCAGGGGTTCATTCCAGGGTGATTTGACAGGCTCAGGGTGGTCTCACAGAGAAGGAGAAAACGGCGACTTGCAGGGGAAGGTTGGGCGCACAGCGTTCACTCGGGGCAAATTTTAGCTAGGACGGTTTTCCCAAAAATGCGCGCGAGTTGATTGAAAATTGAACGGTGACGCCACCTAAAATTTTGCCTTTAACGCCCTTTATCAGGCAGAAGGAAACGTTTTTTGGAAAATGTGCAACTGCTATTTTGTTCCGCATTCTTTTCTGGTCATTTGGAGTCCTATCCCGCGACGATCGGATGAAAACTGCGATCGCCGCGGCTCGGAAACTAAAACAGTGCACTTACGCCCTTTGTGTTCAATTTGCATAAAAGTCTCAAGGGCTAGAACGTGGAAAAAAAAATTACGTTAATCAGCGCATTGAGCTCTACCCGCACAGAAAAAATCAGCTCAATACAATTTTGTTCGAGGTTGCGGCACCTTATATTCTTGGTTTCCTGGACTAACCGAGACTTCGCGGACGACTCCCGAAAGCGTCTTCGGGGCTCGTCGACGACCGCACTCGGGTGCTGGCCCGCTGCAGCTAGCTGCAGCATGCAGCCATCCCCTCCACCGCGGTCGGTGCCGACGAGACCCGAACGACTCCCGAAGACCGAAAAAGTCGGCCGCGAAGTTGGAGTCGGGTGCGGGCGGACGGAGGCATGGCGTGGCAAGGTGTGCCATGGCGTGCCAACGCGTGGCGCGCGCCTTTTGTTGGTTTAATGAGGGTTTTATGACGGTCGCTCGCCGAAGCTTGCTTCTCTAAAATTGGACCCGTTTCCTGTCCAGAGAGATTCCTAGTCGTGTCACGGGACTCGAACCGAACTTGTGACCCCACCAATGGATTGCTCTCCGAACGAGCAATCCATTGGTGGGGTCACACGTTCGGTTCCAGTCCGATTTAGCGACTCTGGAGCTCAAAACGCGTCTAGAGTTTTGGCCGCCTCCACCGGTCTTCTGGCCCACTGTGGAGCGGCTGGAACGGGGCCGGCCGTGAACTTGAGGCTGTCTTTTCATTCTCGCTCCAGCTAACTGCACTCGCGGCAACGCGGCCACGCCGTGTGGGGCGTAAGCCTGATTCCGAGCACTGCTTTCGTCGCTCTGTCTCTCTCGCACTCATGGGGCATCCCGTGTAGGTGCGAGAGAGACAGAAGCAGTGTTCGGAATCGGCCGGCAGGACTGAGCCTGGCGTGGGCACGCGCCAACAAGCAGCAGAGCAGCGCGCGTCAAAGTCCCCGCTAACACACCGGTGTCGAACAGTGGCGTGCGCAGAAATGTTGAAAAGGGGGGGGCATGCTTTTTGCCTACTTACATGGGGAATTCGACGCAATTTGCCTACCTTCCAGGGGGCTGCCTAGTGGACAAGGGGAGGGGGATGACCCCCTCTGACCCCCCACACGCCACTGGTGTCGTGTGCCTCAGCCTGCCTATTAGGCAACCCCTCGACAGCGAAGTCGCGACATTGTCTGCTAGGCCGGCTGAGGTTGGAGAGGAAAATTTTCCTGGAAAGCACAGTGGAAGGACAATTTTGGTGTCACAAGAGGTCAAAAGATTTCTAGTGCAGGTCCTCGTCCAGGTCGTCCAGATCAAATCCTGTACGTGAACTGATCCTCGTCCCTTCTGAAAACTGGCGCACCTCTCAGTTCTCTCTCTCTCTCTCGCTCTCACCCTCTCTCTCTCTCTCTCTCTCTCTCTCTCTGACACACACACACAACACGCGCAGCTTCTGCTCGGCTCGGCCTGAGTCCAGCCGAGGCGGCGGCCCCGAGGTGCGGCGCCGAGCCGGGGGGCCGGGGGAGGGGGGCAGGGGACGGGGGGGGCCGGGGGCCTGAGTAACGGTCCCCTCGTGATGGCACTGGCTCGGCTTGACTCTCTGGGGCGGTAACACTGGCCAGACCCCCTCCCCTCCCCTCCCCTCCCCTCCCGTCCTGTTCCGCTCCTCTCCCGCTACTTCCCCAGCTGGCCGAGGCAGCCGAGGCGAGGCGGACCGAGGAGCTCGACTGCCCCACTTGCAGCTGCATCCAGGTCAGGCATGCCCCTTCCTTCCCACAAGGGCCGGCAAGGGCAGGCCCCCGCTGCCCCCGCTGCCCCCGCTGCCCCCCGCAGGGCCCCGGAGTGACAAGTAGCACACGGGAAGAGGCTCCGCGGCTCCGCGCACGCTACCAGCGCTTCCCGTGAAGGCGTCCAGTCCCACAGAGTCCACAAAAGAAGAAAGCATACTCAGCAGCCACCACGCCGCGTACCGCCGCACAGTGGGCCAGAAGACCGGTGGAGGCGGACAAAGTGCCGGACACGTTTTGAGCTCCAGAGTCGCTGAATGGGACTCGAACCGAGCGTGTGACCCCACCAATGGATTGCTCTCCGAACGAGGAATCCATTGGTGGGGTCACACGTTCGGTTCGAGTCCCATTTAGCGACTCTGGAGCTCAAAACGCGTTCGTACCTAGATGGGACGCCCCGCGAGTGCGAGAGACAGAGCGACGAGGGCCGCAGGTGCGCTCTGGTCAAACAGGACCCCTCCCGACCCGCCACAATTGGGTCAGTTGGAAAACGCTATAAAAAGACTCGGGGATCCGTCGCAGCTCGTTCCATCAAACCACGGCGAGGGTGACGCAAAGCTCAGGGCAGACAAAATTAACACACGGTGCACTGCGGAGAAGATAATAGTGTGACCCTGACAAAGCTGAAGTTGCGCTCGTGCGTGTTGGATCAGTCGGCTGTCTCGCCAAATCATCGAGAATGTGTCGTCGGGGGAAGTCTGCATGCACACCAATTTTGTGACGCAGCGCTCTTCCGAGTGTGGCGGAGTGTCCCGTACACCCTTTCTGGGGCGGCGGGCACCTATCCCTCGCGTTGCCGCTTCGCCCTCTTGCTGGCCGCGACGCCGCGACGCGCCGCGACGCGCCGCGACGCTGACCCTAGGGCCGGCTTGAGGTCAGTCCGGGGCCGCGTCCGCACCGACCCCCAGCTGGCCCACGGCCTGGCCCACCTCCCACTCGGCCGCCGGCACGGCCCCGCAGACCGATTCCGAGAGTCGTTTTCGTCGCTGCGTCTCTCTCGCACCTGTGCGGGACGCCCCATGAGTGCGAGAGAGGCAGAGCGACGAAAACGACTCTCGGAGTCAGTCTGCGGAGCACGAGCGACGCGAGTCGCCCCGGACGCGGCCTGAGCTGGATCAGGACGGGCACACCGCGTCTGGCCGCGGTCCCGTTAGCCCGGCCGTCCGTACGTCCGACTTCGTCCGACCCGCAGCGCAGCAGCAGCCGTGGGCCTGCCATGGGCCTGCCATGGGCCTGCCGTGGGCCTGCCGTGGGCCTGCCATGGGCCTGCCATGGGCCTGCCATGGGCCTGCCATGGGCCTGCCATGGGCCTGCCATGGGCCTGCCATGGGCCTGCCATGGGCCTGCCATGGGCCTGCCATGGGCCTGCCATGGGCCTGCCATGGGCCTGCCATGGGCCTGCCATGGGCCTGCCATGGGCCTGCCATGGGCCTGCCATGGGCCTGCCATGGGCCTGCCATGGGCCTGCCACTGCGGCCTGCCATGGGCCTGCCATGGCCTGCCATGGGCCTGCCATGGGCCTGCCATGGGCCTGCCATGGGCCTGCCATGGGCCTGCCATGGGCCTGCCATGGGCCTGCCATGGGCCTGCCATGGGCCTGCCATGGGCCGTGCATGGGCCGTGCATGGACGGCTGGGGGCCGTGGACGACGGCCTGCCGCAGCGTCGCGGCGACCCGCAAGTGCGACAGAGACAGCATCTGTCCACGATCCACGCCCGGGCCGCGCGTGGGACGAAGACAGAGGCACCGTCCAGGTCGACCCCGAGAAGCGCAGGCGCGGAATATCCCTGGGATATCCCTCAATTAAATCGGAGCCATTTCCCGCATCCGCCACACTGGGCAAACTGGGGCCGTCGGAGCGAGGCACGTTACGGCCGCAAGAAAGCAGCGGGACCGTCCGGACCGGAGCTAGAGCGCCGCGCGCCTCGCCATGTCACCGAGGGAGGCCTACTTTGGCCTCTCGGCGAGTCAAGGGGCGAGCGCCTGCAGAGCGGCGGGTAGGCAACCCAACGTGCTCGCCTGCCGGGCGGTACGGCCCGCCCTGCGGACGGCAGGCGCTAGCAGCGCACCTCCGCACCGCACAGTGGGCCAGAAGACCGGCGGAGGCGGCCAAAACCCTAGACGCGTTTTGAGCTCCAGAGTCGCTAAATGGGACTCGAACCGAGCGTGTGACCCCACCAATGGATTCCTCGTTCGGAGAGCAATCCATTGGTGGGGTCACACGTTCGGTTCGAGTCCTGGTTAGCGACTCCGGAGCAAAAAATGTGGCAATTGTTTTGGCCGCCTCCACCGGTCCTACGGCCCACTGTGCGTCCTTCGCGCCTCTGCACTGTAGCGGCAGGCTGCGCCCGGACTCATAGGCAACACTTCGCGCTCCCTCAACGCGACGCTACGCAAAGAACACTTGCCGTGTCTCTGTGCAGATGCGTTCTCCATCTTTGGTCAAAATGATGCACAAGAGTACAATCGAGTACAAATTTAAAACTGTTTATTGCCACAAGTGAACTTTTTAAAAGAGTGGACACACAATCAAACAAATAATAGACTGATACGGAACATGGCATTTTCAGACATGAAAATAACTGGCAGTATTCAAAGCACAAAAAACAACAACAGCATTTCTTTATAGAAATTTCTTTAAAAAATTTAAACAAACATTGTGGGCAATAAAATGGCACATACACAGTCTCTTAACAAAAGCCTCAAGGGGCAAATCTGATCAAGTGAGAAGAGAAGACAACAGGGAAGTTATCAATCCATATAATAGCCTACACCTCAATGGAAAATAAGTATACTGTGCTGCAAAAGACAGGAATGACAACAGCAATATAAATCTGAAACTGAATGATAAATGCACAAGTGGAACACTTAATCAGATCATTAATTGGTACAATAAGTTCATAAATTATTAAAAAATGACAAGCATTGAGCAAAAGCCAAGTGACCACTTCACTTTGGATAAGATATGGAAAAAGAAAAAAATTCATCAATAAGTCAAAAATTTACCAAGTACATTTTCACCACTGGTGAATGCATCAGTCTATGAACAAACATGATTATCTTAAATGCTTCAAAATTCTTTGTACAGTTATAACATAATAAAATTGATTTATACTTCAGACTTGGTTTTTAAAAAATCATTCATCTTATAACACTGGGAATTAGTTCAAAATAGCTATACAAACAAACTACCTAGATCTTATAAAAATAAAATAACCAGGGACAAACTTTCTTACAAATTATAATTTGAACTCACAGGTAAAGAAAACATTTTTCTACTTGTAATGGCCAACATTTGGTCACAGCTTGGTACCCATTTGGAATACTTCAATCCTTTTGGAAATTTCACAATGTGAAAAAGAGGGGAACAGTCTTCAGTTATTTACTGCACAAGTAGTTCAACAGGGTTCTCAATAAGTTCTTTGAACATGTTGGAAAATCTTGCGACAGTGGCTCCATCAATTACTCGATGATCTGCTGCCCAACTTACGCACATGATGTGTGCTTCTTCAACAGCCCCAGTTTTGCCAAATCGGGGGAGTTTCTGAAAATAAAAAGATAAAGATAAAATTCAGGGAACCTCTCAACTATTTTCCATAAGTTTGGGAAGCTAGATATTCACCTGGAAACGCCCAAGCGCTCCAATAGCTACTTCAGGAACAAGTAAAACTGGTTTGGTGTAAGTTCCTCCAATCTTCATGAAAAAAGAAGAAAAAAAACAAACAGTAAATCAGGTGTAATCAAGTGTAAAAGGCAGGATCACCTTGCTTAAAGAATGCACGTACAGAACCAATGTTGGAAAGAGAAAATGTCCCTCCTGTGATATCTTTGGGGGCAAGAGTTCCATTCCGGCCAGCCGCAATGATCCGCTCCATTTCACGAGCAATGTCAAACAATTGCAAGGACTGAACGTCTTTGATATTAGGCACAATCAGTCCATTGGCTGTATCAAAAGCCATACCAATGTTGTGTCTAGCCTTATAGGTCAATTCAGTACAATCAGCGTTCACTGAAGCATTAAGGATTGGGAAGTGATTCAATGCAAGCGAAGCTGCTTTGAGGAAAAATGGCATGTAAGTTAACTTGATGGACCGTTTTTCAGCAGCCTCCTTTAACTTTAAACGCAATTCAATGAGAGCTCCGACATCCACCTCATCACTGTATACAAAATGTGGCACCGCCTGTAATCATAGAAAGTGTCAAAAAATTGCCCAGTGAGCTAACATCTAAAAGAAAATGGGTGAGCAAGGTCATGTCATTTTGAAATACATACATTTGCTGCTGTCATTGTTTTCACCATGGCTTTAGTGAAGCCTTGGATCGGAACTGTTCTGTCTGTGCCTGTGAATACAACTGAAGGGGCTACTTTGTTTGTTTGTGCAGCAGTTGAAGGCGCAGCTGAAGCTTGACTGCCGGATATGTACGCCAATATGTCTTCTTTCATGACCCGTCCACTTTTGCCACTTCCCTTTACCAAGGAAATGTCAATCTGTGCAAGAGTTCAAAAAGAATAAAACCTAACACTTAATAATAGACATTTAGATAGATGAGCAAGAATTTTAAATTACAATAATTTACCTTATGTTCTCCAGCAATTCGCCTCACTGCAGGTGTGGCAAGGGCTTTGCCATGACTAGAAAACACGTCAACTTTTTTCACTTCCTCATCGCTGTCACTGGACGAAGCACTTTCAGTTTGCTGAGAGTCTGACTCTAAAGAACAGAAAGCCAAGAAATAAAAATACAAGGAGTTAAGATTAGATTATTAGAACCTGTATTCCACTTACCACTGCCTTCTCCTTCGACTGCAATGTCCACTAAAGGTAAGCCGACCTTCGCTGTTTCATCTACTTTGTAATGAAGCTTGGCTATCACTCCATCGTATCTGCTTGTTATTGTTACTGAAGCCTTGTCACTTTGAACTTCACAGATGTTGTCAAACTGCACTACTTTGTCGCCAACATTAACAAACCTTGAAGGCAAAAGGCAAACTTTAATTTGCATAAAGGTTACAGAATTTTAAAGCTAAAAATAAAAGGTTTAACCAACCATTCTTTCACCACGACTTCTGTTATGCCTTCTCCAATATCAGATAGATTGAAAGGAACTACATTGAGAGATGCGCTGGTACAGTGAAACTGTCTGGAACTTGGCACACTCACAGAACGAGCAATGAATGAGGAAGAAACTGACTTTGGAGATGACAATTTGGGTAGAAGGCCATTCCATTGTGAGATTGCAGAGGTGCTGCGAGCCCTACAGTGCCGGGTCTGCAAAGAAACCAAGAAGTTTTCCAAATGAGATAGTGACAAAAGACAGTCATGATGCCTATATTAAAAGTGTGTTGTGTGTGTATCATACACGAGTTCAATGGAAAATTGATCTGAAAAGTGAATGAGACAGATAAATGATATATGGAAAGACGCAGAATGTTAATATAAATTTTATTTTTGTATAGTGCACGGTAACAACAAAAAGAGACCAACACATACACAATAGAAGAATATCTGCAATAGGTAACACAAACACAGTGACATTTCAGCATTGCAGATTAATTCATTACTCAGAAATTGTAGTTGTCCATTAAATCACTTTACTTGTCAACCAATGACTAAATGGTCAAACGTGAGGTAAAACAATGGTATAGGAGAGAAATTGAGAACTCAAAAATAAATGTTGTACCCTGGAATGAAATAATTAACAGAAAATTCCTTAAGTGGAAGGCACTTTCTCTAGTCCGCCTACACTCAGCTTTCTGGTCTACATAGACTCACACCGGCAGTGACTTGCTTAAAAAACTTTGAGCCAGTTATTTTCAGAAGCAGTTACACTCACCCCAGGTAAACCTCAAAATTTAGAGGGGATGGGGACTTTACAATTACTTAACAAAGCCTTAACATTCTCGAAGAGAGAGACATACTGAAGTAAAATTATCGGCACAAACTATAAATCTAAAAGCAAAGAACCAGCTTTGCGTCCAAAATGGGTAAAATGTTTAATGAACACTGGAACTTCCAACTTCTTCTGACATCAAACGAATAATAATAAATTAAATCAAGATCCTCTGTGACTTCAGTGCTTCAACACTACAAGAAGTTTAACAAATGATACCAAAAACACTGAAAATATGGAAAATCTACGGCATTTCACAGGTAAAAAGTGTAAGTACAAAAAATAGCGGTAATTTTTACAGTTTTGCTTGGACTTTACATCACACGTCACTTAAATACAGAACAAGGTTAAAACAAAGAAGACACATAAATATATATATTAACACTCAGCTATATCATAGAGAAAGATGATTTTAAGCTGCCTAGATGGTATCAAACAATTTTGGAGGAAAAAGCAGACCACTGGTCAATCTTGGGCTTTCAACATCATTCTGATAAATACTGATCAAATGAGTCATACTGATTCACAAATAAATGATAAAAGTAATGACTAGGTTACGTTTTTGTTGCACTAGCAAAAGATAATAGGACTTCAAATTATTTTGCAGATAAAATATTTCCAAGCAGCTGAACAGCTAGTGAAAACAGAAATGGCAACTAAGGGACAGCTTCACAAATCTCCCATTTCACTCAAAAGAACAGAGCTCCATCAGGAGTTTCTATCAAAAGCAAAAAGAAAACTCCATTAGACTACATAATAATATACATGAATATATAAATTATTAGATATGAAGCTTCTAGTGCTGTAGAAGTGAAGTATGGATTAACTGACCACCCTCACATGGTATTGAATGAAAATGAACACAAAATTGTAATACAAACAGAACTTCACCAAAAAAGCACAGATTGCACATTATCCTAACGGCCTCAGGAAAATATTAAACTTATGATAAACTATGAAATGATTCCTCTACAGAGAAAACCCCAGAGAGTCCAGCTATATTCAAGAGTTGGATACTACAAAACTTTCACCAAGTATATATGTAGGTTCCTACTTCAAGATATTAAAAAAATGAAAAAGCACTAGGCGACAGATTGAAGTAAAACATGATGAAAAAAATTGTATTGGATGCAAAAAAACAAAATAACATGTACCTCAAAAAAGTTACTCACAGAAGTTAAACAAACAACAGCAGAAGATAATTCTGTCATTATTGATATACAGAGTGCATAAATTAAAATTAAAACAAATGAAATATACGACTATTCACATGGTTTACTGTGGGCCTGGCGCAAAGTTATTTCATGCAGCTGTCTACTGTGCTCAAGGGCTTGTCTCTGAGCTTCTAGGTTCTGCAGGTGAATTTCTTCAGCATGACGAATAAGTTGGAGCCTATGGTCGCGTTCTGCCTGGGCTGCTTCTGCCCTTGCTCGGCTTTCACGTAAATGTTCATGATGCAGTTCTTCTGCCCTTTCTTGAGCTCGGCGTATTCCATTCAGGCGCAACTCTAATTCCGCGCATTCAACTGGGCTCGGATCTGGTGGCAGTTGTAAATTTGTCTGTGATGATTTGTGTTTTTTGTTCTTTGGTGGAGGTGATCCATCGTTTTGATCTGAGGGAGGTGGTTCACTGCTTCCATCAGGCGCTGATGCACATAAAACGATAGGGGATGGTGATCGAGGAGGAGGTGACAGAGCAAGAGGTGGCGAAGACACTGACTCGGGCCTTTCTGGTGCTTGCTCCAGAACTTCATCCGTTTCAATGGGTTCTGTTTTAACTCTATACTGATACGAGGTAGCTTCACAGGACTGATCAGTCTCCCTACGTTGCCAGTCAGCCCCTGGAAACAAGAGGAAGCAAGTGAGCAAACCCGTACCCAAGAACAGCAGATAATAAATAATAAGATTCTAAAGAAAGTTTCTTACCTGCTTCAGGCACACTTGTATCTCTAGTGGTAGGGGTGCCACCTGAACCGTGGCTGTGGCTGGTGTTGTTGTTTGAGGTCGATCCGCTCCAGTACGCAGGGCTTGCATCGCTGTCAGTGAGCAAATCAGCTCCTGCTGGCGCTCCAAGGCACGGCTGCCCAATAACTGACCAGGCCACTGCCTGCTGGTGCTGTTGCATCTCTTTTTGTAATCCCAATTTCAGGTCTTGCCATCGTTGTCGTAAATGAGCTGGTGCGCTCTGCAAAACCATCCATGGTTCGTTGCTCAAAGGGGTCTGTAATGCAAAAAAAAAAATAGTCTTAATTGGATAGCCTTGAAGTTTTAAAGATAAGATTAAACAAGGGTTCACTTATCCTACAATAAAAAAACATTAAATCCCCGAGAATGTGTGCTAATGCAGTTGATTTCCAAATATTCAAATAAAACTCCCTAGCACTGTGGATTTAAAAGAATAAAAACAAAAACAACCTATCCCAGTTTGGAGGTTATGTTCGCTTCCTACTCGTCTGCACATTCTACAGTTCGCAGTATGGCTAAGCGAGGCAACGACGACCAGAAAGGGGAAAATCTTTATTGTGTTGATGTAGTTTCTTCCAAGAAATCGGTCATCACCTGTGAAATCAACCATCGCTCAGTTTAAATTTGCGAAACAAGTGACGGAAGCAGACGAGAGAGAACGTCACACTTTCACGTTATCAAGTCGTGTTCTCAGCACGCCTGCAGCTTAGGCAGACGTTCCATCGTCTGCTAAAAATACGAGGCCTAAACGATACTACCATACGCAAGTGCGGAAATGTGTGTGTGTGAGTGGGATCGTGTGAGTGTGTGTGAGTGGGAGAGAGCGCGCGCTCTAGTGCCCCGCAGGGGAAGACAGAGAGGGACTTTTGGGGGCGAAAGAAAAAGAGAATGAACGTGCCAGGTGACGCAAGCCGCCACGGCAAATTCGTTCTTCCCCATGCCCGACCGCGGGGCCGCGCGCCCTTGCGGCCGAGCCCTCGCACTACTTGTTGATGTGGAAGTACCCATGACGGAGCCCCGAAGGCCGTCGCCGCGGTAATCCGGGGTCCGCGACGACGCCCCCGAGGCCGTCGAGAACGCCGTGAACGCCGTCAACACCCACCGTCGACACCTCGTCCGCCCCCTTGACGCAGGCCGCGGGCTGCGCAGGCGGCGCTGGCGGGGGGTTGTTCTGAGGGCTGGGCTTGGCGTCGGCCAGGATGTGCTTGTGCACGGCCTGCAGGTGCTTCACCATGTTGCTGGTGCTCGAGCCAGACTGGTAGTTCATTTGCTTGTTGCAGATCCTGCATATCACTTTGTTGCCGCCCAGCTTGACGAAGGCGCGCCACGCCACGGACTCGTTCTTGCGCGACATGTTGTGGTGGTGGTGATGGTGGTGGAGGTGGAGGTGTCGCGAGGAGGCCTCCGACTCCGCGCGCGGCGACTGCGCTTGCTGCGCCGACATCGGGCCGCGGCCGCTGACTGAAATTGGATTCGAGTGGAGTGGATTAGAATCGAGGCGAGGCGAGGCAGGCAGCGCCGTCCCGTCGGTCCCGTCCCGCGGCGGGCTGGCGGGCTTCGGGCTGCACGGCGCGGCGGACGGCCGGCGAGGAGGCCGAGGAGGGGGGGCGTACGCGCGGCTGCGTCCGCGACGTCCGCGACGCCCGCGACCACGGCGGTCGTCGCCGTGCTCCTCGCTCCGCCATCGCGGTGCTCCGCGAGCTGCACGATGGGGGACGGCGCGGTGCTCCGGACGCCACCCGGCGGCTGCTAGAGCCAGGGGGGCAGGGGCGGGCAGGGGCGGGCCGGGGGAGGCCGAGGAGGGAAGAACGAGTACCCGGTCGCTCCCGCCCGAGTGCCGTCACTTGAGAACCGACTCGGGCTCGCGGCTCGGTTCTGCTTCGGCTCGACTCGGACTCGGCTCGGGCGCGTAGCGTAGCAAGCCGCGTAGTCGGGTTAGGTTCGGTGTGAAACCGGTTGCAGCCGGCGCGGCGTGGCGCGGTGCGGTGCGGCCGTCCAACCTGCCTCGGCGTCCCCCCCCCCACCACCACCACCACCACCACGCTGAGCGCACTTCTAGTGCTGCGAACGCCGCCGCCACTAGAGGCCTTGCACCGCGCGTATCCCTGTAGAAAGTTACGCACGCCGCCGTTTTGAGGTGACTCCGGGGCTGGAGGCTGGCGCCGCACGCCGCGGTGACTTGAGGCCTGGCGGCCACGGCGAGGCACGACTAGGCACGCGGATCGCCGCCTTTTCTTCATTTCTTGGAGCACCCGGCCCCACAGTGGGCCAGCAAGCAGTCTTCCTCTCGCCTGGACGGGACGCCCCCCGAGTGCGAAAGAGACAGAGCCGGGCGGCCGCGGCCCCGATGCACGCCGATGCAGGCCAGTGCCGCCAGTGTCGGCGACACACGCATCGCCAGCGGCCAGCGGCGCGCGTTCGAGCCCCGCCCCGGGCGTGCGCGCTTCGGCAAAGACCTTTTGAGTTAGAACGACCCCCCCTCCCCCCTCCCTCCGGCCATGCGTCCATGGCATCCGCACGCCCTGCAGCGCACTAGCGCTGTCCAGCCCATGGCGCCAACGCCACGCCGCGGACCGCCCCACAGTGGAGGCGGATTTTGAGCTCCAGAGTCGCTAAATGGGACTCGAACCGAACGTGTGACCCCACCAATAGATTGCTCTCCGGACCAGGAATCCATTGGTGGGGTCACACGTTCGGTTCGAGCCCCATTTAGCGACTCTGGAGCTCAAAACGCGTCAAGAGTTTCGGCCGCCGGCGGCGCCGGTCCTCTGGCCCACTGTGCGCCTCGGCGTCTCTAGTCCGGCACATCCTGTTCCAAAGTTCGGAACCGGCACAACCGCCGTTTTCAAAATGCACCCAATCCAGGCCACCGGCAAAGACCGGCTGTGTAATTTGCATTCGCAACAACTAGGGACAGGCCACAGCGAAGCGGAGCGCTCTGTCTCTCTCGCACCCCCAGGGAGCGCCCCGCGAGTGCGAGAGACACGTGGGACTTCCCCGTGGCAGTGCGCCTAGAAATTGGCCGACGCGCCCTGGCGGCGCGGCGGCGGTCTCCAAAACCTCATAGCCGGACCGACTCCGAGAGTCGCCTTCGTCGCTCTGTCTCTCACGCACTCATGGGGCGTCCCCTTGAGGTGCGAGAGGGACACTAGACATTCGCCGGCGCCCCCTCCAAGCCGAGGTGGCTTGCTCAATCCCCGGCAGCATCCATTGCTGCCAACTCAAGCGCGAAGCAAGCGAATCCTTGCCGGTCTATGGTAGGGTATGGCGGGCCGGGTGGGTCGGGCCCCGCCTGCCCCGCCGGGGTCCGTGAGGCCGCCAGGCCGCCAGAACCGGAGTGAACCGGAATTGTCTCTCTCCCACACTTTGCACTCGTTACGACTTACGTGGCCGGCGATCGGATAGGATCGGTCTTCTAAAGGTCGCGGCATGTGACTCCCGCGTCGCCGGGTCGCGTGGGGAAAAACAACCGGCCAAACCGGATAGCCCGATTTTCGAATTTCCTCGCAAACGAGAGCGAGCCAAGAGTGAGCCCGCGGCGCACCGAGCCGCCGCACAGTGGGCCAGAAGACCGGTGGAGGTGGTCAGAATCCCGGACGCGTTTTGAGCTCCAGAGTCGCTAAACAGGACTCGAACCGAACGTGTGACCCCCACCAATCGATTCCTCGTTCGGAGAGCAATCCATTGGTGGGGTCACACGTTCGGTTCGAGTCCCATTTAGCGACTCTGGAGCTCAAAACGCGTCTAGAATTTTGGCCGCCTCCACCGGTCTTCTGGCCCACTGTGCGCCGGCCTTGGCGCGTGGCCGTCCACGCGTTCGAATTTGGCGCGGGAAAGCCGTAACCATTTTAAACGCGCAGTCTCACCGCGTGCCGGCTCGACCCGAAGGACCTCGCTCTGTCCGTCTCTCTCCAACGCATGGGGCTTCCCTTGTGTGCGAGAGAGACGGACGTTCGCAATCAAGCGGCTGGCACCGCGACGCGGACTTCCTGCTCCGGAGAGGTTTCAAATTCGGATGCTTCTAGTGTGCCGGCGACTGGCGGGAGACCCGCCGTGCCGCGCACGTGCGAGAGAGAAGAGACTGCTTCCTTTTTTATTCCCGCCTTTACTCGTTTCGTTTCGCCTCAGCCCGACCGGATCGCACAGTGGGCCAGAAGACCGGTGGAGGCGGCCAAAACTCTAGAAGCGTTTTGAGCACCAGAGTCGCTAAACGGGACTCGAACCGAACGTGTGACCCCACCAATGGATTCCTCGTCCGGAGAGCAATCCATTGGTGGGGTCACACGCTCGATTCATGTTCTATTTAGGGACTCTGGAGCTTATAACGCGTCTAGAGTTTGGCCGCCTCCACCGGTCTTCTGGTCCACTGTGCGGCTTGGCGGCGCTTGGCGGGGACTTTGAAATTGATACGACAGGGTTCTGCCTATTCCGACCGCGAGGTAGCGAGAGGCAAAAGACTGTGGCACCGGCCGGCAGGCTCGAAGTAACTTAGACAGGTGCCGAATACAGCGCGTCGGCGCTCTGTCTCTCTCGCACCCCTCCGGCACACGCCGTGAGTGCGAGAGAGACAGAGCGAAACACCGCAGCGCGGAATCGCTCGGCGCGAACCGGATTTACTTGGAAACCGGGACGGCGGCGGTCGGCGGGGCCGCGACCGGCCGAGCCATTCCGAAAGCCCGCCTCGTCGCTCCGTCTCTCTCGCACCCTCCGGCGTCGCCCTGTGAGTGCGAGAGAGACAGACCGACCAAAGGGCCCCTTCGGAATCAGTCCGGAGGCGAGACATGCGGACAGGAGATTGTCGCGATATTACCGACGGATTCCCTCAAGACAGATTGGGCTGCTCTCTCTCTCTCACACCAGTGCGAGTCACGCCGCACAGCGGGCCAGAAGACCGGTGGAGGCGGACAAAGCTCTAGACGCGTTTTGTGCTCCAGAGTCGCTAAATAGGAACCGAATCGAACGTGTGACCCCATCAATGGATTCCTCTCCGAACGAGGAATCCATTGGTGGGGTCACACGTTTGGTTCGAGGCCTGTTTAGAGACTCTGGAGCTCAAAACGCGTCTTGAGTGTTTTCCGCCTCCACCGGTCTTCTGGCCCACTGTGCGCCACGCACTGCGGGCGTCCACGCCGTGCGTCCTTGCTGGCCGGCCTGGCCGGCCTGGCCGCGGGGAAGTGCGAGGAGCGAGTAAACCCACCAGAGATAAGGCCGGAAAGGGAAACGCTAGAAAACGTCACGGAAAACCAAGAAACGAAATGGCGAGGAGCGGAAACCAAACAACAAGGAAACCACAACAAAATGGAAAGCACGATCGAAAAGTAGGAGGCAGACAGCAAAGAAATCGACGAAGGAAAGCGAATGCCGTCACGAGACTGAATGTCTAAACATAAGAAAACTTTGATGCACAGGATCGTGGGAGTGGTACTGATAACGTGGTCCACGTTACGTGGACCCCCGCCAGTCCCTGGCAAAGCAGAGCCAACCTTGCAATCCTGTAGAATGTAGGAACACAAGGCAGTGGGCGCGGCGTGCGGATAGCGAGCGGTCACGGAGCGCCGTGCGAGCAGGCAACTCGCACGCATCCGTGCGTGCACCACGGCTGCGTTGCCTACCTTCCTCCTCAACGGGCGCACAGTGGGCCGGAAGACCCGGTGGAGGCGGCCAAAACTCTAGACGCGTTTTGAGCTCCAGAGTCGCTAAATGGGACTCGAATCGAACGTGTGACCCCACCAATGGATTGCTCTCCGAACGAGGAATCCATTGATGGGGTCACACGTTCGGATCAAGCGACTCGAGAGCTCAAAACGTGTCTAGAGTTTTGGTCGCCTCCACCGGTCTCTAGGCCCACTGTGGAGCGTCGGCGGTCGCCGGTGTTCGCTCTGTGAACAAAGATCTTGGACCTTTTCGGATAATGCACCAACAAGAGTCTCACAAAAAATCATGCTCCCCCCCCCCAAAAAAAAAAATAATTCGGTTATTCAAAAAGTTCTAAAAAACACTCGGCGGGAAAAAAATATGTAGCAAGCGCATTGGAACGTGAGCGAATGATTTGCGGGATGTTGGCAAGTTTGAAATGAACGGCGCGCAAGCTGAGCAAATAACACGCGGAGCCGCAAAAGCCGTCCAATTGCACACGCGAGGATTTAAGTGTGTTGATCGAAGGATCCCGCGACGAGGCGCGTCTCGACGTTATGACTCTTCACCAGCACACTGATTCCGAGAGGCGCTTTCGTCGCTCTGTCTCTCTCGCACCTGTGCGGGACGCTCCACGAGTGCGAGAGAGACGGAGCGACGACTTTCGGAATGAGTCTAGTACTGCGCTGACTCAACCAAAGTGCCTTTATCGCGTAACAGGCGACCGCTGACGACATCGGCATCGACATAGACAGGGCTTTTCAAAATTAGCGGTGCGTACACTAGTAAACGCGTAGGCAGCGCGTATAGGCAACGAGTGCGGGCAGGGCACTCCACTTGACACACACCTGCCAGGCCCATGCCGCGAGCACGGCGCGAGCCTCGCAGTGTGGTGGCCATGAGCGCCAAGATTTCAGTCACGCGACCCGCGGCCGCTCGCGTAGCACCGCGCGGCACGGCGCGGCCCGCGCTACCGTGAGCCTGCGCACACCGGCTGATTTCGAACACTGTACGCTCGTCGCTCTGTCTCTCTCGCACCCGAGCGGGGCGCCCAGCGAGTGCGAGAGAGACTGCCTGCAGGGCGGAGCGCACCGGTGGAGGCGGTCAAAATACCGGACGCGTTTTGAGCTGCAGCGAGTCGCTAAATGGGACTCGAACCAAACGTGTGACCCCACCAATGGATTGCTCTCCGAACGAGGAATCCATTGGTGGGGTCACACGTTTGGTTCGAGTCCCATTTAGCGACTCTGGAGCTCAAAACGCGTGTCGAGTTTTAGCCGCCTCCACCGGTCTTCTGGCGCACTGCGCTGGGGTGACTGACTGGCACGTCCCCTACCCTTTTACACGCTAAATATTAAATAAACGTATGACCCAAAATCTAATAGTTAAATATACAATATTTGTAGTACGTAATGAACAACGATCTACACGAAGTAGTTTGTTAGTCAGTACAAGGCAAACCAAGATTAAAGTTCCAAGACGGCGGCAGCGCTCGTCGTCACCTAATGGTTATCAGCAGAGCTGCCGTACCGTGCGAGACGGTCCCACCATGTTTTTTAAAAGAAATGATAAGAAGATAAAAGATTAAAGGCACCAAACACCGCTCCTAACTTCTTCTGGCCCATTTGCGGCTCGACAAGTCCGTAAAACAATCCTGCAGTTCCGACCGACTTGACCGCCGCACAGTGTGCCAGAAGACCAGCGGAGGCGGCCAAAACTCTAGACGCGTTTTGAGCGCCAGAGTCGCTAAAAGGGACTCGAACCGAACGTGTGATATCACCATTGGGTTCCCCTTTAGGAGAGGAATCGTTTGGTGGGGTCACACGTTCAGTTCGAGTCCCATTTAGCGACTCTGCACTACAAATCTAACTGTCTACTTAGCACGCACTTACAAATGCATGCTTAAAAGTACACACTTACAAACGCATGCTTGGCGCCGTATAACTCCATGCTAAGCATAGGCGTTTGTAAGTGTGTACTTGCCAAGCATGCATTTGTAAGTGCATGCTTGGCCAAGCATGCGTTTGTAAGTGTGTACTTGCAAGCATGCATTTGTAAGTGCGTGCTTAGTAGACAGTTAGGTTTGCAGTGTGGAGCTCAAACGCGTCTAGAGTTTTGTCCGCCTCCGGCCCACTGTGTGGGACCACGCTGGGCACGCCTGGCACGCGACCTCGTGCCGTCTCTGTCGCACTCGCGGCCGGCCCGGCCAAGCCCGGCACGGCGACAAGGACGGCGTCACGCGGCCGGGCTGGACCGACTGTTCTCCAGCGGCCAGCGCGCGAGCGGACCGCTCCAGGGGCGGGGAGGGGGGGGCTTGTTTTGACTGGAGCGATATTCGGGAGTCCGCGCCATTCACACACGCTAGAGCCAAAAATATACTCTTTGGGGGGCAGAAATTGAGCAAAAATTTTGTGCTGTGAGAGCGCACTCGATGTCAAGGAGTGTTGTCCCCCTCCTAGCCCCGTTCAAAGCCGTTGCTTCGCGCTTCGCTTCGGTCGCCGGGAGCGTAGCGTACCATCCGAACGCGTGCGCGGCCGCGGGGCCTAGTTATCAGCCTGCAGACTGATTCCGGGAGTCGCTCTCGTCGCTCTGTCTCTCTCGCGCTCAAAAGGGCGTTCCGCACGGGTGCGAGAGAGACAGAGCGACGAGAACGACTCTCGGAATGAGTCTGCTGTATCAGGCCATGGCGACGCGCCGCCACGCCACGCCACGCCGCCGCGATGTTTGTTTATAACGCGATGTGTGCAATCGTACCGAGCAGCGAGCGCTCGGCAGGGACGTACTCGACCGACCGCGAAGCACCACGAAGAAGCCGTGACGTAAACCTCGCAGTGCCAGGCAGGCCCAACCGACCGTCACCCACAAGTACATCCTCACTGCCGCGACCAGTGTCCCGCGACGCCTGGCAAAAGTTGGTTCCTTGCTTTGCTGTACTCCGACAAGTTGTTTTCTTTTGAAAGAAATAAAAATTGGGAGGAGTTGTTTTGCGTAGGTTGGTGCGATCCCACTGCTTGGTATTAATGATCGGAACCCATCTTCACACTCACTAGCATGCACTGAATCTACTGTCTTGCTAAAAATGCTGTCGTACTCACCATTCAAAAGTGCACCGACTTCCGCTTGATAAACACAGCAGGCATGGGGTGGGTCAGTCTTCTCTCTTGACGTTAATTAACACAAGTTGTCGAGAAATTTAAAAAGACGTAATATCCTGGGGCCTAGCAAAAGAGTCCCGCAGCCTTGAAAGTGTACAGGCTTGTGGCCAAGCCTAACGCAAGGGGGGACAATTAGAGACCCGCTTCATAAATTATTCACGAGGGCTTTGTGGGTGCCAACACCTAGCCATAACCTAAATGTCCCTTTTAAAAGGAGTTTGCCCGAAACAAGGCTTGAAAGTGAGTCAACATTCATTCAAAACAAGTAAAAAATTGTTATCAAAACACAATTTTTTAACAAAGGTATGAAACAATGGGTACATTTGAACCAGCGGGGACAAAATTGTTAAGTCACTTGTTTCTAATGTATTCGTCAAAGCATCGAAACAGATTCATTTGTGAAACACCACAGGGGATACAGTGTTAAAAATAGACAGTGACAAATATTCACTTGTTGCACAGCAACACAGCACAGCACTCACACACCATTCAAAACAAAGTCTCTAACCTAACTTTTTGAGTACCACTGGCACTGTCTCAGTTCTTGGCAGCAATGGTCAAGAATACTTTTGGTTCAAGCAAAACACAAACGTGTCCGCGACAGAAACTGGCAAAACGCGACGTTTAAAAAACGGATTGAGAACCACCCGGTGTCCCCAGCTCATGACTAGGCACAGGTTATAGAATCGCTGCGGCCGTAGGCTCAGTGTCACCTCATGACAGTTGGCGGAGATAGACGCGGGTAGAGTTTCTTGGATGCAGAAGAAGATTTCACGGGAAATACTCACTCCATGACAAGCGAAATTAGCGATTCTTTGAGTGTTGGCCCGCACGACGTTCCACATGGCAGCCATGATGTTGCTCAGTCCAAAGGGGCAGTGCTGCCAACCTCTGCGACGCGAAACGCGGCAACCTGCTTGCGTATTCCCCGCCCGATTTTCTAGTGAACAAATGGAGTAGGGCAACCATCAACTGTCAAGTCAGCGTCTTAGTCCTGCTGCGAGACATTTTAGAGCGTAAAGAATTTCAGAAAGGAGTCTTTCGACCAATTATTTTTGTGCTTGTCTGTCCAAACTGTGACGCGGTAAGTTGAGCAATTTCAAATTGCGACAGCGAGTTCGTCAGGGGTCATGAACCCGACGCACAGTGGGCCAGAAGACCGGTGAAGGCGGCCAAAACTCGAGACGCGTTTTGAGCTCCAGAGTCGCTAAATGCGACTCGGACCGAACGTGTGACCCCACCAATGGATTGCTCTCCGAACGAGGAATCTATTGGTGGGGCCACACGTTCGGTTCGAGTCTGTTAAGCGACTCTGGAGCTCAAAACGCGTCTAGAGTTTTGGCCGCCTTCACCGGTCTTCTGGCCCACTGTGCGACGCCGACCATCTCATTTGACACTTCGCCAACTTGTGCTTGTTCCGGATAGTGGATTAATTTCCCTGTGTTTATTCAAGCTAATAGAGAGAAAAATTAAACCGATGGTGGATGGGTTTTAAAAATGAGCCACGTAAAATGGCACGGTGAATCGAGGTCAGGGAGATTAGAAAATGACCAGAGTGGACCAGTGCACCGCCGGGGAGGTAGGCAGCTCGTCGGACACGCAAGGGCCGGTCGGGTTATCATCGGGTCCGCGCGCAGACCTCTGGCAGAATCTTACCTTGCCCTTATCTCCAACTGGCCCAAACTTATATTTAGCCTCCCACCACCAATGGATTCCTCGTTCGGAGAGCAATCCATCGGTGGGGTCACACGTTCGGCTCGAGTCCCATTTATCGACTCTGGAGCCCTAAACGCGTCTAGAGCTTTTGCCGCCTCCACCGGTCTTCTGGCCCACTGTGCGTGTGTGTGAGAGAGTTCGTGAAAGGTACAATGAGACCACGGGTGCGGGATGTCAGCTCTGTTTAATCAGCTAAATTGACAATGCAGTGGACATCATCGGCGCGTGGCGCGTGGCTGCGCGCGGCGGGGCTTCGCTCACTGGCGGCCCTTGCTGCACTGGGCGTCCTTGATGGCGTAGGAGTCGGCGAAGGCCTGGACGGTCTTCTCGGCCTTGTTCTTGGGGTTGAGCATGTCGCCAGCGGCGGAGGCGTCGAAGTTGCCGCACATGCCGCAGAGGCGTCCGCGCAGGGAGGCGCCGGCCTGGATGACGACGCTGCTGTTGCCGTACACGAGGCTCATGCCGTGGTCGGCCAGCTTCACGTTCACGGCGCCGTCCTCGCCGCGCACCATCTGCAGCACGTCCACGTCGTCGGCGTCGCGGACGGCCACGGCGGCGCCGGCGTTGTCGCTGCTGTTGAAGACGGCCTGGCCGTTCAGGGTGGCGGAGCCGTCGGGGAACAGGCGGGCGATCTGGTAGTTGTCGATGTTGATCTCGACCTCCATGTGCTCGGCCTTGCCCTTGTCGGCCTTGGCCAGCACGGCGACGCGCGACTTGCCGGAGCAGTCCTTGGCCAGCACGTGCCAGCAGTCGCCCAGCTTCATGTCGCCCATGGCGCCGTCCAGGGTCACCAGGCGGGTGGCGCTCACGCCGCAGAAGTCTGCAACAGCGACACGAGTTAGAGAGATAAAGGGTGGCCAACGCACAGTGGACCAGAAGACCGGTGGAGGCGGCGAAAACTCCAGACGCGTTTTGAGCTCCAGAGTCGCTAAATGGGACCCGAATGGAACGTGTGACCCCACCAATGGATTGCTTTTCGAACGAGGAATCCATTGGTGGGGTCACACGTCCGGTTCGAGTCCTGTTTAGCGACTCTGGAGCTCAAAACGCGTCTAAAGTTTTGTCCGCCTCCACCGGTCTTCTGGCCCACTATACAACGGGAATCTACTCACCACCGGTCTCCTTGTGCGCGGCCTGGATGAGGGTGCCGGCGACGGGGGCCTTGGCGCCGGCCATCCTGGTCAGGGTGCGGGGGGTCTGCAGCCAGCCGTTGAGGGTGCCGTCGGCCTGGACGGTGATGCCACCGCCGAGCTGCACACACCGAACACCACACCGTCAGGGCATCCGAACCACGCTCCACAGTGGGCCGGCGGAGGCGGTCAAAATTCTACACGCGTTTTGAGCTCCAGAGTCGCTAAATAGAACCGAACTTGTGACCCCACCAATGGATTCCTCGTTCGGAGAGCAATCCATTGGTGGGGTCACACGTTCGGTTCGAGTCCTGTTTAGCGACTCTGGAGCTCAAACCGCGTCTAGAGCTTTGGCCGCCACCACCGGTCTTCTGGCCCGTCGTGCGCCCTCTTCACTCCACACGCACCTCGTTGTTGTTACCGGCGGCCAGGGTGTCCACCATGATGTTGCCCTGGTTCCAGAGGTAGGCGCGGGCGGCCTGCAGGGCGCCGTGCACGGCACCGCCCCAGGACTCGTCGGCGGCGCTGTTGTAGTTGAGGGTCACGTTGAACTGGTCGGGGGTGTTGGCGGCGCCGAGGACCTCGCGGCAGGCGCGGCTCACGGCCACGCTGGCGTTCTTGGCGTGGCTGGCGTCCTTGGGCACGCAGTACTGCTCCAGGGCGGCCTGCTGCAGGCGGCGGCTCTGGGCCGCGCTGCGGTCGGTCTCCATCTGCAACGGCAACGCGTCAATAGCACCTCCAACGCGGCCGTCGTGCGGCACGGTGTGCGAATTTCACGGAGGAACCGGCGGCTACACTGGCGAGCGCTGTCTGCTAGGGGCGGGGCGTTGGCTTGGACACACGCGACACGTACACTGAAGGTCAGCACTTTGGGCTGCTCGGGGAGGGCGGCGGGCCTGGACCGCGGCCGCGTCGTCGTGAGGTACGCGCTGCTGGGAACCCTGGGAGGCGCCCAAGCCCCGGGCTGGACCGGCGGCCTCGGCGCGCGGTGCTACGGCCGCAGCAGCCCATGCAGAACACAGTGCGAGTCAGAACAAGGTGGAAACGCCTCAGAGTCCAAAGGGAACAGCGGGGAACAACGTGAGCGCAATAATAGGCGGGTTTTTCGGCCTGGAGATGAACTGTGTCATGAGAAGGGACTGAGGAAATGGGAAACAGACCCAGCAGACCAACGGACCAACGCCAGTCGCCGGAAATTAAGATCAGCGCCCAGCCGGCCACGCTGATCTAACAGCTGTAAAAACGTGTAAAAATGTTGGGATTTGAACATAGCCTACGGGCACTAAGGTCATATGGAAGATAGGTCTGCGCAAATTCGGGAGGGATTAGCTGCCCGGTCTCCCAGCATGCATCTCGGTTGCGCAGACCTATCTTCCATATGACCTTACGGGCACGAGGGTGGCCGCACTGGAACGTTGGCCGCTGACTCACCACGGCGGTGACGACCTTCTTGGCGGCGCTGGCGTCGACCTGCACGTACTCGGCCTTGACCATGACGGCGGGCAGCTGGCGCAGGGCGGCGTGGAGATCGGCGCGGGCGGGCACGTCCTTGAGCACGGCGCCGGTGGCGGCCACCTGCGCGTTGTCGGCGTCGCTGCGGCCGAACAGGCCGGTGCGCACCAGGCGGCCGCCCAGGTTGGCGCCGAAGGTCCAGAAGGCGGAGTAGCTGCTGGCGGTCTTGTCGGCGGCGGCCTCGGCGCTCACGTTGACGCCGACCACGTAACCGCGACCGCCGGACATGCCGCCGAGCACCTGGGGGCAGGGGTGAGTTCAGAGACTGCGCGCAGTGGGCCAGAAGACCGGCGCAGGCGGACAAAACCCTCAACGCGTATTGAGCTCCAGAGCCGCTAAATGGGACTCGAACTGAGCGTGTGACCCCACCAATGGACTGCTCTCCGAACGAGGAATCCATTGGTGGGGTCACACGTTTGGTTCCAGTCCCATTTAGGGACTCTGGAGCTCAAAACGCGTCTGGAGTTTTGACCGCCTCCGCCGGTTCTCTGGCCCACTGCGCTACGTGGATTTGCCCGCAAACCAGCAGAGGGATCTCGCCCTTACCTGGGACAGCACGTAGAGCTCGTTGCTGCCGTTGACGCGGTTGCTGTAGGGGTTCAGGGTGGTGGCGTTGAAGAGGCTGCGGGTGAAGTCCACCTCGCCGTCGTCCTCGTAGAGGGAGCCGTTCTTGCCGCGACTGCCGTGGGCGCCGTTGGAGGCGCGGGGAGTGCGGACGACGGCTGGGAAAACGAAAACAACACAAAATTAGAGTAATCCGTTTGCAGTCAGCCGGAGATCATTTTCAGCTAATCGGTTGAAGTTATCACCTGGAGCGGCGGTGGTGGTGCTGGGGTACTCAGTGGTGCTGGTGGTGGTGGGGGCGGGGGTGGTGGTGGAGGTGCTGGGGTACTCGGTGGTGGTGCTGGGGTACTCGGGCTGAGCGGGGGCGGCGTCACTGGGACGCAGGCTGGCGGGGTACACGACCTGGAGGTCGCCGCTCTGCATCACTCCCTTCACTGCAAAGGGTGAGCAAAGTCAAGTGACGGGAGAGAGAGAGAGAGAGAGAGAGAGAGAGAGAGAGAGAGAGAGAGAGAGAGAGAGAGAGAGAGAGCAGGACTTACCGAGGGCGAGGCTGACGTTGACGGCGCGGGGGCGGGCGGCCACCAGCTCGATGCGGGAGGCGGACAGGGGGCGGCCGAGCACGGGGAAGCCCAGGACGGTGCGGGAGTCTTGCAGCCAGGCCACCAGGGCGGCCTTGTCGACGGGGGCGCGCAGGCTGAGGGACACGTCCTCCCAGGGGGACAGCTCCACGGTCTGGGCGGCCATGGGGGCGGTGGGCGCGTCGCGGCTCGCGTTGTGGGCGGCGCCGCTCTCGGTGGCCAGCTCGCCGCGGCTCAGGTCCAGGGCGGAGGTCAGGGGCTGGGTAGCGATGCGGGCCAGCACGGTGGAGCCGGCGTCGTGGCCGGGCTCCACGCGGACGGACACGCGGCCGTCGGTGGCGTTCATCTGCACAGCACGGCCAAAAGTCACCACCTGCTTACCACGATGCACCAGTGGCGCAAGGGTTACCGAAGTCCCGACGGTTACCTGGGCGCTGACGGCGGTGGCGGGCAGCTGGATGAGAGCGTGGCCGTTGACGGCGGCCAGGTACTCGCGGGTGGTCCAGGAGGGCTGGACGGAGAGCTGGGCGGACAGGCCGGAGGTGTAGCTGAAGAAGAACACCGTGGTTCAGACGGATGGCCGAAAGCCACGGGTGGTGGAGAACGCCTGCGCAGTGGGCCAGCCCGCTGCACTAGGGTGTCGTGCGGGCTGGCCTACCTCGTCCCTTGCAGGCGCCGGCCAAAACTCGAGACGCGTTTTGAGCTCCAGAGTCTCTTAACAGGACTTGAACCGAACGTGTGACCCCACCAATGGATTGCTCTCCGAACGAGGAATCCATTGATGGGTTCACACGTCCGGTTCGAGTCCCATTTAGCGACTCTGGAGCTCAAAATGCGTCCAGAGTTTTGGCCGCCTCCGCCGGTCTTCTGGCGCACTGTGAGGCTGACTCACATGCAGGTGATGTTGGCGTTGGCGGAGTGGTTGCGGTGCACCTGGGCGCTGCCCTCGGCGCGGACGAGCCAGGGCGCCTGGATGCGGAAGTTGACGGGGAAGCCCATCTCGGTGACGGCGGCCATGGAGAGCTCCTCGCCGCCCATCTGCTGGGCGTGGAAGCGGGTCTCGGAGCGCAGCTTGTCCATCAGGGATCCGGCAGCTGCGGGGGAAGCAAGCACGGTCACAAAGCACGTCACTTTCCTCATAAGCTGCAAGCAAAGCAACTCACAGTGGGCCAGAAGACCTGTGGAGGCAGTCAAAACTCTAGACGCGTATTGAGCTTCGGAGTCGCTAGAGAAAACTCGAACCGAGCGTGTGACCCCACCAATGGACTCCTCGTTCAGAGAGCAATCCATTGGTGGGGTCACACGTTCGGTTCGAGTCCCATTCAGCGACTCTGGAGCTCAAAACGCGTCTAGAGTTTTGTCCGCCTCCACCGGTCTTCGAGACCACTGCACAACCCGAGTGCTCACCCTTGGCGATCTGGCTGGGGGTGTCCTTGTCGAAGGGCACGAACAGGTTGTTGACGAAGGGCTTGAGGGTGAGGCGCAGGTGGCCCTGGGGGTCCTGCAGACGGCGGCGCACGATGCTCAGCTTGTCGTGGATGGTCCTGGTGGCGTGGAAGGCGGGCACGGCCTTGTTGTCCACCACGGGCCGGGCGGAGGCCTTGTCCTGGCGCCCGAACACGGCGTCCATGGCGGCCTGCAGCAGCTCGTCGGGGTTGGCGCCCCACATGTCGACCTGCACACGGCCACAGGGAAACGCCATGAGAAAAACTGCAGCAGTTACGCATGAGCAACTTAGGGTCCTACTGCGTCAAAAACGGTCAAAAATGTCTTTGAAAAATCGTGTTTTGGGCTGACTTTAAGCAGCCACTGCGTCTGATCCGAGGCGGTATTTCGTCCTTCCTCAACGGGCAATTGGCCTTTGGACCTTCCTTTAGCATGCCTTTGTTACGGAGTGCGATTATGAGCCTTAGTTTGGGAGCAGTATTGCCGCAAAGTTGATCAAAACAGTCAAAAATGCCTTTGAAAAATGGTGTTTTGGGCCGACTTTAAGCAGCCACTGCGTCCGATCCGAGGCGGGCCTCCGTACTTTCTCAACGGGCATTTGGTCTTTGGACCTTCCTTTAGCATGCCTTTGTTGCGGAGTGCCATTATGCGCCTTAGTTTGGGCGCAGTGTTGCCTCAAAGTTGATCAAAACCGACTTTAAAGGCATTTTTAACCGTTTTGATCAACTTTGAACCAATTCTGCTCCCAAACTAAGGCGCATAATGGCACTCCGTAAAAAAGGCATGCTAAAGGAAGGTCCAAAGACCAAATGCCCGTTGAGAAAGTACGGAGGCCCGCCTCGGATCGGACGCAGTGGCTGCTTAAAATCGGCACAAAACACGACTTTTGAAGCAGTTTCTGCCAAGGGGGAAATCACTTGTGTAATGGTCGGTCGAAGGGTCTGTAATGGCCCTGTAATGGCCCTGTAATGTGTAATACCTATGTAATGGGTGTAATATTGGTGTAATGCCTGTAATGGTCCTGTAATGCCTGTAATAGGTGTGTAATAGGTGTAATATGTGGGAAGAAAAATACAGAAAATGACTAAAACATTCACGAAAGTCAGCGAAAAAGTCATTTGGCTGCAATAAAAGTAATACCCAACGTCCGGATCGAGCCGAAAGCAAGCCGAAAGTGGCGTTTAGGGTGTGTGTGTGGGGGGGAGGGGGGGACGGGGTGTCTCTTGTGGGGGCAGGCGAGGGGCTGAATCTGTAAGGAGGGGTAGTCTAAACCCTAATCTGGTTTAATATGTACAAGCTATTAATTGATTGGAAAGACAAAGGTTCCTGTGGCCAAAAGACATTCTTGTCAAATGATATTTCGGCCAAGATTCAAATTCCCAATTTTTTCATGGAAAATGATTGATGCAAGATGCAAGGGCTGAATTTTATCAGGACGGGTTGTTGAGAACCGTATCTGTTAAATAGATAGTACAACCACTTCCAAAAGAATCCGACCAGCCCGGCCCGGCGATACCCCGCGCGCCCAGACGGCTACCTCCAGCGGCTACCTGGGCGCGGCGGGGTAGCGCCGGCCGGCCGCGGCGGTTTGATTCTTTAACAAGCGGTATTCAAGGTATCGGGGGGGGGGGAGATCCCCCGAGACAGCTAACAACAGCGACCAGCTGAGGTGCCACTGCTGTACTACCTAGCGATACCCTGTGCCCACGGAACAAAATAGTCCCTCTGGAGGCTGAAACAAGGCCGTTCTAGCAGCGTAATAGCCTTGTAATAGTAGTGTAATAGCTGTAATTGATAGGTAGTTCCTGTGCAATTGCGTAATAGGTGCGTAATGGGCGTAATGATTGTAATTACTGTAATTGATGTAATTGCTGTAATTGCACTGTAATGGTACTGTAATAGCAGAAATATCGATGTAATATCTGTAATTTGCGTAATAGGTGTAATTGTCTGTAATGATTCAAAATGTAATAGTCGGTCGACCATTTTCATGAGTGATTTCCCCCTTGGTTTCTGCGGATTTATGTTTCTGGCAGTGCTTGGCCTGTAGGCCAGCCGCGAAACCACCGCGACCCCAGCCCAGTCAACAAAACATAGTCCCGGTCCGGGACGGACCATGTTCGGACTATCCCTGTAGTGGTCCCTGCATGGTCCCCTGGGGATGTCCCTCATGTACCTCCCAGGGACGTCCGCTCGGACCACCCGGCCGGTGCAACCGACGGGTCCAGCCGACAGCAGACGTCCTCCATAGGTCCGGCGGACGTCCCATCGGGACCCGTGAAAGGTTGCGAAGGGCTAGATCCGGCCGACGTCCCTGGGTCGTCCCAAGGACGTCCTTTTGGGACATGGCCCCGCGTTGCTTGGGCAAAACGCCGATGTACCAGTGGTCCGAGGCCTGTCCCGCCGGGCTAATCCCGGCGGATATCCTTTGCGGACGTCCCAGGGACGTCCTATTGGGACATGGCCCCTGGCGCATAGGCAACACGCCCGACTGCCAGTGGTCCCAAGCTGGTCCTAGCGGGCTAGTCCCGGAGGATGTTCCTTGAGGACGTCCCAGGTACATACTGTTCGGACATGGCCCTTCGATGAGATGACAACACTTTGAAGGAAAAGTCCAAAGTCATGTCTCACTGGGTGAAACGAGACGTGCATATGGTCCCGGGCATGGTCCGCGCGGGACCTCCCTGGGACCTCCCCAGGACGTCCGCCGGGGACATCGCTACGGTGGACGCGACGTATCATGTAGTCGAGACACTGCACACCATGATGCATGGGAGCGGCATGGCACAGTGGATAAGTGCGCTGCTTCACAACCTGAAGGTCGGAGGTTCGACTCTCCCCAAGTGCAACGAGTTTTCATCGTCCGAAGGGAAAGGTGAAGGGTAAGGACGGTCGGGAGTGGCAAATTGAGGTCAAGCTAACACACTTGCGTTCAAATTTATAACCAAAATTTTTAACGCTGAACATGGGACGTCCCTCGGTGGTCCGAGGGACGTCCGCCGGGATAGTCCCTACGGACGTCTGCGGCGGACGTCCGCGGAACGTCCACCCGGGACGTCCGGTTCGGACGTCCCTCGGACCTCCAGGGGACGCGTTTTCTCAAGGGGGGCTGACTCCTATAATACTTCGTACACAGACCTATAATACTTGTATAATACCTATAATACTATAATCCATAATACCAAAAAATGCCGCACATTTAGTGCAGTTTCGGGTTCAAAATGAGAAAGTTTTGTAAAATTGTGGTGAACAGGCGTTCAGCGATTTTTAGACGGATCGTTAGAGTAAGGAAATGGCGCTAAGGCTGATGACAAGGTGCTGAGGCTCTTAAAGATGCGCGGTAGTATTTTGAGGCTCAGGAGCGCAAGCCGGAATCCTTGTTTTCAACTAACTTGCGTATTTCGGAAACCTTTGGTACACGGAAAACCACTTAAAACGACACAATTATCTAAATAAAATGTTCGGAATAATACCTATAATACTCTATAATACCTATAATATATAATACTTCGTACACGGTTCGGGAGAGTCAGCCCCCCTTGCGTTTTCTTTGCCATCCGGAGGTCCCCTCGGACGTCCGACCGGGAGGTCCGGGTAGTCCCGGCCGGACGTCCCTCGGACGTCCACGGGACTATGTTTTGTTGACTGGGAGCCCCTCAAAATTTTTTCGCGACCCCACTTGGGGTCGCACTGGAGTTCCAGAGCAGCCCACCTCCTGGTCCAGGCTGGAGACACCGGAGCGGCGGGCGACGCGGCGGTAGTAGGCGTTGGCGGCGTCGGCGGGGGCCATCATGGAGACATGCTCGTGCACCATGCGGTCGAGGTGGGCGTCCACGGAGGCGGCCACCACGTTGAAGGCGAGGTGAGCACCCTGGGGGGAGCGGCGAGTCAGGGGCAGGGCCAGGCGAGCGAACTGGGTCCTGGAACCAAGCGATACCGGGTTGTGTCTCTCGATCTCTAGAGTCGTCCCGTATAGGTGCGAGAGAGGAACCTACTGCTGGCGGAAGGCGGGGTCCTGGAGCTGGGCGAAGGAGTGGATGGTGGCCCAGACGTAGCTGCAGACGGCCATGTTGGGCTCGTAGAAGGTGGAGATGGCCAGGCGCTGCCACAGGGGCAGGGAGGGGCGCAGGTACACGAGCAGGGACACGGCGGCCATGCGCACGGGGGCGGGCTCGGTGGGGTCGTGGAAGAGGGCGAGCAGGGCGTCGCGAACCACGGCGGGGGCGCGGGAGGCGGAAGCCCTCAGGGCGAGGATGGCCTGGGCGCGCTGCGAGCCAACATGAAAGATGAAAAGTAATAACAAGGATTTGGGAAGAAAACTTTTAAAATTCGGACCTGCAGAAGTCACTTGGGCTCTAAAAGGGTGCGTACCTGGTAGGGGGCGTTCTTGGCGTTCTTGGCGACCTTGATGAGGGCCTGGGCGGCCTGGGGGGTGCCGGTGCTGCCCAGGGCGGCGGCCAGGGGCGCGCGCAGGGCGGCCTTGCTGCCCTTGCTGGCCTGGCTGGCGGCGGCCAGCTGCTCGCCGAGGAAGTCGGCGGCGGAGGCGGCCACGGAGCGGGAGGCGCGCCCGGCCAGGTTGCCGACGGCCAGGGCGGCGGCGATCTTCACCTGCAACGCCACCGACGCCGTCAGCAACGCCCACGACACTTGTACCTCCGCACAGTCGCCAGAAGGCAGGCGGTCGAAATCCTGGACGCGTTTTGAGCTCCAGAGTCGCTAAATGGGACTCGAATCGAACGTGTGACCCCACCAATGGATTGCTCTCCGAACGAGGAATCCATTGGTGGGGTCACACGTTCGGTTCGAGTCCTGCTTAGCGACTCTGTAGCTCCAAACGCGTCTGGAGTTTTCGCCGCCGGCGCCGGTCTTCCGACCCACTTGCTGCCGTTCCCGCTCACCTGCTGGTCGCTGCTGCTCTGGTACAGGTCCTGGACGTGCTTCAGGATGTTGCGGGTGGGCACACTGACGCGGTCGGCCAGGGAGGCGAGCGCCATCTGGGCGGCCACGGCGGACATCTTGCGGTCCTTGATCATGGCGACGGTCTCCTGGACGCAGGCGGTGGACCCGCACATGGCGAGGATGTCACGGAAGAGCTCCCTGGAGAGAGAGCAGCAAGTCACTAAAAGTTTCGAAAAGATAAACTTGGCACACTGCAGCAGAGCAGCGCGACGACGTACTTGGCCTCCTGGGCGTGGAGCTGGTCGCGCACGGCGCGCAGCTGGTCGGCGGACAGGGCGCGGGCCACGCGGATGGCCATGCTCACGCGTTCCATGGTGCGGGGGGCGGGGCCGTCCTGGCGGCGCAGCTCGGCGCCGGCCTTGTTCACCTCCTCGGCGACGCGCTTCTGCAGGGCGGCGCGCAGGGTGGCGTTCTGCTGCACGGCGGCGGGGGACAGCACGCCGGCGAACACGTCCTCGACGGCGGCCTCGTCGCTGCCCTGCTTGTTGTTGTTGGACCTGGAAGGGCGGCGTCAGTCGTCAACAGCACCATCAACCTCAGGAGGCAGGCCGTGAGCCAACTGGACTCGAACCGAGCGTGTGACCCCACCAATGGATTGCTCTCCGAACGAGGAATCCATTGGTGGGGTCACACGTTCGGTTCGAGCCCCATTTAGCGACTCTGGGGCTCAAAACGCGTTGCGGATGAAATGCTCTTGTGTTTCTCCCATAAGGCGCGCACCCCGGAACCGTAGTGCTTTTCAATCTACTTGCTTTTCCACGTTGGACATCTGAATTATCTGGACGGTCACAGATTAGTTTTCAATCAATTTTCCTGAGCAACACTTCGAAGTGAGGAGACGCTAAGGACTGGCGCGATAGCTATTTTCCAGGGTTTCTGAACGAAAACTGCCAACTTAAATTTTGAAATACGTTTATTCGAATTGGACTTTATACTTTTGACTACATATTGGCTGTACTACGGGTGCGCGGACGAGGTAATGAGAGAGAAAAGAAGGCCTCTGCGGACTTACTTGGCACTGCGGGGTTTGCGGCTGAGTCTGCCGTTCATGTGTTTGGCGCTCTCCTCGGAGGAGGAAGCCTGCTGGTTCTTGTGCTTGCGGGAGTTCTGCTTGGCGTTGTTGTCGCTGTTGTTGTCACTGTTGTTGTTCTCCTCAGAGGAAGAATCCTGCTGGCTTTTGTGCTTGCGGGAGTTGTGCTTGGCATTGTAGTTGTTGCTGTTCTCCTCAGAAGAGTCCTGCTGGTTCTTGTGCTTGCGGGAGTGGTGCTTAGCGTTGTTGTCGCTGTTGCTGTCCTCCTCAGAAGAAGAAGCCTTCTGGTTCTTGTGCTTGCGGGAGTTGTGCTTGGCGCTGGCGTTGTCCTCCTCGGAAGAAGAAGAAGAATCAGAGGCAGAAGAGTCCTGCTGGTTCTTGTACTTGCGGGAGTTGTGCTTGGCGCTGTTGTTGTCCTCCTCGGAAGAAGAAGAGTCCTGCTGGTTCTTGTGCTTCTGAGACTTGTGATTCTGCTGGTCGTTGGAGTTCTTCTTGTGGCTGGAGGCCTTCTTGTGCTTCTGGGCGGCGCTGGCGGACTCGCTGGTGTCGTCGGAGTCGCTGCTGCTGCTCTCGCTGCTGGCGGCCTGGTTCTGCTGCTGGGGGTGGCGGATCACCTCGACGGAGTCGTCGCCCTCCTCGCTGCTGTCGCTGTAGTCGCTGTCGAGGCCGTAGGCGCCGTTGACCTGCTTGCCGCCGACGCGGTACCCGAGGCCGTTGAGGACGACGCCGTCCTTGGGGGTGGCGAGGCGCTCGCGGACGGGCTGCGCGCGGACCAGGGTCATGTTGACGGAGCTGTGCACCACGGCGCGGGACTCCTCGCGGGTCTGCAGCTCGGCCTGCATGGAGCTGGAGCTGACGGCCTGCACCAGCTGCAGGTCGGCGCCGGCGCCGCAGCCCACCAGCTGGGTCAGGGTGTTGCGCTGCGGGAGGACGGGGTTGGCGTTACGGAGTTGCAGTGCACAGTGGGCCGGAAAACCGGTGGAGGCGGCCAAAATTCTGAACGCGTTTTGAGCTCCAGAGTCGCTAAACAGGACTCGAGCCGAGCGAGGAATCCATTGGTGGGGTCATACGTTCGCTTCGAGGCCTGTTTAGCGGCTCTGGAGCTCAAAACGCGTCCGGGATTTTGACCACCTCCACCGGTCCTCAGGCCCACTGTGAGGCGGCTGTCTAGTGCCCCTTCTGAGCACGTCACTGGCTCTCGGTGTACTCACAGCCCACAGGCTAGCGCAAGAGTTGCCGGCGGGGGAGCAGCGGGGGAGGCCGCGGCTCTGCTCAGCGTACTGCTCGCAGTCGGTGAAGTTCTTGGTCTTGGTGATCTGGACGTAGGGCTTGCCGGCGCACATCTTGGCCTCGGCGGCGGACGCCTCGGCGGGGGCGTTGGTGGGGGACACCTCGTACTGCACCATGCAGCGGCCGGAGACGCCGTTCTAGAGGAGGTGAGGAAACGTCACGTTAAACACAAGTTTCGAAAAAAAATATGTTATGACTGTGGTGTGGTGGTAGTCGAACCCGTGCCCCGTGCTCACCTCGAGGACGCGGTACACGCCCTGCTCGCTGTGCTGCTCCTTGCCGTGCAGGCTGTTGCCGCTGCTGCCGGCCTGGATCTGCATGTGGCCGAGCACGCCCTGGAGCAGGTTCACCTCCCAGTCGCGGGCCTCGCGGCTCACCAGGACGGTCTGCACCTGGCCGTCGTGGAAGCGCGCCACGGCGGAGGAGCCGGACAGGGGCATGGGCATGGAGGCCATGTGGCCGTGGCCGGAGAGGGTCGCGTTGCCCTGGGGCTCCGCGGACCACCAGCCCGACTGCATGCGGGCGTGGAGCGCGGACCAGGACATCTTTTCCAGCTGCGGACAACGGAAAAGGAACCTTTAGTTTCATCATTTCGGTAACCAAAATCAAATATCCAGAAAATTAAATTTTCGACGAAGTGAAACTTGGCCGAAGTCACACAGTGGGCCAGAGGACCGGCTTCGGCGATGGTCAAAACTCTGGACGCGTCTTGAGCTCCAGAGTCGATAAACAGGACTCGAACAGAACGTGTGACCCCACCAATGAATTCCTCGTTCGGAGGGCAATCCATTGGTAGGGTCACACGTTCGGTTCGAGTCCCACTTAGCGACTCTGGAGCTCAAAACGCGTCTAGAGTTTCGGCCGACTCCACCGGTCTTCTGGCCCACTGCGGGTGGCCGTGGACGCTGACCCGGATGATGGCGGTGTCGGCGGTGAGGCCCTGGACGCGCACGCGTCCGGCGTACTGCACGCCGCTGTACTGGCCCTGCAGGGCGGGCAGGCCCGCCAGGCTGCGGCCGTTCAGCTCGAACTCGTACTCCATGCGCGGGCGGGGCTTCCACTGGACGCCTGCAGCAACGCCGTTATTAGGGATAAATAAAGGCAGAGTTGTTGGCCGTTCCTCTCAAAGTGTTTGCTTACCATTTGAGCTGGTCGCGGTGCTGGCGCCGATAGCTGCGAAAAGCAAAGCAGACCATTGTATTAGGGAGGGATTCCTCGTTCGGAGAGCTCGAGAAGCAATCCATTGGTGGGGTCACACGTTCGGTTCGAGTCTCATTTAGCGACTCTGGAGCTCAAAACGCGTCCAGGGTTTCGACCGCCTCCACTCGACCTCATAAACGCCGCTTCGGGGCTGCCAACCTCAGCCTGGCCTGCCAGGCAATATCTAGGCTTCGCTCTCGAGGTTGGCAACCCTGTCGGCACATCGTGGGAATTTTTGCCCACTTATGTGGCAACACTGACGTGTACGCGCCGCATGCAGAATCGGTCGCCGCGCGCGAAACGCTGGCTCATAATTTCGGAGCCGTTTTGACCACGTCGCCGTTTTGCCGGCCACTATCTCTGGGCGCAAGACGAGTCCGGTGCTGGCTCCACACTTTGTCGCCACATGCGCCTCCGGTCAGTTGATACGGGCCCGAATCAGAGAGAGAGAGAGAGAGAGAGAGAGAGAGAGAGAGAGAGAGAGAGAGAGAGAGAGAGAGAGAGAGAGAGAGAGAGAGAGAGAGAGAGACGAAGCACTGCAGAATCAGTCTACTGCACGTGCCGGGAGCGAGAGGGTCCACGCTGCACCCTAAGAGCGAGGGACCGTCCGCTAATCACGTGACGTTGTCGAGTTGGAATGGGAAAAGGGGACGAAAATGCCCGAAAAGAGAAGAAAAAAGATTACGAAGCAGAAGCTTATGCGGCAGACGACCACACTAAGAAGAAAGAGGGCATCAGGAGCGGTGTCCCCCGATAGGTGTCTTCTGTTTCCGACCGAAATAGGCACCCTCTAAACCAATCAAAATTCGAAAAAAAAGAGCACGCAAACGTAATAAAAAATTAATGGGGCGTAAATTGTTGTAAAAACAAAATTCGCTACTTTCAGTGGATTGAGAAATTGTTCCCCTAGTTAGTCAAACGTGCAGGCCACGTTGACAGCTTGGCGGATGGATTGTTTGAAGGGTAACTTCCCTGCAGTAAATCGCAACACGAAACAAATGAATGATACCCGCCTCAAACCAAACTGCCCTCATGACGCGTCTGGAAATGTCGTTCTTGCTTTCTTCCACGACACTCCGAATTTCTTCCCCGAATTGGGCCTACTTACCGCTCACGAGGAGCACCAGGGCGACGGTGGAGAGGGCCATCTTGTCCGACTGGCAAAGACAGACTGACAACGAGCACCCTTCCCGCAGCAGCCAGCTGGGCTCTAGCTTGGCTTGCCTTGGCTCTAGCCGACGGTCGCAGGAAAGTTCTGTCAGTCGGTGTCAGCACGACGGGGGCTGCAGGCCGGGTCAGGGGTCAGCTGCGCTGTCACCTAGTGGCCAGTACACTGACTCCGAACAGAGCGTCGCCGCTCTGTCCCTCTCGCACCCATGGGTGTGCCCCATGGCTGCGAGAGAGACAGAGCGACGAAAGCACTGTGCAGAATCAGACCACGGCCCCTGGTGAGAGGCAACCCAACGGCCAGCGACGAGTGTTGGACTGTGTTGTGTTCTCCAGTGAGGCCAGGTCCAGCACGCAGTTGTCCAGGCCCGGCTGGGAAAAGACTCAGGTCCCTTCACTTTGGACCTTTGACATCCCTGGACAAGCTGCTCTGCTGCAGCGTCAATTTTAAAAAAATGTATCTGTTTTATTCGGGTTAGAGTGATACGACTCCCCCCTCACCCCTTGGGTTTCCACCCCTAAAAATGACGCCTGGTGGGTATACATACATGGTACTTTCCGTCAGTATGTAGGGAAAAAGTGCGACTTCAAATCTTTTTCTCGCAAGTCCGTCTACGCCACTGCTAGGCCTGGGCCTTATCAAAGATTCCGGAAAGTTCGAATGCAGGCATTCTTTTTATCTCACCCTCCTCTAGGATTGTTCACTATTTTCTTTCTGCCCAAATGAATCATTGTCTTTGCTACAGCGGTTGAGGAATGTGTCATAGTGACAATGATAATTGTACGCGGTGCGTTTGCGTAGAAAAAAAAAGAAAAACAATCATTTATTGAACACTATAAAACACAATATTAGCAGAAGACAGTCGGCATTTACATCACAAAGAAAACAGTCTTTCGGCTCGCGCCGGTTATATTTCGCCATGCCATGTCCAGTGCAACACAGCGGTACTCAGGAATCAGGTAAACATTGAGCAAAGGTCCAATCGGCGTGAGATTCCTGCCTCCATGCGGTCGTGCGTCGTCAACAAAAAACAGCGAAAGGAAAAAACAAACGTTGAGCACAGAGTAACAATTAGTTGAAGTTGTTAATTGGTTAAAACGCGCAACGTTTGAAACACTGCAAGAAGCATCGCACTTAAATTATTGCTTGGAACGCCGAACTCGATAACATTCGATCCGATTTGGAATTCATAAAATAACCGGTTGAACATGACGATTATTACAAAATGTGGATCGTTCTTACAGTCTAACAAAAACAATTTTCAAGATACGGACTATGGACCCGTAAAAACCAGACTTTCGTTGAGTTTACACACAGCTGACACGAATACAACACACATTAACATCCACATGTTTCGCACGAGCACACGAACAGATCAGACACTAAAAATATACATATAACAACAGCGGAAAATATCAGATCTTCAAACGGTACTTAAAAACAAATATTCTGTGAATCACTCTGTTCAGAGTTAACAGTTTCCGTGGCCTCACATTCGGGCCCACAACACTTCACATTAATTACACACTCCAGAGAGACTGCAGAGATTTCATGGCATTAAGTCTTACACTGAAACACGACAGTCAGATCGTTTCCAACACAACACACGTCAACAGCTGAGAAACGGATGGTGGAGACGAGGCCGATTCGAAACAGAGCCGACGAGCAGGGCAGCGAGTCTGTATCGAATAAACGCGCGTCGCTTCGACCACCCGTTCCTGCAGACTGACTCCGGAGAGTCGTTTCGTCGCTGTCTCTGTCGCACCCGTGGGGCAGCGCGTAGGGTGCGACAGAGACAGAGCGACGAAACGACGACTCTTCAGAACCTCTTGGTTGGTCGGACGGGACCGACAGGCAGGGCGTGCAAACTTTTATTGTATTTTAATTAAAATTTCGGGTGCCCCTGTCTAGTAACCAACTAGAGGTAAAAAAAGTTAAGCAACTTAATTTTAAAATATTAATTTCGAATTCAAGTTATCATGTGCATAATTTTTATTTACCTCCAGCCGTTTACAAAAAAAAAAACTCCAAATCTAAAAGTTGCAAAAAAACAACGTAAAAACTCGTTAAGTTTGTACGCCCTGCCGCCAGCGGCCGCCAGACCCCGTCCGAATTCTCACAGAGAACGACTAGCTCGCACTTGGAGGCCCGTGCTTTGGCAGTGCCTTACAGTGCCTTGGCTCGCGCCGAGGCGGGACGAGTTTGAATCACAAAGGAGCGCTGCACGGCTTCGACGCCCCATAACGCACAGGGGCGGTTTCACCAGGTTTCACCAGTTTTCACCAGTCACAAAAGCGTCACCCACCGCGGTGGCGACTCACTGGGCAGTACATACGGGGAATGTCCAACGAGAAATGGCAAACTAGCGGATGCTGAGCGTGATGCTGGCGATGCGGAGCTCCACCTCGGTGAGGAGCACCAGGACTAGCAGCAGCACGGCCACGCGCTTCCACGCCCACGACGCGAACTCCTGCAGTGGGAAAGAGCGGGGCACTGTTAAAAATCAATTAAAAATACCAGGAAAAGGACTTCGCTGATTTTTAAACATGTTATAGCACTGTTAAAAGTCAATCGCAACTTCCGCTGATTTTTGATCGGGTTACTGAGTGAGAAGCAAGGAAATAAATTCCAGGAGGGCGGTGGACTTTGAACTGCCGGGAGATTTTTTGGACGGAAGGGGAAGAGGAGGGGGCGTCGAGAAACGGCAATCCAGAGCGTGTTTCTAGTTTCGGCGTTGCCACCGCCCGCGCCGCGCTCTGCTCCTTATCAGCCGGCCTTGGCAAAGACCCTCGACAACGGCAAGGCCTGGCAAGGCGCAGCGAACGCGCCAGAAGCTCGAAAGCCGGGCTTTGGCGTTTGGAACCGCAACAGGTGCGGAGCTCGTGCCACGGCGTGGAGTAGCGACAGGCTCTCTACCGGCGCGGAGTACAGCCGAACTGCGGGACGAGACTCATTCCGAGAGTCGTTGTCGTCGCTCTGTCTCTCTCGCACCTATACGGGACGCGCCATGAGTGCGAGAGGGGCAGCACGAGGAAAACGACGCTGGTACGGCACGCGGTACGCACCCATTGCCTGTCGACGAACACGGCGCCCAGCAGCATGGCGGTGAGCGCGTGCGGGTTGAGCACCCTCCACAGCCACGCCACCACCCACAGCCACACGGAGCGCATCACCAGCAGCCGGGCCACCTGCGGACAGACAGAGTCTAGAGTTTTGTCCGCCTGCGCCGGTCTTCTGGCAAATCCACTGTGGGACGCGGACGTACGGGGTCGGGTGTGGCGGGCGGCTCCAGGATGTCGTGGAAGCGGCTGATGGCTGAGTTCCAGCCCAGCGACGAGGCGGCGATGAGCACGGCCCACTCCATGGTGAGCGTGGCGGCGGCGGCCAGGCCGGCGCACTCCTTGTGGGCGCGCAGCAGCACCAGCGTGCCCAGCAGCTGGCACACCACGCCGGCCAGGTCGCACACGCCGTCCACGAGGTGGCCGTGCGAGCCGATGCCCGGGTCGGACAGCTTCCTGCACAGCGAGAAGGCGGAGGGTTAGGCGGCGCACAGTGGGCCAGAAGACCGGTGGAGGAGGCCAAAACCCCGGACGCGTTTTGAGCTCCAGGATCGCTAAACAGGACTCGAACCGAACGTGTGACCCCACCAATGGATTGCTCTCCGAACGAGGAATCCATTGGTGGGGTCACACGTTCGGTTCGAGCCCCATTTAGCGACTCTGGAGCTCTGCACGCGATTGGCCCGGCGACTCACATCTTGTAGACGGCGCGCGCCACCTCGCCGTCCAGGGCGTCCAGGTAGAAGCGCACGGCGAACAGCAGCACGCCGACCTGCCGCGCGCCGAGCGACGAGCGGCACGCCAAGAAGCGCATGCCCACGGCCGCCACCAGCACGTGCGACACGGAGATGCGGTCCGGGCTGAGCCACAGGAACCGCGTGTGCAGGTCGAGGCCCTGCGACAAAGGGTGACGTCATCAGCGACACGCCACGGGGAAGCAGCCTGAATTTTCGCCATGTTTTCCCTTGAAATCACGTTGAAATACCGTAAAATAATTCCAATTTGAAATAACTGTGTTCAAAATTGTGTGTCATTCGTACATAACACCGTATCTACCGTGGGATTCCCTATGAAGATACGTTGCTCTGTCAGATGGCCACTTAAATCGTCCAAGGGGAGCAAACCTATACATGCACTGGTTTTCATTTTATCTTTCTCAGGAATTTTCCATGGTTGATAGTAAGACGAGCTAGACTTTTTAATAAAAACAAAGTCAGGGGAGAGAGTCATGGAAAATTGGCTGACTTTCCGTGACCTTCGCCAGGTTTACCAGGCGTTGTGGGAATACTGTTCAGGCCGCGGAGGCGACGCGGAGGGAGGTCACAGTGGACCTGAACACGCGGTACGTACGGTGCTGTTCGTGATCATTTGCAAAAGAAATGGCCTTGGCAATACTCCACGCCAGAGAGATTCTCAGCGCTGACTACTTCAATGTGGGAAGGCTTCGCGCGTAGGCTAGTGACAGTGGGTCCCAGTACCGATCGCGACTGTCCCAAAAAGGATGTTGTACTAGAGCTAAACATGGCGCCAGCCCATAAGCACTTCCGGTCCCCACCCCAGTGTACTGGTTCAGCAGAGACATCTCCCGAATCCTTACAACTTCTGTGAGCTTGGCGAGCGGCATGAAGATGTGCTGGTTCATGGGGTCCATGAAGAGGCCCTTGATCGCCGTGTCCGGGATCAGCAGCTCGCGCCAGTGGATGCTGGGGTGCGTGGCCGTCTCCACCGTCACCGAGGACGAGTTGAACGCGTTCGACGGCCGCACCGGGTCCGGCTCCGTCCCCTCCATCGTCTGCAACAACAACAACATCGTCACCACCATGGAGGGGTGGCCTGGCAGCAACAACAACATCGACATCACCATGGAGAGGACCGGCGGAGGCGGCCAAAACTCTAGGCGCGTTTTGAGCTCCAGAGTCGCTAAATCGGACTAGAACCGAACGTGTGACCCCACCAATGGATTCCTCGTTCGGAGAGCAATCCATTGGTGGGGTCACACGTCCGGTTCGACTCCCATTTAGCGACTCTGGAGCTCAAAACGCGTCTAGAGTTTTGGCCGCCTGCACCGGTCTTATGGCGCCTGCGAAGTGCGAGGTGGGCCGCACTGCCCTTCACGCTTGTCCCCCGTGTTGCCTACCTCACACTTCGCAGGCGCTATAGGCCGGGTGCCCATTGGAATTGCAACACGACAAAGCTTGCGTCCGGGATGAAACAAAATGCCGACGGAATTCCGATCAAGGGTAGGTCCCTCTGTCTCACTCGCACTCTTGGGGCGTCCCGCAGGTGCGAGAGAGACTGAGCCAAGACCCACTGTACGCAATCGCACACCAGGCCTCATGGGGTGAATGCTTCGCCCGGCCTCGCCCGCTTCACCCGCTTCGCCCCCAAAGCAGGGCCTGCCTCCCGAGATACTCTGTCTCTCTCGCACTCACGGCGCGTCCCGTCGGGGTGCGAGGGAGACAGAGCGGCGCAACTCCGTTCGGAATCAGTCCAGGGGCCCGGCCAAGGGCCAGGGCGGGCCCCACGCGCCGCTCGAGCGCCACTCGCCACGGTTCGTTTGGAGCGCCGCCAAGGGGGGCGTCGCGACGCGTCTCTCTCTCTCTCTCTCTCTCTCTCTCTCTCTCTCTCTCTCTCTCTCTCTCTCTCTCTCTCTCTCTCTCTCTCTCCCGATGCAGCAGTTGAAGAGGCACCACAGCGTGCGGAGGCAGCCCGAACGAATCTTTCTCTGGCTCGGATCATCACCCGCTGCGGCGCTCTGTGTGCGTGTGTGTGTGTGTGTGTGTGTGTGTGTGTGTGAAAGAAGGTGCGGATGAGGTGAAGCGAAGCATTGAACGGTGGTCGACCCCTTGCAGCAGCCACAGCCCCGCCAGAGCCCTGAGAGCACACGTTACACCACGGGGCCACACGTTTGGTTCAAGACCTGCTTAGCGGTGGATTGGATTTAGCGACTCTGGAGCTCAAAACGCGCCTAGAGTTTTGGCCGCCTCCACCGGTCTTCTGGCCCACTGGGCGGTAGCTCGCCGCATCCCTGACGGCCTGTGACGCGCTCGGACGCGCTGGCTCGGCCAGAGACATTGATCGACTCACAAGGAGGCGTCCTTTAATTGCGGAAGGGCCGTCGGAGAAAGGGGAGGGGGGGGGGGGCAGACTTGCCATAGGTGGAGTACACTAACCGACACTAACGATGGGAAAGGGTTTCGTTCGGCGCGCGCGCGCGCGTTTCGTTTTCGCGTTTTTGTTTTCACGTTTTCGTTTTCGCGTTTTCGTTTTCGCGTTTTTGTTTTCGCGTTTTCGTTTTCGCGTTTTCGTTTTCGCGTTTCCGTTTTCGCGTTTTCGTTTTCGCGTTTTTGTTTTTGCGTTTTCGTTTTCGAGTTTCCGTTTTCGCGTTTCCGTTTTCGCGTTTTCCGTTAGACTTTTCCGCGGCGGGGCGAGAAAGAGTGGGTTGTTTGGCAGGGCGTTGAGGGAGGTCCCCGACCGCGGCTTGATCTACAGTGCACATGGCACTAATCCTGTTTGGCGGGACTGCCCTTGGCCCTTCCACAGCTGCCCCCGTTCGCGGCCCCAACGGGCACCCCTCTAGTGCAGCGCCCGAGTAGGCCGAGAGCCACACCACTGTGGAGGCAAAAAAAAAACACTAAAAAAACGCGCCAGACGTTTGCTTCATTACTGTAACGCGGTTGTAAAATTCCGATTTCGACCGCGCGCTCTCGACGTCGGAGCAGATACGGACTCCGAAAGAGTCGCCCCGCTGCTCTATCCGACTTTGTCGCACTCGTGGGGCGTGCCGTAGGAGTGCGAGAGAGACGGAAGGAAAGGATTCTTCCGAACCGCCCGGCATGCCGCGAGGCAATAATAAACAAAATGAATTTGGAACGAAATTAGCGCCTCTCGGCAGTCGTATGGATGGAGGGCATGCATGGGCCCGTGGCACGACACCTGTTGTGTGTGTGTGTGTGTGTGTGTCGCGCGGCGCAATCACTCAGGTCGGCCACGACGGCACGACAAACGTGCCGCACAGAGGGGAGGGAAGGGAGTGAAGGGAACAACGTACTTCTTGCATGCAAGGTGTCCGACCCAACGCGCGAGAAAAAAAAAAGCTCTCAACCTGACCTGTCGCATTCTAAAATTGTTTAGCCTGAATATTTCCAAAAAAAAATGTTTATATTCAGAAAACTGGTTAAGTAAAATCAATGTCCAGAATACTATATTTTTAAATGAAAGAAAAGTTAAGTTCTAAATGAAATGGCTTAGTATGAATGAATGAATGAATGAATGAATGAATGAATGAATGAATGAATGAATGAATGAATGAATGAATGAATGAATGAATGAATGAGCTCACCTGCAGCCGCAGCATGAGCACCATGTCCATGGTGAGCAGGTAGGCGGTGAGCAGCAGCGCGGCAGCCTGCACACCAACCGATCCCCGCCGCACCGCCGTCATCTTGAGCTTGGTGGCGTCAGCCGCCACCACGGTCACACCTGCAGCAAACGCCGTTTTCAACACCCGCAGGCCCACCACAAAATAAGCAATTTTTCCACTTCCAAATTTTTTTAGTTTTGACCAATTTTTATACAGTTTTGACCGATTTTTATGTAACTTTGGCAATTTTTTTGGAAGTTTTAACCAATTTTTTTGGAAGTTTTAACAATTTTTGGTTTGGCCATTTTTCTTAGTTGTGACTATTTTTTTTTTTTGTTTTAACCAATTTATTTTTAGTTTTGACCAATTATATAAAATTTTGACCGCCGAGACCGAGGCTTGACTTCAGAGGCTTGGATCGAAGTCACAGACGATCCTCTGCTTTTCGTCAGAATCTAAATCAGGTCGTGCCGGCCGACAGACAGGATCCGGCGCGTCTGGCCCGAGTCCTTGGAAGGTGCTGGAATTCACACAGCCCCTCCCCCCATCCCAGACCGCCTGGTTAGTAGAGGGTCAGCGGCATAGACCAAATTCTTTCCCGCGGCCGGACAGGCCATTCCACTTAGCTCACGGGCACAAAATATTTCACTAATTGAGCGAATTTGTCCAATTAATTTCTTTCCACTCAACGACCCTCCGAACAGTTCCCAGACGCAGAAAAGCCCTTTGCAACGACACAGTGTAAGCCTCTGAGTTCAAAGAACACGAAGAGAAATAAATAATTTAACTTCTTAAAATTTGCAGAAATTTGCGAAAATACTCACGTGACGGCGTCGTCCATGGCAGCTCCATCCTGTTCGGGGTGGAGAGCAAGCCCTTCTGCAACAAAAAATAAATCAAAATCTAAGGTTAAGCGGTAGATTTAAATTTTTTTTTAACTGTACGCACACTACTCCTAGCGGCGCGGCTGAAACGGGCATACGGTCGTTTCCGCCTCGCAGCAAAACTCATTTCCGGCCAAAGCTCCTCGGATCGGTTTGCATTTCTTTGAAACGGACCGGCCAGACTCATTTACAAAGATTTCCCCGCTGCTTCCGCCAGAGCAGGCAGCAGAAGCAGGCCAAGGACGCGGCGAAGCGGCCCCCAAGGACGACCGTGTGCCCCGACAGGTCAACAGTCCATCCTCGTCTCTCTCTCTCTCTCTCTCTCTCCCTCCCTCTCTCTCTCTCTCTCTCTCTCTCTCTCTCTCTCTCTCTCTCTCTTTCTCTCTGTCGAAGGAAGGGTTGGACGTTGAGCGGTGGCAGCAGTGGCATTGTGTCAGTATGACGTGCATGACGTGTGTGTGTGTGTGTGTTCGGCCGGCCATGTGTCCATCTAATCGGCCCGGTGAGCATAAAGGGGTGCAAGGTCGGCCCCCAAATGGGACGGGACATCATGCACCCTGACCTGCGGAAGGCCCGGCAGGGCAGAAGTGGCCCGAGCGACCATCATAAATCAAGCGACCTTTCGTTTTATTCGCGGGAGGGGGAAGGCTGGTCACTAACTTCAACACTTGGGACAGCAAAGGTCTCTAAGAAGCACTCGGAACAAGCTAAGTCGAACCGACTTGAGGTTGATTCAGTTTCAAAGTTGCATTTAAAATAGTACCCCATGAATTCTTGAAAAGAAACATGAGACTGGTAGTTCAATCGGATTTCACTGAGCTTCTATGACAGTGCAGGTCGGAGGGAAGACAAGCAGGGGGCAGGGGGACGGGTACGAGTGGTCTGGAATCCGTCGGCCGTCTTCGGCAAGTTCGACGCCACTGATTCCGAGCGTCGTGCTTCGTCGCTCCGTCTCAGTCGCACTCACGGGGCGTGGCGTGCGGGCGCGAGAGAGACAGAGCGACGGGCACGACTCGCACGGTGGGCCAGAAGACGGGTGGAGGCGGCCAAAACTCTACACGCGTTTTGAGCTCCAGAGTCGCTAAACCAGGACTCGAACCGAACGTGTGACCCCACCAATGGATTCCTCGTTCGGAGAGCAATCCATTGGTGGGATCACACGTTCGGTTCGAGTCCCATTTAGCGACGCTGGAGCTCAAAACGCGTCTGGAGGTTTGTCCGCCTCCACCGGTCTTCCGGCCCACTGTGACTCTGCCGTATTGACTCACCATGGTGCCGGCCGGACCGGCTGGGCCGAGGCTTGGCCCGGCAGGGTGGCGCTACCCCTCCCCCACTTGACCCTCGGCTCGGCGCGGCTCGGCGCTCCACCGGGGTGACGTCGACGGCGACCCCGCGGCGCTCACATCACCACCACGTGGCCGGCGCGGCCCGGAGGACGACGACGAGGAGGACGCCGAGCGCGTGGAGAGAGACGGGCAGCCCGTCGAACCTGTCCGGCCAAGTGCACCGCCACACTGCAGTGCAGGCCACAGTCAAGCCGTCAAGTCACAGTGCATCGGCGCGGCTCGGCGCGCGGCTCCGGCTGCACTAGGCTGCACCGCGGAGTCCGACAACGCCGCGCCGCCGCGAAGCCGAGCTCCTTGCTGCGGGTACCTCGCGGGGCACACCCGGCGGGGCACGGCGGGGAACGCCCGGCAACGCACGCTAGTTCGCCGCCACGCCGCGCAGCGCGCCGCAGAGCGCGCCACTACCGGCGCGGGCACGGCGTCGACGCGCGGACGACGCGGAGGTGAGGGGCGCACAGTGGGCCAGAAGACCGGTGGGGGCGGCCGAAACCCTAGGCGCGTTTTGAGCTCCAGAGTCGCTAAATGGGACTCGAACCGAACGTGTGACCCCACCAATGGATTGCTCTCCGAACGAGGAATCCAGGTGGAGTCACACGTGCTGTTCGCGTCCCATTTAGGGACTCTGGAGCTCAAAACGCGTCTAGGGTTTCGGCCGCCTCCGCCGGTCTTCTGGCCCACTGTGTGTCGACGCGCGGACGTCGCGGAGTTGAGGGGCGGCCCTTACCGCCAGCGACCGACAGCCGGCCGCCACCGCCGAAAGCCTGACAGCGAGGGCGGGGCACGGGGGCTTGCCCGGGGGCCAGGGCCGCGGACACCAAGTGTCTCCCCTGGCCCCGGCGCCCCTCCCCCCTTTCAAGAGGCCCCTGCGCGCACCTCCCGGCAGTCGTCTCTCTCGCACTCATGCGGCGTGCCGCTCGGGTGCGAGAGAGACAGAGTGAAGTCTGCAGGACAAGGCCGGAAGTAGCGCCGCCGCGCCGCAACGCCCCGCTGGACGACCGTGCGTCATCCCACTCCAAAGCGAGCGTGACGGCGCACAGTGGGCCAGAAGACCGATGGAGGCGGCCAAAACTCTAGATGCTTTTTGAGATTCAGAGGTCGCTAAACAGGCCTCGAAGCGAACGTGTGACCCCACCAATGGATTCCTCGTTCGGAGAGCAATCCATTGGTGGGGTCACACGTACGGTTCGAGTCCCATTTAGCTACTCTGGAGCTCAAAACGCGTCTAGAGTTTTGGCCGCCTCCACCGGTCTTCTGGCCCACTGTGGGGCGCAGACTCATTCCGTCGCTCTGTCTCTCTCGCACCGACACGGGGCGCCCCGTGAGTGCGAGAGAGACAGAGCGACGACTCTCGGGAGCAGTCAGTCAGCAGGAAAACGCGTGCGACACCCCGCGTTGATCGAAAGTTCCTCCAGTGCTCCCGGTTCGATTCAACGCCGGCTCGAGACGCGTTTCCACCAGTGTGTCCGTCTCTTAAATGTCGATGCGTTTCAGTCCTGCCATGAGGCGGTCCGGCAATTCGAACAAGTCGTCATGAGGCTCCGGAGCCGAGTGATTCAGAAGAGTCGTCTCGTCGCTCTGTCTCTGTCGCACTCGTGAGGCTCTCCGTAGAGGTGCGAGAGAGACAGAGCGACCCGGGGCAGCGGCCCGACTGCACGGGATGACACGAGCACGACGTCACCGCCCGATGCACTGATTGGTCTGCCCGCCCCGTGACCCCGCACGTGTCCACCGACCGACCAGCAGCGCACAGTGGGCCAGAGGACCGGTGGAGGCGGCCAAAATCCCAGACGCGTTTTGAGCTCCAGAGTCGCTAACCAGGGCTAGAACCGAACGTGTGACCCCACCAATGGATTCCTCGTTTGGTGGGGTCACACGTTCGGTTCGAGTGCCATTTCGCAACTCTGGGGCTCAAAACGCGTCGAATATTTTGACCGCCTTCACCGGTCTGCTGGCCCACTGTGCAGTGTTCTTTAATGCCTCCTTTAGCAAGCCGTGGCTGCAATTCTTGGCTAGTTGTGCCCTGGCCTGTCCTGCCTGCACAACTAGCCACAGCCTCGGTGCGGGGGCGGCACAGGCCGTGCTAGACAGACACTGCTGCACACTGCTAGACAACACAGCTGGACGCCGCGCGGCGCATCCAGCCACAACACTCAGTCAGCTGGGCTCGCCAGCGGCGCGCAGTCGAGAGGACAGCTGGCCGGGGAAGTCCAGGGCCACAACACTCTGTGTCAAAATTTGCTGTCACTTATTTACGTCTGCACTTACGTACGGCAATGTCAACACAGACCGATGACATTTTCATCAAACTGGTTCGATGACATTCTTGAAGGGGGAATCAGCGTCTAAAGTGTCACACCACAGTGGGTCAGAAGGCCGGTGGAGGCGGGCAGAACTCTAGAGCGTCGCTAAACGGAACTCGAATCGGAAGTGTGACCCCACCAATGGATTCCTCGTTGGGAGAGCAATCCATTGGTGGGGGTCACACGCTCGGTTCGAGTCCTGTTTAGCGACTCTGGAGCTCAAAACGCGTCTAGAGTTTTGTCCGCCTCCACCGGTCTTCTGGCCTACTGTGCAGCGTGTAAAGTGTCACCAGGCGGCAACCAGAACTCTCCCAGTGAACCACACGCACCAACACACCCACGCAGAGGTCTAGATCCGCTCCATCGGCGCGGCCAGGCCGGCCAGGCCCCTCGAGCCTCGGGCTCTCGAAGCGGCGAGGCCTCGAAGGCCGCCGCAGACTCGCGGGGCTCTAGGCGCGTGGTGTGGCGGTCCAGAGATGGCGGTCGACTCCAGCCCAGCGGGCTACCCGTTGCCCATGGCTAGCCACGGCTAGCCATGGCTAGCCGCCTTGACAGACTGATCGCGCACAGTGCGGCCGTCGGACTACCTCTCTCGCACCGGCACGGGGCGCCCCATGGGTGCGAGAGAGAGGCCTCCCGCGGCTCGCGGAATCGTCGGACTGGTCGCGGAGCGGCAGCTGGCCGCGGGCCTCGAGTGGCGCGACGCGCGGCGCGGCGTGGCCACCGAGAGACTGGTCCTGGTGCGGGTCCGGCCGCAAGGCACGGCCAGCACGGCCAGCACCGCCAGCCAAGGAGAGCGGCCCGGATGCAGCAGCCACTCCACCGCCTGCTGCAGCCCGCGCTGCAGCGCCATGCCAGCGCCCCGTCTCCCTCGCACCCCGACGCGACGCCCCGCGAGTGCGAGAGAGACGGAGCGACGCAGCAGAGGTTTCTTTTCCTGGCCGCCTTCCCTTCCCCCTCTCCGCCCGGCAGTGCGCCGACCGCTCTGACTGGATGGCGGCATGGCGGCGTTCGGAACGCCTTTACAGCGCACAGTGGGCCAGAAGACCGGTGGAGGCAGCCACAACTCTAGACGCGTTTTGAGCCCCAGAGTCGCTGAACAGGACTCGAACCGAGCGTGTGACCCCACCAATGGATTCCTCGTTCGGAGAGCAATCCATAGGTGGGGTCACACTTTCGGTTCGAGAGCCATTCAGCGACTCTGGAGCTCAAAACGCGTGTAGGACTTTGGCCGCCTCCACCGGTCTTCTGGCCCACTGTGCCGCGCCCCGCCCCGCCACAGCGAGCGTGCCCTCGGGGTCGCCGAACAATCAACGGGTGGAACGAGGAAGGAGCGAGCCCAGCCCCGACACAAATCGGAACCAGGCACGGTCTCCTGTCTCCCTCGCACCCCTACGGCACGCCCCGTGAGTGCGAGCGAGAGAGACAACTCCAGCCTGCAGCCACGCTGCAGCCGTGGCGCCGAGACGCAACGGGTGCACCTTGGGGGCCCAGCCGCGCATCCAGCAGGGACCTGACGGGGAAGGGAGGGGTGCAAATGTTTACAGCGACTATGTGCCCTTCGGCCGGCAGGCCCGAGCGCCTCTCTAAACACAGTGACACGGGGAAGCCGCTTTACCCTCCTACACTGCCCAGGTGACTGCTCGGACTGGCTTCCACGGCTGTGTGCGTGTCCGCACTCAAGTGCAGTTCCAACATGTGGGTTCGGCAGCTGCCTTGCCGCTCGCTTGAGGTGCCTGAGGCCTTCAGCGCCTGCGAGGTAGGCCACTGGCCCGGCCCGCGACGCACCGCTGTGGAGACGGTGGCCTACCTTGCGCCTGTAGGCCAGCAGGGGCACGGTAGGCCACCGTCTCCACTGAGGAGCGTTGCGGGACAGGTTGGCCTACCTCGCAGGCGCTGAAGGAGGCTAAAGACAGCAGAAGACCGGTGGAGGCGGACAAAACTCTGGACGCGTTGTGAGCTGCAGAGTCGCTAAATTGAAGTCGAACCGAACGTGTGGCCCCACCAATGGATTCCTCGTTCGGAGAGCAATCCATTGGTGGGGTCACACGTTCGCTTCGAGTCCTGTTTAGCGACTCTGGAGCTCAAAACGCGTCTAGAATTTTGACCGCCTCCACCGGTCCTCTGGCACACTGTGCGCTCTTCGGAATGGATGCCGGATGCACTCACGACCCTTGCCTTGCCGGTGGACACCCCGGCAACCCCGCCGAGCGAATCCGTCTCTCTGTCTCTCTCGCACCCCTTCGGGACGCCCCATGGGTGCGAGAGAGAGCGGCTCTTCTGAATCACCCAGCCGCTCGCCGCTCGATGGCACGACGCGTATCTAGACTCTAGATCTGAGGGGTCGCCGCGCCGCGGTCGGCCGCCGGACCGGACCCCACTCCAGACAATCTAGGCCGTCAAGGAGGTCGGCCGGACCAGCTGCATCTGGCGATGACAACATTCACCGAAAGCAACTCGCACGTCGTTACTTTTCGAGGGCTTCGCGAGACATCGCGTGCGACGCGTTCGCTCCGTCAGTCGCTGACTTGACGCGAGGCCGGTGGCGGGAAGTGGGGCGCGAAGGCGCTAAAAACGCTCCAAGGGAAACGCGAGTAAACAACCTCAAAATCGGAGGAAATATGCGTGGACCACCTCGAGCAGGCCGCACGACATGAATGACAACTTCAAACTCAGTCAACTCACTCACAGTGTGCTTGCGCCGGGTGCCCGCGACGATGCTGTCGCTCGACGGGGGGAAACATCGACGCGTTCAGTCACTTCAAAAAGAAACAATCACATCGTTTCCAAGTTTGCTGCCGCTGCAGCAAGTTCCGGCTTGAACGACCAAAACACCAAGCGCTATCCGCACTGCAGCCAACTGGCAGCCAATCAGAAAGCTCCCTGCCTATAACCAACACCGTTATTCCCAGGCAGCTGCAGCCGGCGGCAAGTGTTTGTTTTCGTCTGGTCCGTTTGTTTCGGATTTGATGAATGGCCTTTTTTCTGAATTTTCATTCGAGGGACTTGAAGCAATTTAAGTCTGCAGATCATAAATGAGAATAATTTGGTTCTCAAAGCATGACTGTCATCCGTGAAGCTAACGTTTATCAAGAGGAAATCTTGGAGGTATAGGGGAACCTAACCTACTGCTGGGTAAATGTCATCATAATTATTTGACAAGCCACTATATCCTTGCAGCCAATTTAATTTTCAAAAATTATAGGCTTCTTTTCTTACTGTATTGGCCTATGTTTTCATAAGCTCGAATTACCATGACTTTTAGTTTCAGTTCGCTGCCAGTTTCTACTTTAAATCCGACTCTGTCAAACACAGTATTATCACTATGTCTGGATCAATGAGACTTTTGGACGAACGTCATGTGGCTATCAAAGTGGAGCTCATGCTGTGGTCGAGCAAAATGGATCTGCTGGCACTCTCCAACACTAGAGGTAAGTCTTCTTGCAATTGATCAATGAGAAAAGAGGAGTGGTATTTTATCCTGACAATTTTCAACAGGCGAAGTCGCCCTGCACCGCTTGTCTTGGCAGCGAGTTTGGTCCTTGTCTCCAAGGCAAGAAGGAGCATCAGTCAGAGCCATGGCCTGGCGTCCCGACGGCAAAGTCATAGCCATTGCTTATAGCACAAGTAAGAAAACCAAGTATTTTCTTTTATCTTATCTTATGAACAGGTTTTCTTTTCCTTCACCATTTTTAAACCTTATTTCATTTTGTTTCAGAGGAACTTCTGCTTATTGATGTTGAGAATAAGGAAACATTACATACCACTCAAATGGATTCTGACATTATTTCTCTGACATGGGTACAGGAACAAGATGGAAGTGGTGACAATAGCAAAGGAAATTCCTCGCAGGATAGAAGTCACTCATACTCTGGCATTGTACGTACTCCTCTACCTTGCTATGGACAGTATATGAATTTATGTATGCTTGTGAAAAAAAGTAAATTTGACTTAAACGATGTTTACTGCAGGAAAATGCAAGCAAGTTTCTTCCCAAGCTGCCTCCTCTGTCAAGGAGCTTTGGTGTCAACAAAATCAATAATGAAGAAAATTTAGAAGACACAAAACGCATTCGTGATCAGAACCATCTGAATATTTTGTTAGTTGCTCAGGAAGGTGGAAAACTTAGCTTGAGTGTCTTTGGGCTTTTCCCCTGCGGTGTCATTGACCTCCTACCACACATGAAAGAGGCTGGCTGTGACACGTGTGGTGCAGTTGTGGGTGCTGCTGTGTCAGACGATCTCAAAGTCATGTGTGTTTTTGTTGAAGGAGAGAAAATATGTGAAAATGTGAGTCAGGGAATTTATTAATTTACGGAAGTGGAGTAAGCTCTATGAGATGTTTTTCAAAAGTTTATGCCCTCTAATTTTTTTTTCTTTTGTAGACATCAACAAGAAGTGGTAGAAAAATATGGGCTGTAATTTTAGAAACCCCTCTACTTGCCTCTCACTCAAGAGAGTTATACACATTAGCTCTTAAACAAGGCCACATAAGTAGCTTGCAAGGTATGATTATATTCCATGCTCAATGCAGAATTTTATCTTATCTTTCATTATCTTGTTATGACTTACAATTAATTCTTAAATTTCTTTGACTTTCTCACAGGTTATTTATCAAGCACTATGCAGGCTATCACAGAAGCATGGGAAAGCATTCTTTTGGAGATGGACTCCAAGCTGGCATCTTATGCAGCCACCGTTGCAGATGGCTCTGTAGCTGCTGACTTTCTCGATTTATTAATGTTGGGTGTTCCATCTTCAGAATTAGAACTTTTTCTGCAAAGAGATCTTACTGAAAAGGGGTTGAAAAAACTAAGCCATTCTATAGAATTAAGTTACTCAAATATACAGGTATGGTACAGCCTCCTTCCTAGTATTGCATTGTTTGCAGTATTATTTTGCTAAAAGTTTCATTAGTCTTCCTTAATTGTTTCATTTTTTATTGATTTTTTTTTGCCCCATGTTTACTGAACTGTAATATGTTGGACAGAAATTTGTACTTAAACACATTCACTGTGTGGGCACAAGTGTGTCGTTCCACCTTACCGAACTCAGAGGAATGGCTCGTCATGTGGAGCGATTTGCCCCACTTGGTCTGACCGAGGAAGCTGTCGCTGCATCTCTGTCTGCCGCTGGAGCTTTTCTCGTCAAAGCTACAGAAGTGCAGCAGGTTATAGAAAATTCAATGAAGAAATACAAAGCATTTTTCCGGTGGCTCATGTTGGTAGGTGGTTTTTTTTTAGACTTGATGCCAGTCACAAGAAAGCATTCACCTGTATGATCTTTCATTAATTTTGTCTCTCAGGCCATGCTACGACTGACAGAGGAAATTGCTCCAGCTGAAATCTCTAAACAAACTCAACAGGATCTGACATTTATTGCTGAATTCTTGTGTAATTTTGATGGGGCTTCAGATGCTAATGCTACGCAAGCACCTGATCCGACAGTTGATACCTGCATAGCTAACCAAGGGAATCAAGAGTCAGCCTCAGGAAAAGTTCCTAGTAGGACAGGGTTGAGCACACCTGGCAGGAAAACTCGTTTCAATTTGGAACGCTTAGGTCAATATCTAGTGGATCAGGAATTATCATTTCTCCCAGACACTGACAGCAATCCATGGAATAATTTGTTATCAGAGTATCCATCTTTAAGTGAGGATCCTCTAATAATACCACATTTCAGGTAGATAGGAGTCTGATGGAAATTTCATCGTTTTATTTTGTACATTATATGTCACTAATCATACTGCTTTTTCTCTTTAGAAAAATGTCTCTGGTCCAGCAGCACAATCATTTGATTTCTGCAATTGATGCTGTATTTAAAGAACCTGTTGAATGTATAGGACATACATTCACTCTTCAGCGTGTTGTGAGGTTGCCAGATACAGCTATAACTCACCCCCTGTATTATGGCTCTGGAGAAGAAAGCAATAGGATATTTAAAATTACTTTTGTTTTTTGTGGTGCTGAAAAAAAAATAGTAGTTTCTTATCCAAAAAATGAAATTTCTCTTTATATCATTGAATTACCAACACACATTCCACAGTCAGAACCAAAGGTAAAATTTGTCAGGCTGGTTTATATGTTAAATGTAAGATATTGATTCTAAGCAACTTTCCTCCTAATTTCCTGCAGGTTACCATGGAACAGATGTGTCTCTCTTTTATTACTCCAGTTTCAGAAATAATAGACACCAGCTCAGATAAAACATCAAGTTCCTTATTTAAAATCAATGATATGCAATTTTATGTAGCAGATATTTTATCCCTTCTCTTGGAGAAAAGGGGCGATGACCGAAGTGCCGTGATAGTTCAGGTGAGAGCCGGTTCGTCGGCCGTGTCATTTTTAATACCTGTTTGAATTGCAAGCAGAAGCAAGCACAAAATAATTTTTATCTAATTCTAATTTCTGTTCCAGTTTCCTCTGCGGCTTGCATCTTGTATTGCTGTGTCAGTGACAGGAAATCCAAAGTCATTCCATGAACTCACAGCAGGTGATGGCACCAATTTGGTTGATCCTAATGCTCTCCGGACAATAGATAATTTTGTGGGCTCAAGTCTGGCTGTAAGTGGAAGCAGGAAAGTTGCTGTGTTACTTTCCGAAAACCGCTGCAAAGTTCGTCTCTTCGAAATGGAGGCTGAGGAAGATGAAGAAGAGGATGAAACTATGGATGCCACAGGTAGCTCAATAAGAGACAGTGACCAGAGTCAGAGTCACCTGCTAGATCAGAGCAAAAGTTCAGAGCCTGACATGGAATGAAAATTGAACTCCCTTGTTCCCTGTTAATGCAGTGTGTTTGGAACAGGCATGAAATTGAAGTTAACATCAGATAACAATGTTTTGTTTTATTGTGTTTTTGATGTTTAAGTTCACAATAGTAGAGAACCTATGGTTACTTGCCATGAAGTGAATTTTACTTATTGCTAACTCACAGAATACAATCAGAATGCTTAAAATGCACTTTGTTTACTGAGCAATAAACAAAAACTTTTATAGGGCTCTAGAAGATTTGTCAAGTAATGTGGTGGAGATCCCTATTATTAACTTAAAAATCCTTCATAGTCAAAAAACATAAATCTTTACATCTTCCTACAAATTATATACAGAGCTATTGTCATCCTTCAATTTAAAATCTAAAGACCCCTGTCTGCTCAATATAGCCTAAATGCTGCAACACAAAAATATATATAAATATATAATTCAAAGGGTTTAAAAGCAGGTACATAGTTCCAGCATCCAGTTGAACTGCCTTTTTCCAAATCTAACGGCAAAGTCAACGCGCATTAGAAGTAAATCACAACAACTTGAACTTGCACCACCTAAGACAACTAAGTAAGACTTAATAGGCAAATCTCATTTTAGCATCATAACCAAGCTTGTCAAGATTTGGTTCACAGGCAAACTTGATCATGGGAGGAGGCCCACACATAAGCACAAGTGTATCTGGAGATGGTGGGAAGAGGTGAGCGGAGATCATTTCGGAGCTAACAAATCCTTTGCTGTATTTCCATCCTGAGAAGAAAAAAAAGGTCAAAAAAGTGTAAATAGAAGACCGTATCATGAATTTAAAAAAAGAAGCAAATGAAAAACAAATGATATTGTACCTTCTGTAGGGGAATCCACAGTGTACCACAACTTGAAACGGCCATTAGAGTCAGCAGCTGCCTGCTCTAGTTCTTCCCTTAACAAAATGTCTTTCTCTGTTTGGTTAGCAAACAAAAGCGCGAGTTCTGTTGAATCAGATGAATCTCTCATCACACTCCTTACAAGCTGCAGCATTGGTGTTATGCCTGTGCCACCTGTAGATTATAAGAAAATATTTTTTTCAATTCAATCACAGGGGTCAAAAAATTGAAACCAATATCCAAATGGAAATAAGAGTTTTACCTGCAATCATGGCTACTTTTTTAACTTTCACAATTGAAGGTGGAGCATTTCTCAAGGCTTTGATGGAGAATTGCCCACGGCCCAAATACTGGAGGCGGCCTGTTGGGCCACGAACATCAATAGTGTCACCAATCTTCATGTCATTGAGGTACTGACTCATCTTTCCACCCGCAGGAAATTTGGGATGAACATCTTTGAAATAAACCTAGAATTCACAGTTGCTAAATTAGAACATGAACAATCCTTGAGCTTTTACAGGGAAGTCGCAGGGTGATCCAAACAAACCTTTACAACAAGGTCCATGTATCCCAGGTCTTCGTCACTGCTGACAGGTGTGTAAGAGCGAATGCAAGGTTCGCCATTTATAGAAGCTGAAAGGTTAATGTGTTGTCCAACAGGAAGGCCTTAACACAAAAGGAAAACATAAATTAACACTGTCATTTGGGACACCAAACTTGAAATTTATTTAATTTTTACTGCAATCAATGAAGAATAAAACGCCCCTTCAATCTTACCCAAGCAATGTGCCTTGGATGGAAGTTGGAATCGGAATCGCCTTGTGTCATGGCTCAGTTCCTCCTTCTCAATCAAAGGAAGGGGAATTTTTTGAGCAGCATCAACAAGGGCCACGAGTTTCTTCTTCTTTGTAGCAGACCATAGTGCAATAATAACTGCACTGGCTACAACAACTCCTGCTCCGATAAGGAGGGGGAGATTCTGTCGAGAGAGAGTGCAACATTAGAAATGATACCATAAAGAATTTATCTAATACAGTAAATTCATATATTAAAAAACAAAAGACAGGGAAAACTATGTTAGAATAAAATAGAGAACAACTTAAAATAAACCAACATGCTGAAAGAAAAAGGAACAAAACCATGCAAAAGAATAAATCATTTTCTTTGAGTGCGCTAATCTCCATAAAGTACTAATCTTCAAGTACTACCTAAAGACTCATCTATACCCAGGAGGGTCACAACGTCTCCTACCAGGGTAGAATTAACCAAAATGCAGACTACCAAGTTTCATGCATGGGAACCTTCAACAGCATGCTCACACATAAGAAAGAGCAAAAAAACTATACAACTTTGACCAAAAATCATAGGACGATAGGCATGTTAATAGAAAAACAACACATTCCACTCCCAGGGTTGCAGAAAATTGTTACTGGTACTCGACCAAAGTTAATTCTACCTCAACTTACGACAGCAACCGCATCAATCTACAGGCAAACAGCAAGAGTAAAGGAATGGGGCATACCAGTGAGCTATGCATGTCTTTGACTTTTCAGATGAGATTTCTCTTGAATCTTGAGTCGCCCAATTCCATGGGGGTTCAGCGTTGCACAAGAATCACTTTGGGGTTCACCTTAAATCTGACGCAGGGAGGAGGAGGTAATCAGTTTCAGGGTGATTTCTAATTGTCCGATAACATTCAAGCACCTCAAAAACACAAATGAGGAAGATTTCTGATCTTTGAATCACATGACAAGGTTGGTAAAAATTTTGATTCATTAACAAGTTTAATTCAAATTTAAGTCAAATTTAAACGACATTTTGCAGAAATTATTGCTGATGAATTATGACCTTGACAATGGAAAATAATGTGAAAGTGAGATCGCCTCGTCGATAGGACGTTGCATAATCTCGGAATGGAAACGAGAGACGGGCCAGGGGCAAATATTGACTCGAGACAAACTTTGGGCACAACGGTGCAGACCGAAAACCAAATTTACAATGAATCCGACTGGGTTTGCTGTCCGACCTGCGACGACACGTCCGACTTCCACCGTCCGGCTCGCCAGCGTCACTTCCCCACAGCTGTCCCGGTCTTCCGGGGGAAAGGAAAGGCAGGACCGAAAAACACCAGTCCCGTTATCGCAGTGTGCCTGCCTGGCGGCCGCGACCCTTCGCGACTGGGCCTCCTAACCTGCAAAGTGTCAAACGCTCGGCGCCTGGCACCTCCCCCTCGGCGTCACGTCCAGGTGCGGGGCACGCTCGCTGTCAACGTACCAAGACGCTGGCGGCGGGGACGTCCTTGGGCACGGACATGCTGACGGTGACTGGCACTGCGCGTCGAGGCGACCTTGCCCGAGTGAGTCTCGAGTCCTGGGTGATTGGTGTATGTTCCGTGGATGCGTTCCCTTCCCCGCAGTGGCGTCCCTCTTCGTGCAGTGCAGCAGCAACGTCGATCGCAGTGGACCCGCTCCGCTACTGCACTGCCGCCGCTGCAGCCACTGCAGTGCTCCGCGCTCTACGAGACGAGGGTCCGCGCTCTACGAGACGAGGGTCCGCGCTGGCCGGGAGGGAAGGGCAGGGGGCAGGGCGGGCAGGGTGAAGGTGGTGAGGGGGAAGCGCCGCGTCTGAAACAGCATCAAAGTCGCAGCCTCTCTCTCCTCCCCACGCGAGTGACAGCGACGGAGACAGCAGTGGCGGAGACACTCCGCGGATCAGCTGATGGCGCGGCGCGCTCTTTCGGGCGCGTTCGTATGGCCGAGCGAGCCGAGCCGAAGGGATTGTCCGAAAGCGAATTGGACTGGCGGCTCGCGAAAGCCGGACATCTGTCGCTGTGGCCCTTGGTGCTGCCGCACTGTAAGCGCCAGCTGGCCACGCTTATCGGCCCTTGACGTGAACAGGGAGGGAGGATTCGTACGGCCAATCGGCAGGCACACTGATTCCGAGAGTCGTCGCTCTGTCTCTCTCGCACCCGTGCGGGACGCCCGGTGGGTGCGAGAGAGACAGAGCGATGGAAACCACTCTCGGAATCAGTCTGCAGGGCGGCGGGGCGCCTAGCAGCAGCGAGTTTTAAAATAATACAATGCCGCGACCGCCGCGGTGTCTGTGTGTGTGTGCGTGTGTGTGTGTGTGTTGCCGCTAAAATGAGGGGTTGGCCTTCCCCGGCGGCGGCCGCCACGCCGGCCACGCGGCCAGCCCGCCCCGAATACACACCGGCTTTCGGTTTCGACTTTCGGGATTCGGCGATTCGATTCAGGTGTGAAAATAGTTATGCAGATTAGACGGGAGGATAAACAATGACAAACACAAAAACGAGAACAACATGAAAGAAACCCGCCCGTTGCGGCGCGAGAGCTGCGACTGGGTATGACGGACATATTGTGACAAGAAAATGATTTAACACGTCTATTGCTCGAAAAACAGGTAAATCCTCAGGGGTGCGAGAGAGACGGAACTCAGTGGGCCAGAAGACCGGTGGAGGCGGCCAAAACTCTAGTCGCTAAATGGGACTCGAACCGAACGTGTGGCCAATGGATTGCTCTCCGAACGAGGAATCCAATGGTGGGGTCATACGTTCGGTTCGAGGTCTGTTTGGCGACTCTGGAGCTCAAAATGCGTCTAGAGTTTCGGCCGCCTCCACCGGTCTTCTGGCCCACTGTGCGGATGCGACAAACCGCGCCCGGCAGTGTAGGACAGGCTGCCTACACGCGCGGCGCGCGCGGCGTTCCCTCGAAAGCAGTTAGACGGCTTAGCAACAGCAACCGCGGGGGGTGGGTTGGGCGGGGTGTCACATTGTCACATGTTGTCCCGTATGGCCCGAGATAGCGCTGTCTGGACGTTTATTACCCCCAAATGGATGGATAAGACAAATGCTAACGGAATTTGATCAAATGAAAAAGCGGTATATCCGTCCGCCAGGTGATTAGTGTACTCTGACATGCCGCAGTTTGCGGATCCAGAACGGGCCTGAGGTTGACTTGGCTTGATTTGAAAAAGTTAGAGTATGAAAGAAATTTGACAAAATAGGTGCAAGTTAAGGGTCACTCTAGCAATGCGCTTGGATCCACGGGGGTGGATCCACCCCCGCCTTGAGCTTGCACTCACTAAACTCACGCGAAACTTGTAGCAATAATGAAATTTTGCTCCTTGCTATGATTTACCTGACAATAGCCTCATCAATGACTGTGGCCCGTCGTGTCTTAACACACGCACGCACACACACGCACACACACGCGCACTTTGACTGGCTGCGGCGAGTAGCTGGAGTTGTGTCACCGACACATCGACTCGCCGTGGCCGCCGTTCGACTCTGAATGAATTCTCTTTGAATCGGCCGGGACTGCTTGCTGCTTGTTGCTTTCACCGCGCCCGCCTACTCTGGTCGTCTCTCTCGGACACACTACGTTCTGTTCGCGCGGGGTGGCGAGCAGCGAACTCTCTCACTCACTCGGTGGGCCGTCGGTGAGGTGTTTCCGGGAGACGGTGTGTGAGTGTGACGAAAGGGAAGTGCCCGTGGAGGGGAGGGAAGGGGGTGGAGGTAATGAAAACGTTCGACAGTAACGCTTGTGTACAGTGTACATGTCAACGTGCGATCAGCCGACTAATACAGTTTCGGCGTTCTGTCTCTCTCGCACCCCCTACGGCACGCCCCACGAGAGCGAGAGAGACAGGATGCGGAACCACTCGGCAGGCTGCATCGGATGGCATGGCATCCGTAATGTTATGAAGGGGTTGGGGTTGTGTTCTGTTGGTGATAAGAGTGGTCGTGTGATTAATTATTTCACTATCGAAGTACACTAGAAGGGGCTAGAGAATTCGGCAACGAGTGTTATGTGTAGTATTAGTATAGATAGATGGATTCCCCTTGCCGGACTTTTTCCGATTTATATTTGCTACCTTTTCCTTTTTGTAGGAAATTTGACAAGGTGTCAATAAAGAAAACATCGTAATTTTAATTCAATGTCATTTTATTATAAATTAAAAATCCTATTACACTCTAAAATATACAGTATCAGTCTCAAAATAACTATAATTCATTCATGGAAATAGTCCATACCCGCGTCGACTAGACAAGAACGGTCGAGTAAAAACACACACACACACATACACAACCAAAAAATACAGTCAATGAAACAAAAGTTCCAACATGATTAAAACTAGGACATTCACACTTATACCACGAGATTTCATGGTACAACACACGCAACATAGTTTGCTTACATCAATTACTCCACTGCTGATGCAAAAAATTAGCTATACACAACTAACTGAGCTAACTTGAGACTGATTTACACCAGGATGGGTGATGCAATAAATATCAATTCTTTGGAGACACTACTAACAATAGTTCCTAAAGGATGATGCAACGACAATGGCGCAATGGCAACTACTGAATGATGCAACCGAGTGCAACAATTCTACAAGCAACGCACTAAAAATGAAACACTGCTTGATGGTCTACTTGACGTTGCGGCGGGTTATTTGACAAAATGGTTCATGACACGTGATGAATCGGCGTTCACAGCTGAGCTTCGGCAACCTGCGCTTCAACTGGAGTTGGACTCGGCCTTGTCGTGCTGCTGGTGCTCCAGGCCCTCGATGGCGGCGCCGGCGGTGCCCCTGGTGATGGGGATGCTCCGGGGCTCCTCGCGGGGCGCCTTGGGCTGCTCCTTGAAGGGCGCCTCGATGGCCAGCACGCCGTCCTGGTGCAGCATGGAGGTGATGCTGTCCGTGTCGATGGACTCGGGCAGCGTGATGGTCCTGCTCATCTCCTGCGCGAACCTGCTGCCGTCGCGGCCGCTGCGCTCGCACTTGGCGGAGATGGTGAGGAGGCGGCCGGAGTCGTCCAGGGCGAGCTTGATCTCCTCGGGCTTGAAGCCGGCCAGGTCGACGGCCACGCGGTACTGGTTGCCGTCCTCCTTGGTGTGGTCGATGGCGTTGAGCAGGATGCTGGAGGGCCGCTGGAACCAGGAAGGCATGCCGCGGAACATCTGCCGCTCCAGGTGGTCCATCTGGCGGTCCATGTCGCGGACCAGGGCGCCGATGTCGGTGGGCCGCGACCACGGCGAGAAGAGGCCGCGGACGGGCTGCACGGGCCAGGGCGACGCGGCCAGGCGGCGGCCCATCAGGGGCACCATCCTCATGCACTGGTTGACGGGCATCTTGATTGCTTGGTTGGCTTGGCTGGGGTAGTCTCGCTGCTGAGGCTCTTGACTGCTCGGCGGCTCGATTCGAACTGACTGCCGGCTCGCGCCGCGCGCTGTATTTATGTGCCGCCGCTGCGGCTCGCCACGGCCAGGCCCGGCTAGAAGCAGCCAGCGCCCTCTCGCATTCTCGAACGTTCTGTCTCTTTCGCGCGCTCCCCCACCACCGCGGCCGCGGCGCTCCCCTCCCGCCCGCGCGTCCCGCGAGCTCGCTCCCTCTCACTCGCGCCGTCGCGCCGTCTCTCTCGCTCGCACCGCGTAGCGCCGCGTAGCGCCGCGGTCCTTCGCGCAGCTTCGGCGGCTTCGCGCTCGGTCCTTCGAGTTGCATCAGAAAACCGGCGAATCGATGACACACTGCTGGAAGAAGCCTCCCAGAACACCCCATCGATTTTGCATGCAGCGCACAGTGGGCCAGTTGGAGGCGGACAAAACTCTAAACGCATTTTGAGCTCCAGAGTCGCTAAACAGGTGCCGAACAGAACGTGTGACCCCACCAATGGATTGCTCATTCGGAGAGCAATCCATTGATGGGGTCACACGTTCGGTTCAAATCCCATTCAGCGACTCTGGAGCTCAAAACGCGTCTAGAGTTTTGTCCGCCTCCACCGGCCTTCCGGCCCACTGTACAGCGCCTTGGAAAAGTCTTTCACTTGCAGTGCAGTCGCGCACTGACCGCAAACAAATTAAAAAATGCGTAGCAAAAAACTTTCATTTTCTCAAGTATAAAAAAGGTTTTTCGTGCAGGTGCAGCTCTTAGAAACACTGGTAGAGATTTCTCCCTGTATTTATCATCTTCTCCCGCTGGTGCTAAATTCCTGCGCTGCAATCAGTATGAGCTCCGGTCTTTCCATTATTCTTTAGCGTGTGCGTCGGAATGAGGCATCGCCATCCTGCGGGGTGGCGGCGAAGGCCTTCGATTTCCTCCCCCCTCCCCCCCTTTTTCCAGTGTGGAACTTCCCTCCAGCCCGGCCACGCTGTCGCCTTGGCGACCGGTAAACACTCCATCGGTGCATCCTTGCGACGCCTTGCAGCCGGCGGAGCGGCGTAGTAACGGTGGAGCACGGCCGAAAATCTCAAATTTTTACCTATTTAAGCGGTGTTTTGGTGTAATTTTAGATAAATCCCGATTATTTTCAGGCGTAATAGAGCGTGATAGCGTAGTAGTCGGGTAACAGGTTTTGAGAGTGATACCACCTCGCGCGGCTCCGTGCAATTTTAACCACTGTGCGACAACAACGGGAGAGAGGAGATGACGCCGGAGAAGGGGGTGGACGAAGCGGCGGAGGAGCGCAAGCAGTGGGAGACGGCCGAGGTAGGTGCAAAAGTCGCTTACTTTCAGTCAATTTTGACTGACTTTGCGAGCGAGGCTGGTGCTCTGAAATTAGTGGTGTGGCCAAGGCGTTTTAGAGGCAGGGCATAAACGTCGGACGAGGCCTTGACTTCTGCAAGATTAGAAGCAGTGGCCTGCCACAGTCGCTACTTTCAGAGACGCAGTCGGACGCAGTCGGACGCAGTCGTGTTGCATTTAACAGTGTTCTCTCCGCCTAGATGGGGGCCACGAAGCTGGTGGGTGACGACGGCGTGCCGCTGGCCCCCGAGGACGCCCCCGTGCCGGCGCCGCCGCGCCCCTTCGTGCCGGACCTGGGGCCGGTGGGGCCGTGGGCCTTCGGGCGCACCGAGTGGAACCCCGCGTCCGGACTCACGGGTACAACGCACAGTGCGCCACGGTCAAAGCTCTAGACGCGTTTTGAGCTCCACGGTCGCTAGACAGTGCTCGAACCGAACGTGTGACCCCACCAATGGATTCCTCGTTCGGAGAGCAATCCATTGGTGGGGTCACACGTTTGGTTCGATTCCCATTTAGCGACTCTGGAGCTCAAAACGCGTCCGGCATTTCGACTGGGGTTGCCAACCCCTCCGTGTTCCAGGCGTGCGGCCGGTGGTGGACAGGCACTCCGTGACGCGGTGCAGCCCCGGCGACTGGCTGCGGAACAACGCCGAGCTCACCATGACGGCCTCCACGGCCAGGCAGCGCGCCGACGCGTGAGTCTACAGTGTGCCTGCGTCAAAAACCAAAACTGAAAGGAGTAATAGAGCACAAGGCGCTTCATGTTGTGCGGCAGGGCGGCGTGGTCGGCGAGGGAGGTGCGGCGCCGCACCACTGCCGAGCTGGACGCGCTGCACCGCGACTCCTCCGACCGCATCCAGGAGCGCGCGCAGCACGTCTGGCGGTGGCACGCCGAGCTGGAGCGGGCGGCGCAGGTACGTCGCTCTGTCTCTCTCGCACCTAGCGCACCATGAGTGCGACTCGGGCACCAATAAAAACAAAGTGTTTGGTTAGCGTTTTATTTGTCAAGTCTCATGAGGTGGGGTAGGCCGCCGGTGGCGACGGCAGACTAGAACGGCCAGGCCGGCCGAGGGCGTTTCCTCGCTCAGAAGAAGCCGGGGGCTCCGTAGGTGGTGGCGGGTGCCGAGTAGGCCAACCGGGGCGCGGCGGCGAAGGACACGGCGGGGGCGGCGGCCAAGGCGGGGGCGGAGTAGGCCACTCGGGGGGCGGGCGCGAAGGACACCGCGGGGGCGGCGGCGATGGCGGGGGCGGCGTAGGACACGGCGGGGGCGGCGGCGATGGCGGGGGCCGAGTAGGACACGGCGGGGGCGGCGGCGATGGCGGGGGCCGAGTAGGACACGGCGGGGGCGGCGGCGATGGCGGGGGCCGAGTAGGACACGGCGGGGGCGGCGGCGATGGCGGGGGCCGAGTAGGACACGGCGGGGGCGGCGGCGATGGCTGCGGGGGCGGCGGCGAAGGACACAGCCGGGGCCGCTGCCACGGCCGGCGGCCCGTAGGCCACGGAGGGGGCGGCCGCCAGGGCGGCGGGGGCGGCGGCGAAGGCAGGCTCGCCCGCCAGCGGGTACTGGGGCTTGGCCTGGGCCACGGCGGCCAGCACCACCACGACGAAGGCAACCTGCAGCAAGGGAGTGGTTAGCGGGACCGGGGGGCTGCCTACCCGCCAAGACGGACGGTGCTTACGGTGGGGTTCATGGTGGCGGAGGGGATGGAGTGCCTGGCTGGAGCCGCTGGACCAAGTGTGCCGCTCTGGTTCCAGGCGGCGGCTTTATACTCGCCCAGCCCGATGGGCCCGCTGACCGCAGTGTGTCAGCGTGTCCGGCCGCCGCGGCGTCATTTTGCCCGGCGGAAGGGCGTCAAGCGGTATCAAGGGAAGGAACCACGCGACGGGGAAGAGGGTGGCTTTCTTCGCTTGCGCACTTGTCGAAGTGGCAGCAAGTTTCATGTCAGGGTGCGGCTCCACAGTCCACCAGCAAAAACGGCGGACTGGTCGCGTGCTGCAAGATGGCGGAGGCGTGGACAAGCCTGAATCGGCAGAGGATCATTCCTGGTCTAGCCTATCTAGTGCATGTTCACGTCCATGCTCGCATGTCCAGTGTTGAAAGGGTTGCCAACCTCCGCCTTCCAACTTGGCAAATTCTTGGTAGCGGACTGAGGTTGGCAGCCCTTCCGACCGTGGCGCATCGTTGGCGGCACTGTTGACGCTGCTCCAGATGATGTGGGACGAGATCCAGCTGCTGATGCCGACGCCGCCGCGGCTGCACCGCATCCTGGCGTCGCTGTCCAAGGCCGCGGCCACGGCGTCGGAGTGCATCGGCGTGCGCTGCCGCCGCCCGGACACGGACCTGGTGCGCGACGAGGCGCACGACGAGCTGGTGCGCGAGGCGGCCCTGGTGCGCGAGGTGACGGCGCTGGTGGAGCGCTGCCTGCAGCAGGCCCTGGACCAGCTGCGCGCCGACCGCGCCGCCCTGCTCGCGCTGCAGGCCGACTGGTCCTGCAAGAAGGACTGCTACCGCGTGGACGCGCTGGCCCGCTCCATCACGGCGCACCGCGAGCCCCTGGTGGGCATCTTCCAGCCCGGCGCCGCCACCGTGCCCGACAGGTAAGGCCACCGGTGCGCAGTGGGCCAGAAGACCGGTGGAGGCGGTCGAAATCCTCGACCCGTTTTGAGCTCCAGAGTCGCTAAACAGGACTCGAACCGAACGTGTGACCCCACCAATGGATTGCTCTTCGAACGCGGAATCCATTGGTGGAGTCACTCGTTCAGTTCGAGTCCTGCTCAGCGACTCTGGAGCTCAGAACGCGTCTAGAATTTTGGCCGCCTCTCTGGCGCCAGCTTGTTGTGATGTATCCACCTTGGCCAAAATTGTCGCAAATTGTCCGCCAAATCTGTCACCGGCACTTCATGGAAAACTTCGCCGCAGCCAGTCATGTCCCGAAATATAATTAGTGTCCGGACCAGACACCACGTGACCTGGCTGCCGGTGACGACGTGGTTTGCGGCGTGGACGGCCGGCCGGGCCGAGGCGTGCGAGAGAGACGGAGAGCGGCGCAGCGTCACCGGGCCGCCGTGTTAGGGTGCAGCGCGGTGCGGCGGAGGAAATAGAGTCGTCGGATGCCGCGACGAGATTAGCGGTGTGGCGGACGAGACGGGGCGGCGGACTCCACACGTGAATGGGTTCGTTTCCGCACGCTTTAATTCGTGAAGCCGAGCCGCGGCCAGACACGCAGACACCCCACCCTGCGGACTGTCTCTGTCTCTCTCGCACCCGTGCAGGATGCCCCATGAGGACTCGAACCGAGCGTGTGACCCCGCCAATGGATTGCTCTCCGAACGAGGAATCCATTGGTGGGGTCACACGTTCGGTTCGAGTCCCGTCTAGCGACTCTGGAGCTCAAAACGCGTCCGGAGTTTTGGCCGCCTCCACCGGTCTTCTGGCCCACTGTGCGTTGCTGCAGGCAGGTGACACCGGAGGGCTGGGAGCAGACGACGCGGCGCAACATCGCGGCCTCGGAGGCGGAGCGGGCGCGCTCCATCGCGTACCGCACGCTGCTGCAGCCCATGCTGGACAACGCCGTCAAGGACGTCCGCGGGCAGGCGGCGCGCGTCGACGACGCCCTGGCCAGGAACGTGGCGCTGGTGGCGCGCGCCGTCGAGCACTTCGACGAGCAGTACCGCCTGGTGAGTCGCGTCGGGATGCTCACTTTCGGTGCAGTGGCGCGCACAGAGAGCGGTAACGACTGGTAACGAGCGGTATTGCCCGACTTTCGGGAGTGTGACTAAAAATTGGGGTCTTGGATCATTTTTCTGACGTATTCGCACGTTTGTGGGGTTGTCAGTGAATTGACCTGAAATTGTGGCAAACTTGCTAAGGTTTCCTAGAGTGGAGTCAATTTTTTCGGAACAAGCCGCAGCTTCAACGCGTGCGCTGCTGTCTCAGAGGGTTTCGAAGGACACCGGAGGAAGAAGACACAAATGAGTGATTTTTGTGGGTCAGCCTTTATTTTCAAGTGTCATTGGCAGGCAAGCTGCTCCGGTGGCGACAGGGCCAAAGAGGGTTCATCGCTCAGAAGAAGCCGGGGGTCCCGTAGGTGGTGGCGGGGGCGGAGTAAGCCACCCTGGGGGCGGCGGCGAAGGACACGGCGGGGGCGGCGGCGATGGCGGGGGCGGAGTAGGCCACTCGCGGCGCAGCAGCGAAGGACACAGCGGGGGCGGAGTAGGCCACCGCGGGGGCGGCGGCGATGGCGGGGGCGGAGTAGGCCACCCTGGGGGCGGCGGCGAAGGACACGGCGGGGGCGGCAGCGATGGCGGGGGCGGAGTACGCTACCGCGGGGGCGGCGGCGATGGCGGGGGCGGCGTAGGACACAGCGGGGGCGGCGGCGAAGGCCGGGGCGGCGGCGAAGGCAGGTTCGCCCGCCAACGGGTACTGGGGCTTGGCCTGGGCCACGGCGGCCAGCACCACGACAACAAAAGCAACCTGCAACAGGAACAGTTCTAGAAGCGCGAGTTCTGGGGTTCAACTAACGCCAACGCGGATGCAAAAGGCCGATGATGCTCACAGTGGGGTTCATGGTGGCAGTGGTGTGTGGGGGATGAACTGCCTGGTGGAGCTGCTGGACCCAAGTGTGACTCTCGGCATCCGCGGCGGCAGTTTTATACCCAGCTTCAGCTGGAAGCTTGATTGACCCACTGACCGCAGCGTGCGGACCCGTCACGGGCGTCAGTAGTTGGTCAGTAGTGTCATTTGGATGTGACGGCCTTCCAACCAATCACCTAATAAATTATAGGGTGATTAGTTTAAACGCCGTTAGTAATAATGTACGGGTTTGTGAGAAAAATTAAAAGCTAGCTGACACCTTTAAGTGTCTTGTATTGTTCTAGGTATGTTTTGAAGTAGTAAAAATCGTGTTTTGGGCCGACTCTAAGCAGCCACTGCGTCTGATCCGAGACGGTATTTCGTCCTCCCTCAACGGGCAATTGGTCTTTGGACCTTCCTTTAGAATGCCTTTGTTACGGAGTGCGATTATCTGCCTTAGTTTGGGAGCAGTATTGCCGCAAAGTTGATCAAAACAGTCACAAATGTCTTTGAAAAATAGTATTTTGGGCTGACTTTAAGCAGCCACTGCGTCTGATCCGAGGTGGTATTCGTCCTTCCTCAACGGGCAGTTGGTCTTTGGACCTTCCTTTAGAATGCCTTTGTTACGGAGTGTGATTATCTGCCTTAGTTTAGGAGCAGTATTGCCGCAAAGTTGATCAAAACGGTCACAAATGTCTGAAAAATCGTGTTTTGGGCTGACTTTAAGCAGCCACTGCGTCTGATCCGAGGCGGGCCTTCGTGCTTCTTCAACGGGCATTTGGTCTTCGGTCCTTCCCCCGTTGAGGGAGTACGATTTTCCGCCGTAGGTTGGACGCTGCGACCGCCTATCGTCAGACCAAACCACCATTTCTACACATTTTAGCCGTTTTGACTAACTCTGCCTGGTTTCTTCCCTTGACGCCCTTCCGCCGAGCCAAATGACGCCGCGGCGGCCGGACATGCTGACACACTGCGGTCAGCGGGCCCATCGGGCTGGAGGAGTATAAAGCCGCCGCCTGGAACCAGAGCGGCACACTTGGTCCAGCGGCTCCAGCCAGGCACTCCATCCCCTCCGCCACCATGAACCCCACCGTAAGCACCGTCCGTCTTGGCGGGTAGGCAGCCCCCCGGTCCCGCTAACCACTCCCTTGCTGCAGGTTGCCTTCGTCGTGGTGGTGCTGGCCGCCGTGGCCCAGGCCAAGCCCCAGTACCCGCTGGCGGGCGAGCCTGCCTTCGCCGCCGCCCCCGCCGCCCTGGCGGCCGCCCCCTCCGTGGCCTACGGGCCGCCGGCCGTGGCAGCGGCCCCGGCTGTGTCCTTCGCCGCCGCCCCCGCAGCCATCGCCGCCGCCCCCGCGGTGTCCTACTCGGCCCCCGCCATCGCCGCCGCCCCCGCCGTGTCCTACTCGGCCCCCGCCATCGCCGCCGCCCCCGCCGTGTCCTACTCGGCCCCCGCCATCGCCGCCGCCCCCGCGGTGTCCTACGCCGCCCCCGCCATCGCCGCCGCCCCCGCCGTGTCCTTCGCGCCCGCCCCCCGAGTGGCCTACTCCGCCCCCGCCTTGGCCGCCGCCCCCGCCGTGTCCTTCGCCGCCGCGCCCCGGGTGGCCTACTCGGCACCCGCCACCACCTACGGAGCCCCCGGCTTCTTCTGAGCGAGGAAACGCCCTCGGCCACCTGGCCGTTCTAGTCTGCCGTCGCCACCGGCGGCCTACCCCACCTCATGAGACTTGACAAATAAAATGGTACTCCATTAACTATTTGTGTCTTTGTGCCCAGTCGGTAGGAAATCCACCAACACCAAAAATACTAAGTAACGTTAAAAATTGGCCTGATTGGACCTGGCTAAACTATAGACTGATTGCCTTAGGGGCTCTGGCTGACCTTTGGGTAACTCTAGCCCACCTTTGGGTAACTCTAGCCCACCTTTGGGTAACTCTAGCCCACCTTTGGGTAACTCTAGCCCACCTTTGGGTAACTCTAGCCCTCCTTTGGGTAACTCTAGCCCACCTTTGGGTAACTCTAGCTCTCCTTTGGGTAACTCTAGCCCACCTTCGGGTAACTCTAGCTCTCCTTTGGGTAACTCTAGCCCACCTTTGGGTAACTCTAGCTCTCCTTTGGGTAACTCTAGCCCACCTTTGGGTAACTCTAGCCCTCCTTTGGGTAACTCTAGCCCTCCTTTGGGTAACTCTAGCCCACCTTTGGGTAACTCTAGCTCTCCTTTGGGTAACTCTAGCCCACCTTTGGGTAACTCTAGCCCACCTTTGGGTAACTCTAGCCCACCTTTGGGTAACTCTAGCTCTCCTTTGGGTAACTCTAGCCCACCTTTGGGTAACTCTAGCCCACCTTTGGGTAACTCTAGCCCTCCTTTGGGTAACTCTAGCCCACCTTTGGGTAACTCTAGCCCACCTTTGGGTAACTCTAGCCCACCTTTGGGTAACTCTAGCTCTCCTTTGGGTAACTCTAGCCCTCCTTTGGGTGACCCCGGCTGACTTGGGCGCGCTTCCGCGGCATGGTTCCCAGACGGTGCGCAAGGAGGCGGACACGGAGCGTCTGATGGCCGAGATGCGGGAGGCCATTCGCAACACGGACCCCAACCTCAAGACGGCCCAGAGCAGGCTGCACACTCGCCAGCAGAGGATGGCCTCGGAGAACTGCAGGGACCCGCCGCAGGCAGGGTGCGTCACCGTGCGTCGCAGCAGCTTGGCCAACTTAAAAAATTAAGTTTTCTCTCCCGAAATGTTGCCAACTTGGACTTTGGCTGCAGGCTGCTGGACGAGGTGTCGAGAGTGACCATTGCCGCCACGGCCCTGGACGGCCAGCTTCGGAACGCCACCAACGCCCTGCACGAGGTGACGCACTGTAGAACTCGCTCAGAAACGTCGCTTCGACTGTTTTGTCTTTGTTGAGAGCCGTGGATTGCCCTCCAGATACGCGAGGAGCGCGCGCGCCTGGAGGCCGCCCTGGTGCTCAAGAAGAAGCACCTGCACCTGGACAGGGAGCGCGTGCTCAAGCTCAGGGAGCACTTCCCCACGGCGGCCGCTCTGGCAGGGCTGGACTGAGCTTCTGGCCCCGGAAGGAAGACTCGGATAAGCTTGCGGTAACTGTGTGTGGAAGGCTCGACAATGAGTAGACCAATTTTCAAATCTAATCTTATACATCTATATTATTACCACTTTTCAGTACTATAAACGTCAAATTAAATTACACGTAACTTATTGACTCGTCTTCTTATTCATAGCCATTTTTCTATCACAGATTCCATTATCACATTACAATCCATCTTTATCACTGTGTGCTGACCTTCAACAAAGTCAACAATAATACAATAAAAATTTGCTGTGCGTCTCTCGTTGATGGTATGGGTGTGCCCCACAGGAGTGTTGTCCGATACACTGAACGGCTGACAACGCGTTAGATGGGGCGTCCCTCATTCCTCCATGACGACGGCGTCCTCGACGGCGTCCTCGACGGCGTCCTCGACGGCGTCCTCGACGGCGTCCTCGACAGCGTCCTCGACGGCGTCCTCGACGGCGTCCTCGACGGCGTCCCTTACTCCTCCAAGGCGTTCTCGACGGCGTTCTCGACGGCGTCCCTTACTCCTCCAAGGCGTTCTCGACGGCGTTCTCGACGGCGTCCCTTACTCCTCGAAGGCGTTCTCGACGGCGTTCTCGACGGCGTCCTGGCCGACGTCCCGGCCACCGCGCAGCCCTATCGCCTTGGCCCTCTTCCTCAGGATGAACCTCAGCCGGCTGCTCATGAAGCTGGTCCAGGAGGTGAACCAGCGCGGCAGGTACTGCAGCACGAGCCGCAGCCGCCACAGCTGCAGCGTCTGGCGCCAGGTGAGCGCCTTGGGCAGCACGGTGCCCAGCCCCAGGACGTCCTCCGTCAGGTAGGCCAGGTTGGCCTCGAAGGACGGCAGCGGCACGAAGGCGCGCATGCCGTCCATCATGGCGCGACTCATGTGCTCCCAGCGGTCCGGGCCCTGCTTCACCAGCGCGCGCAAGCTCGGCCTGGGAGAAGCACGGGGAAGAAATAAATACATGGCGATAACATGAATAAATATGCCTCAACATGTTCCGGCCGAACCAGATCGAGCCGAGAATAGTTTTGGGATCGAAACGCTTCCGCTGAGGCGGGGTCGTGCATCAGACGCAGAAATAATAGCACACGAGATTGGAATCAAATCGTGACATCCGCATGTGATGTGCGGCTCCCAGAATATCGAGTTAAAACACGAAGCGACAGCACAGTGAACTGCAAAGAAGCATCCATGTGACAAATTTTGTCAAAAAAAATGCTTTTAACCCTCCAAAAAAATTGAAAAATTCTAATGTTACGTCTAGAGGAAGTACTTGAGGCATCTTTGAAAGCTCCTGAAGCGGTTGCACTACTTACACGGCGACGTAGCGCAGGAACTCCTCACTCCGCCTGAGGACGACGTCCAGGCCCCCCAGCCCCCAGTTGAAGCGGTCCTCGATACCAAGGCAGTAGCCCAGCACCGCCCACATGTGGACCAGGCCCTGAAAGGACCAAGAGACTTAGTCTTCGACACACCTCAATCATTGATCAGTTGTGGTCTAGCCTTTCAAGTCAAGTCAAAAGAGCGACGAAGAGTCCCACTATTGCCAGCTGGGCCTTCCCCGTCCAATGGGTTGCCTACCCACTAGGCGCCCGCGGCGTCCTGCTAACTGCTGTGTGCTGCATTGGCCTTCGTGGAGGCGGACAAAATTCTAGAAGCGTTTTGGGCTCCAGAGTCGCTAAGCAGGACTCGAACCGAATGTGTGACCCCACCAATGGATTGCTCTTTCGGAAAGCAATCCATTGGTGGGGTCACACGTTCGGTTCGAGTCCCATTTAGCGACTCTGGAGCCCGAAACGCGTCTAGAGTTTTGTCCAGCTCCACCGGTCTTCTGGCCCACTGCGTGACAGGCCCGTCCTCACCTCCAGCTCCCTGCGCGTGGCGCGGGGCGCGGCGAACACCTCCGGCTTGCAGATGAAGAGCCCGAAGAAGCCCCACTGCGTGATGGCCATCTCGGCCTGCGACAGGAAGGGCCGGCGGTACCGATCCGCGTCCACCAGGATGGCGCCGGAGGGGTAGTCGGGCCCCAGGGTGCTGAGCACGGGGCACGGCCCCGCGTACGCGCCGCTGGAGATCCCCGACAGTGTGTCTGCCACCAGCGACGCGGCGGGGCAGTTCAGCGCGCGCGGCTCCCCCTTGCCTGCGGAGGGAACCGAAGCGTTAGTGGCCTATCTAGTGACAGTCTGTCCGGTTGGGGCTCCGCACAGTGGGCCAGAAGACCGGTGGAGGCGGTTAAAATCCCGGACGTGTTTTGAGCTCCAGAGTGGCTAAATAGGACTCGAACCGAACGTGTGACCCCACCAATGGATTGCTCTTCGAACGAGAAATCCATTGGTAGGGTCACAAGCTCGGTTCGAGTCCTGTTTAGCCACTCTGGAGCTCAAAACGCGTCTTGAGTTTTGGCCGCCTCCACCGGTCTTCTGGCCCACTGTGTGCTTTGGCACTCACTTGGCCGTGGCGACCAGCGGGTCCAGCGAGCCGGGGAAGCCGAAGAGGAAGAACAGGGACAGCATGTCGGCCTGCGACAGCCCGGCCAGGCAGTCGCGGCTGAAGCGCTGCCCGTCCAGGAAGAGCTGCTCGTCGAACCACGGCGGCCGGCCGGTCTGCGGACTGCCCGAGTCGCCGTGCACCAGGTAGCCCTCCCCGTCGAGCCACGGCGCGATCTCCCTGGGCTGCGCGGCCCAGCCCTCGGGGTAGTCGACGCGCACGTACTTGGCGCGCAGCCGGGGGTCCAGGGCGGCGCGCTGCAAACAGGAAAGCACCGCACCTTTTTATTTTCCAATATAATCCGACACCCAAGGCGCCTAGGGCAGCCTCTGCCATTTTGCAACGACGGAGAAGAATATTCCGGTCCAAAACAAAGCAGGACGGCGAGCACGAGTCGCGGTCGGGATGGACACCACACTGTAATCACGCAAACGCTTGTTTTCCTGGACGCTCCAGCCTGCAGCCAATCAGCGGCGGCCGCGCTGCCTCGCGCGTGCTGTCCGCGCAGTCGGACTACGTACAGTGCCGGCGTCGCTCTCTCCCTCTCGCACCCGGCAGGACCGACGAGTGCGAGAGAGACAGAGCGACGAAGGAACTGTCCGGAATGCAGCGGCAGCGGAGCGCCGTGTGCGTAGGCAGGCCCGCGGCGCACCGGAGCGAGAGCGTTGCGGCCCAGCAGGCGTTCACCACACTGTAAGGGTGCTGGTTGCTTCATTTCAAGACGCGTTTTGAGCTCCAGAGTCGCTGAATGGGACTCGAACCGAACGTGTGACCCCACTAATGGATTGCTCTCCGAACGAGGAATCCATTAGTGGGGTCACATGTTCGGTTCGAGTCTCATTTAGCGACTCTGGAGCTCAGAACGCGTCTGAGTTCTGACCGCCTCCACCGGTCTTCCGGCCCACTGTGCGGCCTTCCTCGTCCCTTACCTGCATGCGAGCCACCTTGGCCCCCGGGTGCGGGTGTGCCAGCGCCTCCCCGAGCGCGGCCGACGTCCAGGGGTCCTCCTCGGCCTCGGCCGCCCCTTGTTCTCCCTGGCGGTCCGGCATGGCCTCCGGAATGGTCTCCGGCGTGGCGGACGGACTCCGCGTCAGCACTGGTCAGGACGCCGACGACGCCCCTGGTCGCCCACAACGCACGCACTGGTCAGCTTCGATTCAATCAAAGTGTTTTACAACCCTGCTCGCGCAAGGGGTTCATTTGTAAGACCTTAAATAGTGGAGGGATTCTCGGGTATTTTCTCTGCGCCAAACACTAGAGCTTGCTGAAAGTCTCGTCTCACTAGGCCTACTGCAGAGACCGTAATAGCTAATGCCCATTCGTCACAACACACCTCACAGCGTGCTGCGCACAGTCACAACACTGGCAGTCTGTCCCCCCCCCCCTATCCGGCCTTGCCCTTCCTCGCACCCCACGGCCCGATCGAAATACCCCCCCCCCTCTCTCCCTGGCGCGCTGCGGGCATCATAACCTAGATCCGCCCACCCACGGCACTGCAAGCCCTGCGCAAGGCGCACGTACCTTCTTCTCGTGCTCGTCTAGGGCCTCGTCGACCTAGACGGGCTGGACGGGCTGGTGTCTAGGCGGCGGGGCGTGTCGCGGCATTCGCGGGTCGCGCGGCGTTGACGGCGGCAGTCGGACTGAACCCGAAACGGCGACGACGGCGACCCAACCCGCGCGGCACCGCGGACTGCGAACACTGCGAACTGCGACCGGGCATGACGAGCAGCGAGGAGCGAGCACAGCGCCGTGCCGCGGCGACTACTGAGTCTACCAAGTCCACCGCGCCGCCGGCGGACGCGGTCGACGCCGACGTCGACGCAGACGTCGTCGCAGTGTTAGGCCTCTCTGTCTCTCTCGCACTCACGGGGTGCCCGGTACTGGTGTGAGAGAGACAACAACGACAGCGACTCTCGGACGTGGCGAGGAATAAATAGAACAAGCAGGCCGAATACGCGCAGAGCTTCGTCGCTCCCTCTCTCTCGCACCCTACGGGACGGCCCATGAGTGAGAGAGAGACGCAGAGACAAAGACAACGTTCCGAATCAGCACACGGTCCCAGAGTTGCGTCGCTGTGTCTCTCCCGCACTCAGAAGGCGCTCCATGGGTGCGAGAGAGACGGAGTGACCCGGCGTGCTCGTGCGGAGAGCGATCTTTTTATTGTGATTTGCTTCCCGGACAGCGCGGCGTATGCCACGTGGGAGGCGCGCGGGAGATACACGCTGTTCGGGTGCCTCTGTTTCCTGGACCTGCTCTTGACCTTGACGAGCAGAGCGAGCATGTCGCTGATGGAGAGAAAAGTATGAGCCTCGGAATTTAAACGAAACGAGAAGTCGCAGTATGAAACCTCTGGAATAAAGAGACAAAACGTGGGACTTCCCCAACAAAACAAATTGCCACTCCCCTCTGTTTTTCTTATCGTCTTGATTTGCAGGTTGACACGACGCCGCGCAGCGGCGGATGAAGAGTGGCGTGAATGACTGTAGGGGATTGGAAACTGGGATTGATTCTTTCTCTCTCGCTGTGTGACTGTACTGGTACTGTACAGCCATGGGTGCACGGTGGTCCACCGTGATCGTGGTCGCGAAGAAGGGCTCTCGACGTGTTCGACTATCAGGCCTCGGCAGACGCACGCCGCCCTCGCTGCTGAGTAGTATAGAGCGGGTCACGCCACAGCCGCCACAGCGTGAACACAGCGTTCACGCCTGTCGCGTTTTTCGATCAAGGCCGCGCCTCTGGGAACGCAGCTGACGCGGCAAAGAAGCGGTGACGCCGAATCGAAACGCTTCTTTCGCGCCAATTTGCATCCGTGACTTTGTCACGCGATTTCATGCGACCGGGGTCGGCCGATCTGTAACAATCTAAATACATTGCACTGTGCAGCGCTGTCGTTTTGTACTCGACCGCAACGGCGAAAGAACAATTATTCGGACAAAAACAGTGGCAGCGGTGGGATTCGAACCCACGCCTCCGAGGAGACTGGTGCCTTAAACCAGCGCCTTAGACCGCTCGGCCACGCTACCGCATTGATGAGAAGGCCGACGAACGGTGCCAACTATAGGATTACTGTTTCCCAGGTTCCCCCGCCCCGTCGATAAGCTGGTGTCCCGTTGCAGGCTCGGCAGCTTGCACGTTGGAGGCCCCGAAGCCGCCTTTTTAAGTCCACATTTTCAAAGTGTAATTTCTGATCACCACTAAAATAAAACGTAGCTCAATGGAAGAAATAACAAGTTATACTCGAAAAATAGGGAGGGGTCGAATCCTAACGTGCAAAAAAATGTTTCCGCCCGGGATCGAACCGGGGACCTTGTGCGTGTGAAGCACACGTGATAACCACTACACTACGGAAACGGCAGTGGGAGGTGAGCCTCCCCGCAGGCAAAATATGGTGGGGTCGAGATTGTCGGCGCGCGGCTGCGCGCGGCGCACCGCGGCCGCGTCGATGCAAGTGCGTGGAGGGGATTCCCGTCCGCGGAGTGGGGGCAGCAGCCCGCGTCGCGCCGCCCGCCACAACAAGAACGCTGTCTTCGTGCCCTCCTCTCACCATCCGATATGGTCTAGTGGCTAGGATACCTGGCTCTCACCCAGGAGGCTCGGGTTCGATTCCCGGTATCGGAACTTTTTGCCCACTCCTCTCAGTCTGGGAGGAACTTCCCTCAACTCAATTTACTTCGTGGACGTGGAGTGGCTAGGTGGCTCCCCCAACGCAATGGAAAGGACTCTTTTCTGGAAAGCCACAAACGCGTGACGGAAACGTGCCGGGGAAACCGTGAGAACGGAGTGGTGGGCCAACCGCGCGCCAGCCGGACATTGGAAGCGGAGCCAGGATCAAAAAGCCAATCCGCGAACAGCGAATGCTGGACGACCGCGGTGACGTCGAAAGTGTTCCTCATCAGAATGAACGATGACGCGTTGTCCGGCTGATGTGTCCAGCGTGGGAGCGGCTGGACGCTGGGCGCGCTTGAGGCAGGCGATGCAAATGCTCAGCCGCTTGAAAGTGTAATCGGCAGCCCGATTCCGAACCGAAAGACCGCTTCGTCGCTCTCTCTCTCTCGCACACCTGGGGCATTGCCCATGAGTGCGACAGAGACAGAGCGACGATTCTTCTGAATGAAACGAGCGCGGGATTCGAGTGTTGGAACGCGTAGGTGTGAGGCGTGAGGGGCGTGAGGCGTGCCTGTCCCAGTCTGACGGCGGCCTGCACTCAATCCCCATCGCCTGTCCCGGTGCAGTCTGAGAGTCCCCGTAGGTCCCCGCCGTGCCCGCCCGGAGCCACCGCCGCCCTCCACCGATGTGACATGAGTTCCGCGGGCCAGTCTCGACGACACACTGCCGCGGAGGAGCGCGCTAGCGGGGTGAGTAGAGGAGTGAGCGCCTCGGTGCACTGCACAGTGGGCCAGAAGACCGGTGCAGGCGGCCAAAATTCAAGACGCGTTTTGAGCTCCAGAGTCGCTAAATGGGACTCGGACCGAACGTGTGACCCCACCAATGGATTGCTCTGCGAACGAGGAATCCATTGGTGGGGTCACACCGTGACTCACACGTTTGGTTCGGGTCCTGTTAAGCGACTCTGGGGGTCAAACTGCGTCTAGAATTTTGGCGTCCTCTTCCAAACCTCCCAAACTCTGTCTCACTGTCTGAGCAGCAGCTTAGGACACAACCCCGCTCTACCCTCCTGTCGCCAAACTGCTCGCAACCCTTCCGAGTCAGATGTGGGACTGGAGGGTAGAGGGGTATGTGTCCTAAGCTGCTGCCCAGACAGGTCGGGGTGCACGGCCATAGCGCCCAACTGACGGAACATTCGGACTGCTAGGACGGTTGGTTTGCCTACCCAGCAGGCGGCAGAGCGCACCGTCCAGGCGCCCATGCCCGATTGGTTGCCTGCCTTCCAGGAGGACGGGCGCACGGAACGGAGCGCATAGCAAGGAGGATTGGTTGCCTCCCGTCCTGGCGCTGCGGGAGCTACACTGGTAAACCTAAGGAGAAACGTTTTTCTAGAACACCCAATGCAGATTTAGGAATAGAGGACAGCCGTGCCGACGCACCTGTAAACCCCAAAAGCGCAAGGGCAGGAAGAAAATTCCTCTGTGTGTTCCAGTTTCACCGATGGACGTTACAGTATATCTTATCTAGGCGTAGGTTTACCGTTTAAAAAATTCATTGAGATTAGCTCACCACAACAAATAAATCCATCAGAGGGCATGAATTTTACACTAGAAACTTTTCAGAGTCGTCTTTTCTTTCGGGGGCCACCCAATGAATGCGTGAATGGAAGAAATGTGCTGCTACTGCTCCGTTGCGAAAGCGCGCTGCAACTCTAAACAGGCAAAGGATTTAAGGATTTGGGGCAAAGTTCTCCTGAGTCCTGATTTATTCCACCATTATTCTCCACGCGTTTCCAACTCTCACCTCAGAGTGCAACGGGGACCGACCGGGGGGCGAGACCTTGAAAATGAACCTCTTTGTGGGGAAGTCCTCGCTTTTTCGTGTCATGTCTGGCGAGGGCGTACTCGCGTATGTGGAAATGTAAAGTCGGTCACCTTATTCGTGATACCAATGCGCGCCATAAACAATCTGGACCCGAATTTCTTTATTTCATGTTTTTATGGCTTTGTCAGTAGAAACAAGATTTGGGTAGAGCGTGATAGAACCGGGGTCACGCAGCATTTGAGCGTGCACAGTGCACTGCACACCCTTGCGATGTCTGGGAGAGTCGTGGGGCACGCCTGGACTTCCCTCGCCACCACACCGTGCGTCTTGTCACTCTGTCTCTCTCGCACTCTCACGGGACGCCCCATGAGTGCGAGAGAGACAGAGCTCAGAATCAGTCTGCTGAGCCACCACCACCGAACTTGGTCGACCTGCTGGTATACAGTACTCGCGTCCACTGCACTCGTCTGGCGTCTGCAGACCGATTCCGAGAGTCGTTTTCGTCGCTCTGTCTCTCTCGCACTCATGGGGCGTCCCCTACAGGTGCGAGAGAGACAGAGCGACGGAAACGACTCTCGGAGGCAGTCTGTTGCGGTGTGAGGCGACACGCGACCGGTCTGTGTACGTACACTGTACACGTTGGCGTTGAGCCGCGGTGCTGCGCATGCATGCCTAGGAGGGTGCCTGGCCGGCTGGCCGTTGACCCACCGCGCAGGACGCACTGCAGACTCATTCCGAGAGTCGTTTTCGTCGCTCTGTCCCTCTCGCACTCATGGGGCGTCCCGTATGGGTGCGATGGAGACGCAGAGGATGCCGCAGCGCCTGATCCGCTGAAATCGCCTAGACGCGTTTCGAGCTCCAGAGTCGCTAAATGGGACTCGAACCGAACGTGTGACCCCGCCAATGGATTGCTCTCCGAACAAGGAATCCATAGATGGGGTCACACGTTCAGTTCGTGTTCCATTTAGCGACTCTGTAGCTCAAAACGCGTCCGGGACTTTATACAGCTTTATACGGCCTGCACCGGTCCTCTGGCCCACTGTGCATGGGTCGGTGTAACCACACTGTTGCCACTCGCGTTTCGGAGAGGTCGCAAGGGACGCAGGCGATCACTCCCACTCTGCCACCGCGATTCCAGAGCTGTGGCTGTTGGAGTTATTTTAGAGTCTGAAAAAAAAACGAGGCGTGCCGAAAAAAGTAACGGGCGGAGGGGCAGCGGGGGAGGTTCTGATGATCGTATCTGACCTCACCTGGACAGGGGAGGGGGAAAGGGAAGTCCAGCAAATTACTCCCGGACCAGTTCCGTCCTAGCTACGCTGTGCTGCGCTACGCGGTGGTACGTAATTACCCCGAGTCCTCTTCGCTGTCTCGATCCTCTGTCCTTTTTGAGGACAGTCGTCAATGAGTTGGAGCGAGATAGACGTAAGGGGTTACGTACTAGATGGACGATCTGCCGCGCGATTCAGACGGTCGGTTTGACGCTGTCTCTGTCGCGCCCTCACGGAAAGCCCCGTGAGTGCGAGAGAGACAGAACGAAACGACTCGTCTCACAGTGGGCCAGAAGACCGGTGGAGGCGGCCAAAGCTCTAGACGCGTTTTGAGCTCCAGAGTCGCTAAACGGGACTCGAACCAAACGTGTGACCGCACCAATGGATTCCTCGTTCGGAGAGGACTCATAACGCGTCTAGAGTTTTGTCCGCCTCCACCGGTCTTCCGGCCCACTGTGGGTCTGAATCGCGCGGCTGAATGATCCGCCGCGCCTTTATCGTGGCGAGGGCGAGACTTTGCTCCTCGCCATCGCTGTCTCACTCCGTCTTCGTCTCACTCTGTATCTGGCTGGCTGCGGACCGATCCCGAGAGTCCCTTTTCGTCGCTCTGCCTCTCTCGCTCGTCCACGGGACGCCCCACGAGTGCGAGAGAGGCAGGGCGACGACAACGACTCTCGGAATGAGTCTGCTGGCAGTCTGGGCCGTCCGCCACACACGCGACGCACACCTGCCGAAGCACAGCGGAGCACGCCGAAGCGAGATGACGCACGCCACGCCGCGGACACGTGCAGGACGCGTGCGGGGCCGGCCAGGCGTTCACCTTCAATCTCCACGAGGGCCTCGCCACCTCGCCGTCGTGGAGCCGGCGGCTCCAGCCAGATCAGCCTGCCACTTTGCCAGTGCTGATGGCGGCAGCATGCTAGGCTAGGCTGGCGAGACGCGACGCGGCCAAGTCCATGCTGCCATGAACATGAACCGCGGAGGGAAGGGACATGAGGGGGGGGGGGGCATCAGGCGGTGCCTGTCTGATTGGAGGGGGAAGGGGAGGGAGGGACAGGGACGGGCGGCGGCAGCCCAGAAAGTGAGGAGGGAGCTGCGCTGCAGTGTACTAGCACTCCAAGCCGCGGGTTCCTCCTCGTCTCGTCGTTCACCGCCAAATCTGTCACTGAAATGCACGTGGACGCGTTTTTTCGCCCAGACAGTCGCTACCTCTGACTCGTGGACGCAGTGTCGCGGCCGTGCACTTGAGGACATTCCTGCTGTCGTGAGGTTAGACTGGCGCTCCTCCACTGGGAATGCCAAAAAGTTGCAGGCAAAGGGGTGTATTTTAAGGCAGGCTTCCCAGGGCAAAGGGAGGCGTTGTAGCTTTCATTAACTGCATAATTAGCGGTCCAGTTTGATACGCTGCCGAGTGTTTGTCACTTTTCTTTCATTTACTATTTTAATTTTCCTTTGTCTTTAATGTTTTCAGGAGAATCAATCAGTAAGAAACAAAATGACAGGGGTGACAGTACGTGCTGCGCTTTCAGCGGTCAAGTATCAACGACAACATCATGTAAGTAATCTTCACTGCCAAATTTTATTTTCCCTTCAGACACCTGGTTTTATTGTGCTTAGTTATGTTACCGTCCAGTGTCAACCTCTTGAGAGCTAAAATTTACCCATATCCATTTGAATTTTCCACTTTTTCACAATCCAAAATCTCAACATACCCTAATTTGCATTTTACTGCTCACTGATTGTGATGGTTTGGTTTCCCTAACAGGTCAATCTCTGCGGTAATATTTTTTCAATTGCACCAAAGGCTGCATTCACAGTGTCAACACGACCCTGTTTAGGAGTGAGTCTATTTCCCCCTACAAGGAGTTTCTCATCTCAAGAAGTAACAAAAAATCTTCGTCTAATGACTCCAGAAGATGTGAAACCAAAGGTATATTGAAATTCATTAGCAGTTTTAACATCTGCTACCTTGATCCACATTTTTAACATTTTTTTCAAATCCTTTTAAGGTGGATAAAAAGTCTCTAGCTGTAGAAATAAGAAACGATCGTCCACTTGTAGTATTTTTAGAATGGATGGCGGCTCACAAGAATCACGTAAAAAAATTTACTGATCTCTATTTGGGCAGTGGCTACGATGTTCTTGTAGCTCCTCTCACACCATCTCAGCTTCTGTTCCCAAGAAGTGGCAGCCAGGTATGTGACAATTCTACAAAGCCTCTTTTATGAGACAAAATCTGCAGTTTTCATTGACAAACTTTCTTAATCATCGGGTTGGGCTTCACTGTGGTGTCAGACAACAAAGTGCTGGAACTTGGAAGAGTGATAGAAATGTATGACACAGGTGCTGGCTGCAGAGGTGGTTCAGTTCCTGGCCATCAACAGCCAGTACTCACGTATTCTGGTGCACGGATTCTCCATAGGGGGATACGTTTGGGGCGAAGTACTGTTGCTCCTCTCTCGAGACTCATCAAGATATTCATCTGTCATCCAGCGAGTTCATGGACAAGTTTGGGACTCGGTTGTTGGGATGGAATCAATCATACAGGGATTTCCTCTGGCAATTTTTCCCAGCAACTTCTTACTACGGACTGCATTTTCTAAATACCTAGGGTGAGAATGCTCTTGCTCTGACTGTCCACTTCATTTTCTCTGTAGAGGATTGTTTTGAAATAATTCGAAGCCATTGGTGGTGGTTAACACTAGAAGCTGTAGACATATTTTTCTGATACCTTTCACTTGCTGTTATGTGCTTGTCTCATTTTTCTATTTTTTTCAAAAATAACTTGAAGGGTTTTTAACATTTGTTGGTATTTTTAATCTTATTCTGAAAGGAAATAAGTAGCCTCACCTTAGAGGAGTAAATTTTGCATCTTGTCTCTCAGAAATGGCTTTGCATTCGTAAAGTTGCATCTTGTCTTGTTTGTCTCATTATTAATAGAAAAATGGCAAAATTTTTGCTCAACAGTGCAGATGTGTGTGGGGAAAATAAGTTGATTTTGGGGAATTCATCTTTGCTTTCATAAAACAATATTTGAACTGGCATGTTATTGCACTTGCTACAATTGGAACTTGCTTGGTTGGAATTAGAGGCAAATGCTTATTGCATGATTCCAAGAACATGGAATGCATCTCATGTTTTTTATCATGCTTTTCATGACAAGACTCGAACAATCATGTCGTAAAGAGCATGTTCCAGCACTTTGACTCCACATAAGCCAGCAATCCCAGATTAATGCCTAATATTAAACCTCGCTCTTTTTCTTTGCCATAGTGAAGCGAGTTGCAACTTTCTTACCACACATTTTTCTCTTTTAACAGTTGATAGCAGACGATTTGATAAGGTTCCTTGCAGAAAATCCAGCATACAAGCGAGTGATTGTGCATGGGTTTTCTGTTGGAGGATATTTGTGGGGAGAAATATGTCTCAAGATGGATAAACACCCAGCACTTCCCCAACAGATTGTTGGTCAAGTGTGGGACAGTTTAGTAGATGTGGTTGGAGTCAGTCAAGGAGTGGCTGCTTCTATCTTCCCAAAGAATGACACACTCAAGAAAATGGTGAACTCATGCATTCAGTGAGTTAAACCCTTTGAAAAAGTTGCATTTCCAAAATGGGGCATGAATGGCTCTGTGTTCTTTCACTAAATGTTTAAGTTCTTTCACCAGAATTGCTTTTAAGTGGAACTTTACTCATGCTACAATTTCATTCTCAGTTTATCAATTTTACTGTTGAACTGTTCGTAAAAAATATTAAAGAAGGAACTAAGTCTGTGTGTGTCAGACTACCTCCCTCTTGGTAGAAAGCTACAAATTATGTTGACAGCATGAATGATAACCTGGGATGTCCATGTGCTTGGTGAGTCAGAACTGGTAATTTGCTTAAGTCCAAATCTCTCAGAGAAAACATTTATTTATTTTTTAAAGTTTAAAAGTTTTTAAACATTTGGACTGAGGGGGCATGGTTCTTAATAAAAGCTTAAAGTTGGCTTGGGAATGGATAAATAAATATGCATGCTGCATGGAGGACCAAGTGAAAATTTTGGAAGGAAAGAAACTGTATTCTGAGGAACTTTCACTTACTTATGCTTATAACTTTTATCATAAGTGCTTATTAAAGGCTAAATGTGTTTGTGTGTGTGAGTAACAGTTTTTAAGTATTGCGACTTAATTTGTGCTTCCCTAAAAACTTAAGAATTTTTGCATGATAAAAAAATCTCCATTGCATATAATAAATTTTCTAGCAGAACTTCCTCCTATACTCGTGTGCATGTTTCTTTCAGACTCCATCTGTGGATGTTCAGAAACGTTGCAACCAAGCACTATGAAGCAAGTAGTGCCATGTTTCATGACCCACCAGTGAAAGCCCCTGCATTGGTGCTAGCATCTCGGAATGACCCCATATGTTCCTTCAAGGAAATGATGGAGGTTGTCGATGGATGGCGAGAGCAGAATGTCAAAGTAAGTTCCACAGTCTTCTAAAATTTTCATAATGTGTCAAAAATAAAATAACGTGTTGTTTGTTTCTTGTTTGCAGATAACAATGAAGATTTGGGATGATTCCCCGCATGTTGGTCACATGCGGAAGTATAGAAAAGAATACATTGAAGAGCTTAACAGCTTTCTGCATGGTCTGAATCTGCCTGTAGTACATGACAAAGATGCTGACAAAATAACATCGAAACTTTAAATTTTAAGTTAAATGCTTACCACCTCAAGAGCGAAGTTCGCAAAATTTTGTAGAAATTTGCACCGGTTAAGATTGCCTACTTCAGGATCGTTTAACCAAACATAGCTTTTTGTTTTATCTGAGTTTGGTGATGCCTTGTCAATTTAATTTTAATCTGAACTTGCCACACTTGGTACAAATAATTAAGATTTGATTGTCATAAAAATTTCAACTGCACCGCAATGCAACATTTCTTATCTTAATGTTGTACTTGCATATTATGATGTAGGATTAATGAAATATGGATTCAAGGGGGGAATTGAGACCCACCAACAAAAGTCAAGACAAGTTTAACGAAGAGGGAACTTAATAATTTTTCAGCTTGAATGCAAGTCCATTCTTAAGGTCAAAATCCATTTCCTTTCTACAGAAAAGGATGATTGATGTGATATTAGTTTGTTTCAATTTATGGAAGTCTAAGCATAGGAGATTGATAAGGATCTCATAATAACTGCTTGTCCTTCTGTTGAAACTGGATCTTATGAGTAACAAATGCATGTGTTGTTCTTTAGCATATTGTCAGTAACCTTGATGATAAGAGAAAATGGGCTGTCTCATGGCCTGGAATCTATATACTTGGGACCATGTTATCAGTTTTCCAGGTTTCTTTAAATTAGGAAAGTTAAAAATAAATATTATGATTTTTAAAAGTCAAGTGATAATTGCCAGTCAATTTGGAATTTCGATTATTTATAACAACAGAAAATATTGTCTGACATACTGAGAAGTTTTCCCCCTGCATGTACTTAGTTGTTATGTCTCATATGTAGCTACATTGTACACACAGAAATGTGAGGAACAGTAACCAGTACCAAGAAAACTCTTTGTTCAGAATACATCCTGAAGTTCGTTAGCTCCTCAGGACCAATTAGACATAATAAAGTTATGCTAGGGATTGAACCATTCAATACAGCATGTTTCTATTTGTGTTTAATTTTCGTTTTTTAAGAAAAATAAAACTTTTTCTAATCTGAATCATCATCAAAAGATTTCAAAGGTACCTTTCTATTTTTAGCAGCCTCTTTAGCCTGCTTTCTTGCTAACTTACGCTTCAATTTCATTCTCTTTTCTGCCAGCGCCTCCTCTTCATCTGGATCTTTCCCCTCAAGGATGAGTTTCTTCCGTTTGTTGATAGCCTTCCTTTCAAAATAATCGGTTTCATCTAATCTTATTTCTGCTTCCCTCTTAGTAACTGAGACTTGAGTAACAATTTTAGAAACTTCTTTATCTGTAACATAAAACAATATTCACAAATAAGACACATCATAATATGTTGTGTCTTGAAGATGAAAATTCGCAACCTACCATCAACTTTGTACTCAGTAAGTTTAGTGTTGATGGCTTCTTCGATAGCATGGAGCAGCTTGATGTCATGCGGTGTGATTAAAGAGACTGCGAGACCTTCCCGCCCTGCTCTTGCGGTACGTCCGACTCTGTGAATATATTCTTTCGGCACATTTGGTAGAATGTGATTTAAAACAAGTTGAACAGCAGGAATGTCCAATCCTGTTTGCAAAACAATAGTAATAATGTTAATAAAAATCAGAGAGCCCCACAATTCATAAGCATGTTACATGAGTGTCAAAGAAAACATACCTCTACTTGCTACATCAGTAGCAATTAGTATTTTAACAACATTTGATTTAAACTTAGCTAGTGCTGCAAGGCGTTCTTTCTGCTTTGCCATAGCATGAAGGGCAACATTTTCAAAGCCAACTTCATTCAGTGTCATGGACAGCAATTGACAATTTCTGGAAATGACCATTGCAAAGTTAATTAATTGATACCTAGGCATGTTCTGCTTACAGACAAAAAAAATCTTAGGCAAAGAATACAAAGCTTACTTGCAGGTATCAGTAAATATCATTATTGAACCGTTTTCATCTTGAGATCTGAATGTACGAATAGTTTCAATCAAATATCCATCACGCACCAGAGGAGGGCACAAAACATAAGATTGTTTCAGCTGATCTACAGTTGCCACCTCGTTTGATGCCGACCAAATAAAAACCTATGAAAAAGTATGAAAACATTACAATCCCCTTCAACAAATTAATTTGTGACAGCAACAGCTAACCAAAACCAAATAATTATGCCAATACCTTTTCATCGGCAATAGCTTTAACTCTGTCCAAAGAATCCGATAAAGTAGCACTAAAAAGAAGAGTTTGCCTCTTTTCTGGTATTGATTCAAAGATAGTCTTGAGCTGAAAATTGAAAAGGTTGACGACATTTAATATTTTTCCTCACATGTAACTAACTTGGAATGGATCCAGCTATTTAATACCTGATGATCAAACCGCCCTTCCAGTAGTCTATCAGCCTCATCCAAAACTAGGAATTTAATTCTTTTTAAACTGAAAGTGTCACAACTCTCCAAATGATCTGCTAGTCTATGAGGAAAAAGAAAAACATCCAACAAAATCATGTGCACCCTATATTGAATGAGTTGAGCAAATGGAGAAGGATCACTACCTGCCTGGTGTTGCAACAACAATGTGAGGTTTACGACTGAGCTCTTGTGATTGAATCATCATGTCCATTCCTCCTACAATAACGCTTGTTCGAAGACTTAGTGTTTTTCCAATTACATTGAACTGATCTGCAATCTGTAATGTAGTGGCAAAAATTTATGAAAACCCATCAGATGCACCAACAACAGCTGTGCCATAATTTAAAATAAGAAAATGCCAACTGTAATACCAGGAAACATACCTGATATGCCAATTCTCTGGTTGGTGTGAGGACAAGTGCAAAGATGCCGTAAGGATCCTCACAAAGCTTGTTCAAAATCGGGAGCGCAAAGGCTAGGGTTTTACCACTACCTGTCTTAGCACACCCAATACAATCCCCTCCTTTTATAATGTGAGGTATGCAATTTTTCTGTATAGGAGTTGGATTCTTCACCCCTGAAACACACAAACAAAGAGGTTACATCAAAATACAAGCATCCTTTGAACAATAATATATGACAATGATTATGACAGTCCATACGTAAAGTAAAAATGCATAAAACATAAATTAATTTGACTAAAATTTCATTTTAAAAATCATCGCAGTATTGCTGAAAATATAATTTAGTAAGCACTATGACAGAAAACAGGGTGAGACTGCAAGGTTAAGCAGCACCAGAGGCTCGAGAATTCTACGCTTTTCACCAGCACGAACCAATTAAATCACATTGACGAGCGATCCAAGCACTAAGGCCTAGATCCGTAAACGACTTCTTTTCGTCCTCCATGTTGCAAGGTGTTCAAAACAACTTTAAAATGCACAGTTTCTTGACAAGAGCATGGTGGTGTTGTGATGACAGAGGGGGTGAGGAGGGGGCTGGGGGAAGTGAAGTGGGGAGGGAAGTCGGGACTCGCTATTCGCAGGAGCTTCGTTCCTGTACTGCGAATAATGCTCCACGCGGACGGACGGCTTCCCCCTCCCCCTTCCTCCCTTCCCCGCGATTGGTCCGTTGGCAGACGTGCCAGCAGACGTGGCGTGTTCCTCTTGACTTCTTCTTCCCCCGCTAAGTTTAGTCTGCCGATCTGGCAAGTGTTTTGCCCCGGCTTTCCTCTCTTTCCACGATCAAAGCCCATTCAATAAGCATCAAGTGAGTACAAAACGCTAAGTTAGTCCCGTAATCAAGCACCCCGCATAAAATTTTCATCGAATTCTTTCAGCTTTCACCAAAGTTCGACTTATCTTCTGCTGTGATATGTTGGACCCTCCGTGGCAAAAGAGCCGAATTTTCCAAGTTATGTGGGCAATATTTTGTATTTGATTGGTATTTTTTATTAGGAAAGTTTCCATAACTCTTCACGTATTTGAAAATCAAATTAATTTTAGTACCTGGCAGAAAAAAGATATTTAAGTTGTAGGTTAGAAAGGTCCTTCTTGACTGACATCTGGACCAGTCTTCACTACAAATGTAGGAATTTTATTTTGTTGATATCCAATGATACTGCTCATTGCTGTAATTCCAGTTTTGGCACAAGCCTCTTCTTGTTGTCAGTCTTAATTTTCGTTTTTCTTTGCTCTCCTAGTATTGTCCCCTTTTTTGAGCCTTCGTTTGCTCACTGTCACTTTTCATTCACCCACACATTTCTTTTCTGTTAGCAGGCACACAACGTCTACAGGTCTTCAATTTCTAATGATGTTTTGTTTTCATGACTGTTTCCAGAATGAAGTCATTATGTGTCGCTGTGCTGCTCCTGGCCCTCAGTGGCCTGGTGATGTCAGCGGAGGAGGATAGCACTTCACAAGCCAAGCTGCTTGTAAGCAAGCAGATTCTTAACAAGTATCTTGTTGAAGATATGGACATTGTTCTTAAGGTGTGTAGAAGACCTACCAACAATATTTATGAACAAGTCTGTATTAGATGTAACTGTTGGTTTCACTCTGAACTATTTTTCTATTTTACAGTATTCGCTTTACAATGTGGGTAGCAGTGCCGCCGTTAATGTGGCTCTGAAAGACAAGAGCTTCCCTCCTGAAGTCTTTGCTGTTGTTGGTGGCAGCTTGGACTTGCACATCGACCGCATTCCTCCTGGCACCAACGTATCTCATGTTGTCGTTGTCAGACCTCGTCAGCCTGGTTATTTCAACTTCAGTGCCGCTGAATTGAGCTACTTGGCTTCAGACGATGCTAAGGAACCTCAGTTGGGTGTCTCCAGCGAGCCTGGTGAAGGTGGAATTATTGCTTTCCGTGACTACGACAAGAAATTCTCCCCCCATGTTGTAAGTCGCCTAGCTAGAAAATCTGCATCATGTTGGCACGTATCGATATTAATTGAAGGATTCTATTGTTTGTGTGCAGCTGGACTGGGCTGCATTCGCTGTCATGACCCTGCCCTGTCTGGCCATTCCATTCCTGCTCTGGTGGTCCAGCAAATCCAAGTACGAGGCTCTAGTTAAGTCCCACAAGAAGAGCAAGAGCAGTTAAGACTGAAGTTTGAGCATGCTCAATTTGTTTATTTTTGTTTTTTTATAATTAAACTGGTCTCTCCTGTGGAGAGTTAATTTATATTTACATTCGAAGCATTTCTGTTTATGGCCTGTTTTCACCCAGCACAGAACAATTCTTGTTCAAGCACCTTATGTGGTACGTTTTACCAAACAAAAGAAAAACAGAGAGAGGGGCAAATAAAACTTCCATCATAACATGAAAATAATAAAAATTTATTGTGAAAAACTGCAACATTATGACCAGTATTTTAACTATACAAATGAAATTCATAAAATGTTGCATTAAGAAATATTGCAATACATGGTGGGACATGAAATCAGAAGCAATTTCTTATCACAAACTCATGATGAAAATGCTAGGGAATGTACACAAACAGAACACATGACACTAGAATGATAAATGCATTGAGACTAATGTTGCCACATGGGGTTCCCTAAGGTTGAAATTGAATGTTTCATTGTATGACCCAGTCACCACCAAAATACCATAACCATCAGTCCAAAGTTGTAGTCACAATAATGGTGTCTTACAAAATTTTAATTTTTAAAATTGGGCAGGTAACATCAGTTTTAAAGCCAATCTCGTTACAATACATTCCTCCCATAGACATTGGAGAACAAATCAAAACAAGAGGAAAGCGTAAAAAATGGCATAAAGTGTAAACCATAGTTAAAAAAAAATATATCACAGTTTGGACTGCTGTGCCTTCAGCAAACCTTGAAGCTTCTGAGTGAGCATGACATTTCCAGTTATCTTCAACTTCTGCTTCATGAAAGCAACTTGGGGGTTGAGCTTGCCAGTAGTCTTTATGAAACAAAATGAAAAGAACTGTCAGAACCAAAGCAAATACGAGATAAAAGAAAAAGGTATCAATCATGGCACAACTTACAATATCAATCATATCCTGATCATCAACAGTCAAAGTAGTATCCACCTTCACACCAGCTTCAGCATCACCCTTGTACAGCTTGCACTGCTTCAAGTCCACAACTGAAATAGACATCATCTTGATCAGTACCAAAATAAATTAAAAATTTGTTCGTTGTGCCTCATTCTGATTATCTTACCCCATTTTCCGGCAACTTGGCCATTTTTGGTGATATTGTACAAGAAAACACCATTAATTTTTTTGGCGGTAGCAGGGTCTGCGTCCATCCTCTTACGCATTTCATTGAACATCTCCTCACACTTCAAGGATTCGGCAGCGACTTTGTGCATGTTGGCTGCAGGTTGCACCTCTTTCAGATCCATGTATGCACCTATTCAGAAATAATAGCAACACATTAGGACCCTTAAAATCAAATGCGACAACTTGCAAATCGGTAACAATGCAATCTGGCTCACCCGAAATGACAACGTTTCCTGTTTCGATGACTGAAGTCTCAAAGTGAATTCGGTTTCCCTCGCGCCACATATCTGTCTTCAGAGTATGACTTGGCAATACTGGCTTCGTGAATCTGACCTGCAATTGAAAACGATACGCTAAGTAAGAGATTATGCTTTAAATGTATGCCGGAGGACACCAATCCTCATGCACATCCTATCCTACGCCTGGGCACAGGGCAACTGACTAAGCCCTGCAGCTATCTTCTGTGGATGAACAAATCCCCCAAGGCTGCTTCGACGATTGAGGTTAAAGTGCAGGTCTACCTACACTAACCACACAAAAACGAAGCAACAGTACAACTCTAATAGAAGGACGCGAATAAAACAATGCGGCGCACACGGTTCGCACCTCCCGCCCGTTCCCCGTTCGTTTTTTATCGCCTTTTCCGAGGCTTCTCGTGATTTTACCTGGCTGGCTGCTCGCTCCCGACTGGCCGCCGCCTCGCTCCGGCACTGGCACTACAGCGCGGCCAACTCGCGGTGGCCGTGGCCGCGCCGCACTCCGCAGTCGCAACCAAGGGCAAAGGCCATGGATCATTAAAACTCGCGCTTCCTGCGCCACGGCACGGCAGGCGGCAGGCCTAGCCCGGCCAGACAGTCCGACGTCCACCCATTGGGCCTGCCTATCGACCTGCCGTCGGCTCTTGTGTTCCCACAGGGCATGTTGCCCGGCCTGGGGGGCCTGGCCAGAGCGGTGCCCCCCCGCGGCCCGCCCCGCTCACCACCCGTCCACCTTGACGTTCGAGTCGGCACCGCGCCTCTGGCCGCCTCGCCTCGCCTTCCCTCGTTGCAGCCGCGGGGACTCACTGCCACACTGTCACTTGCAATGAATCTATTTACCCCGGCTGTTAGTACAAGCGCGCACCGCGGTCAGTGACCGAACCGGCCGCGGCGGCGGTGCGGCGGCGCCCCCCTCCCGTGGACTTCCCCGCTTTCCCTCCCCAAGGAGCGCAGCGCCACCCAGACACACAAAAGCTGACAAATCTGGGCTTCGGTTGAGCTAGCGAATCGGCTGGCAAAGAACGACCGGAGTGCAGCTCTACGATGACATTCAACAGAAATCAAATTTTGGGTTGGCACGTTGTGCACACTTGAGGCGGCTGCTGCCTTATCTCTTAGTCCATGTGCCACTGCACTGATAAGAGCAGAGATGAAAGGTTGAAATGGACAAAACAAGGACTTGCTTGTCCGACCCTTTGATTACATGAGAAAAAAAAGGGCAGGTAGCTTTGAAAGAAAAAAGTTGTTTGGCGACTACTGACCTTAATTGTTTTGACCAGATTGGGGTCATTTCCAGCATACAATTCAAGGACATGCCTTGCAGCGAAACCAAGAGTAGCCATGCCATGGAGAATTGGCCTGTCGAATCCTCCCATTGCTGAAAAGTTAGGGTCGATGTGAAGTGGGTTTGCATCCCCAGACAGACGATACAAAGCAGCCTGTAAGCATTAGGAATCCAAAATTAGAAACAGTACTTGTTAAAACAGACCTCATAATGATGAAAATATAGTACCTGATCAAGGAGGGTGGCTTGGATACGGCTTGCATCTGGTTTGCGTTTGGGTCTCTCAGCACACATAATTTGTTTGCTGGATGTTTGAGGGCCACCAAACTCGCCAGCACCTCTGATAAATACAGTCATTTGACTGTGAGCCACTAAATCACCCTCCTCATCAAATGTGTCGACTGTAATGAAAACATTATTAAAATTTCCAATAAGCACTAGTGCTTGAACAAAATATCAAGATGAAAACTTACTGTCCATTAAAATAACAGCTCCCTTGCTCCCCTTGTCCAAAACATCAGCAATCTGGCACTCATTTGTTAGAGTTCCTGATGTTTGAATTGGCTTATGGATTTCAACATATTGTTCACCATGAAGCAGCTAGCAGGAAATACAACATTGCAATGTCATGAATAATAAACAATGAATAATAATTAATCCCATGCCTGAGCTTTAACCAAGGTTGAGAATTACCTGGGTGGGGTCAATTGCTTTTCCGGGAATGGCATTGTCCCACAGCCCTGAGAACATACCGATCATCTGTCCAGGGATGATGTAGAAGCTGGGGAGAGCAGCGAATTGTTCATCATTCTCATAAAGGAAACGAAGATCCTCAGGATTCTTAGTTGAAGCACCGACTAATAATCACACATTTTAAACAAAAATTAAAATTCAATGTTTATATTTATGTTAATTTATATATTTATTGTATCAATTTATCCACTTTAATCAAGCAGTCCAAAAGTACTCACCGCCAAGAGCATACAGTATCAAGTCTCTAGGTGTGTAAGAGAACTTTTCCTTGAAAACTTTTCCCGATGCTGGGGTAGATTTCAGCTCTTCAAGAACAGTCATCAAGTTGCCTGTTGCTGCTTGAATAGAGCTCAAAGGTGTAGCTTTTGACATGTCTGTGACTTTATCCCATGAATCTCTAACATCTTCAATTGATACCTCATCAGTTATTTTCTTTCTCAAATTGACTCCAGCACCCCTGTACATGCGACACTGGGCTGCAAAGCCAGCACCAGAGTCAATAATACTGCCGTTATCTTCACATGATTCATGGCACAACCAGGCAACAACAGGAGCAATCAAAGACGGCTTCAGCTCAGCATACATTTCAGGGGGCAAAATATCTTCTGTCAACCTTGATGCAGCTGTAGGTACAATTGTATTGCAATGAATGTTGTACTTTTGTCCTTCTAAAGCAAGAGTATTGTTCAGGCCAACGAGGCCATATTTAGCAGCACTGAAAACAAAAATAAAATGCACATTAGATAAACTGAATTTTTTTAAGATCATAATATTAGAGGAAAATTATATTCATTTACCTGTAGTTTGCTTGACCAAAATTACCACACAGTCCCGACTGAGAGGCAGTCATGATCACACGCCCAAACTCCTGCTTGCGCATGTGTGGCCAGGCAGCCTGAGTAGTTTTGAATGATCCTTTAAGGTGGACCCGGTGAACAAGATCTAGGGAGGATATAAACTCATACAATCACTGAGGCTAAAATGCTCTAAATTTACAAATGAAGCAAGCTCTAAGTGATACTTTACCCCAGTCCTGGTCACTGATGCGAGCAAATGTCTTGTCCCTCAAAATACCAGCATTGTTAATAAGAATATCCACCCTTCCAAAGTTTTCTAATGCAGTTTGAATAATTTTTTCGCCTTCCTCCACTGAATTGTAGTCAGCAACAGCCTTGCCTCCTAAAATGAATGAGTGAAAGTATGAAATGAAAAAAACATTACAGAAGAACAATTAAATGTAATTCAATGAAAATACCCTTGGCTTTGATTTCTTGAACGACTGTGTCAGCTGCTTTGGTGCTGCTACCATCTCCGTGACGACCACCACCAAGGTCGTTAACAACCACAGACGCACCCCTTTCAGCCAAGAGGAGAGCGTAGGTTCGCCCCAAACCTGTGAAGAGACAGGGAGAGCTATATTAATTCATTATTGCACTGAGTAATACTCCAAGTATCCCATTGATTGGGTCTGAAGGGAATATTGTGCATTTTACTGACGCACAACAATTTGTGAACAGGCTGTTAGGCTTGTCCACACAATGTTTTACCTGCACCTGCTCCAGTAACAACTGCTACTCGACCATCATAGCGCAGCTTTGACGCCATGGTTGACAGCCTGCAAAAAGTCACCAAATATCCACATGAATGTTTTACTTTAACAAAGGGTTTGAATGAATGATAGAGGGTAAAGAAGTGTCATAGCTAATAAATGGAAGCCATGCAAAAAAGTACCAAGCAAAATAGCAAAGCAATCGTGAAAAATGGTAGGTGGGAGCCAGTGTGCCGCTGTATGTACCTGCGATAAATTTTGACGTTTGTAAAAAACACAGTTCACAGGAAAAATCCTTTGAGTTTCCTTGGGAAGGAAACAACAAAGACTACACGGGTCGGCGAACTTTCCAGTGAACAACAAGATAACATGCAACAAAGCAGAATGACAAATCAAAATTACAGTCCAAAGTCCAAACACCAGAGTTTAAAATAACATAAACAAATCAGTTAACCGGTATGCCAGGTGACTCTCTACTAAGCCTGCGTGTGCAACAGATTGGTAATAAAAATGGAGCAACCTATGGGAACTCAACAAACATGCAACAACTCCAAAAACTCGAGAAAAACATACATACCCAGCAAGTATAACCTGTTGAAGGTTTACGGTCCGTGTCAGAAGTGTGCCGTCTGCCAGCCACCACCACCGCAGTGACCCTCACGCCACTCCGCCCAGTTTCCCCCTCCACCTGTTTTTGTTGGGAATTCAAGTACTGACACGTTTCTCATACTCCTGCTGCCCTCCATGACGAACGTGCTATACTTACCCCCACCACCCGGTGGGTAATTAATTGGCGATCATTCAGATTCCCAAAATAGCGCCTTGATCTGCTCAATTACGGCCAGGAGGGGCAGGAAACTGAGGAGTCAGCAGACTAGAGTGCCACTCCGCCCTGCATGCTGCATGCGGGGGAAACAGTCGAGTGGCTGCGTTGGAGCGAGGGAGAGGCAAGGCAAGTGGGCAACTCGAGGAGGAGCCCATCCTCATGAGGGAAGGCAGCATTCAGTACAGTACTAGCTCATTTTTTATTAAATTCGAAACTTACACCTTGAGATAAAACAAAACAAAGTTAGTTTCATGGAGGGGAAAATAAATCTCTTGACACATGTCGCTTTATAAAAAAATAGTAAAAAAATATAGAATGCTTGCGTGGCACATGTAAAGGAACACTTACATAATGCTGCAATGCATGTTTAACACATATACTTCTTTCATAAAAGAATAATTGAGCACAATTAACAAGAACATAAAATCCACATGATGTATAAAAATTTACATCGAAGAATCAAATCACATTCCAAGCCATGTGAAATAACAATATGGCACTTATCTTCTAATTGAAAAACATTTCCTTCAACAGGCCCAGACATGAAGTGCAAGAATCAGTTGCACTCATACAAATAGGTATGATGGAAATTCGGAAGTTTGACATATTTTAACAATTCTCTAATTTGATCATTAACATACATCTTACTCTAAATTATGAGCAGCTTCATTCAATAGAGATATATTATTTTCTACATTAATAGTTCATAGGCACCAAACATCTCTGGAGTGCCACAATACTTTCAAATTAATTCTAATAATACTAGAAATAGACCTAAGTAAAGCCGATCATATACCTCCATCACATGAATCACATGATGCATCTACAAATGATGCCTCAGACTCTCAAGCTGCGCAAACGAGCAAGTTGTAGAAGTGACTTGTTCCGTCTCTTGAATGTGACCATCTCTGGCTCAGGGAACCTCATTGAGTAAATGTGTGGATACGACTCCTTAAACTGAAAATACAGAAAGATTATTATGGAAAGGTCTACAACCATGAACCAACAGTCCATAAATTTTAGTTAAATTCACCATTTTTAGTTTTTTGCTCCTTTCTTTTGAACTCATCTTCTGATCAGCAACAATTTGGTCCAAAAGATCTGCCAGAGCCTTCTGGGAAGTGGTGAGCTTCTGTTCTTCAAACTGTAGAAGAGACACGCGCTCACAGAAAGTGACGGGACCCCTCTCCTGAGGGACACAAACACCCACACACCACGCTACACTACACTGTGCTACCAACACCATAGAAAAACACTATTTCATGTATCAACAGAGCACTATTCAAGAAGATGAAAAGAAAAACAACAGTATCATATGATTGACAGAAAAATAACGATAAAAAAAACACAATTTAAGCAAAAGGAGTGTCTAATCCAGACAAAAATACATTGCTTAAAAAGAATCTGGTATTATAAAACCTAACGCAATTCTTCATGCACAAAGATAGGGAGCATTGTACGGTTTCAAACTTTTAATGAGAAACTACTGAAAATCACACCAAAATAATTATGTGCGTCCAAACTTCCAAGCGGAAGGAGATAAGAATAAGTGGCAAATTAAGGCGATAAAAGAAAGTGGTACTTTAGATAGCCTAGAGAAAGAACTGCTCAATGATTGAAGCCTACAGTGAAATGAACTGACAGGTACAACAGAGACTAATATGTATTTGAAATAACAGATGGTCTTACCTTTGCCTTCAATTTGCTTTCCTCTCCCTTTGAACCTCAGCAACTAGTTCCTGAGGTGAGTGGAATATTTCCTTCTGATGGCGAACTAAAAATCCCAGCAAACGGGAGGTCACTTCCTCATCTCCTCCTTGCATTACAAATGAGGAAAACATGTCTAAAACCTACAAAAAAGAAAAACACTCATTAATAGTTGAATAAATACCCAACAGTGCAGTAGTTATTAAGTACATTCAATAAAAAATAGAGCCTACCTTCAAAGTGGTGTAAGGACACTGGTAGGGCAACAGTCCCATTAGTTTCAGAAGAGTTTGCAGCTGGGCTCGGCTTTGGGGCTTAACCAGGAGCATCAGAAGCTGGAACACAGCAACACCTGTCTGTTCTGCCCCAGACCCCCAATCCCAACCCCACTCGCAGCCCGCGGTCAGGTTCAGAGAACTGTTGGAGCCAGAACTATCACTGTCCAAGGAGGACGAAGATGAGGATATGGCCGTATGATAGGATGAGAGACTTGCATTGCTGAAATCTTGTGACCAGCAAGACTGGCTTCGACGCATGCTCACACCACTGTGCACCCCATGATTGAGAGTCTGAGACAGGCTGGCAGATCTTACATGTATACTTTTCACACCATCTGCAAAAATAAATACAAAGAGAAAAGTATAATTTTCATTCCTCTAAAACAGACTTCTAACTTACATCTGGGTAAAGATCTCACCTTTCCGAGGAGTGTGTTGGGTAGGTGTTTTCTGACTGCAAATCATTAGCTTTTGCAAAGTTTCCATAGCTGCATCAATATCCAATTCCTTATTTGTGATATCAGATCCCTCAAATGAATCTTGAAGAGCTAAGTTTATATAGCCTCCTGAGTTACTGCGGCTGTGTTTCCCCTGGAAAATTAGACAAAAACCCATGAGATGTAAAGGAAAACAGACCCTCCAATGCATTTAATTTATGCAGGCTAGAGTAATACCTTGGCTTCATGAGAAGCATTTCGGTGGACAGGAGGAGGCCTGCTTAAGTGTCTTGGTGGAAGAGGTGGAGTTTTATCCATGACAGTAAGCTTACCACAGTTGTGCTTGATCTGTGATCTCTCTGTGTGAACCTTATCGCGATGAAGAGACCCTCCCATTGAAGCATTCTTCACCTTTGACTGCCAACGAGAGCCACCAATTGTTGAGAACTTTTCACTGGTGAGGGAGAAGAGGGAGCCTCTATCTGCAGCCGATTTGTTGAGGGGAGCTCCAGATTCCAGACCAGAAGTCTCAAGCAGTTTTGGTGCGCTTGCATTGCGTTTCATAGAAGAGCAAGCGGAGGAAGGGCGTGCAGGTAAATGCAGAGTGTCAAATGACGACTGGGGAACAATTCTTGTAATGGGACTCTCTGATGTGAAAGCAGTTTCATAGCACGTGTTGGGCGGCAGGGTGCACTTGAAGTCTTCATTGGGTTGGCCAAAACTGCTAGTCCTGCTAAGAAAATTGAAACAATTAATACTTAGTATACAATGACTCAATATTATTATTGGATAAGCACATTAAACAAGATTCTCACCTTGAAGAGAAAACTGATACAGATTTATGGGACAGTGAATCTTCCTCCTTCATGGAAGATGCCTAGAGTAGACCAATACAATGTCACATTAGAACTTGAGATATGAAAAACATTAGTCAGAAAAACTCCACAGCTTACAACTTACAGTCACTTCAAGATGAAGAAAGACTCTCTGGAAAATAGCACTCAAATCAGCAGGAATAAGAGGAGTTTGGAGATTGGTAAAGAATGCTTCAAGAGCACTCACATCTGCTTCAATGTCAGAATTCACAACACTGCGGTTCAGGTTCTTATCTGCAAGAGCTATTAGTTCAGAAAGAATAAATTATAATAATGTAAAAAATTACAATATGATATGCAAGTAATGGCAGAAATAGTCCCACCTAACATAAGTCTGTTGGAAGCAGCAGCAACCCATGGAGGAAACTTAGCAATTGAACAGTCATCGAGAATACAACAGTTCTGCTCCAACCACTGACAACGAATTACAGCACTAGGCCATAACAGGCCAGAGACATCCACATCTTTCAACAGCGATTGTAATCTACAATTTAAGAGAAAAGTTTCAAATTCTCTGTTACCATCCTCTCATTGCAAAAACAGAATTACGCAACAAACATAGTGCAATCTTACCTTCCAATGAACACTTTCCTCCATAGATCATCAGTTTCAGGTAGGGAACTAAGTTGGGGTTGAGCCTGATGGTCCCTCTTTTCCTGTGACTGGTGGTACTGTTTTAACTGCTGAATTGGATGTTGAGCAACTCTCATGGGAACACTTGATGAAGTTACTTTTACAGTATTGCCTGGCTGTTTGTCACAGTCTGCATCAAACAGTCTTTGCTTAATTATTGGCATGTTCTCATAAGCAGTACGGTTATTGAAATTGCTTTCATTCGATTTCTTGACATGAAGAATATTTTCATATTCTGCCGCAAAGGGTTCTTTATGAAAACTTTTGCGAATCCAATTTTCACTCTTCTGATTATGGAGACCAATCTGCTTGTTTGATAAAGGTGTTCGTGCAGAGTATTGAGGTTTAGTAGCACCCATCCTTGGAGAGGAATTATGAGAACGTCAGTAAAAATAAAATTTGATTCCAACACATATATCATTGTCAAATAACATAATCACTCACTGATAAATGCCGTTTAGTTTGAATCGGTCAGAACCCTGGCGTGAAGATCCTTTTGCTTTCACAAATATACCTTCCTCATATAATTTACTAAGCAGCTGTATAGTCTTCTCTTGGGTGATGACAGCATTGAAATGGGGATTCATTTCCAAAGCATGCAGAAACCACTTGACTGCTTCAGAACCAGTAAAACAATTCTCGTAGACTTTCATATTGCTGCGATGTCGTTTCGAAGGCATGCCACTGGTGAAGAGTCTTATCGCTTCATCCCACTGGAACACAAACGCAAAAGTCACAAGCATTCACCACAACACAAGTGATGAACGTGTAGCTTCATGAATCTTGAAATTAAATGGAAATCAATAAATGGAAAAAAATTTAAAGAACACTTCATGAGACAATTGGTTTCATGGTCCAATGGCCAAGGCACCTGCAAGACTAGAGAGTAATGCAAGAGGCCAAGACAAGCAAATAGCATTTTCGACTCTAGAATAGATTTTAAAATGGCCTGAACGACCAGCTTACCAAACGAGTTGCTCTGAATGGCACGAAGGGAGCATTTTCCTTCTGCATCGTCGCTACCTTCCCAAAGATTCAAGTAACAAATAACCATAAACCACGCACACGCATCAACAACACACTCTGTTGATGTCAATTTTTAAATCTGACAACGGCGTCGTGATTGGCTGTTGTCTCTCCAAAACTGCCAACGTCGAAAACCTAAAACCGATAGAAAGGCTCACTTATTTTGGACTTTCTGACGAATCACCCAGTGAAAGACCTTTCCGAAATTCAATGTATGTTTTATTCATTTACCAATGCTCTTACCTCTTACGGTAACGTCCCATTTTTTCCATGAGCAGAAGTTTGCGGAGCTGGTAGGACAGTTTTTCCTGACGAAAGAAGAAGAAAAGTAGGAAGCACGTTTCGTAGGCTTTTGAGGCTTGTTTATCGTTCGTGTAGGCGGCAGCATCCGTTAAACATAAATTTGTAAATAACTCAATATTTGCTGTTTGTAAACAAATAGAGCCCACCCTGCGAGAAAAATAACTGCCCGAGGAATGCCCAAGGTGCGTAGCCTCCACCAACTGCTCTTTTTATCTGTTTCCACCGTTTAATACCTTATATTTACGTGTCAACTTTTTGCCCTCCTTGGCTTTTCCGTTATTTTGATCTCATTCAAATTTACGTCGCACGTATAGTTTGAGTATTACTAGGTTCCCACTATCGTGGCGCCTCGTTGGGGGTTATGCTTGTGGAACGCGTGCACTTCTATCGTTTTGCTGTCTTCGTAGGTGGGTTGCTTGGAATTTTGGCCGAAATACTTTTAAAACGACGTGTGTGCAGGAGACACGAACGTGGGAGAATCTTGCTCCTCAATTTAATCCTCCTGATTTTGTTCCCTCTCGCTCGTTTGTGGGTTTTCTTTAGGTGCTTGTTTGCTTAAATTGAATTGTTCGACCGGTTAAGACCCATTTTCAAGCTATTATTCCGTTTTTACGCCGCTCTCTTTTCAGTAATGTCTCTTCAACACCCACACACTTTTTTTGAAGATGGCTTTTTACCCTTGGTCGGCGTTCTGCCTGTATTTTGAAGTATTCTGCGTGTTTCCTATGTTTCTTTTTCTACTGTTTTTGGCCTGGGACTGTATGTTCATCAAGATTTTGTTGAAATACTTAACCTCAGTACCAGCCTTCACAATCCTGGACTGAGATGATCAATTATACTTTAAGATTATTAATTAGTTTTTACGTAACAAGTAAACTGTCTTCATTGGGGCGACTTAGTTTCATGTTTTCTAATCAGTCATTGTTCAGATGTGCTACATTATTCAAGCAAATCCTTTTCGATTTCCAGGGATTTTTAGAGAAGATTAATTTTAACTGAGACCATCCCATTACCTACAGCCATGGATGATAGTAGTGGAGTACTAGTTAGTGCGTCTGAGTTCATCAAGGGTATGTTTATCCTTCACAAGCAATAAAGTTCTACAAGAAATTAAGATTTACTCAGTTTTGCTTTTTATTTTTAGATCGCTTATACTTTGTGACACTGCAGACATATGCCAAACCCAGATCAACAGAAAATACTCATTACTTCTCTATCGATGAAGAATTGGTGTATGAAAACTTTTTTGCCGACTTCGGGCCTTACAATTTGGCAATGCTCTATAAATATTGCCAGAAGTTAAACAAAAAATTACAGGTAATTTTTCATTTCCATTTTTAAAATTCTGTTGAATGCCACTTGTATCTAGTTAATTGATTATTCATTACATTCCTTGTGATCAATCTCTTCATTAGACTGTACCAGCTAAGAAGAAAATCGTGCACTACACGTCAACAGACCCTCAGAAAAGAGTGAATGCTGCATTCTTAATTGCATCTTTCTCTGTATGTAATGGTTCTTTAGTACTTCATTCAGATTCATCTGAAGTTTTAAAGAGTCATAACTGAAATCTAAATACTGTTTCAGATTATTTATTTGAAAAGGACTCCAGATGATGCCTATGTGGACTTGTTGAGGGGGTCGAACCCACCTTTCATTTCTTTCAGGTGAGAACACTAATTGTTGACAAATTGGAACTTGTTTGTATTGAATCTTGCCCTTATTTCTTTGTTGATTTTCCTTTTAGGGATGCTTCTGTTGGAGCTGCTCTCTACAACATAACTCTTCTAGATTGCCTGAAAGGTGTTTATGAAACTCACAAGAGGCAGTTCTTCAACCTTGATGATTTTGATGTGAAAGAATATGAACACTATGAGGTATGAAAAGATGTGGGGGGTTAATAAGAGAGTAATGGTGGTTCCTTGAATTCATGTGAGTATTTGATTCTACTAATTTGTTCTCGTATTTTCACAGAGGGTGAAGAATGGGGATCTGAACTGGATTGTTCCTCTAAAATTTATTGCATTTTGTGGTCCTCATGCTAAAAGCAAGATAGAAGATGGTATGTTCAATGATGTTGGTAATACTGTTGCTTGAATAGTAAGCAGTAAACTGTACATTCATGATTGTAAATTTATGTTTTAGGTTACTTCATTCATGCTCCATCAGCATATTTCAACTACTTCAGGAAGCACAATGTGACCACTATAATCAGATTAAATAAGAAGATATACGATGCAAATGACTTTAGCAATGCAGGCTTTGATCACAGGGATCTTTTCTTTTTGGATGGAAGTGTTCCCAGTGATCACATTTTGCAACAGTTCTTGAACATTGTTGAGAGCACTAAGGGTGCTGTAGCTGTTCACTGTAAAGGCAAGTATTCCTCCTCATCATTTTCTTTCCACCTTCCTCAGTTTGACTTATCTCATTGTAACAGTGAATTTTGATTGTGTTTAGCTGGACTTGGGCGTACTGGCTCACTCATTGGTTGCTACATCATGAAGCACTATGGGTTGACTGCAAGAGAAACAATTGCGTGGATAAGGCTCTGCCGTCCTGGCTCTATTATCGGCCATCAACAGCAATGGTTGGAAGAGTAAGTGCAACCATGACTAGTAACCCATTTTTAAAATTTATTTTAAATTTTAGTTTTAAAATTATTTTGTTTGCTATTTTATCAAATGACAGGAAACAGGCAAAGATGTGGGCTCAGGGAGAACTTTACCGAAGAGAACACGGTCCAACTCCTACTCCAATGTTTGGTGTGTACAGTCTTAAGATGAAGGATATGATTGAGAGAGGAGTTCCCCTGAACAGCCAAGAGCTGTGTGATAACCGCTCCAAGGTCAATGAAGATGCCAAGGTTGACAATGTTCTTCGTATCTTGAAGAAGGTGGACACCATGAAGTTAGATGACCAGACTGATGAGAATAAGAACAATGGCATCAACACCACAGCCCAGTCAACAGTGGCAGCAAATATTTTAAAGGTGTGCTTTCAGTTAACCTTTTTCTCTATGCCACATTGCAGGTTTTTATTTTCTACTGTTCATTACCTGAATTTGAAAAACCTTTCTTTACAGCTGACCCAGGGTGACAAACTGAATCACATGAAGGCTCAACGCCAACTGCAGCATGTGAGGTCCCATTCTTTGACAACACCGTCTTTACTGTAAGCCACGGTTATATGTTGGATTTCCTCTCTTAACTTTTCTCTCATTTCTGCAGCATTAATAATATTGCTGAATTTTGGTTGTTTTCACAGATTTGGAACTGGTCGACCTCATACACGTGCCATGAGTCAGACATTCCGCAATGATTCCTCTCAGTCTAGTTCACAGCTTGCTGCTGTCTCCCCAATCAAAGCACCCAAATCCTTATCAACCATTGGATCATCATGTGGTGGATTGAAGCGAACAACTCGAACATTAGCAAGTCCAGTTAAAAGGTGGGTCATTCTTTTCACATTTGAAATATTGCATGTGTGTATGTCTGTGTGTCATACTTTTTCTCAGTATCCTTGAAATCTATTTACTGTTCTTGTTTGGAACTCGGTTTTATTCTATTCATGGTTAAGATAAACTTTCAGACACATAAACACCTATGTCTTATGTGTTTCTTAATTAAGTTCACATTCAAAAAGATCTTATCTTATCTTGAAAATGAGTCTACTGACACATCCATTTCGTCTTAAAGGTTTCTCAAATCTGTGTGATTCAAAGCATGGAATGTTCATTTGAGTGTAATCGTTGTATAGTTTGGTCTGTTTGTGCAAACTCTCGTAATGTCTTATGCTCCTCTGTCATCTTTCCTTCAGAGCTTTACCTTTGAACTCCTTGTATGGGACTTCACGACCACTTAACGCAAACAGGAGCGTTGTGGGTCAGTCTCTCTCAATGCATTCAATTCGGTCTCAGTCCTCTCCTACATCTCGTTGTGCAAGTTCTCTTTCATCAGCATCAAATCTTGTTGGTCATCCAACTCAGTCCACCCTCTTGGGCTCTGATAAACTGACACGGTTCCGTGCTCTTCGTCAGTAAGTGACTCTACTAGTTGTTAGTGCCTCCTTTCTTAATTTTGTTGTGTTCTAACATTTTAACAGGAGTCTCCAGGTCGGCCGCCGGCCGTGCCTCGGCGCGGGGAGCCGATGCAGACCCAAATGAAAATCGCGATTTCTCGAAAACCGCTTGGCCAAAAAATTTCAAACTTGGTAGAGAGACTGGTAATAGACCAGGCCCGCCCCCGGTACGGTCAAATCCGGCCCGACATTGCCTGTTTGCCTACTGGCGTGATCGGCTCGAAAAACGGAGACCGCCGTATCTCGGCTCCTGGGCACGATATCGAAAAGCGGCCAACGTACGCGCGTAGTCCTACTCGTTGCCAAACGCCTCTCCAAATTTCAAGTCAAAATCTTGAACGGTGTGGCCGTAATTTGGGAAACGCCGAGACGAAAAACGCGACTTTTCGGCGACTGGCGTGGCGAAGGCAGGCTGGAGGCAGGCAAAGAGGCCTGATCAAGGGACCGGCCCCCAAAGTGCCCCCTCCGCACCTCCCCCGCCCCGCCCGCCCTGCACTGCACTGCCAGACTGCCATTGTAATGCGCCCGGCCGTCTGGGGCTCGCGCCTGCCTGGCTGCCGGGGTGCATCCACGCTACCTGCTCTAGCATTGTCTCCGTCGCACTTGCAGTGACAGACGGCACAGACGAAGAAAGTAGCTGTCGACGTCTGGGATGGCTATGCGGACGCCACCTTTGGCTCCGGCGAGGAGGCGCGGTGCGGTCCCAGCCGATCCCGAGCCAGCCGGCGGCAAGGCAGAAAAGTTCATCTGAACCTGGCTCAAAATGACACGTTTTTCAACATTGGTACCAATATGCGTTTCGAAGCGCGCTGATCAATTCTGTACCCATGAAAATTGTTCAGTGATTTATTGTCAAAATTGTCCTAGCAATCTCTCGTTTACACCCAACTTCCTAGTTTTTTGAACTGATTCCGCCACCATCCGTAAAATATCAACTTTCCGAAAATTTCAAAATTTTACATCCGCTCCTAGTCTCTTTTGTTTGACGTGAATGGGGCTGGGTTGGGATGGGCAGGCGGGGCCACGTGCCTGGCTCCGACCCTCGAGCAGGTATATTGCCGCCGCCAAACAAAAGAGACTAGGAGTGGATGTAAAATTTTGAAATTTTCGGAAAGTTGATATTTTACGGATGGTGGCGGAATCAGCTCAAAAAACTAGGAAGTTGGGTGTAAACGAGAAATTGCTAGGACAATTTTGACAATAAATCACTGAACAATTTTCTTTGGTATAGAATTGATCAGCGCGCTTCGAAACGCATATTGGTACCAATGTTGAAAAACGTGTCATTTTGAGCCAGGTTCAGATGAACTTTTCTGCCTTGCCGCCGGCTGGCTCGGAATCGGCTGGGACCGCACCGCGCCTCCTCGCCGGAGCCAAAGGTGGCGTCCGCATAGCCATCCCAGACGTCGACAGCTACTTTCTTCGTCTGTGCCGTCTGTCACTGCAAGTGCGACGGAGACAATGCTAGAGCAGGTAGCGTGGATGCACCCCGGCAGCCAGGCAGGCGCGAGCCCCAGACGGCCGGGCGCATTACAATGGCAGTCTGGCAGTGCAGTGCAGGGCGGGCGGGGCGGGGGAGGTGCGGAGGGGGCACTTTGGGGGCCGGTCCCTTGATCAGGCCTCTTTGCCTGCCTCCAGCCTGCCTTCGCCACGCCAGTCGCCGAAAAGTCGCGTTTTTCGTCTCGGCGTTTCCCAAATTACGGCCACACCGTTCAAGATTTTGACTTGAAATTTGGAGAGGCGTTTGGCAACGAGTAGGACTACGCGCGTACGTTGGCCGATTTTCGATATCGTGCCCAGGAGCCGAGATACGGCGGTCTCCGTTTTTCGAGCCGATCACGCCAGTAGGCAAACAGGCAATGTCGGGCCGGATTTGACCGTACCGGGGGCGGGCCTGGTCTATTACCAGTCTCTCTACCAAGTTTGAAATTTTTTGGCCAAGCGGTTTTCGAGAAATCGCGATTTTCATTTGGGTCTGCATCGGCTCCCCGCGCCGAGGCACGGCCGGCGGCCGACCTGGAGACTCCTGTTAATGAAATTTGAGCAAGCATTTTTTAAAACCACTTAATTAATTGAGTAATATTGGGCTCTTACCTCATAAGTTAGTAGATAATTGGTCTAAACTAATATGCCTGTGTGCATTAGTTTTTCACTTGTCTCATTAGTTATCTGCATGCATTTCACTAGTCAGCTTGCCTTATTTGTTTCACATATGCATGTATGTGCTCCAGCATACATATACAAAGCATCAAACTAGTTTTAACTTTTGAAAATTTTCATTTCATTATCTTAAAACAAACTACATAGAACCTCTCAAATTCTAACTTCACAATTTTGTTTGCTTTGCACAGCCTGAAAACTCCAGGGATATGAGAGAACTCTGCAATTGATGATTAACTGCAGTACCTGACAAATAATTGGATGAAATGTTTCTGTCTGCTGCTTTGGAGTATTTCGCTCTTTTTGCATTTTGGATGTGAAATTTTACAGTTGTTCTATATTTATTTTATTTTTTGTGTGTGTTAACGTTTTATACGTTGGAATATAAGTACATCCTATTGTGTGAACTAGGTAAACTTAGAATATAAGTTTTCTTAGGGCTAGGCTTTACCTCAAAGTGATTGGTCCGTACTGCCCATTTTTTTCTTTTCTTTTTATATTCTGTGTCAAATGAATTGCACTGAGTAACTTTCTACCATTTTTCAGCGGTAATTTTATGTGGTTGCCGTCTTGAAACTTTTGATAGTGATTGAAGAGTTTTGAATCTAATAATAGAGATCCTTGAAGTTCTTATTTTGTAGACTGCTATTTTTATACATTTATAAGATGGACATAAAGCATGACATAGGATGTGAAGACTACAGTATTACCGTAATTCATGAATTTTTGGTAAATCTCAACCTCTTAGAATTTGGTTATTTATTTTTATACGCATATTTTTTCTTTTGAAAAAAAAAGAAACAAACTTTAACAGGACAATCTTCATCAGTAACATATTACTCTTTTTGTATTCTATTATAGTCTAGAGTTTATTGGTTGATAAGTTTTGTAAGCAATTTATTTTGTCAAAATGCCTGGACGAAGACTGATGTCTATATACTATTGATACCAACTGTGATTTCTCCTAGCCTGGCACTCCTCTTCATCTTTCCCTATCTGATGTAAATATATTTTATGCTTGCACCTTTATTTTGCTTTCATTTCCCTTCCTGATGTTCCTTTAAGGGGAAGTGCCTCTTGGGAAAAGCCGTGGAGGCTCTTTAATTAGCCTTTCTATCCCAAACCCTCCCTGTGTCAAACCTGATCCCCTTGCAATACGATTCTAACCATTTGTGAACAATTGGCAAGTTAAAATAACACGTCTATACCCAAGTTCCTAACAGGTTGTAAATTGGTTCTTGGCAGTGTATTTAAGAAGCCCTTGCCTGCTAATTTTTATGTTTTTGCTGTGACCATCTCATTTCTCCTTTGAATGACAAACCCCATTTTTTCTTGGCTTCTACTGTTAGCATTACTGACATCTTCCTGATGTGTGTTGCAGCAGTCGAACATCCACACGAAGCTCTCACAAATCTACATTTGTTAGATGACTATCGCTGCCGCCATCAACCTCTCGAGAACCTATACCGCCCTCTAGGAAACGCTTGAATGAGGTCATTGGAGCTGTTAATGCAAAGCGGGGGGGAAGGAGCACTGATGGCGATGAAACTATTGCAGACAGAGTTGCCTGGCGGCGACGGAAGCGACCTAATGCCTCTCTCTACCAAACTTGTCGCAAGATTTTTGGAAAGAAGAAAAAGAAAACCTGTAATGAAAAAATTCACTATTACATGACTTCTCAGACACACAAGGATTTTGATGTTGCCACATCATCTCATCAACAGTAATCCATTCAGCGATGAGATGAGTATTAATTAGTGTTGCACATTAATATCCTCAACAGCACATGACTAAAAGCTCCCTTAAGGAGTAACCTCCTTTAAAATAGCAGTGTATTGCCTCACAGATTCTTTGTCATGGACAGTTTTACTCATGTGTTTTATTAAAATTTGTTGGTGACACACATGAGTTTCCCTTTGATGAATCGGCTTTATTTAATATTTTAAAATAATGGATGAGCTGTTTGTCCTATTGACTTCAATAGAAGAGTGCACTGTGCTGGTATTTAGCAATGATTGTGGTAGCACTTTAAACTAACCATTTTGTATTTCAAGTTACGAGCATTTATTGCTTACTTTTCAAGAAAAAATATATTTTTTAAATTTGGCTATGTGTAATGTGGTATCTGGTACTCTAAGTTGTTGAAATATGCCCATTTACTGTTCATATGTGTACATAACTCACTTCACCATTTAATACTTTTGCATAAATATTGTGCAAATTTTTAACATTAGTAAAATTTTTATGTCATTTATTATTATTGTTCAAGTGGAGAAGAAAATTATTGCGTTTTTCAATAGTTTATTTACTTAATCTGCCTCCTTCTGAGGCAGGTGACTGTTGTCAAATGGAACAAATTGATTTGTTTTTATGTGTGTTAAATCTTTTAATTCTCATTTAGGCCCAAACTTTGACCAAGAAGGACTGTCATGAGTTATTCTGTGATTCAAATGGATTAATACCGAGCCTGTTTTTGAATAATTCGTACACAGGTGTTCCGTTCAGGCAACCGGAATCATTGTGAGCGAAAGGAAGGAGCCATCTAATGCATCCACTATCATATTATGATATGAGACTGGTTATTGTTGATTTTTTTTACTAATAGTTAACTTAATCTCAATTATGCTATCTTAAGTATGTAAACCTAAAATGTGTCTTTTGCTTGCAATGTTCCATAGTAGTCAATTTTAATAATGTGAAATAGCACTTCAATCAATTCTTTTGATACTTTTCTGGATGAATCTTCATGCTCAACTCAAAGTTTGGCTGAAGCTAGCTGTGCAGACTTCTTTTCTTATTTCTTGATGAATTCGCATCTATGTATTTTTATGAGGGGAGCCTCTCATTTGCTGTTGTCCGCTAGACACATGCTCAGCATGTTGTTTTATTCAGATTGTGAAAGTTACACACAATGCTCCTTGAAACATTGATATTTTGTGATAGTTACATTTTTGTGTAGGAGTCTTATGTGTTTTACCCCTGCTATTAATTTAATTTTATGATTATTATCAGTGTTTTACAATCAAACTCACAGTCAATGAACCTCATTGTGCAAAGAAATCATTTTCTATTGTAGCCTTGATCTGTAGCATTTAATTTTTATTTTTAATTATTTATTGTCATTGGTGGCATTTTGGATAGGTGCTTTGTTGGTCATTATTTGTTTTGCCTCACTTCAGAATATTTTGCCTTTTGTGTACCCGTGTGCTGCTGTGGTAGTAGAAACTCTCATTCTTGAGTCACAAGAACTCCTCTCAGCAATTATCTGATATGCTTACGGAAAGGCGTGCTAGTGAATCAATTTGTGTTATGCGACTTTTATCTATTGGCTGTGTCCTCATCAATAATAATCTGAATTCGAGGAGACATGCATTTACTGTGTGATTTATGGCTTATGTTATTGCTTAATATTTTATGATAATTTTAATTGTAGTTACAGTAGAGCCATTTATAGAGCCCACCTTTTAAAACCCATTATTTCGGGCGAGGATCTCATAAGGTGCTTCTCTGAACTCTTCTTGCATCTTTCAAACCACACAAGACTGTTTGATAGTGTAAGTCTTGTTCTACAATAGCAGATAAAATTTCTTGTGTGTTCTTAATTACTATAGGGATTATGAAACTGCTTCTTGGGTGGTTCCTTTTTATTTTACTTTAACAGCTCCCATGCATTAATAGTTCTATGAGGACGTGTGGGTGGTGGGAATACCAAATGGAATGTATTTGCTTTTTGTTATTGCCGTAATCTTCCAAAATGTAGCTTTTGTGAACTCCCGGTGCGAGTGTATTCCCCTAGATGAACTGTGTTTGTTATTCAAAATACTGTCCGCCTGCTTGATTACTTATCAGTATAATTAAAAACCTGCTTGCACCTACATGTGTGTATGTTCGTGTTTATTCCCCTTGGAAGCCAAATACCTTCGCGGATTCCTCCGGACACGTAGCAGAACGCGAAAATCTACATTCTACCTCTGGAGAGACTCAGAGTGACTGACTCTAGTTTCTTGAGTCTCGCTGGAAGAATCTTGGGCGATGTTGGGCTGCTGCACTGACGTGCAGGCTGGGTTGCCTATCCTGTGCCCCTTGCCCGAGAGAGAAGAGGGGGGGAGCACTCGCTCTCGGCCTCTCGGCGAACCCGCACAATGTTGTGACGGGAGAGGCGCGAAAGGTCTGTCCCGAAACACGTCGCGACAAAGGTGAACCACGCGGCCGCGGTGTGCGGCGGGCCCGGCGGGGCGGCAGGCGGCCGGGCGCCACACGCAGTCTCTCGACGGGGATCGGATCGGATCACTCCTTCGCCGACAATCGTCGTCTTTGGTCACGCCGCGCCGGCCCCACCGCGTGCCGCTCCCGCCGCTCCACCGAGAGGCGACCGCGCGACCGACGCGACGAGACATCGCAGGCCTGTCGCAGGCAGCCTGGCAGCGCTCAGCACGAAGCACGCCCAGCGCGACGTCGGGGCACCGTAGGGCACCGGGGTGCAAAGTGCGCCGTCAGCCCGCCGGCCACGGGCCGCCACTCCGAACATGCAGCAAAGGACAGAGTGACACGCAGTGACGCACGCAGTGACACGCAGTGACGGGGTGACACGAGTCGGCCAGGATGTCGTCGCAGAGGGTCATCGCGGCCCGCCGGCCGTCCGGGAAGAAGGACGCCGACGGCGAGCAGCGCCAGGGATGCTGGCCCCAGGAGTACTTCGCCGCCTTCGCCGGTGAGTGAGTGGGGTCGGCGACCTCGCCGTCGAGGAGTCCGCGGCCAAGTCCGAGGCCACGGACCGCCGGACCGCCTTCCAGGGCACGGCGAGCTCGGCCTCGACCACCACGCCATGCAGCGGCCCGCATGCGGTGTAAACAGGGAGGGAGTCGCGGTGCTCGGCCACGCGGAGGGAGGGGCCCAGGCCCAGGGGGCGGGGAAGGGGCGGTAAAGAGCGAGGAACTATTTCAAGAGACGCGGCACCGCGGCACGCAGCGCGGGGGAGGCCGCCGCCGCTAAGGGCGCCTCAGACAACAACAACAACTGCCGGCGCTCCGGCGGCGCCGGTAACAGAACCCCGCAGAGAACAACAACAACAGCAGAAACCAGAATGCCGCGGCGGCCGCCAAGCCGCGTCACATTACTGCGCATCGGCCGGTATTGGCGCCATTCTGCCTCTCTGCGGGGAAATCCCACCGGCCTGGCGCAGCCTGGCGCTGGACGCGCGCGAAGGGTTGCCTACCCCGACGGCGCTCGACGCGGACGCACAGTGGGCCAAAAGACCGGTGGAGGCGGACAAAACTCAAGACGCGTTTTGAGCTCCAGAGTCGCTAAGCAGGACTCGAACCGAACGTGTGACCCCACCAATGGATTCCTCGTTCGGAGGGCAATCGAGTAGGCAAAAACTCCCATGATGCACCAGAGCCGAAAGGGTTGCTCTAGATCAACCAACACACGCTAGGAATGTGCTCCGTTCCTCGTACACTGTCAACGTGGGGGGGCCAATGCACAAGATAACACCGACGACGCTGCTGTAATCCTTCACACGAATCTCGTCGCTTTGGCGGTTCGCGAAGCACTGCTCGCCTCTTGTAATTGCAACTGTCTGCACCTACACAACGCCGACAATGTGCAATTCACTCCGGAATCCACTTAAGGGCCTTTTATCCACTTGCCGCTCTCCAAGTGTAGATTAAACGTCGGGAAATCGACCGCTTATCTCGTCTTCGCTCTCTCTCCCTCCCCCTCCGCGCGGCCCTCTGCCCCTCTGGCTCGTCTGGGCCTTGGTCTGAGCACGGCGGGCTGATCCTCGTAATCTCTCTTATGCGACTCTGTGAGCTCATTGACTTGCACCGCGTGGCATGGCGTGGCGTGGGCGGCGTGGCTTGACTTGGCGTGGCGTGGCATCGACGACTCGTGGAAAGCGATCTTCTCGGATCCATCACGGCTTTGTTTGCCTTGTCTGGGCTTGAGCCTGAACAGGGAACTCGACGCACAGTGGGCCAGAAGACCGGTTGACGCGGCCAAAACTCTAGACGCGTTTTGAGCTCCAGAGTCGCTAAATGGGACTCGAACCAAACGTATGACCCCACCCATGGACATCTCTCCGAACGGGGAGTGGGGGTAGCCCTCGGGGTAGCCCAAACGTTGACCAAGGACCGAACGTAGACATGGCAAAGGGTGGTGCGGAGGGCGCTGAGGCTAATGGGACTTGCCCTGCCTGCCCGCAGCGAGCATCTCCGAGGTGGTGATCGGTTTCGTGTACGGCTGGGCCTCGGCGGCGCTGCCCGTCCTCGAGGCCGACTCATGGCCGTGGCAGGTGTCCTCGGAGGAGTCCTCGTGGATCGTGTCCCTGGTGGACATCGGCTCGCTCGTGGTCGCCATCCCCGCCGGGCTGGCCGCCAACCGGGTGGGCCGCCGGAGGGTCCTGCTGGCCTCGGCGGCCTTCTTCCTGGCCTCCTGGGCCATGGTCATCTTCGCCACGTCCGTGTGGGTGAGTGGCAATCGCACAGTGGGTGCGGTCAAAATCCCGGACGCGTTTTGAGCTCCAGAGTCGCTAAATGGGACTCGAACCGGACGTGTGACCCCACCAATGGATTGCTCTCCGAACGAGGAATCAATTGGTGGGGTCACAAGCTCGATTCGAGTCCGTTTTCTCTGAAGCTAGAGACGCGAACCGTTTTTGTGTTGACCTTGCCAACCCTGCAGTGGCTGTACGTCGGCCGCCTGCTGGCCGGCATGGGCGGCGGCATGGTGTTCACCGTCAACACCATGTACTGGGGCGAGATCGCCTCCCCGGCTTCCGCGGCAGCGCGTCCTCGCTCACGCAGGCCATGCTCTTCCTCGGCATCCTGGTGGCGGACGTGATCGGCTACCTGGCCGTGGGCGACTACACGACGCTGGCGGCGTGCGGCGCGGCCGTGACGGTGCTGTTCGTGGTGTGCTTCGCGCCCATGCCCGAGAGCCCCTACTACCTGCTGATGCGCGGCCGGCCCGACCTCGCCAAGCAGGCGCTGCAGCGGCTGCGCGGCAGGGAAGACGTGAGTAAACTGAAAAGTTTAATAGTGGGCCAGAAGACCGGTGGAGGCGGCCGAAACGCTAGACGCGTTTTGAGCTCCAGAGTCGCTAAATGGGACTCGAACTGCGCGTGTGACCCCACCAATAGATTCCCCGTTCGGAGAGCAATCCATTGGTGGGGTCACACGTTCGGTTCAGGTTCCTTTTAGCGACTCTGGAGCTGGAGCTCAAAACGCGTCCGGGATTTAGGCCGCCACCGCCGGTCCTCTGGCCCACTGTGTAGTGAACCTCGCCGTGATCGTGGAGGGGGCGGACTGACGCTGCTCCTGCCTCCAGGTCGCCGACGAACTGGCGCCCCTGGAGGAGGCCCTGCGCGCCGACCTGGCCCTGGGCAGCGACACGCAGTGCGGCTGCTGGAGCATGGTGGGCACGAAGGGCGCGCGCAAGGCCCTGGCCATCGCCGTGGTCATCGGCGCGCTGCAGAGGCTGTCCGGGCTGTCGGCCATCATCGCCTACACGTCCACCACGCTGCCCAAGAACCTGGAGACGCTCGGCCCCGTGCTCATCGGCGCCGTGCTCTTCCTCGCCTCCTTCGGGCCGCTCGTGCTCATGGACCGCCTGGGCCGCCGGCCGCTGCTCATCATGTCGTCCATCGTGGTGGCCGCCAGCATGGTCTCCAACGGCATCTACTACCAGTTCCTCGACGGTGAGCCTGAAGACCGGTGGAGGCGGCCAAAATCCCGGACGCGTTTTGAGCTCCAGAGTCGCTAAATGGGACTCGAGCCGAACGTGTGACCCCACCAATGGATAGCTCTCCGAACGAGGAATCCATCGGTGGGGTCACACGTTCGGTTCGAGTCATGTTTAGCTTAAAACGCGTCTAGTTTTGGCCCACGTTCTCCGGACTGACGACCACCTCGTCGCTCTCTGTCTCTCTCGCACCCATGCGGCGTTTCTTAGGGGTGCGAGAGAGAGAGAGAGAGCGGCGAAATAGGTCTTCGAAGTGGCTCGTGAGACGGCGGGTGGCCTCCCAGAAAGACGAGTTGATTGAGGCACTTTTCTCGTTCAGGCGGCGCGGGGGGTAGCAACGGCACCAACAGCAGCAACGCGGCGTCCGGGGGCGACGCGGCGGCGGCCAGCGGCGAGGCGCTGGGGCTGACGTGGGTGCCCCTGCTGGGGCTCATGGTGTACGCCGTGGCCTACGCGCTGGGCATGGGCCCCGTGCCCGACATCCTCCCCGGCGAGGTGTTCCCCACGAGCGTCAAGGGGCTCGCCGTCTCCGGCGTCAACGTGTCCCTCACGCTCTTCACCTTCCTGGTCTCCAAGATCTACAACGTGAGTCGCTGTCTCTCTCGCACTCGCGGTGCGTACCGTAGCGGTGCGAGAGAGACAGGGCGAAGAACACTGCTCGGTTTTCCTGCATCGCGCGTCTCTGTTCGTGTCGGCAAAGTTAGGCCGACCCAGGAACGCTGCAAACGAGAGACCGGATCTGGACCGGACTTGGAGGCCTTTGCGCCTGCGGGGTAGGCCACCAATCAGTGCTGTGACACTCCCCAGTGCAGACGGCAGCCTACCTTGCGCCTGCGACGGCGACAGGGGCAAGGTAGGCCACCGTCTCGACACGGGTGTGCTGCGGGCCGGAATGGTGGCCTACCTCGCAGGCTGTAAAGTCCCCGACCGAGGGGGGCGACGACGACGCTCTGCTTGGTCCTGGTGAAAGATTTGGCTGGTTTGAAGGCTCGCTAATCAAATTTTTGTTCGTGTGTGGCGGCCGCATGTCTGACTCGTTTCACTTCCCGGTCTCAGGTGGTGAGCGACAACCTGGGCGTGCAGTACATGTACTGGTCCTTCGGCGTGGTGGGCATCATCACGGCCTTCTTCGCCGCCTTCTGCATCCCGGAGACGCGGGGCAGGACGCTGGAGCAGGTGGTGGCCGAGTGGAGGGCCACGGGGCGGCGGGGGCCGCACCCGACCGAACAGGGGCGGCGGGGGCGGCGGGGGCGGAGGAGGGCCGCAGATAGCAGCAGCACCACCACCAACATCACCATCACCACCATCAAACCATGACTGGAATGCCACTGCCTTGAAAAAAAAGTGTCACTAATACTTGTACAGTTATTAAAAATTTTGTGATATTATAAAGTGCTTTGCTATGCAAACCACGAACAAACCTTGGCCCCTCTTATTCCCTTCCAGACCTTACTAGTAAGTTACTGTAAGAAGCTTTACCAAAGAGGTGGCGAGCACCACCAAAGGCTGAAATTAACACTCAAATCATCTCCGAAACTTGGAAAATTCACAAGATTTTGGACGTAGAGTGTCTGGCCGCGCACCGGTTCGAAACTGGTGGGCTTTCCGCGGCTGGATAACGACGTCTGAATTTCTCATACACCTCTATGGGAAATTGATGATGCGAGAGCGCGGCGTCGTCGGCGTAGCGGCTAGGCCACTTTCCTCACGTGTGCGTGTATGACTCTTTTGCTCGAAATTTAAATTGGCGGAACCACAATGGTTCGAAAGAAAATAGACAACCGCCTCCGGGTCCTGATTGAGAATGGCGTGGCCCTCGGACACAGGACAATGTTCGTCGTGGTGGGCGACAAGGGCAAAGACCAGGTAAAGAGGATGTAAACACAAAATAACCTTCAAACTTTGTTGCTAAATTTGTTGTTGTGGGCAGTTTCTTCCTGTCCTTAAGCTATTTTTCCTTGAATACTTTAACGCAGTCATCATGGGTCACTTGGAATATGTCGCCACAACCTGTTTCTGTGGCATATATTTTTCAAGCGTCAAGATATTTGAGTATGTGCCGACAAATAATTTTAACTGTCGCTCAAACAGGTCGTCATTCTGCATCATATGTTATCCAAAGCAGCGGTGCGGGCCCGACCGTCCGTGCTCTGGTGTTACAAGAAAGAACTAGGCTTCACCAGGTACTGCCAGCAAAGAAATCGGTGTATGCAACTATAGTGGTTCGATCACAGTGCATTCTATTGTTGCTTTACATTTCAGTCATCGAAAGAAGAAAATGAAAAGTCTTCAGCGGAAAGTTAAAGCGGGCATGTTGAACGTGAATGAAGATGATCCATTTGAACTATTTGTTGCATCCACAAATATTAGATACTGTTACTATTCAGAGACCCACAAGATCCTTGGTAATACTTTTGGGATGTGTGTTCTTCAGGCAAGTTTTGGAAAAAATGAATCATTGATCCCTCTCGCTTGGAACACGTTAAAATTACTGTAATACTTTATTTGTTTTGTAATATTGTAGGACTTTGAAGCTTTGACACCCAACTTATTGGCAAGGACCATTGAAACAGTGGAGGGGGGTGGCGTCATTGTTCTTTTATTACAATCTGTGTCTTCTCTCCGTCAACTCTATGCAATGAGCATGGATGTTCATGAAAGATTTCGCACTGAGGCTCACTCAGATGTTGTTTGCCGATTTAATGAGAGGTTTGTTAAATATTATCTGCTTGGTTATTTGCTTGACTTATACTTGATCTGCCCAATCTCAACTCCAATTTCATATTTTAAAGGTTTTTGCTTTCATTGGCTTCTTGTTCTCGCTGCTTGGTTGTGGATGATGAGCTCACAGTGCTGCCACTGTCATCGCATCTATTGGACGTTAAGCCTGTTTCCAAGTCAGAGATCGAACCTCACAACGCAGAACTTGCTGACTTAAAAGAAAGCTTAAGAGATACACAACCTATAGGTGTTCTGGTGAACTGCTGTAAGACTGTAGATCAGGTAAGCATTGTTACTGGCTAGTTTTACTTTACTTTTGCTTTGTCTTACCAAATTTTCTTTTCTTTACCCAGGCCAAAGCACTTCTTAAATTTGTTGAAGCAATATCAGAAAAAACTTTGAGGTCAACGGTATCTTTGACTGCAGCAAGAGGCAGAGGAAAATCTGCAGCACTGGGACTTTCAGTTGCTGCAGCTGTTGCATTTGGATATTCTAATATTTTTGTCACTGGACCAAGCCCAGAGAATTTAAAAACATTTTTTGAATTCATTTTCAAAGGGTTTGATGCTTTGGAGTACCAAGAGCATCTTGATTACAGTCTTGTACGTTCCACAAACCCAGAATTTAACAAAGCTTTGGTCCGCGTGAATGTATTCCGTGACCATCGTCAAACCATTCAGTACCTGCACCCAACAGACCACCAGAGGCTTGGACAGTGTGAACTACTTGTTATAGATGAAGCAGCTGCTATTCCGTTGCCCTTTGTCAAGTCTATGTTGGGATCTTACCTTGTATTTTTGGCCTCAACTATCAATGGGTAAGACTTTTCTTGATGAGTATTGCTGATTTTTTTGGCACCTTCTTGAAAGCTCATTCATAACATGGATTTTGTTGCAGGTATGAAGGCACTGGTCGATCACTGTCCTTAAAGTTGCTCCAACAGCTGAGGGTGCAAGCAGCGCCCACAGGTTCTGTTGCTGGCCAAGGGAAGGACCAGTCTGCAGCTACAGGACGATCCTTAGCAGAAGTGACTCTGAATGAGTCAATCCGGTACTCGCCTGGAGATGCTGTAGAAAAATGGCTTACAGACCTCCTCTGTTTAGATGCAACAGCTGTTGAACCTATTCTCTCAGGTTGTCCTCCTCCTGAGTCCTGTGAACTGTACTACATTAATAGGTTGGTTTGTTTTTACAATTAAAAGAAAATCTCTCGATTGGTTTCCTGTGACCTGATGCTGAACTGATAATTTACATCCATTTATGAACATTATTTTAGGGACACATTGTTTTGTTACCATAAAGCATCAGAGGCTTTTCTACAAAGAATAGTGGCTTTGTTTGTGGCATCACATTACAAGGTAAGTGGTATAAGTATCATTTTAAGTGGTGACCTTGACTACTCTCAATTTTGGATTCTCTGATAAAAATCAACATAATTTTATTCAACTTTCAGAATAGTCCTAATGATCTTCAAATGATGTCAGATGCTCCTGCTCACCATCTATTTTGCCTTCTGGGACCTGTTGATCCTAATGCAAAATCTTTACCAGAAGTGTTAGTTGTGATTCAGGTGAGGATTTTTTGTCTATTCCTTCAACTTGTCTTGCCTCTATTTTTTATTTTAGTTCTTCCTAACACTTTGCCCTTCCAGGTCTGCCTTGAAGGTCAGGTATCCAAAGAAAGCACCACTGATGGTCTGTCCAGAGGGAAGAGAGCATCTGGTGATCTGATTCCTTGGACTGTGGCACAACAGTTCCAGGACCATGATTTTCCGATGTTATCTGGTGCTCGTATTGTTCGAATTGCCACCCACCCGGACTACCAAGGGGTAAAAAAAATTTGTATACTCTCAATAAAATAAGTTCTTAATTTGAACCTGATAATATCACACATTCTTTTTGTTCATAGATGGGCTATGGTGCTCGTGCTCTTGACCTCCTCAAGCGGTACTATGAAGGGTCGATGCCCTGTCTTGATGAGGATGCTCAGGTCGAACAGGAAATCTCTTCTGCACCTGCAGAGGACTTAGGACTTTTAGAAGAGTCCATAGAACCTCGAAAATCTCTGCCACCACTGTTATTGAAATTGACAGAAAGACGCCCAGAAAAGTTGTCATATATTGGAGTATCTTTTGGACTCACATTACCATTGCTTAAGTTCTGGAAAAAAGCAGGATTTGTTCCAGTTTACCTCAGGTACATTTCAAGTACATTTTATGTATTTAAAAAAAATAGCTTTGTTTGAAATCTTTTTAAGATGTTTCTGTATTATACAGGCAGACGACAAACGACCTGACGGGCGAGCACTCCTGTATTATGCTCTCTCTGCTTGGAGCTGATGAAAGTGTCAAAGAATATGGAGTTAACAGGGGTGGTTCTGAATGGCTCAGGGAATTTTATGTTGACTTCCGCCGTCGATTTGTTAATTTATTAGGTTATCAGTTCCGTAATTTCACTCCAGCATTGGGTCTGGGTCTTCTTCAAAACAAAGCAGTTAATGTGTCAAAGAAATGTAAGTTCAGTGTATACTATTCTTGACCCGTGTGAAACTGGTTATCATTATCATTGTTCTATTTTTTCCCCAGTAATATCTTCAGAAGAATTAGAAGTGTTTCTGACAAAGTATGATTTGAAGAGGTTGGAAATGTACACCAATCAATTAGTGGATTATCATCTTATTATGGATCTTCTACCACCTCTTGCAAGATTTTACTTCCTGAACCATTTGGGAGACATGAGTCTTTCAGCAGTTCAAGCAGTAAGCAGTATTTTGGTCTGAAATGTTTTTATGTGATTATAAGCTGCTTCTAATGTTATGGAAATTTGCAGGCTGTTCTTCTGGGCCTTGGGCTTCAGCATCGCACAGTTGATGAAGTATCAGGAGATCTGGAGCTTGCATCCAGCCAAGTCCTTGGTTTATTTAATAGAACTGTGAGAAAGTCAGTTGGTATCTTGAATGATGTCACTACCAAGGCGGTAGAAGCATCTATGGGAGGTCCAAAGGAATCTTCCAACAGCAATCCTGCACTTCACAGTGGTCAGAGTTTAACTGATGAATTGGAGGAAGCAGCAAAGGTAAATTGACAAGAAAGTACCTTGGGATGTGCATGCACATGCCTCATAAACTAAAAAAAATTAAATGTGATTTTTTTTTGCCAAATAGGAATTAAAAATAAAACAAAAAGCAGAGTTGGAGAGGCTAAAGAAGGAGAATTTGAGCCAGTATGTCATCAAGGGCTCTGAACAGGATTGGGGCCAAGCACTCAAAGGAGCTAGCAAAAATATTATTTCTGTGAAGAGGTAAGTGTGATGACATAGCATGTCCTTATTTTATAAGCGGCCATAATCTAATTTTAACGGAGAATTTTATCTTTCACAGTGGAGAAAAAAGACCAAGTGACACTCAGCAGGAGGATGATGGGCTAAATGATAGTGATCAGAAGCCTCAGAAGAAAAAGAAGAAGAAGGATAGAAGAAGTAAATAAAAATTGTTAATTGTAGTAATCAATTGATACTTTCTTAAAATTTGTGAAAGAAAAAATAATATCTGTGACTCTCATTGACTTGGTTTCTGAACTATGCCATATATAAATATGCAACATGTTTCACAATCTTTGCAGTTGAGTTTTTCGTGACCCTCATTTATCAAACCCTCGCCTCAAAAGAAATCAGAAACAGGAATATGACTTCCAAATAAACCAAATTTTGACAACCCCGCCGGCCGGTCATGTGAGGTGTTTGTCTATACCCCCCACTACCACACTACCGGTGTTCTGCAAATAAAGTTCCAGGTTCTGTGAATAAAGGCTTTGCAAAACTGCCAATAACGGTATGCCGTGTCAGACACCTCCTTCCCCTCCCTGCCCCTGTGTAGTCGGCTGTCTGCTTGCTAAGCTGCTTCGTTTGGAATATTTGGAACTTTGTCAAAATTTATTGTTCATTTTAGTTCCCAGCAGTTTATGTTCCGAAGATGACGAAAATGCCTTCTTTTTCTTCCTTTTTCTTTGCTTTGATTTTGATTGAATGGTCTCGTCAGTAACGAAGGTATGTATATACCCTGTGACTACAGAACACTTTGAGAGTATTATCTTGGATGCGATCTTTATTTTCAATCATCAGTTGCTAGGCCAGAATGAACTGTCAGTAGGTGTGCATTTTTGAAAGGGTACCATCTTGCTCCTGCAGCATTTCACTCCTTGCCCCTCTGAAAGGAGGTTGTGACAAGCACAAGGGAACTGCTGCATTCAGTACTTAGGGTATTCGGTGACATGTTTTGTTGCACCAGGCTGTTTCTCATTTGAGTGATATTTATTTTAGGATTACATATGATGTAGTGAGTAATTTGGAGTTCGTATGTGATTGACTTTGCTATACTTTCACTATTATCAACTATCGTGTGGTGCAACAGTGGGATGCCGTAGTGATAGTACTCCTTTCTAAAATTCTCTGTGTCAGATGACTGTGATCAATCCAGGCTCCTCTCAAATCTGTTTTCTACTTGGAATTGTTTTCTGGTGTGATTTCAGGATTCTCGGACCACAATCATGGCTCACTGATTCAGACTAGTTGGCCCTTTCTCGGGTGGGCCATTTTCAATTTGTCACAATCAGTACCTAATTAGCTATTAACTATACTTAATTACCCTCTTGGTAAATGTAATTTTAATTTTAGTTTTTCATTCATTCTTGAAAAGCTAGATTCTATTAATTGAAACAGTAGTTCCTATTACATAGTTTTTAACGAAGGCTCGTCAAAATGAGTGCCAAGGACTCTTTGAAGGATTGCACTGAAAAGTGTGTGAGCCTACAGCATGGAGATTCCTTAGGGGCAATTGTAACTCTGCGGGAGCCCAGTGACAAAGATGTTGCAACATCCCTGTCTTTGTTGTGTGGAAACGTTGGGTCCCTCGTAGACAGTTCAGGACGGTGCCTCTTGCACCTTGCAGCATCAGTTGGAAGAATGGAATTAGCGCAATGGTTGGTGCAACGCTGTGGGTCAGATTTAAATGCTCAAGACAGAGAATCTGGGTATACACCTCTTCACCGAAGTATATTTTATGGCCAATTGAATGTGGCAGTAATACTTGCACAGGTAACCTTTCGTCATTCTTTCAAAATCACATTGCTTCTTTCTTGCCTCTTTGAACAACTTTTCCTGTCATTCTTGTACTTGCAGATGGGTGCTGACCTCAACATACGAGATTGCAACTACTTGTCACCCATTGAACTTGCTATGAAAGATCGCTTACCTCAAGTTACATTCAGTAGTAATCTACCGTGTGAGTTGTATGTTTGGGGAACCAATACCAATTTCAATCTGGGCACTGGGAACATGCAAGGAAGGCTGCAGCCAGAAATTTTGGACTTTTTCCGTAAAATGGATCGACCAGTATCTATCGTCCAGGTAAAAGACAAGCGCATTTTCATTTTTTTTATCAAATTATATACGTAAAATGTTTATAAAATTATGGTTTTCACAGGTTTACATGGAGAAATTTCATACCGTTATGGTATCAGCCTGTGGTCGCGTGTGGACCTGTGGTCATGGACAGGGTGGGCGCTTAGGGCTTGGTACTGAGAGGTCTGTCCTTGCTCCAATGCAAGTACAGCTTGGCACTATTCCCAAAAAGTTTATCTTGGATCCCAAATTTTCTCCTGGCCAGCCTGAAGTTTGTGTAAGCGCTGCAGTAGGAAGAGACCACACATTGTTGTTGATGGAAAGTCACTCAGTAAGTTTTATTGTTGATTTAAGTATGGCCTTTAAAAATTTTGTGTCCTCTTAATTGATGCCTTTTGTTTGTGGTGTCGTGCTTGAATGCTAAAATTTGATAGTGCTGGTCTTCTTTCAGATTCTTGTATTTGGTCTTAATACTCATCATGTGCTGGGTTTAAGTCCACCTCCTTCTCACCTTCTTGAACCTCAAAGGCTCTCATTGAAAAGCATCGAGGACCTGAAGTCCCCTCCCCTAGGTGTTTGTGCTGGTCGCTTCCATTCTGTGGTGTGGAGTCGTCGTGAGATTCTGACTTTTGGGCTGAATGCAGGTCAATTGGGCCATCCAAAGTCTCTGGAGAAGACTATTATTGTTCCCAAACCAGTAAGATTTTCCCCCCCAACTTGCCTCTATTTAACTAAGTTGTCCAAAACTTGAAGTGAAAATGCTTCTTTTTGTTTTTTGCAGATACATGCTATGTTTTATAAAGATGTGGACATAACACATGTGGCAGCTAGTGATGGTGCAACTGTTGTTGCAACAGGCAATCGGCACATCTGGGTATTTCATGAATATCAAAGGAATAAGCTTTCTATGAGGTTAGCATTGTTTCTATTATTTTTTTAAACAGTAAGTTAAATGATTTTCTTAAACTTATTAATAACATTTTGTCAATCTTTCTCTTCACATAAAGGTATTCCCTAGAAATTGAGCAGGTTGCTGTTGTTGGTGGTCACCTTGATTCAGGTCTAGAACCAAGCAATTTGTCAGAGAAAGGTGAACCTTTGAAAATTGCAGCCATATCTAAAGAGGGTTCCGTTTTCTTGTGGCAAGAAAAAGACCTGCATATGACCAGGTATCCTTTTTATTATAATATAATAATATTATAATTTTTGGATTTCTTCTCTCATCCCATATGGGTCACATCGCCTGCAGGTGCATTCTCTCGCCTAGCCGGCAGCTAAAAATAGTGGATCTGACACTCAGCAAATCTGTCATGCTTTTAGTTACAAATGACGGGGAAGTATATACTGGTGTAGTAAAACCTTGCAAGAAAAAAGCAAATGACATTAAGCCATTAAAAGGAAGGCGAAGTAAGATCTAGATTTTGTGCAAATTCTTGTATAGTGTTGTTTACTTGTAGTCAGAGTCAACATGTAGCTCCTATTTTCAGCTGTGCCAAATTATGATGGGGAATATCATGTGATTACAAAACAGATGGAGAGAGGACCCATTAAAGAATTTCTTGATCCGGATGTGTGTTATCCAGTCTCTTTGCAAAGACTTCAGTGTGCTCATAGAGCTGTCAAAATCACATCTGACCCTAAAGGAAGAAATTTTGCCCTGATTCAGGTAAATTATCATCAGATGATAAATTTTTTTTGTGTAACCAAAAGATGCACACTTTATAGAATAGAATATATTTTGCAGACTCATCCATCTGTTCATTTGAATAATGTGCCAGACCTCCCACTTAAAGGAGAAAGGTTGAGACAGGATCTTTCAAATTTGTTATGTGAAGCTAATGAATGGGACACAGTTCATGACATCATCTTTCAGGTAAGAGTTCTTTGTTTCAGAACTAGTGACAGCAGTATTGAATCATGATTTCCTTACTTTTTCATTTTATTTTCTAGGTTGGAGATAGACGCTTCCCTGCTCATAAATTCATTGTTTCGAGACAGAGCAATATTCTTTTGCACATGATCCGAGAAGCCAAAGTGCCTACAGCTGGTGGTTCTGTTCCTGTGATTGAGATTTCAGATATTTCCCCTGACATATTTGAACATTTACTGCATTTCATTTATGCTGGCGAGTGTACTCTGACACAACCTTCATCACCAAATTGGTGAGTCATATTATTTTAACCTATTTATGTCAGCTGATAATGTTGCCTTTAGATCTTTTAGTCATGTGTTGTGGGTTTATTTTAGTTCACTGGAAAAAATTAAAAACCCCGAGAAAGAGAAGCATCTCAAATCGTTGCATCCCAATTCCAAGAGACGCTTGTCTCAGCAGTTTGAGGATGACAAAGGTGGCAGGAAGAGTATCTCAGAATCTGACAATGAATCATTAAATATATTAGCGCAAGCAAAGGCAGCTGCTAAAAGATTGGGTCTGTCAAAACTATTAACCCATCTTAATTGTATGAGGTAAGTCAAAATATTTGGTTCAATGTTTCCAAAAAAATATTCTCTGTTAAAAAAATGTTAATTCTGTTGTAGGTATCAGGATGGAGACATAATTTGGACTGGTGGAAAAGAGAAAGTTCACATCAGAAATACAGAGATTGTTCCAATGGAGTGGAAAGAAACTTCAGAGTTCAGTGATATTCACATTCAGTCTAAGGATGGCCACAATTTTTATGTACACAAGTGTATACTGGTTGCAAGATCTGAGTATTTCCACCACATGTTGGCTGGCGGTTGGATTGAGGTGACTTATTTATTTAAACAAAAAAAATAAACAAACCCTCATAGCTTTATTTTAATTTCATTATTCAATTCTTTCTTTTATTTTCAGAGTAAAGGGACTCGAAATCTCGAGATGCCACTAGATCAATCAATTCTCTCAGTATTGTTTGATTACATTTACAAAGATGAAACACCTATCTTGGATAAAATTGGTGGTGTAGATTTTGAACTTGCCACATACTCATTAATTGCAGCTGACCAGCTATTGATTAATCCCTTTAAGGTACACAATCTACTGTCCTGTACTATATCATTCCTTAACCATTTGACGTTCCAAAATATTTCTTATTTGGTTTTTGTACAGACTCGGTGTGAAGCTGCTTTGGCCTCATTATTGACCTTACAAAATGTGACTATGGTCTTGGAACTTGCAGCCACTTACAATGCATCTGACTTGCGCAATTGCTGTTACCAATTTATCTGCCTTAATCTACCATCTTTGTTGGAAGCTGGGTAATGTAAACCATGAATTTATCATGCTGTTTTGTGTGAATTTTTCTACAAGTTAACTTACTGCTAATTTGTGCAGGACCTTGTGTGGACTTCCATCATTTATTTTGGAGGGCTTACGCGATTATTATTGCACTATGCATCCAAGAATGGAGTGTCGAGTCCTCACACCTCTGTCTTATGCTCCTTCCCCAGACTTTGTAAAAGAACTTGCAGCTTCTAACACTATTTTATGGGATGAAGGTAAGATCTAAAATTATTGTGAAACATCTTCATGGTTGAAACGAAACAGGTCACAACTTGCTGTGTCACCCTTAGGAGATCTGTGTCTACCCTAATACCCTCTTCTTTTGATCTTTTAGAATTAAATTTTGATGAGCTGGAAAGTCAAAGGAAGTCCAAGAGCTTTGCCAAAAAGAAATCGCGGCCACGACGTACAAGTGAATCGCACCGATCGCGATTCCGCAATGATTCAGTCAGCTCCATAAATTCAGATGATTTAGACACATCTTTGGATCCAGAACCCTTAGATTGGAGTGATATAGTAGAGAAGGAAGAGTCACAAATGAGCCAATCATTTGAAAAGATTTCTCTTGGTGACAGCAAGGAAGCCACAGAGAAAGCAGAAAAGCAAAATCAGTGGACCAAGGTCCTGAGCAACAGTAAAATTCATAAAACAATTCAGGCCCGGCTTAAAGTAAGACACTTTCTTTCGGTCTGATTGGTTCGTTATTGTGATCTATACTTGTATTGTAATTGATGTCTCTTTCTTCCTTGTAGGCTGCTGCTACAGCTCGAGAAGAGGTTCTGGTTGTTTCGCCTCCAAAGCAGGAGAGTCCTGTAACAACATTGCATCTGCACGCCTATCCACCCACTCCTCAGTCACCACAGCAGGCTGTACAGCAGGTCGTAACACAAAATCGTCCACTGAAACAAGATGCTCCCAACATTACAGAGAAACATTTTCCTCAACTTGGTTATAGTGATGGGGTCCGAGGAAGCCCCAAAGTGAGGTAAGAATTTTTGTTTTGTTTTACAGCAAAAAGTTATCTACAGAACACTGCTTGACTGCTATTTTGGTTGACAGCTTGGTACCTATGATGCCCATTAGTGAAAAGCGCATCAGCAAATTGTCTCAAAAGCAACGGAAAAAACTTGCTTTAGAAGAAAGTGGAGGTTCCTCAACACCCATTCCAGTGGCGCCTGCACCTAGAGGTTGGGGACAGCGGGAGAGTGTTCCTCCAGAAACTCCTCCTAGTCTCTCCCTGGCTGATATAATGCAGGAACAGTTGCATAGATCTAAACAAACGGTTGGTGCGGCATCCAAACCCATCAACATTCGAAGGTGTGTCACATTTGTGTCCTAATGTTGTCTGTTTTAAAATGATCTTTTGCATTCATTTTATTTTTTATCTTATTTTAGATCACCTAGTGGTCCTTTCACTCAAAGCCCACACAGTTCGGGCTCTCCTTGGGGACGAATGGAGTCTGTAATGAACCCATGCACACCCCCCATGTCACCGCAATCGCCACATGCAGAGCCCAGCCCTGACAAAAGTGGCTCTCGACAGAATTTCTCTGATATAATGGCAAATGAAATGAAGCAGAGAGAGAACTGGACTCGCATGCGCTCCAAACCCCTCAACTTGACGCAGGTATGTCCTAGTTGGTCTAAGTTTTTGACCAATTAGTTTTCTTATCTTGATATTCATCATTCATAATTGTTTTTTTCATTTACCATTGTGCAGATTGAGGACAGGGCCATTGATGACCTTGTCAATTTCTACAATGCCAATGAAGCCTGTGAAGAACGCATTACTGTGCGCCGTGTCCTGAGCACTAATGTGGCTTGTCCTGTTTGGGTTACGTCCAAGCACTAAAATCGTAGAATATAATTGACCTAGAAACTATCATTTCAAGAATGACTTCAAGTATTTTACTTTTATGAATAATCATTCATTATTTCTTATGTGTTTATTGAATGGCCAACAAAGTGGATAGGTGCTCTCTGTAGGTTGCTTGAATCTGTGATTTCCTAACCATGAGTTGATGGTTGTATTATCTTATTGGGTATCCCTAGTAAAACTATTTATTTCCAATGTATCAATGAATTAGTGTTTCCTGTCTGACAAAAACAAAACATAAAAACAATAGAAATTAGACAAGGTTCGAGTTTTGGCTGTTCTTATTTCAGATAAGAATAACCCAGCATAATTATTCTCTTTGCTTTTAACAGACAAATAAATCTACGTGCAATTAGTTTGTATGATCTTTTATACAATTCCTCAACCATTCCCAAAATCATAAGTTCGAATACAAAATCTTTCCCGCCACGCATGCGCTCTACGACCACGACGCTCAAGTCGTCTGTACACTGTCGTCTGCTGGGGCACTTTGCACAATCTTTAGAGGTTTTCTTCCCGAACGCTCATTTGGCAACATACCAAAATCATGAAATAAAGAAAGTAGGACTTGCGGTGCACTTTGTATTGTTTACTCCAAAGTTGGAGCAGAGTTGAAAGTCCGAAGGTCAAAATTGTTTACATACCACTGGTCACGGGTGGTGGGTGTCTGTGTCGGCTGCTTGGGAATTACTTGCTTTTCTGCTTTGCCAGAAGTCTATTCTTTAGGCGCAATAATTGTTGGTAACTATGGCGGTTGGGAAATTGATTCGAGCTGTAATCCTGGGAGCTCCAGCCTCAGGAAAAGGCACACTATCTGACAAAATCACTAAACGGTTTTCCATGGAACATATTTCAAGCGGCGATCTCCTCAGATTGCATATTCAAAACAGGACCGGTAAGTACTGGTAACATCAAATCTAAGCTGTATGCTTCGTTTCTGATTTCCTATTTAACTATCCTTCCAAAAAACTAATCCAAAAAGTTTGACTTAAAATTTCTTGTACTGTATGAGCTTCTTGAAGGTTATGTAACTACTGTCTTGCACAAGTAACTAAAAACTTTGTTGTTACTTCATTTTTGGATGTCATCATGGTCATGCAGGCGTGCCTAAATGTGGTAGTTTTTCAAACATGTCAAACACCCTCAGGCATGGATTGTGTCAAAGATTTCGACCAAATTATACCAAAAATGTAACTTTGTCTGCTGCACACGATTGACATTGCTGTAAACCGTCCACGTCTTTCTAATCTTTTGTTTCCTCTTCATTTGCAGAACATGGAGAGCATGTGAAATCATTCATGGCTAAAGGGGAACTTGTTCCCGATGAAGTTGTAACCAAACTTGTGTTTAGTGAGTTGGAGAAAAGAAAGGAGACAAGTTGGCTCCTAGATGGTAAATGTTCCTATTCGACTTTTAAACATTTTTGGATGTCATTCTGCTCCCTGTCTTTTAAAAAATTCTGTGGCCCTATTCTCCCACATTTTGACTCTGATTTATCTGTTACAGGATTCCCAAGGACTGAAAAGCAGGCCATAAACTTGATGGGATCCTACCCTGTCGACATAGCTCTGAACATCGTAGTACCATTTGAAGTAATAGTGGAAAGGGTCCAAGGGCGTTGGGTGCACTTACCTAGCGGTAGAGTTTATAATACAGGTTTCAAGCCACCTAATAAACCAGTAAGTGAAAATTTTACTTTTGTTTGAAGTTGATATTACAGTATTGAGTAGTAAGACCTTGCCATGTTCAACCATCATCATTAAATTTGCAGGGTCTTGATGATATAACAGGAGAGCCTTTAGTTCAAAGGGAGGATGACAAGCCTGAAGCTGTACTAAAACGTCTAGAGGTCTACAAGAAGACTGTTGAGCCTCTGTGTGCATACTATAGATCCAAAGGTATTTTAGTTGACTTTCCAGGACGAACATCTGAACAAATTTGGCGTGCATTACAGAAATATTTAGAATCGAGAATTCAGCCGGCATACCATGACTAAGACCTTGAAGAGAATGTTTAGTTTTGTCTCTTGTGATATGACCATTTGTTAACAGTATGAGGGATCGGTAACGTTCATGGGATCATTGCTCTTGTTATGTTCCTTTTCATTAATATTGTAGGCCATAGAAGTGTAGGGGTCTTGTATTATGTATGTATTATGTATATTTGCTTTTGATGTCAATTTTGACTGCATAATCAAAACAAAACAAACAAGGATTCAGTGTACCTATCACTTGGTTGTTTCTGTCCCATCTGATTATATTCTAGCAATGTGATCTAGTGTTCAGGACAGGATATAACATGATTGCATCTGCTTAGGAGGTTTTGCTTAAGGCTGTGATGATTCAAGTCTCAAAACTAGTCTAAGCTACATTTTTATTATTCATTTAGTAAGTATTGATTGTAATTGTCAGTCTCACCTTTGTGCATGTTTCAAGTTAAATTTAACTTGGCATGAAAATTGATCATCTTATTAAACAGAATTGTTGAGTGAAAAAAATTACAACATTGTTCCAATTCCAGTATTTTAATTTTTTTTAGGCTTTAAGATACTATTTTTATTTTTTAGGAATGAAATGTGTGGTTTCTTGCTAATGAACCAGTTTAAGAGAAAGTATCAAGTACTTAGCATAGTGATTGCTTTAATGGTGTGTGTATTTTCAATTTCATAGCACAAATTTTAATGCGCAACATCTGTCAAATTGTGATGAAGCAAAATAAAACATTTGAATGCATGATGTTGGGTATCAGTCACACGTCCTTCATCAGTGTCCAACATATCTGTTTTGCTCAGTTTTTATTTTTTGTGAAGTAAAAAAAAAAAGGCAAGTTGCTTTGGTTAGAGTGTGTCTTTAGAGGTGGTGGGATAGAGTATGAAGAGAGGATGTTCATCCTGTCAGAAGTTACCCAAACCATTTCATGTTTGTCTTTTGTTTCAAATAATTTAATGTGTCAGAAATGTCCTTTTACAAAATAGGGAGGAAGCGAATTTTTTAAGGACTACGGAAGATTGGATTTCTTTTACAATATCTCCTCCCACAATACCAAGTTTTATAACATTCATTTATAACGCCAGCAAAGAGACATTGAGGTTTGGTAAAATCAGTCATGCATTTGACAAGATTAACATACACAATAAATATGACTAGCATAACAATCATTCATAAAATATGTTTAAGTACAAAATCTGAGATCATCCCTGCAAAACATTTATTTCAAAGTAATAATACTGAATTAACATTAGTTTATTTTTCTGTCATTTGGAAAGGAAGAAGCCAAACTGTAAACTCAGCAACTTCCCTCACAAAATCTCTTGACAACACAAAGGCACAAATATTTTCAACAAATGTCATAAAAATAAACTCGAGAGCAAAACTGAAAGTGCGGTATAATAGAGGGATGAAATAAAATTGATGGGAGTACAAAGCGGTACTACATGGTTAGCCTCATAGCTTTCTCAGCTAAATATTCTGTATCTCTAATATCAGCTAAGACCTACAATGTTGTGATAAACGTGCACTACAGGTTAGCTAGATCATCTATTTCCATACTTCATAAATCCTACATCTAAAATGTACTTATGTCAGCACTAAGTAACCTACATTTATTAGGGTGGTTTAGATTTTAATTTCAGGCCTGAAAAGCAGGAAGTAACATTTAGAGTGCAACTAACTGTTTAGGACAGATTATGCAGAGAAAAATAAATTCTAATTACTGGGCAAGGAGTATGAAAAACATAAAAAAAGCACCCGTTTACTCAATTTATTCATAAAGTTGCGACAAAAATATACAAAACCGATGTTCTTCTGATAGTGTTATCATAAATAATATGATTGAACTTGCTTAAACTATAAGCTGGGCCCGAGGCTAAGGTGAACAGACAACAATTTCTCTTAGGGGATTTTAGAGAAGATCTACCGGTAAGTAAACAGAATCTGCTCTAACTTCCCCTACAGATTTGGCAAAGACGAAATTGAAGTCCATTGACCAACACTGTATAAATAGGGGCCAACAAGTTTAGCTCATGCTTTAGGAGAATTTGACTTTCAAAGGACTGCCTTTTCAAAATATCTTTCTTGTGACACCAAGTTCCCCTTTCTCCTTTAGTATGCATACGTTTCACTCACCATTGTGTAAAATCCATAACTATTTAAAGCATTCAGCAAAATTTACACATGCGTAGAGCAAAGAATGCGTCCTCATTAGTGTAAAGAAGTGTTGGTCCGGTAGTTGAGCCTTCAAAACAGGTCAAGACTTCCATTTCTATACAATAACATTGGTAAAAGCTCTTAAATTAAATTTGTGCACCAATAACCAGCTTTTTCAAATGTTCAAACCTAACTGTTGAGTGTGCATGTCAATTGATTGAACACAGTTCTCATGAACCAGCTGAAATTTACTTTTCCAGATAAGATGTGCTGGTGACAAGGAGAAACATAGAATATGACTTACTTCAAGGAAAAGAAAAAAATACCAATGACAGCATGAAAGTGAGAATAAAAAAATAAAGCCACAGTAGCACCAATGGGTGGCTGGCTGAAAGGATGAACACAAACAGTAAAAATAGTCCTGGCTGTAACAACTTACATGTTATGGTTAACCTTATAAAAAAGATCATCACAAAATGACTTTGGCAGAAAACTAGATCAATTGTAGTTATATGAAATTCGATTCAAGAGCGTGGAGATCTGCAGCCTTAAGGAGGCAAAGTTTTGCAAATAATTTGATCACACAAACTGTTTTTTTTTATCAGTATGACAATCTTGGTTCATTAACTAGAACAGACTTTCACAAACTCACAAAAATAAAAGTAAAAATCCCATCAGAATAAACATTTCATTTTCATTGATCACAAACAAATTTATGTACTTTACTTGCAACTCACTTATTTTATTGAGATAAATTTGAGCAGACAAAGAAAAGGGGGGGGGAGGGGGAACATGTCCAAAGGCTGTCAAATTGTAAGAATTGCAGAGAAGACCTAGTGCAACTCCCGTCTGTGATTGGCTGGGCCAGCATGGCCAGCACTACGATCTCTCTGCAGTTAGGTAACTACTTTTTAGAGGTACTCGAATAAAAAATTACCATGGTCAGTCATAAAATCATGAGAGAGCAAACAAATTACAAATACAAATAAAAGAAAAAGAGTATTAAATTTCTCACAGTACACAGCAGGGTTCAACTTTGAGAAATGCAACAGCTTGCCTACAAGGATTCCGGTACTATAGATCAAAAGCTCAACAACTTCCTAAATCCTTCTACATCCAGATACATCAGATACCCAGCCTGTTGAGTTTTGTTCAAAATGGAGATGTGGCAAAATATCCATAACAATTAACAGGCACAAGCCAAAGAAAATTTATAAAACTAATCTTCAATATCACACAAGAATAAATATAGTTGATCTCATTGACTACAAGAGACATTTCAGACGAAACATGCTCTGCAAAAATTGACAGATAAAATCCTTCATTGTCTTCAACAGTGATAGAGTATCATGTGTAACAATCTGAATTAACTGGTTATTCTCAACCAGTCAATACAACTCTTCTCCTTTTTCAAATTGTGGAAACATTCCAATTCTTGGTCCACTTACTTTCCACTTTCTAAAGTTGCTTCCTGCTTTGCGCAGCCCTCAGCTGTAGTGGTGGTCTCATTGCCAGGCTCAGCAGATGAAACAGTTTTTAAGACACCATCCAAAAGTGAATTTGCAAAATGATTTAATTGAGGAGGTGTCTGCCGCCTAGATGGAGGGTGAGGAGCATTAAGAAGCAGGCTTGACGGTCTGTGAGGTACTCTCTCAGATGGTACGCTATCAGATGTTGCAGATGCTGGCCTCTGCAATGTTTCTGAAACAGAAATGCACAAATAAATCAGATTATAATCTTTGATAGAGAACTAGAATTACTTAGACGATTGCCAAACCATTAAGCTTGTTGTGATGTCACTGACCTGGGTTGCAAGGAGCTGATGAGTCTTTTTGAAATGGAAAATTAATTGCTTCGGATGGAGTATGTACCGCACTCAAATCTGTTTGAGTTGCAAGCGAAACTCTTGGGATTTGACCTTGGCGATATGTCAATCCAAGAACTGATGTGACTTCTTGCATTGATTGCTGCAACTCAGCGACCTTGGCAAAATAGGAAAGTAAGGATCATCTTGCTGAGAGTAAAGATGGTAGACACAAAGGAAGTCACTATTTACCTGGGTGTGCAGGTGCAGACAACTGTGTGTTAATTTACGAATACATTCTGCACTGTTACTTGAAGTAACCTGTTCACTTCCAATTAAATCTGCAGCTGTCATATTGGGCAATATGGGCTGGGCTGCTCCACTTTGCTGTAGTGCAACTACTTTTTTCCAAAGAGCACTAATAGCTTGCATTTGAAGAAGCTGCAATCTTCTTTCACTTTCTAGAGCAGTCTTGGTGCCCTCTAAATCTTCAGTAAGTTTCCTGCAGAATTAGGTCAGAAAGGCCGATATCATACATACTGTCCATACAACTACAATTTAGGGACAATAATATTAAAAAACTTGCCTAATATGTTCCAGAGTGCGTTTGTCCTGAAGAGACCGGCTGACTTTTACTACTCTTGGATCCAAGTTACGGGCTTGATATCCTCTCCAGATCCGCTGAATGTTGGTGGCAGCACATTCTGAAATGTAGGAGTTAAATTTTGCATAAATTGTTTTTACAAATGATGCTTAAGATAAGGTGGACACCAGTCTAATTTTTATGAAATGGACATGCAAGAAGAAAGTTGAATCAAGTGTAAGACTCTTTTCAAACAAACTTCACATTCAATAACAAAGTCTAACATGCACTGCAAATAAGACAACAATGCAAGAAAAATAGGAAAACCACTTAGTTCCTCCCCCTTCTGTAAAACACAACAAACTCTAAACAAAAGTGATAAGAAGACACAATAATGTGCAGTGTCAAACTTAACAGGTCACAGACACAAATAAGTATACAAGATTATTATTTAATGACTGGGAAAATGTTGGAATAATAGCAGTTAAATTCCTCAATTCAAGATAGTGCTAGAAGCAGTTGTGCCCACACTTTGTACATTTGAAAAAGTTATTATAATAGATAAAAATGACAATCTTGCAAAACCTACTATGATTCAAACAAGTGAGATAATTAAATACAAAAAAAATAAAAATAAATGAGAAAGTGGCATTGAACGCTTAGCCATTTACAGAGCAACTGTTTCCTACTCACTCTGCCCCTCCACATTGGAGACAAGAAAATTTACTTCAGATCGACCATTAATTGAGGTTTGGCCATAGTGAAAAGGCAAATCTGAAACCAACTATGATAAGTAGCACGAGTAATAAAACTTATCGAAGCGGATCAAATAAGAGAGAGAGAGAGAGAGAAGAAAGGAATAGAATTAAGATAGAGATAGGAACAAAGAGGACCAACTGAGCAAATCAGGTAAACAAGCTCCACCTACATTACAGATAGTATAGTTTAAATCAATCAATCAAATTAGATTAAGGTAAGGTAGACATGATGCTGCTAAATACACAATGTTTCATGAAAGCTTCTTAATCTTGCAAGACAATAATGTATCACAGAAACATAGCACACAGAAGAATTTGTCTATGAGAACACTTACATCTATAAAACTGAAATAAAACCCTTTCCCATGGCTACCATGGCTACCAAAACCATGGCTACCATGGCTACCAAAACAGTAATTACCAAGACTGGTAGGCCTCTTGACTTCCGACCTCTGCATGGGCTTTGGAGGGGTGGGTGGAACCTTGTCGCTGCTCCTAGTGGTAGGAATAGGTTGCTCCGTACCATTCACATCATTATGTGCTGCTTCCCTTGTGTCTGCCCTGTCTCCACCTTGTCTTGGTAGGGAATCATCCCGAAGTTTTCCATTTTGCCTTTCTAAATTTTGTCGCTCCAAATGAGATTCCCCTGAGGAAGATAAAAAATAAATAATAAGCCACTGTTATCAAGCGTGCAAGCAAAAGAAAAATTATGCAAAATAAACCTGCAAAACCTGTGGTGATTTTTTGAGTCTGGAAATGGGCTTCCATTGAAGGTGTTTCAGGCTGCTCAAAAGGTGTACCAAGTGATACTGCCTGTCTGCTGGTACTGGAATCGTCTAGGCAGCCACCTGGAGCAGGTAATGGTGGAGCTGGAATGGGTACACCACCACCTAAACAATAAATTCGAATGTAACCACTGGCAAAGTCTTTTTAAGCAATACATGTTATACATATTTGGCCCTACCTCTAACAGGAAGACGGCTGGTGGATCTTCCTGAACTGGGACGAGGCAAGCCAGAGGCAAGAGGCTGGGCAATCCCCTTTTTGGCCAAAGGATGAGAAGGCGTAGCCGGAGTTGCAGGTGTTGCAGGCGTCTGAGCAGGAGTCCCCGACGGAATCATTTCAATGGGCCGAAACTCAGGGCTGAGAAGAGAGTCTGGAACTGGTATCATCTCCGTTGCAGAGTGTAATGGAGAATCTTCATCTGAAACACAACATACTTTTCTATTGCCAGTGTAGAACCAAATAATATGTGAATACCTTGTGCATCCTTTAGTTCATCAAGGAACATGGTCGAAATAGTACAGCCATAGGAAATTTACCCTGAGGTACAAGCTGGGTGGGTAATTTACGTCTGGAATCTTCACTATCGGATGAATTAAAGAGGGATAAGTCAAGGGATTGCGTCATGAGGGGTGACATCTCTGATCCTGAGCTAGGCAGCTCACTATGAAAACTAGAGGTCATCCGGTCAGGTGTGTAGGTTCTTCTACGCCCCCTATTCAGACCTGAAAAAGCAGTGAACCAAATGTGTCACAATACTAGACTACAGCACACTCACTTCAGCTGCATATAAGTGAAAGAAAGCATGAGGCCAATTAATAGTATGGAAGCAGCAATCAAGGAAAAGCACTTACTGGACCTGTTGTAAGAGTTTGAAGTGCGCCTTCGAGTGAAGGGGGAAACAGAGGATGAGCGCTGGAGTGGCCCTGTGTGGTTGGAAAACAAATGGTACCGTGTTTTCAGTGCCCTCAAGAAAACATTGTGTGGTATGCAACACTAGTGCTGTATTAATATACTCAATTTAGTGAAACACAAGCTTATTATTTAACAAAATCTACTATACAAACCATCCGTTTGCTGTTGCTTTAGTTGCTGTTGGTGATGCTGAGCTTTGCTGAGAATCAGTCGGAGCTTCCTATCTTCTTCGGTCTCTAAGCTTTCACCACCAAGAGGACAAGTGTTGGCCAAATATGCAACTAAGGATTCATGATCACCAGGTCTGAACTGTCGACCACGTCCTTGTGAGTATAGCCACTCTGCTTTCAAGCTATATTAATGTAAATAGGGGCAAAAAAATATTAATCGAATACATCCAAGAAGTTTGGACAAAGAGCACAATGAACTTACCTTTCGATTTCATTCACCATGAAACCATCAATCACTTTCAAACCCATGCACCAGTTAATGAGAAATGGTCTGTAGTCAAACCCACTGAGTTATTAAGTTAAGGAACAGTGTAGCACACAAGTTAAAATATCCCTACCCTGCAATATCAGTTGGTTACAATTTTCATTTAGTAAATTTTCTCATATATCTAGAAAAATAATCGCAAGAAAGGATACACATTGCTTCCTGTCATAGCAACGCATGGATTATTTGCAATTGATAGTTGACGAAGGTCTCTTAAATTCACCAAGAATGAAACTTGATTAAGATCTGTTATGTTATTGGCAGCCAATGATAAAGTGTCCAAGCCCACTGGTAAGAACTTGTCACATGAGTGCAAGTGACCAATTTTATTGCTGTTCAGCAGCAGTGTCTGCAATGTGAGTTAGATTCAAACAAGCGGATTAATGAAGCAGAATAAATCTGACACCAAGATTCCATTTTCTAGTATGAATGAATTTGTTTTAAAGGAATGCCTGACATCATACTGACCTTAAGACTTGTCAAATATGACAAATCTGTGATGAAAGAGATGTTATTTTCCGATAGGTCAATATACTCCAACAGGGTGTTAGTATTGAGGTGCTCTATTGTCTGGCAAAAGATAGGGAGTAGAAGTAAGTAAAAGAGAAAAGAGATGGAGATGATGCTTTGGCAGCAGGTTTTAAGACCACAATCATACCTTGATGTTATTGGCAGCAAGGCAAAGCCATTTAAGATGTGTTGCCTCTTTCAAGCCTTCTATCGTAAGTATTCCATTATGTGCTAGGTTAAGAGAAACCAGGTGATGTAATCGTGTCACATTGTACATGCGAAGAAGACCATTGCGGGCTGCAGAGAGCTTTAGTTCAAAAGAGGAAAGACATTAGTAAGCATAACGGTTCCACTCTTCAAGGAAAGCAAAATTTGAATTTCATTTGAAAGAGGCGCTTACATGTTTTACAGCTGTGAATGAGTCAATGCAGTCCAAACGTGTAAGGTCATTATTATCCAAAATTAATTTAGACACTTTTGATTGTGTTGCTGATGGTTTGGACAACTTCTTCAAGCCCTGATTGCTCAAATCCAACACCTCTTCATCCGACAATTCTGAAATACATTAAAAGTTTCTTTCAAGATGCAATCAATGATGTGAAAATAGTACCTTTCATACACAAACAGGCACAAAGAGGTACTTGAATGATATTGATAACTGTCAAAGTTGTGAATGAAACGAGGTTAAGTAGATCGACGGAACATCAAGAAAAGGAATGACATCTAAATCTGACAAAACTAGAACCAAGGAACAATACAAGGCGATAAATTAAAAGTTGTATGAGTGTTACTGGGTGAAATAGACACAAATAATGGTTTTCTTGGGCAATGTTTACAATGTTGTTAATGGACAGTACGTCACTCAAGACCTCCATACAGTAACACTGTCGCACAAATATGAGATGACTACAATTTTCCTATGAAGAAGAAATGATTCTAAATGTTTTAACAATTGAAGTTCCTTCGAAAACACCATAAAAATTACTAAGAAACACGACAAATAATACTGAATGTTTACCCTGAGTTGCTGCCATTTTCAAATCACCGCCTTCTTCGACTTGTCCAAACGGTGTCTGTCAAAATTCTGAAAATTTGTGAACCACATCAAATTTAAACAAAAAATATCAAATAAAAACAAAAATTCGTTTTAGGTTTTTACATCAAATGTAGGAAAAGCAGAGAAAGCTCAAAAAGTGATTTTGTAAATTGTGACCGCTTTTGACCATCTAGGAACTCAACTGAGAGTTTAAGACTAGAAAGCGCTAAACGTTCTTGGCTTATTCATACATTGACAGCTCAAACAAAGCACCTTGAAATTTTTGTTGCATTTTTTCGTCAACATGGAATCTAGAATTTTCTAGTTTTCTTTGTTGTTTATCACAGCTCGGAGAAAAGTGTTTTCGTTATTTCAGTAGCTTCTTGACTAACTTAGTACGTGGCTGCTCGAAGGTTTTCCGGTCTCTCCCAAGCCTTGTTCATTTCCTGTCCACGAGGATTTAGCCGCCATGCAGGCCCAGAAGGTGTGTTTTGCGTTTTCGTCGATTAATTAGTCTGCTCCTCATTTAATACTCTTGAGAGACGATTCCGGACATTTAACTCACATTTGCGTTCAATTTTGTTGTTGCAGAAAACGAAGGAGCCCCTCCAGGCCGTCCAGGTCTTTGGACGCAAGGTAAGTGCAACGTCTCGGCTTCGCACACTTCGGCATTTCGTTTCCACTTGTTAATTCACCGCGCTCCGCTGTTCGAACATTGTCACCGAAACATGGGACTCCCGATTTTCCAGGCGGTTCAATCGCAACTCAGCTTCTGTTGAACCGGCGCCTTGATCGCCGTGTAAACATGCGCCCCGGTATAGGTTAGGATTTCGGTGCGAACGTGGGACTGTCATACTTGTGCCGATCTTGCCGCATTTTTTCGCGTTTCCTCTGGCCAATGTTACCAGAATTTTTGATTTTTCATTTTCGTCCTGTACGAGTTATCTATTTCTGTAGCTCCCCCTGATGTTTATCTATGTGGTTGTGCCGCCCGCTGCTCCTTAGGCCGCGTCTCTGCGTTCCGTGCCTGAACCTGCGGTATCCTGTTACAGAAATCTGCGACCGCTGTTGCGTACTGCAAGCGCGGCAATGGAAACCTCAGGGTGAACGGCCGCCCCCTCGAGAACGTTGAGCCCAGCATCCTGCAGTACAAGCTCCAGGAGCCAATCCTCCTTTTGGGCAAGGTGAGTTGTATGGACAGGCAACGTGAAGCTGAAAGGATGTCAGTCTTCGGCAGTCTAGTTTCTAAGGGCTGTCATGGCTCTGAGCTACACTGAGGCTATAGTCTCGCTAGTGTTAATCTCAAGATTTATTTGTATTGCGCCCACCTGTCGTCCCTGTAGTTTCACTGCGGAGGCCCATTTCTTACTCTGGTCAAATTCTGACTTATCCCTCCGTTAATTGCTCTCACCTTTTAAGTTAACAATGTTGTGCATTTTAATGTTCCATAGATGTTCGGTGTTCTATCTGAACCTTCTCCTGGGGTGAATTTTATTTCTGGTTTGGTCTACTGACTAGTCCAATCTAAACTTGCCCCAGAATAAATGCAACTGTGTCATAGTGCCTGGTTGACTCTTCTGTCTGTCAGGTCTCAAAAACTGCTACAAATATTTGTTACATCTATTCTGCTCTATCATTGTCATTTTATATCAATTATATGCTTGAGTGCATGCCCACACGGTAAATTTCATTTCTGGTTTGGTCTTGTGACCATCTCATTTGAAAACTGACCAAGAACAATTGCAATGTCATAGTGCCTGGTTGACTCTTCAGTCTTTCAGGTCTCCAAATTTGCTACAATGCTTTTGTTTATCAGACTTACTATTTTGGAATCTGTTCAATGTACAACTGGGGCAAATTTCATCATTGGTCTGGCGTTGTCACCAGCTCATGCTAAATTGCCACAGAGAGAATGCAACTGTGTCATAGTGCCTGATTGACTCTATCAGGTCTTTCAGGTCTCAAAAACTGCTACATATTTTTTGTCCTTCAATATTTTTTTTGTGAAGTTCCAAGCTGTGTAATTGCAACTGGTTTAGTATAACTTGCTCCCCTATCCTCAATGATGAAAGTAATTACCGTTTGACTTCTGGTGTGATAGTACCAATGGCTGCATTATTGCAACTGAGATGAGGATTATTAATGCTGTTTTTATCTTGTTCCCCTATCCTCAATGATGAAAGTACAGTGAAAGTCGTTTAAAGCGTCGTAGACAATTGTGATCATGTACCTCGTTATTGTGCTGAAGAATCTCTGTCTAGCTCATAATGTGCTGTAAACAGGCATATACTGGCATCCCATTATGATTCTAGCAAAGGAGGATCTTATAGTGCAATAATCATAGGTTGATGTGATCTCAATTTCCTCCAACGCTTTAAGTGGCTTTCTCTGTAATTACCACTTGACTTCTGGTGTGAAAGTACCAATGGCTGCATTATTGCAACTGAGACAAGGATTATCTGCTATTTTTATCTTGTTCCTTTATCCTCAGTGATGAAAGTAATTACCGTTTGACTTTTGGTGTGATAGTACCAATGGCTGCATTTTTGCAACTGAGATGAGGATTGTCAATGCTGTTTTTATCTTGTTCCCCTATCCTCAATGATGATAGTAATTACCGTTTGACTTTTGGTGTGATAGTACCAATGGCTGCATTTTTGCAACTGAGATGAGGATTGTCAGTGCTGTTTTAATCTTGTTCCCTTATCCTCAATGATGATAGTAATTACCGTTTGACTTCTGGTGTGATAGTACCAATGGCTGCATTATTGCAACTGAGATGAGGATTCATTCTTTGCAACTGACACTTTCCTCAGTATTATTTACTGCTCCTGGCTGTCATTTGGCATGTGGATCTGCGTAGTTTATGTTCCTAAACATGATCTCGCCCTGCTTCCCAAAAAGCACAGCGGCACATTTGTTGTGCTGCCTGTTGTCGAGTGGAAGTAGATCAAATTGGTATCTTCGGTGACGCTGCTGGCTGTCATCCAGCAAGTGACTCAATCCAGTTATCTACATTATGATTATTCTGTCCCCATATCAGATCCCATACCACTTCCTAAAAAGCACAGCGGCACATTTGTTGTGTTGCCTGTTGTCGAATGGAAGTAGATCAAATTGCTATCTTCGGTGACGCTGCTGGCTGTTATCCAGCATGTGACTCAATCCAGTTATCTACATGAAAATTGTCCTGTTTTAATTATTGTCTCCATCCAGCTCTCTTTGTTTTGGACTTTCCTCCAGTGAGGATGGCTTGTTGTGTTATACTGATTCTATTGCTTAACTTCGTTTTGTTTGTTACAGGACCGCTTCGCCGGAGTCGACATCAGAGTGAGGGTCAATGGTGGTGGTCATGTGTCACAGATCTATGCCATCAGGCAAGCCATCTCCAAGGCACTTGTTGCCTACTACCAGAAGTGTAAGTGTCTGTTCAATCTATCCTGTTTTAACTTTTTATGGTGTTGTCGTTTCATGTTATATTTTCCCTCAGATGTGGATGAGGCATCCAAGAAGGAGATGAAGGATGTGCTGATCCAGTACGACCGTACCTTGCTGGTTGCTGACCCTCGGCGCTGCGAGCCCAAGAAGTTCGGTGGTCCAGGTGCCAGGGCCCGTTACCAGAAATCTTACCGTTAAGGAGTGCTCTGGTGTATCATATAATAATAAAAAATTCAAAAAAACTATTAAAAGCACTTCTTGTCTTTATTCAAACATCCGCATCCTTACAGTTTGGTAAAGATATCTTAAGTTTAAATGGTCTCACATTGCCAGCAATGTGGGCTGGGATCAAACCATGAATTTGTCACTTATTCTGCTTAACATCAGTCTTTTCAATGCAATAAATTCCTTACACTGTAGTCTTCTCAGCAGATGCATCGTCACAATTGTCCTCTCTGTCCAACTTGGCTCCCATCCGCTGCAGGAAGATGATGGTGTTGACAGCTTTTATCCATCGTTTCTTGATGACATAGCGTTTGAGCCTCTTCTTACTCAAACTTGTTGTGACAGCGCTTTTTATCCATTTGTGCTCAAGGCACTGCTGCGGAGACAATCGAGCCCTGAAATGAATTGACAACTATGTTAAGTCATAAGCAATGGATGGGAAGTCTAAAATGCTGTTAATGGTCAAAATTTATTTGTTTTGTTTTTTTTTTTTCTTTAAAAAAAAAGATTGCATTATTTGTACACATAATACATTAGTGACATGTTGGCACCATGACTTAGATAACTCATGTGAGTGACTAGATGAAACGACCGTCTATAATATACAACTTTGTCATGAGAGAATCAGTCTTCTCTTTTATTGTCCGCCTTGAAAATAACTACATACAGCCAATCTCAACCACATTCTAAGGCAATATTTTCTCAAAAGATCTAACGCCCTCCTCATCACTTAAAACTTAGAGAGTACTAACATTAAGTCAATAATATAAAATCACATCTACAATCACAAACGTGGCAACTGCGTCCGGAATGGACTTCCCTCTAGAGAGCAGGGACAGGGCGGGCGTGGCACAGTGGGCCAGAAGACCGGTGGAGGCGGACAACACTCTAGACGCGTTTTTAGCTCCAGAGTCGCTAAACAGGACTCGAACCTGACGTGTGACCCCATCAATGGATTGCTCTCCGAACGAGGAATCCATTGGTGGGGTCACACGCTCGGTTCGAATCCCATTTAGCGACTCCGTAGCTCAAAACGCGTATAGAGTTTTGTCCGCCTCCACCGGTCCTCTGGCCCACTGTGCGTGGCAAGGACTTGCCACAGCCGACGAGCCGAGAGTCATTCGTTGCAGTCGCTCTGATTCTCGCACTCACGATACGAGACGTCCCGTACGGGAGCGAGAAAGACTGCGACGGTGTTCTAGCGCTGCCGCGCCGAAGAGGCAGGCAGCCCACATGACACCGCCTGGGCTGCGCGAGAGAGACCGTTTCTACCCTGGGTCCTGTTGGGCAACACGTCGAAAGCAAGGACGATGTGGCGACACCGACACTGCGGTTGTACCACGTTGTGCCTTCGAAACTCTGGAACGTGACACGACGCCCACCACACTCGCACACTCACACACGCACACTCGCGCGCACGGCTGCCCAGCCTACGGCCCCCCACTGTGCGAGGTGATGAGCGTCCTCTTTTTGTCGAGCAGCGAGCCGGCCGTGGTGGCGGTCTTGAAGAAGGGGTCGTCCTGCCAGTGCGCTAGGCCGTGCAGGCCGTCGAGCAGGCTGCGGTGCGAGGCGAGGGAGGCGGTGGCCATGGTCGCGGAGGGCACGGAGTCGAGGCGGTGCAGCAGCCGCAGCACCAGGTCCTTGGTGAGGTCCGAGGTGGGCGGCGGCGGCAGCTCCGGGTCGGGCGACCAGCGCGGGCTCTGCGGCGCGGAGTGCGTGGTGGAGGAGGCGGACGCGGAGGACAGGCTGCGGCGGGTGAGTCGCCGGAACGCCGCGGCGTCGCGGCACTCGCGGGTGTCTGCGCGGCCAAGGGCTCGGCCTTCGCCAAGGCCGTGGCCAAGGCCGTGGCCGTCGCGGGGGATGGACAGCCGGCGACTGTCCCTGCGGCCCAGGCTGCCGGCCAGCGCGGCCGCCTCCTCGGCGGGGGTCATGTCCTCCAGCAGCTCGGCCCTGGAGGGCATGCGGCCCGGCTCGATGGGCCAGAACCTCTTGGTGGGGATCTGCGTCTGCACGGCCCGCACCGTGAAGTTCTCCGTCAGCCTGCCGCCGCGCTCGCCGCCGCGCCGCGTGGAGGTGCCGGAGGACGTGACGGTGGTGGTGCTGCTGCCGGTCGTGGACGACGACCTGAAGGTCGTCTTGGTGGTGGTGCAGCCCTTCTTGGTCTCGGTGACGGTGGTGGACTCGACGTTGTCGCCGGCCGCGGCCAGCGGGCTGACGGCGGGCTTGGCGGCGTCCCCGGCGCTGCTGCAGGCGCTCTGCGGCGCCCAGGACGCCATGCGGAACAGCTTCTCGGACAGCTTGCGGATCTCGTCGGCCAGGTTGATGCGGTCGTGGATGTCCAGGTGGTGGCTCTTGAGCCGCACCAGGCAGTTGCTGTCCGACGCGCGCCGCTCCGACCCCAGCAGCCGGTCGTACGGCAGCGGCAGCGTGGCCGTCGGCGACGTCGGCGACGTCGGCGACGTCGGCGTGCTCACGACGGGCTCCTGCTTGGCGGCGTCGGCGGCGTCCTCGGCCGCCGTGTGCACCGCGCCCGTGGCGATGGCGTCGGGCTCGGTGAGCACGCTGGCCAGCGACGGGCAGGGCGAGATGGTGTGGGCCTCGGTGTCGAAGATGTACGGGCCGTCGGGGTGCTCCGTCCAGCGCTCCACGATGTTGCGCAGGTTGTCCTTGGCGCCCGCCAGCTTGCCGGCCTCCGCGGCCTCCTCCACCGTGACGGCGATCTTGTTCTCGGCGTTCTTGTCCGCCACCACGGCGGAGTTGTTGTTGACCTCCGGCACCGCGCTCTTGTTGTTGTCATTGTTGTTGACTTCCGGCTTGTCCGCGGGGACGACGATGTCGACGACGATGGGCGCGGGCTGCGCAGGCTGCGCTGGCGGCGTCGGCTCGGGGACCTTGGCCCTGGGGCGCGCTGGAGGCGACTTGGCCGGCTTGCGCCGCAGCCAGCGGTGGTGCAGGCACGCCTCGGCGCACATCCGGTTCCTGTGGACAGAACGGTGCACAGAGGGACGGAGACCCAGCGTTAGAGAGAGAAGAGAGACAGACAGACAGGACAAGGGGCAGCTCCAAGCGAAACCCAACCAACCACCCCGCCAGTTAACAGCCAGGCACACTTGACCAGGTGAGCGGTGTATAGTGGGGGCGAAGGGGTCCCGGGCACCAGTAGACTCATTCCGAGTGGGAGGTCTCTCTCTCGCACCCATGGGGCGCTCCGTCTGGTGCGGGAGGGACAGCGACGGCCGCACTGTGCGGAATTAGTCTACAGACAAGCCGGGTGGGTGGGGGAGGCCGGGGGAGAGGGAGCGGGCCTTCTTGGGGCGCGCGGAGGGTGTTGCAGCAAACATTGAATTGAAGGGAAGTTTTCATCGGGCGTGCATTGGTACAGAGCAAAGATGAAAAGCAGATCCCGATATGCTGAGGTTCAAAATGACGAAAGCAGCTCTGTGAAACCTGATTCAAGTGTGCCTCACCGGTAACGGTCGCAGGAGCTCACCCCCTGCCCTGCCTTGTTCTTTGAATGTGCCGAAATGACCCGTGCCCAGTTTCTCTCTACTTTCACCGTCGCTGACCCAGCGGGGCGGGCCACGGCAGGGGGAAAGTGGTACGACGTGCCAGGCTAACCCAGGGCTGCGGGGCACTGCAGGGCTGCAGAGGGTTCGGTGCATCGTACAGTACAGTGTAGCGGACGCTGCGGCCGCGGCTGCCCGTTCGCTCTACACACCTGTTTCAGAGAGCTTTCTGCAAACCCGGAGGCCAGGTGGTGGAGTGGGGCCAGGGGCGTTCTTGGAACAACATTCTCGGGCGTGATCCCCGCCCTCCTCAAAGGGTGTCGCGGTCGCGGGATGAAAGTTCTGAACCGGCGCCAAAACCAAGTGCAAACTTTGAATTGCGTCCAAATGCTGTGTGGCTGACTCGTCGTCTGCGTCGCGGCCGGGAGCCCCACTCGCGTAACACGCTGAGCGGTCCAGACGCGGATCCAGAGGGGGTTTTGCCATGACACAGTGGGCCAGAAGACCGGTGCTGGCGGCCAAATTCCCGGACGCGTTTTCAGCTCCAGAGTCGCTGAACGGGACTAGAACCGAACGTGTGACCCCACCAATGGATTGCTCTCCGAACGAGGAATCTATTGGAGGGGTCACACGTTCGGTTCGAGTCCCATTTCGCGACTCTGGAGCTCAAAACCCGTCTAGAGTTTTGGCTGCCTCCACCGGCTTCTGGCCCACTGTGCGCTGGAAGGCAAGCCACTGCCATGCCGGCGTTTCAAAGCGTCTACCACCGCGCGCACTCACAAGCCCAAGCGAACAGCCAAGAGCAGGAAGCACATCTATGTGAGTCAAACTGATAAAACCGTTACTTGGTTAGTTAGTTCGATAGTAAATGCGCAGGACGTTAGCAGGCCGACTGGGTCGTACCGTCATCTGTGACCGTTCTGGGAGAGCGGCCGCTCACCCTCCAGTGGCGAGACTGGTGGCACTGGCGAGGCAAACCACCCTCCCGTCCACCCCTCCAAGCACAACAAGCAGCTACTTTACACGAGAGCTACTACACTGGCTGGTGTCTGTCCGTCTCCGTTATGTAAGGCGGAGGCCTTGCCAACTCTGCCGCAAATTTGTTGACCCGACTTTAATTTAATGCCACATGATTTAGGAATTTCCCCCGACTTGGCCGAAATAATCCAACGGCCAAGTGGCTTAGGAATGCCCCCTCCGCCTTCTCCAAGTCGCCACGCCCATGTTATGTACAATGCCGAGTCCTTCTTTGTACAGCACCCGCACGGGACATCCTTGCCTCACTTGAATTACAGTACATTACAATAGCTGTAAAATCATACTCACTCTTTCTCTTTGACGAGCAGCTTGGCGATAAAGTCCTTGGCGTCCTCGGAGATGTCGTTGAAGACCTCGTCCTCGAAGTCGTACTTGGCGATGGTGACGTTGGCCATGGTCTCGATGTCCGTGTCTCCCATGAACGGCGACAGGCCCGACAACCTTCCAGTTCATGAAAGGGGAATTAATAATGCGACAACCTTGACAAAATCGTAAAAGAGAAATCGCAATTGGATACGTAGTGGCTGGGAAGAAGCATAAATACCCCCCCCTCTCTCTCTCTCTCACTTACAACACATAGCAGATGACGCCGACCGACCACATGTCGGTATTGAATCCTATTTGGTCGAAGTTGACGACTTCGGGGGCGACGAACTCGGGGGTGCCGAAGAGCACTTGCAGCTTCTTGCCGACCTCGTACCGCCTGGCCAGGCCGAAGTCGATGATCTTGATCCTGTTGCCCGTCTTCGTCAGGCAGAGGATGTTCTCGGGCTGCAACACAGTGGGGCATGTCATTCCCTCGCGCAGAGGGCCAGAAGACCGGTGGAGGCGACCGAAACTCTAGACGCGTTTCGAGCTCCAGAGTCGCTAAATGGAGCGACTCTGGCGACTCTGGAGCTCAAAACGCGTCCGGGATTTTGTCCTCCTCCACCGGCACGTCACCCCCCCTACCTTGAGATCCAAATGGAGTATGTGCTGCTGGTGGACAAACTGGATTCCCTCGCAGATTTGTCTCATGAAGATGGTGCACGACTTCTCGGTGAGCACGAAGTCGTCGTCGATGACGCGCTCGAACAACTCGCCTCCCTCGATCCTGGAAAGGCACACGCTTTCATTTTGCGCCACTGCCGAATAGGTTTGGTTTGGTTAGATTAGCCAACCTCAGCCTGTCCTCTAGGCAACCATGAGGCGGCAACTTCACGAGTTCAACGCCTAGGTGTTGCCTAGAAGAGGCAGGCTAAGGTTGGCAACCCTTTCCACACAGGTGCGTCGCTGGTGGGATTTTTTCCCATTTGTGTGGCAGCACTGTCAATTTAACAGTGTAACGTGCCGGGTAGTGAGGAGCTAGGAATGCGGCGTCCACGTCTAAGTGGGGCGGCCGCAAGCGGGGTGCACCTGCCGACGGCCTGCTGCAGACTGATTCCGAGAGCCGTTTTCGTCGCTCTGTCTCTCTCGCACCTGCACGCAACGCCCCATGAGTGCGAGAGAGACAGAGCGACGACTCTCGGAATGAGCCTGCTGCCGATATTCGGGATGCTCCGCTCCACTCGAACGAGCTCCCTTGCTGATTTACGGCCCCCTCCCCTCAGCGTAATGATTTGTATACACTCGAGGAGGGAAGTGATTTAGCGCCATTTCTCAAGGATGCCCAGTCTTGACTTTCGCAATTTTTCTTCATCCATGTCATTTCGGCGAACTGATACTTTCGCCACATGTTGAAAAAGGGACAGGAAAAGTACGAAAAATTTCTGATCAATTTACCTCACAGCAGGGGCAGGGAGAAGAGATCGTTTTCGTCTCTCTCGCACTCATAGGGCCTCCGCTATACTTGCGAGAGAGGAAGAGCGACGGAAACGACTCTCGGAAAAGGTCTAGAAAGACTCACAGCTCCAGGATGAGGCAGACGTTCTTCTCGTACTCGAAGGCGTCGTAGAGCTGCAGCAGCCGGGGGTGCTGCAGCGAGCGCATGATGTCCACCTCGCGCTCCACGTTGCGCCGGTCCTCCTTGCGCGCCACGGACACGAACTTGGCGGCCAGCGACAGCCCCGTGCCCCGCTCGCGGCACCGGTACACCGTGCCGAACTTGCCCCTGGGAGGAAGGAGACAGGCAACACGGTTGTTAGAAAGGGTCGAACTTGCCCCCGCACAGTGGGCGAGAAGACCGGTGGAGGCGGCCAGAGCCCTGGACGCGTTTTGAGCTCCAGAGTCGCTAAGCAGGACTCGAACCGAACGTGTGGCCCCACCAATGGATTGCTCTCCCGACGAGGAATCCATTGGTGGGGTCACATGTTCGGTTCGAGTCCCATTTAGTGACTCTGGAGCTCAAAACGCGTCCGGTATTTTGTCCGCCTTCGTCTTCTGGTCCACTGTGCCCTGGGAGGGAAGCATCGACAGCACTTTAGAAAAAGATACCCGCGGCGCGGCGCAGGGAGAATGCGGCAAACAGGAAAAAAGTGAGCCGGGTAAACACGCTTAAAAATACCCGGCGGGGGGGGGAGGGGGGAGGGGGCGTCCTTGATGATCCCGGGTGATTGGCACGGCAGATAGGCCCCCCTGTGCTGCCGGCCAACGGGGCGATGTACGCCCCCACAGGGACGGACGGACAGACAGACAGACAGACAGACAGACCGGCAGACAAACCGCGTGGACCGGCGCCGCGGTGCCGCCCCGCCCCGCCACGCCACGCCACGCGGACCGTCGACACGTATATAGACCCCTGCAGACCGATTCCGAGAGTCGTTTTCGTCGCTGTCTCTCTCGCTCCTACACGGGACGCCCCACGAGTGCGAGAGAGACAGAGCAACGAAAGCGACGCTCGGAGTCGGTCTGCTGGCGACTCGACCGCCACGGCGGCCACGGCTCGACGGCGCCACGCCGCCAACGCCAAGGCGCGGCCGGAGGGCGGCAAGGTTCACATCCGAGCAAAGAGCAGACAACCTTGCATTCCGACGGCAGTGCCGGGCAGCGCGGCCGCCCGGTGCAGAGTGTGGGGGCGGAACGCGGCGCGGAAAGGGAAAGGTGGGCAGGTGGAGGAGGGCTGGCACATATGCACATGTGCCTGGATGCGTTTTGAGCTCCAGAGTCGCTAAATGGGACTCAAACCGAACGTGTGACTCCACCAATGGATTGCTCTCCGAACGAGGAATCCATTGGTGGTGGTGGTGGTGGTGGTGGTGATAGTGGTGGTGGTGGTGGTGGTTCCTTGCTCGTCGATTGACTGATCCTGCTCCAAGGCTCCGAGTGCTTCCCCATCACTCTGTGTACCCATTCCTGACCTACTCGCGGCCATCCCTCACGGATATCAGTCGGTGCGCCGCCCACACTGTGCACGCACAGCGCCCTCCGCGATGCGACGCGTAAACAAAAACATCCGCTTGCCCGAGGCACGCCGCGCGTCACGGCTCCATTCAAAGATTACCTCGATTTGGCGGAGAGGCTCTTTCTCCCTCTCCTCTGCCGGGGAAAGTGACCCGTGGCGTCATCCGTGATGTCACTGGTGCGAGCCCCGAGACGCCCCGAGACGCCGAAGCGACGCTGACGTCACGATGGCTTGAATGGCGTGATTTGGCCGCCGCAGCGTACTACGGCCTTCCCCCTCCCCTCCAACACCCCTAGGACCGACGCGCCTGGTTCTACACTCTAAATGTTCTACAGTGAAGATTCTCCATATTATGGTGAAAATGTTCCATATTATGGTGGTGCAGCTGACTTCGTAACATACCATCGAGAATTCACTGTACCTTATGGAGATTTTCACGAATTTCGTTGGTATTATGGAGAAAATCTCCACCATATTATGTAGGTGCAGCCTTTCACCGTAAGACATTTACTGTGTAGTCGGATTCGTTTCCGACCCAAATGGCGGCAGGACATGCAGCCGCAGGCATCTCCAAGGGGGTGATGGGCGGGCTGGCGCGGACCTGCCTTTTGCACCGCGTTTTGCACTGTGTCCGACTGTGCCTTTGTTTTCGCAGAGCGGCGGCCAAAAACACGGAATCGACAAGACACTCGGACTGAGGCAACAAAAGGAAGGGTCACTATTCCCTCACTGTTGATACAGCTGCGTTGTTTGGGGCTCCGCCTTGCGCCCCGCGCTGCCGCGTCCCCGCTGACAGTGCAGTGTGCTTGGCCCGCCGATCCATGCACTCTGGGAGGTCCTCGGAGGTCCTTCCCTTCGGTCGCGCTTGTTCAAGGACAGCCCCATTTTCGTCGCTCTGTCTCTCTCGCACTCATAGGGCATTCCGTATAGCTGCGAGAGAGACCGAGCGACGAGAACGACTCTCGGCGTGTCTGCAGAGACCGAGGGAGGCAACCTGATCCAAGGACGCGCCGCTCAGTGCCGCGACTCCCTCACCTCCCCCTTCCCCCTCGAAAACAACAACAGAAAACAACAAAACTAAACCCGAAAAGTCTTCTTTCTCGCTCTCTCTTTTCCCCATCCCTTGAAGTGTAGAGCAAATCAGTGAGCAGGACGGGTGCGCGGTTTTATGGCTATGGCTTTGCGCGGTCACAATGAGCTCGGGCCATTGTGCGAGAGAGAGACACAGAGGCAGCTGTTGGCAGAGGCCACCGCGCCTAACAACCGATGGCCCAGCCAATCGCGTTTTATGTTTTCCTGCTGTCTTTTCTTTCTTTTCTCGTCGGCCGCGGACGCGTGGACGCGCGGGCTCGCAGGGCCAGAAGACCAGTAGAGGCGGCCAAAACTCTAGACGCGTTTTGGGCTCCAGAGTCGCTAAATGGGACTCGACCCGAACGTGTGACCCCACCAATGGATTCCTCGTTCAGAGAGCAACCCATTGGTGGGGTCACACGTTCGGTTCGAGTTCCATTTAGCGACTCTGGATCTCAAAGCGCGTCTAGAGTTTCGGCCGCCTCCACCGGTCTTCTGGCCCACTGTGCGACACCCAGGACAGGGGGACGCCGCCGATCTGAGGCACGTGTGCTAGCACGCCAGACCCGCGTCTCCGCCTCTCTCCCTCTCTCTCGGTACGACTCGCCGACACTCCACGATACACTCCACCCCACCCATTGTAACAACGAGGAATGTGCCGAGACCTAAATGAGCGGGGTGGCCAGCAGAGAGAGAGAGAGAGAGAGAGAGAGAGAGAGAGAGAGAGAGAGAGAGAGAGAGAGAGACAGAAGGATGGTGATAGAGTAATTGCGCAAGGTGGTACAGTCCAGGGCATAGCCGGCGAGACCATAAGACTTTTAGAGTGCAAAGTAAATTAGTTATTATGTATGCTCAAAATACTTCGAAAGGTTTTAAGCGTGTGCGAATGAATGGAGGAAGGCCTCGTTGGGGTCGAAGCGAGTCGTCCGCAACCGCTACGGCACGGCATGGCACAGCACGGCACGGCAGGCCCGGGGTATGAATCGGTGGCCGCTCGGTTGGTCGGGGCCGGTGGTCGGTGGTCGCGAGGCGCTCTCAAATGTTGCACGGCCCGACACGGCCCGACACGGCTTGTAAATGATGACCACAAATCGCCATGTACAAACTACCGCGGGGCGCGTGCCGACCGACCAGTGCCGACGCGGCCGGCTGTCAACAAGTCGATGGCATCCACGCCCCCCACCCCTTTCCTCCCCCTTCCTCCCCCTCCTTCCTCCATCCCTCTTCCTACCCCTTCTTCCTCCATCCTTCTTCCTCCATCCCTCTCCTTTACTCCTCTCACCCCCCCCCCCTTTCTTCTGGATTACCGGCCTGTCGGATGTACTCCACCACCGACCATCCTCAACCGTCCTGAGTCGTTTTCGTCGCTCTGTCTCTCTCGCACCCTTACGGACAGCCCCATGCGTGCGAGAGAGACAGAGCGACGAAGACGGCTCTCGGAAGCAGTCTGCCGGCAAAGCAACACGGAGTTTGACACGCGGTCGTAATAAGGAAGGCAGTGGCGGTCACGCGGCCGACTGATTCCGAGAGTCGTCGCTCTGTCTCTCTCGCACCCATACGGGACGCCCCACGAGTGCGAGAGAGACAGAGCGACGCGGCGCGTGCGGCGCGTGCGTCCCCGGGCGGCACTTCAATGCCATTGGCACGCATCGGCTCCCTGTCACGCGGTGTCGCGGGGTCGCCGCCCCCAGAGTCGCGTCGCTGCTCTGTCTCTGTCGCACTCACGGGGCTCTCCGTGCGGGTGCGAGAGAGACAGAAAGACAAATCGCCCGGCAACCTTGCCGCGCGGCCGGGCCGTCGCGAAGAGAGTGGAGGCGTGGTTACCTTACGCGAGCGGCCGCCACAGTTGCCAAGCAGAAGACAAAAAGTTTCCACGATGCACCTGTGTCGATCGTTGGTGCATTTCGTTCGTGTAGAGACATTGTAGAGACATTGTGAGCAGCAACGCTGCTCTCGTCGCTGTCTCTCTCACACTGACGGGGTGACCCGCGGGTGCGAGAGAGACAGAGAGCCAGAGTCCCGGCCGGCGCACGTGCAGCACGTGGCGCGAGGCACCCCCGCTGTAAACACATTGCTCACACCTCCATCGGTGCGCCGTCTGGCCGAGCCGCGGGGGCGCACCGCGGGGGGCAACCCAGCACACTGAGAGTCTCTGTCTCTCTCGCACTCACGGCGCGTCCCGAGTGGCTGCGAGAGAGACAGAGCGACGAAAACGACTGGGGGCCGAGCCCCGCCGAGCCCTGGCAGCATGGCCAGCCGCCCCACTCCTCGAACCTCGAACCGCGAGGACCGCGAGGACCGCGAGCGACGAATTCCTCAGCAGGTTGTCGTCGGGGAGGGGCAGGGGCAGTCATCTGTCGCCGCGGCGTCGTCTACCTGAGATGAGATAACCCGCGGGAGGTCACGTCACGGGCAGAGCGCTCGGCAAGGCGGCCGCCATCTTAGTTATCCGAACAGAAGGCTCTCTGTCTCTCTCTCGCACTCGCATGGGGCGCCCGTATGGGTGCGAGAGGGGCAGAGAGCAGGGAATGCCTGCATGGCGCGGTTTGAGAGATATGAGGGGCCAATGGGCGAGTCACCGCACGCACAATTGCACCTCAAACACGCTCGTGGGGGAGGGGGAGGGGGGAGCAGAGACACACTCACGTCGTGTGAACCACTTGCTCGAACTAAACGAGCCTCTTGATTAGAACAATCCCCAGCAGTCAAATTCCGAGAGTCCTTTTGGTCGCTCTGTCTCTCTCGCACTGACTCGCGGTGGGGCGTCCCCCACAGGTGCGAGAGAGACAGCGCGACGAAACCGACTCTCGGAATGAGTCTGCAGAGGAACGTATCACGATGACAGGGGTGCATCGTGCAATCGCTCAGAAATAAAATTAAACGCTCGTTTTCGAGTCGGCGGTCCCCGCGGTTGGTTCCTTCAATGAGTCGCTTCGACAGCTCTGCGCCGTCAAAATAAAGACGACCGCCAGGGTGGGGGGTGGAGGGGGTGGAGGGGGTGGAGGGCTGGGGGCGGCCGTGCCGTGGCTTGCCGTCCCAGCCGGACGGTTCGGTATAAATAGAGCAGGTTGTGGAACGCGCTATGGCCCCCCTCCCCCTCCCCCGTGTCCGGCACGGCGCCCCGGCGTGGCGTGCCGAGCAGGACCACCGCTTGGCTGGCGCGCTGGCCCGCTGGCGCCCTTAACCCTATCCCTCTCACGCTCCCAGGCCGCCACACGCCACCGGGCCACCGCACGGCCGTCCGCGAGCGGCGTTGCCAACTTCTGCCCCTCACCCCCACCGTCGCTCTGTCCCTCTCGCACCTACACGGGACGCCCCATGAGCGCGGGAGAGACAGAGCGACGAGAACGACTCTCGGAATGAGTCTGCTGCAGCAGCAGCGCAGCAGCAGCGCAGCAGCAGCGCAGCAGCCTAGATGTAACACTTTGATCCGACGGGACAAATATTTTCTCCCCGGAAGTGAACGGTGCATTATCGACGCAAGGATTCGTCCCTTTGTGTGCGTGTGTGTGTGTGTGGGGGGGGGGTCACCAACATGACTCGAATCGACCGTGTGACCCCACCAATGGATTCCTCGTTCGAAGAGCAATCCATTGGTGGGGTCACACGTTCGGTTCGAGTCCCATTTAGCGATTTTTTGGAGCTGTGTCGGCTGCGCTGCTCGGCACACCGCGAGTAGCTGCGCTGCTGGAGCGGCTGGAGTGCAGAGCGGAGCCCCTGTGAATCCGGGGGTAGGCCAGCCCGCGGTGCAGCCGTGCGCGCCGCTCCGTCGGCGGCCTACCCGCAAGGCGCTCTGCGCCCTCGCGCCCTGCACCGGCGCACGCGGCCAGAACTCTAGGCGCGTGCAGCGAGAAAACCACCTTCTGTTCCTGTCGAGTTACGAAAGTGACTGCAAAGAGTGGACCCCCTCGCGGCGGCGGCGCTACCGGTGCGAGGAAGGCGGGCCTTCATCCTGGGGCTCCCAATAATAACGAATGTATGCAAGACCACGGCACGCACGGCGCGGCACGCCACGGACCGCCGGGCACACCTCACGCCAGAGACAGAGTTATGAGCCTGAGGTGCTTCACTACACTGCTCTCACAAGTCAAAAAGTCAGATCGACTCAAATTTAATTGATTTCCGAAATAGTAAAACTTTGACCAAGACCAATTGGTCTTTTAAGAGTGTGCCTTATGAATGTTTACTCGCTATGATGGTTTCAGAGAATCTAAAAAAAGTTGTAGGGGATTTAATTTAGCTTTGTTGGCAGTGTATGGCTACACTGCAAGCCTAAACCCTGAAAAACACACAAAAGTGTTCCGTTCCAGGGGTGTTCTACGACAGAACGGGACACCGGGAGTCCCACACTCTAAATGTCTTAAGGCTGCACCAACATATTATGGCGGAGATTTTCTCCGTATTACAAAGAAATTCGACAAAATGTCTGTAAGGTACAATGAATTTTGAACTGTAAGTTACGAAGTCAGCTGCACCACCATAATATGGAGAATCTTCACCATAATATGGAGAATTTTCACCATAATATGGAGTATCTTCACCATAAGACTTTTAGAGTGCAGGACACCGACTGGCGGGTGGCTTTGACCCGGCGAGGCCACGCCAGCCGAGTCTCGCCGACGAGCCGAGATAACGCCGAACCGACTTGTATTTATTCAGAAACACAACACCGGCAGGCAGCCTTGCGCAGCCTTGGCCCTATACTGTCTTGGCGTGCTCCTCTTTCGGTCAGTCGAAGCGCGCGAGGCCGGTCTTTTAAATCGCACGGCGAGAAGAGATTTGTGAATGCATGCCTCCCTGCACCCCCTACACCTCCACTCCACCCCACCCACACCCACTCACACAGCCACAGTCTTTGGCCTTGGCAGAGCACAAACAGAGGAAAAAACAACACCCTCGCCGCACAAGGCACAGCCACCCCATCGGCCACCCTGATGACACATCAGCCGGAAATTTTGATGCATTCGCGCATTTCGCTCATGTTCCACTTTAAAAAAAATAAAAATAATAATCTTGTGAAATGATAATGATAACCAACTTTGAAATTCAGTTTTAAAGTTTTGAATCCCACTTGAATATTGGACGGATTTCAATTAACTGCAGCTGAATTCCCATGAATGTCGATATGACTTTTACTGGTTTTTGAAGAATTTCTTTGAGTTCTGACTTAACTTATTAGTTTTGAAAAAGTGGGTCTAAAATTCAAGATAGTCTATGAATTTCTAGTGAACAAATTTATTGCAGTTGTTTCCCCTGACGATAACCCAGCACTGAATATATTTGAAAACAGAACAAAATTAGCTTTCACTACAAAACGAATAGAGTTGCATAGTCTTCGCGTGACGACCCGGACCCCATTACTTTTAGTTGCGAAGGTTCATTTTCGCTTCTTCCAGTGTCGTCCAAACTCACCGGCCGATCTCGCTCTGCAGGTCGTAGAACTCCTTGACGTCTGTGTTGCGCTTGATCTGCACATCTCGGTAGGGGAAACTGGGCTCCAGTTCTTCAAACAGGATTAGTTAATCGTGAGAAAAGATCGCAGAATAAAATGCAATTGACAACACTTTGCGAGACTGTACTCACCCCCCACCGGGTCGGTCTCGTCCACTTTTATCATGCCAGCCTCTGTAAAGAAGAGGGAACTGGAGCGACCCGCGGTCGCGGTCCGCGGTTGGGTCCGCGGTTGGGTCCGCGCTGAGTCTCGCGGGATGCCTGCCGGCTGTCTGCCTGGCCCTGCACTGTGGGGCCCGCGTGGGTACACGAGTGGAGCCGCACTGAAACTGAACCGAACTCGCGAAGCGCGAAGGGAGCGAGCCTTGTGGGCGAGGGGGAGGGGCGGGCGGACAAGGGAACGACCGTTGCCGCGGCTGCCGCCCTCTGGCGCACAGTGGGCCAGAAGACCGGTGGAGGCGGACAAAACTCTAGACGCGTGTTGAGCTCCAGAGTCGCTAAACAGGACTCGAACCGAACGTGTGACCCCACCAATGGATTCCTCGTTCGGAGAGCAATCCAATGGTGGGGTCACACGTTCGGTTCGAGTCCCATTTAGCGACTCTGGAGCTCAAAACGCGTCCGGGGTTTCGGCCGGCTCCACCGGTCTTCTGGCCCACTTTGTAGCGTCTCATTCCGGACATTGCTTTCGTCGCGCTGTCTCTCTCGCACCCTCGTGGAAGGCCGCACGAGAGCGAGAGAGACAGAGCGATGAAGGCACGAATGCGATTTTCTGTCCCTCTCGATCTGACGTCGCCCTCTGAGAAATCGCTCTCCACCCGAAAATCGACTCTTCTTTCGAACAGCTCGTACTTTCCCGCCATCCGGAAACCCTGACCAGCCTCAAGAGGGCTGCGCGGCCGCACCAACCTGACAGTCGCAGCTGGCGACGCTAGCCTCGAGTTTTAATTTATTCATTGTTATGTAACTAAAGTCGTAACGTGTGGCGGATGAAGACGCTTTTGGCCAAACCCATTTATTGCAGCGTTGAGCAGAAATGAAGCAAATGACACAAATAAGTTGTCTCTTATGCGTTGCTGGTCATGCTCTATTTGAATTATTGATTGATTCGCGCGCTCTCTCTCTATCTCTCTTTCACCTCCCTTAGTTCTTTTTGTTTTGTGTTGTATTTTTATGCTTAAACGTTTCATTTCTTTATCTTCTGCTTGTCAGAAGAAAAAGTTGAATAGTTCTTCCATGCCTCCGAAATCTTCCAAAAGCTCAAAAGCTACAAAAACTGCCACTGATAAACAGGTAATGAATTTGGAGGTTAAACCTGTCATCTGTCATTTATGATTTTGTGAATGGTTTTCGCGGTGACAGAGGTAATTTTGAAGAGGCCGAGAAACTGATTGCCCTGATAGTGAGGAGTAAACAAGAGAGATGGCTGCCAACAGCTGTGGCTCGAAGAAACAGAAGCTTAACAACTCAGCTAGTGTCGCTTGTAATGGATCGACATCTAATGGTCTCAAAAATGGGACTGTTGCCTGCCCAGAAATGTGCTTCTATTGCTTTGAAGTGCTGAATTCATATCTCAATTGCTCACAAGCACCCAAAGCTCCTGACTTCTGTAATGAGCCGTTCCCAATCTTCGTGACATGGGAAACTGCAAAGGATCGTCGCCTGAGGGGCTGCATTGGTACTTTTAGTGCGAAGAATCTTCACGTTGGACTTCAAGAGTATGCAGTGACAAGTGCCTTGAAGGACTCTCGTTTCGATCCTATTACTCTGGAAGAACTTCCAAGGTTGCGAGTATCTGTGTCGATTTTGTGTCATTTTGAAGAGGGCTCTGATTACCTTGACTGGGAGCTTGGTGTCCACGGCATCAGCATAGAATATTTCAGCGATAAAGGTGTCAGACATTCAGCAACTTATCTTCCTGAAGTAGCCACCAAACAAGGCTGGGACCAGATGCAGACAATTGATTCCCTCCTTCGTAAAGGTGGATTCAAAGCTACAGTCACTCCAGAAGTGCGTAATGCAATTAAATTGACTCGCTACAGGAGTGAGAAGATATCTGTTACATATTCTGAATACATGGACTATTGCCTTCTTCATAGTTCAAAATCCACTGAAAAATGTGCATCGGATTCTGAAGAAGATTCCTCAGAGATGCCAAATGACAAGCAAGGACAACAGATTGATGGGGTAAAAGATCTGTAGATACCTGAAGAATTTCATCATAATTTTTTGTACCAAGCTTTCTGAGAATTCTTATCTTAACTATGTGTTCCACATTGAGACTAAGCCTTTTGCTTCCCTATATTCATTATGAATATTTCTCTCTTTTACAGGCTGAAACTGGGGGTGATGGGGTTATTTCATTAACTAAATCTGGCGATGTAGCAGTTAAGATTCATGCAAAGCCTGGAGCAAAGAAAAATGGCATTACAGGTAGTCAAAATTTTCTCAAGATGATAAGTGGTTGATATTTTATTTTCAAACCATGTTGTCAGTTTGGTGATCTTTTTCTCAGATATTAGTGAGGAAGGTGTTGGCGTTCAAATATCTGCTCCACCTGTAGAGGGTGAAGCCAATACTGAGCTTGTTCGATACATTGCTGAAATTCTTGGACTCAGAAAAGGAGACATAAGTTTGGACAAGGTAATCTATTGCATATTTCAGAAGTAGCTCCTTTTGGTCATCTAAAAATTGTTTATTCAATGACGTTCTTTTTTGAATCTGTAGGGTTCACGATCAAGAAATAAGACAATTTTAGTGTCCAATGGAAAATTATCGGTTGAAGAAATAACTGAGAAGATTAAAAAAGAAATGGGCTCAAGTTAGTGCTTTTATTTTTCATTTTTTTTGCTTGAATTTTCAAGCTCATTGTGATGAGATTTAAATGTGTGTTACAATGTTACCCTCTAAGCACAGGGGTACCAAAAGTAATATCTATAAAATTGTCAAAATATTGAAAGCGTGTTGATGTTGAAAGATAATAAACCAGGTGCCAATCATGATCAGTGCCTTTGATTTTGTGAAATGGTTGAGAAACAACTGCCATTTGATTACTTTTAATTGTAATGTAACCTTGTTTCAATGAAATGGCCTAAACACTCCTATCTCAGGCTTGTTTTGTTTGTTGTAGAAGTTTCATTCTATTTACTGATCCAGGATTTTGTCAATTGATTGGTTTGGTATTTTACCTTTCAAGTTGTTGACATCTCTCAAATGTTCTTTACCAGAAAAAAAAAATTATTGGTCTCTAAGATTTAAGTTGATTCCGAACTGTCAGGTGACTTGGACATTGTCTGTTCATGTTTCATGAAGCAAAGTTTTCAGTATTCTTAAAGTTCTCAATGATATTTTATGCTGTGTAGGCTTTTCTTAATTTTTGTTTTTGACATTCATCTGTATTTTGAGGAAAGTAGAAAAAACTGTAGCAGTTAACAGTTCCACAGATTTCCCTTTCCAGCTGTTTGCTTTTCTTTGGCTATTTTCGATGGTGCAAGATTGCTCAATGCACTTCTGACATTTCCCTCTCAATGTGGCACTGGGTGTAATGAATAAACTCATAATTATTTATGTAATTCTTTTCTTTATCTAACATCCTTGTAAATCCAACATAGAAATAAGCATTAATACAACATTATGATTCTCTTCTGCTATCCATCTGTACAAAATTATCACAATCTATTAAAGACACATTTTTCCCCTAGCTTCTTGTAACTTAATATTAATTAATAATAGGAACAGTATTGGTTCGGCAGAGCTAGATGTCAAGTTACTTTAAATGAACAAGGGTCAACAAATAGCTCTGCACTCACTGTTAGGACTGATATGCCAATGGAAGTAAAAGTTTACAAGGGCACATCAATCCTGGGTTCTGGCATACTGTTTATTTATAATGAATTTGAGCTTCAGTGCTTCAAAAATATGTTAGTGAATGGAAACAAGTGAGAAATAAGTTACCTAATTTATTTTGAGTTGTTCACCCCAATAGTAGTACCATGACTCTTCACAGCATGCTTTGTTGACTGGTGCTAGTAGCATTTGGAAGGGGTACAGGACTTCAGGTCAGTCTTGCAGAATTTTTTCTTTACCAAAAAGAGTAGTAAGTGTTGTTTTTGTCCACATAAACAGTGGTTAAAAAATTTGATATTCAAATAATCTGTAAATTAGTTATTACGTGACTTCATCACATTTATATTATGTGTGTTATGAAAGTCTTAAAATTAAAATGGATATGTTTTTTCAAGAAACTCCTGGTTGCTACTCCTTCCATCTTCATGAGCTAGATTTTACAAATGATAAATCCTGAAGAGAAAGTTTCGGACATTTCATCCAACTTGTTAGGAAGATTTTTTTTTCAAAACAAGCCAACGGTAACAGAGAACAGGGTACGCTCCCCAAAAGAAGCATCAAAAATCTTGAGGAAAATACTCATAGCACCAATCCTGACTTTGAACTGATTCAAGTTTGCACTCTCAGAATCCCTGAGGTCTAAGTGTGATATGGCTGGGCCTTGCGAAACCCAATGGCTTAACGCTGAATTCTTGGCCAAAATTTGCTGGCCTATTCGATGGCTTTCTCTTCGAGCCAAGGCCTGAAGATGGGCAGGGTGGTCGGGTAGTGGGTGTTGTGCTTGCGCCGGAGCGTGCCGTCGTTGGAGCGCAGGGGGTACGTCGCCATCATGATGGGCAGCTGCAGCTTGATCTCCTTCTCCAGGCTCTTCGGGACGATGATGAACTGCAAAGGGAAACACAAAAACGTTAACGGGGCTGAGGAGCACGCAAAGGTAGCGGCCGCGTGCAACAAAAGGGATACAGAATTCAGAGAGAAATAGTGGTCGTGGAAACGACGACTACCGAAGACAGGGAATTCCAGCCAGGCGCAGGGTAGGCAACCCCGCATTTTTTACCTACTTTTTTTCTTTCTTTCTTTTTTTTTGGGAGGGGGGGGGGGAAGCATTGGTACTCACGTAGACGTCGTACTGGATCTTGATGAGGTGGCAGCCCCTGAGGTTGGTGGGCGGCAGGGGCGGCACGTAGAGCTGCTGGTTGTTCCACTCGTCCGACTGGCCGGGCCGAATCTTGCCGCGCCGCAGGGACGCCAACTCCCTCGTCTCCATCTGGACCACCTTGCCGCCGCTCATGTACGAGATCGTCTGCGGACACAGGGACAGAGGTTGGCAGGGCCGTTTCTAGTGGGCCAGAAGACCGGTGGAGGCGGCCAAAACTCTAGACGCGTTTAGAGCTTCTGAGTCGCTAAATGGGCCTCGAACCGAACGTGTGTGGGGACACCAATGGATTGCTCTCCGACGAGCAATCCATTGGTGGGGTCACACGTTCAGTTTGAGTCCTGCTCAGCGACTCTGGAGCTCAAAACGCGTCCAGAGTTTTGGCCGCCTCCACCGGTCTTCTGGCCCACTGTGCGGCGTGCGCGTCGAGGAGTCGAGGCCATGCAAGCCACTCACCGCCAGGATGGGCGGCTCCAGGTTGAGGTCGATGGGGTTCATGACGATGAACACCTGCTGGTTCTTGTGCACCAGGCCCTGCGGCTCGCGGAGCGCCGCCTTGCAGTAGTACTGCACCCAGCCGTGCTTGCCCAGGAAGGTGGAGGGCAGCCCCAGCGGCAGGCCCAGCTTGAACGGGAAGCTGTGGATGCCGGGGGACAGCACCACGGGCGCGGAGCCTGCCGAGGAACACGCCAACGGCACTCGTCAGGGGCGCCCAAAGAACACGAAACGCTCACAGTGACGTCATTTTGATGTCAATATGACCAATTTCAGTCAAAATTTCGACCAAAAAAAAGCATAATTTTGACATTATTTTGACGTCGTCATTTTGACGTCCTGGGCGTGTCCACTCGAGCAAGTGTCGCTGCCAACACGTCCCGTTGCAGGGGTCCTGGTTCCGGGGTCCTTGGGCACGCCTTGGGCACGCCGAACGCCTACCTGGCTCGCCCAGGAGTCGCATCCTGAAGTCGATGTAGCTTTCTCGGTCAGCGGGCCGGTCCCTGCGAGGCGTCCGCAGCTTGACCACGCCCTCGCCGATCACGTGGAAGTGGAGGCCTGTCGACAGGGACACTACGCTGTTAGAAGGGACAGCCGCACACCGATTCCCAGAGTCGTTTTCGTCGCTCTGTCTCCTCCGCACCTGGAGGGGACGCCCCGTGAGAGCGAGAGAGACAGAGCGACGAAAACGGCTCTCGAAATCAGTGTGCTGACGGCCTGACGTGCCCAATGTTTATCTTTAACGGTGTTCCGGCCGGCGCGGCTTGGCGCGGGTACTCCCCCCCCCCCCTCTCTCTCTCTCTCCGCGGACTGCGTCAGGACCGCGTCCGGAGGAGTCCGGGGCGCCGCGGCGACCTTGCGCCTCACTCCCACCCGCAGCCTGTGGGCCGCCACGAGCTTCGTCGCGCTGTCTCTCTCGCACCCACACGGGGCGCCCCATGAGAGCGAGAGAGACAGAGCGACGAAAACGACTCTCGGAATGAGTCTGCTGCCGCCGCGCTGCCGCAGCCCACCCGGCCAATGGGAGCCGAATCCTTGCGGGCTGCGGGCACTGCGGCCTGCACGCCGCGTCGGCCGCGGCTCCAGCGGCTTGGGGCTCGGCTCGGCTCCGCTCCTCCGGTCCGGGTAGTCCGGGTAACGGAACGCTTTGCGTACCGCGCACCGCCACCGCCGCGTTTGAGCGACTTGGCGACGCAGCGACGCACAAGGCGAAAGGCAGCGCGGCCGTCTGAGGGACCGTTTCGTCCTCTGTCGCACTTCTTGGGTGTTCCCGAGGGGGGCGAGAGAGACAGAGCGACGAAATGGTCCTCCGGCATCGGATGGCTGGCGCCCCGTTGCCGACGACCAGAAACGATCCTGGGCAACCCGGAGCTCGTTGAGGATCGAGTATTTAGTGCCGGCTGCTGCTCTGGATTCCATTGCCGCACTTACGCTTCGGCACCAACTTGGTGAAAAAAAGGGCGGAAAAGTCCACAATCCTTCATACGAGACACTGTAGTGGCCGAAACATGCTATTGTTACCCCCTAAATTGCCCCAAGTTACCCCTTCATTGCCCCAAGTTACCCCTTCATTGCCCCGAGTTACCCCTCCATTGCCCCAAGTTACCCCCTCATTGCCCCAAGTTACCCCTCCATTGCCCCAAGTTACCCCTCCACTGCCCCAAGTTACCCCTCCATTGCCCCAAGTTACCCCTTCTTTACCCCAAGTTACCCCAGCCACTCACCGAGCGACGGCGTGTCCTCCTCCAGCTCCACCAGCACCCGGCCGCTGAGGAACTGGCCGGGGAAGTACAGCAGGTTGGTGTTGTCGAAGAGGATGAGGAACTTGAGCAGCTTCCGCGGCATCTTGGGGCCGTGTCGTCTCCCCTACGTGGCCGTGGCGGTGTGGATGGCGTGCTCCAAGGCCTCCAAGGCCGCGCCGCCCGTGTCACGCTGTCTGGCGGCGATTGTGCACACTGCAAGGCCTGCCAGGCAGGGGCGGATCCAGGCGGGGCAAGAATCGGCTTCGATTCTGCGTGGGTTGCCGGTGGGCGTGGCGGGGCGGGGCGGGGCGTGGTGGGGCGGGGGCCTCTACGAGACACCACAGCGGCGTTCCATGGCGTTCTGCGCCGACTGCACGTCCCTGTGGCGGGGCCGCGCCGCGTCTGCAATCAAATCAGCAGGTGCACTAATTATCACTCTGCAAAAAAAAAGTCTGGAATTCCACAGCGCGAGAGGTCGATGGCCGACGGCGGGGATCGATTTCGAAAACAAGTAAGATGATCGGTTTCGGGGTTTTGGAGGGTTCTTTAGGCATTTTCGCATAATTTGTAAAATTACGAATTATAAAAAACGTAAAGTTGTAAATTTATAAATTATAATCTGACATTGTGCCCATTCAAGCACCATTCTGTATTGTTTGAATTTTTGCTCTTCCTCGCGCTCCCAGACGCCGCTCAAGCTACTGATTCCTTTGGATGCAGTGTACAAGTAACGATGCGCAAAGTCGCACAGGCTTGGGGACGACCGACATAGGATCTTCACGCAAAGCAGACGTTTTAAGATTTTTTTAGAGTGTGCTCTTGGGTACACTATATACGCATCGCGCTGCTATCTATGCAGATTACTGTGCTCCAGTTGCTCCGGCCTGCCTCTGGCCTGCCTGCCCCGCATGGTTTTACTCTCGTTGACCGCGGCATTTCAGAGCGTGACGCCACTGGAAACGACTCGTCCACACAGACAAGGCGGCGTCACGAGTGCCTGCACCGTGAAAACGGACAGTCAAGTCGACTGGAATTCGGCCAATTTCCTCATCTTGACTGAGAGACGGACAACGTCCCGTTAATGCATACAGGTGAAGGTAGGCGGCCGAAACTCTAGACGCGTTTTGAGCTCCAGAGTCGCTAAATGGGACTCGAACCGAACGTGTGACCCCCACCAATGGATTGCTCGTCCGGAGAGCAATCCATTGGTGGGGTCACACGCCCGGTTCGAGTCCCATTTAGCGACTCTGGAGCTCAAAACGCGTCTGGAGTTTTGTCCGCCTCCGCCGGTCTTCCGGCCCACTGTGCGACGATCCCTCGCAACGAGGCCGTCATTGCTTCCCGGCGGAGGGAGGAGGCCGCGAGGCGCGTGCGCGGCGTTACCGTGGTTACCGCACGCCGCCCCGCCGCACGCCGCACGGCTTGGATCTCTGGATGGCGCGGCTGGATGGCTGGATGGCGCAACCAATGCATTGTGAGCCATGTAAGGCGGTGGGCCAGTCCACTGGGTCGACCCGGGACGACGGCCGCCAAGGCACACTCATTCCGAACATTGTCGCTCTGTCTCTCTCGCACTCATGGGGCGTGCCGTGTCGGTGCGAGAGAGACAGAGCGACGAAGCGACGCTGCTCGGAATCAGTCTGTCGTGTCACTCGGACCACCGCGGCGTCGCGTGGCACGAGCTGGAGACTCAAACGCCAGCCAGCGGACTGACTCCGAGAGTCGTTTTCGTCACTCTGTCTCTCTCGCACCGCTTAGACACGCCCCACAAGTGCGAGAGTGACAAGAGTGACAGACGACTCTCGGAATCAGTCAGCAGCCGACCAAAGCCGAGCCAAGCCAAGCCTAGTCAAGCCGCTCCGGAAGCGTCACTAACTCAAATAAGGCTGGGGCTGCTGGAGCAAACACCAAACACCCGCACTGGAAACGGGGATCGCCGGCAGCACGTGACAGCAGCTGGAAGACGGGAAGGGAGGGGGGAGGGGGGTCGTCCGCGGCCTTCCCTCCCACAGGCTCCGCGGCGCTCCGCGGGCTTCGGTCACAGTGGCCGCCAGCAAGCCGGCGCTACTTTCAGTTTCTGCCGCGGCCCGCGCAACAACGCGGAGGAACAGGACGTCCTGCACTGCAGTCCTGCGGCCTGGAGACCCATTCCGAGAGTCGCTTTCGTCGCTCTGTCTCTCTCGCGCCGCCACGGCGCTACGGGACGACGCGCGAGTGCGAGAGAGAAAGCGCCTGGAGGGTAGGCAGTGCGGCCGGGCGGAGCGCACGCCTGTTCGGCGGAGCGGCCTACCCTGGACTTCGCAGGCGCTCCACTGCAGGCGGCCAAAACTCCAGACGCGTTTTGAGCTCCAGAGTCGCTAAATGGGGCTCGAACCGAACGCGTGACCCCACCAATGGATTCCTCGTTCGTAGAGCAATCCATTGGTGGGGTCACACGTTCGGTTCGAGTCCCATTTAGCGACTCTGGAGCTCAAAACGCGTCCGGGATTTTGGCCGCCTCCGCCGGTCTTCTGGCCCACTGTGCGCCGAGTCGGACTCGGGGAAGTCGGCCATTTTGCGGTGGCCGGGCTGCCGATGGAATATCGAAACGGCTTGCGTCCAACATCGACGCATCGACAGCGTCCGAGTCGATTGTCTCGGTCTCCTCTCCCACGGTGCGTCGGTCGGGCGGTCCAAGACCGAGTCCAGGACGCCCAGGACGTCGACGTCGAAGCGGCGGAAGCTCGTGAGAGAGTCTCACATGCGTCGCCGCCTCGGCGCCTTCCGCGGACGCCGCGTCGCTCTGTCTCTCTCGCACCCCTGCGGGACGCCCCGTGAGTGCGAGAGACAGAGCGACGAAGCACTTACGGATGCACTCTTCTGGCCGAGACACGCCACACGCACAGCCCTGGCACAGCCCCAGCGCCCAAGTCTCCGGATGCGCGGGGCCGCGATGCTCGGACCGAGGAATGAGAGAGAGAAAGAGAGAGAGAGAGAGATACTTCACAGCTCCAGCGGGTCCACGCAGGGTGTCACACTTTCTGAATTTTAAGTGAGCGCACCAGGGAACGCCACATGAACTCTCTTGAGGCTGCCCTCTGGAACTCTAGACGCGTTTTGAGCTCCAGAGTCGCTAAATGGGACTCGACACGAAAGTACGACCCCACCAATGGATTGCTCTCCGAACGAGGAATCCATTGGTGGGGTCACACGTTCGGTTCGAGTCCCGTTTAGCGACTCTGGAGCTCAAAACGCGTCAAGAGTTTTGTCCGCCTCCACCGGTCTTCTGGCCCACTGTGCATCGGCGTGGCTGCTGCATGGTTCGCACGCCATTCCACACTCCACACACACTCCACTCCACTTTCACTGTCTGATGACGACGCCCTTACAAAAAGTCCGAGCGTCACGAAGCCGTCGGGCTCGCCTCCGGGGTGCGGTACCGACAACAGGCACGTCGCCCAGCACACTGATTCCGAGAGTCGTTTCCGTCGCTCTGTCTCCCTCGCACTCATGGCGCGTCCCGTACAGGTGCGAGAGGGACAGGGCGACGAAAACGACTCTCGGAATCAGTCAGCAGGTCGCGCTAGTCGCGATGACCCCCCGGAAGGTGGAGGGGGGTACATTAGCATGTGACCCTGAGCAGACTCGGCCAAGCTCGCGAAGCGCGAAGCACGCCGGAGAGGCGTTGGGGCGTAGCGGTACCAAGACTATCTGTCGAGCAGCAGACATCAGTGTCAATCTCAGGAATGGACGCATGGGAGCTCTTTCATTCAAACGAATACTTCCAAGAAAGTCGACGCAATTTTAGTCGACATGAGTTTTTTTACAGTGTACTGAGTACGCAGGTACACTCGTTTGCTGCAACACAAGACAGTTAATTTTAAAAAGAATCGCGCGCTGTCTCCTCTTGGCTCAGCTCTGCCGGTGGCAGTGTCTGGGTTCGTTGTCGCTGCGAACTGCAGCGCGCGCGAACGCCAGCGAGCGAGAGAAATCCAACGTCTCGGCTCGCGTTGACAAAGACTGGAACCTTGACGGGCGGGCGGGTGGGTGGGTGGGTGGGCACGGACCTAACCTCACTTTGCGTCTGCTTGCGTCAAGGCGGGTCTACTGGCGGCGCGACGGGCTGGGCGATCACCCGCAGGCCGCACAGTGGGCCAGAAGACCGGAGCAGGCGGCCAAGACTCGAGACGCGTTTTGAGCTCCAGAGTCGCTAAGCAGGACTCGAACCGAACGTGTGACCCCACCAACGGATTCCTCGTTCGGAGAGCAATCCATTGGTGGGGTCACACGTTCAGTTCGAGTCCCATTCAGCGACTCTGGAGCTCAAAACGCGTCCGGGATAGACTATTTCAGCGGAGCCGAGAAGAAGAACAAAAGGCGAGCGGGCCACTTCCGCTTGGGTCACAACAAACAGACAACAGAGGATTTAAACATCGCCGAAAATCTCTTTTTGAAAGTTACGCGGCGTTTTAAAGCTTACACATAATATTTGAGACTCATCCGAGTGAAAATAACATGTTATTGGAACCGCTGGTAGGTAGAAAACCAACGCGTCGTCTGTTTGTTGTGACCCAACCGGAAGTGACCCGCTCGCCTTTTGTTCTTCTTCTCGGCTCCGCTGAAATAGTCTATTTCGACCGCCTCCGCCGGTCTTCTGGCCCACTGTGCGGCCTGGCCCTACACTGTGGGACACCTCAGGAGTGCATTCCGGCCTTGCAGTGTAGCGCAGGGAGTGCCAGGCCGTCGGCACTCCCCCGTCGGCGGACGGCAGCGGAACTCACTCACCCTCAGGCCGGGAATCCCGGAGAGGCACCAAGGCGAGCGCCTGCGCCGAGTGCGCGTCGCGCGGCCACGGGCTGGGCCTGCAGGGCCGTGTCCAGGCAGGCCCTAGGGCAGGCCCGTGCGGCAGCGGGGCAGCCAGGCGCGGCGCGCAGCCTTAGCGCAGCGTTAGCGCGGCCAGGCGAGGCGGAGACGCGAGGCAAGAGCGAACACCTGGTCGGTCGGCACCGCAGCCAGCGCAGCCACTGGCCTCAGCCCCGAGCCGAGCCGCCCATGCCATGCTGCGGCATGCTGCTGCTGCCCCAGCCCCCCAGCCGGGCCAAGCTCAGCCGCCCCACGGCCCCACCGTGCCGCTGCCGCCGCCCCACCTGCTGCTGCGGCGGTGGCGGCTGCTGGGCCCAGCGCCGGGAGCCCCGAGGGGGGAGGGGGCAGAAGGTCGTCGCGGCACCATGGCGGCACAGGACGCCGCGAGGAGCGAGGACCGCGGGGACGCAGGGAAGGCGAGGCTTCCAGCTTAGTCGTTTCCATCGCTCTGTCTCTCTCGCACTCACGGGGCGTTGCGAACAGTTTCAGTGTAGCATTTGGTGGACGTGCAACTGAGCTTCCCCACCTTAAATGCACTCAGTTGAAATTCATTTTTAAGTTTTTCAGGGTAAAAGAAAAGTAGCAAAAAAATAATTTATATATAAGAATATTTAATCCTCATTGAACAGTCATGTCTTTGCTCACTTGACTACTAACATTGAAGATTGGACGGAGAGGCTCCACAATGGTCATAAAAATTCAAATACAAATTGATGCCCTAATGGACAAGAATTGATTAAAAAGAGGAACATTAAACATTAATGAAAAATTATTCTTGATCAAACATAAATCAATTGGAAAGTTCAGTCGGTGAAAAACAAAACCCCTGAGAACTACAAGAAGAACAGGCGGTCAGATAGCTTGTCTGAGTAGTCCTTCTGAATACTTTTGCCCACAAGTTCGGCAAGCTTGTGTGCATACTGAAAAAGAAAAAAAAAATTAACAAAAGCTAAAAGCAGCATCAAAATTAAGAAAATAAGAATTTGCTTTCTATTTCCAAAATACCTGGCAAGGAGCGGGGACGCGCACTGTTCCAGGCCAGTTGTAATACATGTGCGTGAGTTTGTACGCAATTCTTTGCACATGGTCAACTTTCATCTGACAACCGTCGTGTATGACGATGTAGTGAGTTGGCGTCACCGTCCCCTGTAGGTTCAACGAAGTTGCTATTTAAAGCTAGAATTATAAAAATGAAAATTAATGCGGAACCATGCTTACCTGGTTAGAGAACTGACTTACTAGGAAGAAATCATAATAATTCCTTCTAGTGACAGTATGGTCTACCACTGTTCCAGGTGGAGGGTTGTCATAATTTCCCCCCTGAAACAGACACGACAGTTGAACAACCAATGTCATCATCCAACCTTCAACCAAATCCAACCAGAAATTCAGATACTAACCAGTTGTTGGAATATTCTGCAATTGATTCTCTTTTGAACTATAACTACAGTCAATTTGGGTGAGTAAGTCGGGCTAACTATAGAGAAACAGCTCATGAGCTGAGGAATTTCCCATTCAGACGCATACTTTAACTGCCCATCACCTACACCATCTCTAAACATCATGATTCGGTCAGGGAATTTCCCATTCACCTGCATTCATCAAATGTATAAGTATTATTGCACATCGGAACACCTAACATATCATAAGTGTGAGCAGCAAAAAAATAAAGCAATGAACCAGGCTTACATCATGATATTTCTTGAGGGCGCTGATTAGGCACAACTTGAGTCCATCAACAAGCTCCTGACCAGGGGTTTGGAATGTTACCTTGCTAAACCACCTTGTGAGGGGCTGGTTCAAACTAGCAACAAATCCAGTCACACTGGCACCTTTCCTTGTTGGATCGTGATAGACATCCATACCACAGACCATAAAATCATCCTGAAACAACACATACTTCAAATCATCCTGAAACAACACATACTTTAATATCTGGAAACATAATGCAGGTTACAGACAGAAAATTGATTTACTTACAAAGGGAATTTTCACAGCCCATAGGGCTCCACCCAGCTTGCAATTAATCTGAAGTGCTATTTTTTGGACTATACTTCTCAATTTATCAGGTCTTGATATGGTTTTGCTGTTAATGACCTACAATTCAAAACAAAATTAGTTTGAGGAAAGAAATCATAGAAGTAAACAAATTTGTGCTGAATGAAAATGAAAGGCACTGAATAACCTGAGATGCGATCGGCATGTCAGCGCAAGTGATTTTCTTTATAGCAGCATATCTGTCGTCTCTGCTGGACGGACAAATGGTAACAACTAGCTGAAGCGGGGGTTTAATATTCTCCCTTAGAACTTTAACATAGGCATTGGTGTTTTCTGAAGGCAGAGGCAAGAAGGTAGGCTTCACCACTTCTATCCCCATCTGTTTGCCAACTCGCACCAACGTGTCTGCGAAATCTCTGGCGATATTGGAATCCTTTTGGACATATACGATGGCCCAGGCCATTAAGTCAACCTGCAGAGGAAACCAACATCAAAGTAAAACCGTGAAAAGAAACACTCCACGCATCATTTGAGAATGAAGAGTAAGGTACTCACGGCAGTCAACACTGCACTATTCGTTGCATCGCGGCTCCAGTCCGCTTTAGGTCCAACAGTTATTTCTTTGTTGTTCCCAAAAACAATCTTTTCTGATTGCACAACTCGAGCATCAAAAGACACTGTTGAATCTTCAATGGTGAGCCCCCAGTCTGAGAGGACCTTCCCAGCATCTGGATTCTCTGAATTCAAAGGACGGTAAAATATAAAATTAAGCAGGGCAATTGAAAATAGATATCTGGAGCATTGACAAATTTGTCCTTTACAACAAACCTTTTACAGATCTGATGAATTTTTTGAGCGCCATTTGCCTTTGATTAGGTGTGATGCGCGTATACGTGGCGATATCTTTCATGAGGGTAAAGTTAGTCCTCATTGAGTCCGTAAGTCCAGTCATGTTACAAAGTTCGGGAATCAGACAAATTAATTTGTCTGGTTGTGCCTGAGAAAATTTTTAATTTGTTATTTAGGGCAGGTGCTGAACTTTGGATTTCTAATGTGAATTTAATCTTCAACAAACCTCTTCGCCTCTCTTTGGGCCAGTCTTTTTCTTCTCCTTGCTAATAAGCAAAGGCTGCTTTAAATCTCTGATTGTTATGTCATATTGCTTTTTGTAATAATCAACAAAGGAGGTCTAGACAACAACAGAAGTAGTAATTAGACAAACAAGCATGCCCTTTGCTAAGAACTTAAAGAGAGTTCAAATGCTCCTACCTCACCACCCCCTCTATCAGGAAAAGTGTCCTGAGGTGACATATCAAACCCAATATCATCCACCCGGTACAGTTTGTCATTGTACCGGGTAAGGACACAAGCCCCAATTAGATCCTTGGTTACCACACTCTGCCAATTATCTCGGCTTCGTCCCAGTGCCTCCTTTCTGCAACAATAATAGGAGTAGAAGACATTTTCAAAGAGTACATAAATATAAAAGTCACAATACTTGGGTTTCAAAATACATACATGACATCATAACATGTCATCTGACGCAAGACTCTGTGAGAAGCATTTATGTTCAACATAATACCCCCTTCGTATTCTTCAATTGCTGTCACGTATCCGGGCCAGATCTCTAGCCTGTGATGTTGACAATAATATGAACGTATTAGTTCACGCCAAACAGCAATGAGCAAGAAACAGTGCAGGAAAAAGAAAAGATTAAAAAGGAACAAGAATCTAGAGCCTTCCTTTCGGGGGAGAGGTAATAAGCTTACTTGTGCTGCGGAATTGTTGAAGATGCACTTGGATTATAGTGCTGACGCCCCATCCTAGTAAAGTTGAGAACTCTAAATATTTTAGAGAGTAAAACATTGTAGAAATGAGTGCATTCACCCATTCGCCTTGTCTTCTTGTACATTATTTTGACAGTGACATCACTGCCATCGACTGGGTGTTTAGCTTTTATTAAAGTTGTCTGGAAAATAGAATAATAGACATTAGATTGAGAGGCCCAAAAGAATGAGTTTCAAAATACATTTTGTGGTACATACTTGTTCAGGGAGCTTTATTGGCAAATAGAGCACCACTCCATCAAAATTTTTCACTCTCCCAAATGCATCTGAGACAGAGTTCAATATTCTGAAACAGATCTGTTTGCTGTCGCATTCAGGATTGAATCGAACTTCATACTCAAAGAAACCTTTCCCAGGTTCACACCCCAATCGCACAAAATTGGCACTCGCCTTAATTCTAAAATACAGAAACAGAAGGGATGAGTATCTAGGCTACTTAAGATAAAAAAAAAAAACAGAATTAACTTTAAAGATACATACACTTTTCCAGTCTCTCCTTTCCTGATGACAGGAGGCTTTTCCTCTCGCTCCTCACTCACAGCTAATTTTGCAGTAGATGAAGTTACCTCTTCAACTGATGAGGTCACAGAGCCAGGAGAGGAAGGGGTTTCAACTTGTGGCCTGAAACACAAGGCGTCATTACCACCAATCACAACTACGGGCAATCAAGGGAACTGACCCAGGAGCTAAAGATTTCTTCATACAGAAACAAATAAATGAGCCCAAATGACGGAAGATGATGGTCAATCCGTCATAGAGGAATGTCTCACATGGGTCGAGGAGTAACTAGCCACTTACCTTACGCCCCGAGCTAAAGAAGCCAGAAGGCTCCCCCTGCCCCCAGGAGCAGGAGCTGCTGGTGAGGCACTGGCAGGGCTGGCAGGCTCCGCTGCAGGCGCAGGCGGTCCAGGCAGGCTCCTTGCGCCCCCCGCCAGGGCCTGGAATAGGGCAGCCCTCCCCTTGGGCAGCGGCGCCACAGCCTGAGGATTCAGAACAAGACAGGGTGTGAGTTGTTATGGAAGCTGGCGGCAACACCAGAGCAAGTCTCATAATCTCAGACAAGAGTACCAAAGGAAGCAAAGGCCGATGCTGCCCCGTAAGTGCGAGGGAGGGAGTTCAGCAAAGTTGGAATGTTTCGACTATACTCACAGGCAGAGCTGGAGTGGGAGCCGCAGTGGGTTCTTGGGGGGTGCCACCGGGTTGTTCTTCCTTCTGTTTCCTTAGCGCTTCCAAAAGCGCCAGGCCGCGGCCTCCTCGCCCAGCCATGGTGGCTCACTACACTGCAACAGAATTGCCATCATTTAGCCTTGCTTCCACGCAACAGTGTGTCGGTGACGCACTGATGGGGCTGAAAGGGGCGGCCCGCACGGGTGCGAGAGAGACAGAGCGACGGCAGCACTGCCGCTGGAGGCAGAAGTTAACCTAAACAGGTGGCGGCCAATACCGAAATGGTTTGCGAGCGACTCAAGTAACCTCTCTCATACAGAAATCTAATTAGAGTCCAAAGCATCTCGATAACTTCACATAAGGCACACTACAGCGATGCAGATGCAGAATTGCGAAGGAAAGCAACAGGTAACCAAGTTGAAGTCTCCACAACACTTCTCCAAAGTGCGAATGTGGTGATTTCACGGATCCGGCGCACCACAAAATAATCACGATCACAAACTGAAATCTTAATTTTTTACCTGAATCGGAATGCGAATTGAAAATATTCAGCGAACTACAAAACTTTGCTAAATCAAATGCGATAATGAAGAATCTGGCTTTTCTCTTCACTGTTTACTGTTTCACTGTTTCTAAGTTTGCAGGGTAGCCAACAGCCCAGAGCTAAATAAAGGTGGCATAAATGTAAAAACTCATCCCATCAAAGCTGACGTTGAAAAGCAATGCAAATAGAAAATTTAATACCGTTCTCCAAAAGCCGAATCAGTCGGGTAAGAAGGAAACCGCAGAGATTACAAAAGAGATAGTATCATTCACGGGAAGTTGCACTCTTGGAGGGAATACCCAAAACACAAAAATTTATGTGATTTACAGGTTATGTTCATTTCTTGAGTCGATTTGATTAACTTTGATTAGGTCGGGTTGACGCAACGCTGAGCCATTAGCATGACGCAACCACGACAAATCCGTCAAATCGAATCGGAGGACGTGCCCCTTACGCAACAACAGGGAGCGGGCGGGGTTTTCAAAACGTGGCCCCGGGGCTACCACGTAAATTTGCGCAGATCACTTCAATCGATCGGTTGAGCACAATCCGTAGGTCCTAAGTGCTGCACGAAGATGCCACAGTGTACTTACAGCTTACAAAGAACGCAGTGTGGAGCGTGCTTCTGACCTGGACAAGTTCTGGCAAGCGAGATGACGTCGACGTTGGTGGTTGCTTCACGCGTTGCGTTGCGTTGGTGTAGGGGGCGGTGAGGCCTACCAATATAAGTTGGTGAAATCGGCAAATAAAATCAACAAAATATCCTCGTCATGCCACTTTAAAAAGTTTTAGCCGAATTTATTGCAACATTTTCGCAACACTGTTCGCCAACCCCAAGGGGTTGGTAGCGTCTGGTAACTTTTATGCTGTGACAAAATTATTTCCAGTAGCACAATCATAAACAAAAAATTTAACAATGAGGGGAAGGGTGGCGGGGTGATGGGGACCATTCGCATTCGAAGGCGTCAGAGCGCGACACCGTCGGCTGTGACGTCACCATGGGACCTAGTTTAACGAAAAACGAAAGGCTGGGTAAGTGAAAGGTTTTCCAAATACGGTGCCTAGAAGTACTGGGGTGATTTAAGTGACAAGGAAAATGTGAAAATTTGGGGTATCCCACGGCCCTCTGGAGTAGTTCTCCCCCAACGGGTAGAGGGTGAGCTTTTTCAATGGGGAAAGGGAAAAAGGAAAGGGAAAACGGTGGGGCGGTGGAGGGATCTGGAAGTTCCATATCGTCCCACGAAACTTCCGAAAGTAGTCCTTGGCGTTTTTCCCCATTCCGATATTCAAATGTTTAAAATAAGAGAAAAAGAGGGCAAACCCGGGGAAAAGACAAAGTGTGGGCCTTTGACTAAAATAAGTGTATTCGGAATCTTTTCCAGGTAAACCTTCCGAAAGTTTGGGGGCCCGGGTCCCAAGGAAGAACCGATTCTCCCAAAAAATTTAAAAAATTAAAAATTTCAAAAAAAAAGGGGAACGGGGCAGACAAAAATGTGTGGGCCTTTGACTGAAATAAGTTGTTATTTTTGAATTCTTCCAGTTGCTCAAAAAAACCTGGGGGGGCCAAGGGAAAAAATTTTGAGCCGGTTCCAAAAGAAGCGACTCTCTTTCAACCCCAGAACCCAAAACTTTCCTAAAGAATGGAAAAATTTCCCAAAGGGAAGGGGTGGAACGGGGCAAAAAAAAAGGTGGGTTTATAAAATTAATTTGAAATTTTGAATTTTCAATTTTTTTTTAAAAAATAGAAATTTGGGAGGCACGGCCCAGGGGAGAAGCCCAACCTGGGCATTTAAACCAAAAAATTTTAAGAATAAGCCAGATTCCACAAAATTTAAAACGGGGGAAGCTGGGCATACAAAATTGTGGCTTAACCTATGAAGTTTCCTTTTTTAATTTTCCTTTTTCCAGTTTCCACTCAATTAAATTGCAAAAAAAGGTTTTTCCAGAAATTTGGTTTAAAGGGCTCGGACCACTGTTTTGCCCAAATCAAACCCAAATGGTTATATTGTCCGAAAATTGTTCCTTAATTTTTCAATTTTTATTTACCGAAATTGTGGCAACCCGGTTTAGGGTTAAGTATTAGTTTTAATACCGATTACCTGCCGGCCTATTTCCCTGTTCCGGTTTTTGGGGGGTTTTTAGAAAGGGTTATGCGGGGCGGAAAATATACAGTTTCCATACTGCGTCCAACGGATCATCTACTATGTGCAGTAGGGTCATACTGCATCCAACAAGAAAATTTTATTTACAGTACGGCTCGGAAAATTCGTAAACTGCACGGAAGTGCTTAAAAATTAACTGCAGTACAGCTATACTGCATCCAACGAGCGAATCGTATGTGCAGTGTGGCTCGGAAAATTTCCATACTGCATGCAAATCCCCAAAAAATAACTGCAGTATGGCCATACTGCATCCAACGAAAAAATTACTATGTGCAGTACGGCTTGAAAAAAAAGTAATTCTGTTCATAACTGGTAAATGGATTACTTACTGCATCGTCTGCTAAATACCTTATTCACAGTGCGATGTGGAAAAGAGTATGATCTGAAAGCCACAGCCCGTTCACATTTCTTTTCAAAGTAACCTTTCCTCCTCCACCACTATCGTCGCCATAGATGCCATTCAGACATATGTTGGGGTGGTTTGAATGGTTCAAGACTGAGGGAATCTAGCAGCATTGCGGTGCGAAGGCTTACACAGGACAACGTACCAGAGTTGTGTGCCGAGCGCCAGCAGCGTGCGAGGAGGGGAGGAGCGGAGGATGACCGTGCGCTCCGACGGAGGCTTCCCAGGCTTCCGTAAATTTTAAAACTCAATCGTCCAGAGCTAGTCCATAACCTAACGGAGCTCAAAGAAGCGGCAGATGCTCCCCTACTGCAGGAGCAGAGTCTGTGACTTACTCGGGCAGACTGGAGTACCGCTGCGGTCTGGGGTCCAGGAGTGCTTCCTCTGCAGCCTCCGCGCCAGGCCGAATGGCCTCCTCGCCCAGCAGTTCGGCGCCTACACGCCAAAGAATTGAAAACAAGACAAAGTTGTCTATGATGGGGCGAACGCCCGCACTGGTAGCAGAGTAGCCAAGCGACGCAGCCACTGCCGCTGAGGCAGGAGTTAGCTAAAGAGGTGGCGGCATACCGACAGCGACTGTGACCTTCTCTCGCCGGTCCACTCGGTGCTTCACCTGTAGCGCCCAGCAGGCGCGGTACTACTCCCCTCCCAGGCGGTGGCTATTTACGACCGCACATAATTCACATCATGAATCTTTGTTACGTCAATGTGTTGAAAATATTCGCAACTCATTGCTAAATTCACCCAACGTTGAAGAATCGTGTTCTTTTTACGTCATTACTGTTCCGCTAAGTTTGCAAGAACGCCTTAACTAAATCAAGGTGGCTAATGAAAGTTATCAGCTGACTTGAAAAGCTCCTAGAAGATTTAATCTTCCAAAGCCGATATTAAGAAGGAAACTACAGAGATCAAAGCATACATTCGCGAGGAAAGCACTCTTGGTCCAAAACACAAATGTGATTTCAGGTATGTCAATTTCTTGATCATAGACTAATTTGATTTTTACCGAGCCGCATGACGAAATGACAAATATCTCAGGACTTGCACTTGCAACAAAGGGATGTAAAACTGGCTGTGCTACCACGTTTTGGGCATCTTCAATGCAGTTGAGCAAATTTTCCGAGCCTAATGCTGCACATAACATGTACTCTCGCTTCAAAGACGCAGTTGAGCTGCTACTGACAGATAATGTTCTGCAAGCGAATCGTCGAGTGAGGTACTCACGAGATTTTCACGAGCCATACGTAATATAAGTTGTATTCGGCAGAATAAAATAACAAAATATGCTGTACTGCCACTTAAAAATTTTGCCGACTTGGATGCAAATTCGCAACACTGCGAAAACCTCCAGGGGTCCAGGTCTGGAACACTACACAATATCTTAGCACAATCTGCACAAAATTTAACATGGACAGGTTCTTCACTCACTCGCACAGACTGAAGCACTGGGCGGGACCACGTAGGTGCGAGCAAGACGTTCGGTCTCGCCAGTCTCCATTAAGCGAAATCTTGGCACGACTCAAAAAGGGCTAGGCGCTTTCAACTCGCAAGAGCCGACGCCCGGGCGCCCGCCCGAGGTGCCGCGCACGTCGGTCGGTCCGCTTTAACCTATGGCCAAAGCGTCCAGTGACCCTGAAGCCCGGTCAACCCAATGTCAGGTGATGTCACGAAAGAATCTGATTTAGTCTGAACCGGAAGACATTTGATAAATATTTCACAGGTATTTACATCTGAAAATGCTTTAACTAAGCTCGGGCTTGCCAAGGGTGGGAGCCAGTGGACATGTTCCCCCAAACCCAAGATATTTGAGGCGTTGGTCTTAGAACTCCGGAGAGGCGTCCTCAAAAAAGGCCGACCGATTTTTCGCTAGCACTTCAACGTGTTGAGTCAAACCATGTCCTTTCGCCGATTTCCTAACTACTTTACAGTCTAAAAAATATGCGTTTTCGTGAAGGAGCAAGTAGCTCTGAGCTAACAATTTGGCACAATACCACTGGGATGGTGATTCACGGATCTCGCGTTACGAGCATCAAATCGTTGGCTAAATGGCAGACATTCGATCAATCAAAAGTATCGCAATGCAGCTTAGAGTCTAGCGAAACAAATTTCGTAAATGTCGCTTTATGTTGGAGGTCTAGGACTTCTAATACTCAACAAAATCGTTTAAGAAAATCATCCACTAAGGAAATACCACCCGAGGAAGTCGGTTTGTGGAACCAGCGGCAGTTTTTAGATTAAATAGGGTCCAAGAGAACATATTTATGACCAAATGTCTTCACTTAACAAATTCTTCTTTCTAACATGCATTGGTTCGACAGCTTTCATGCACTGGAGCTAAGTCTGGGATAGGTTACAGAGGGCGGGTCATTCGGCCGGTCCCTCCTGGACAGCGGACGTTGTCTTGACTTCAGAGAGACCCTAGTTTTGGCCGCCTCCACCAGTCTTCTGGCCCACTGTGCAGCGCTCGGCTTGGCGTGGAGCGTGTGCAACAGTGTGACCCCACCAATGATTTACTCGTTCGGAGAGCTGGTGGGGTCACACGTTCGGTTTGAGTCCCATTTAGCGACTCTGGAGCACAAACCGCGTCTAGAGTTTTGTCCGCCTCCACCGGCCTTCTGGCCCACTGTGCGCCGGGCAGCGCAAGCAGCGCTAGGCCAGCCGGGACGCCTTGCTTCGCTTGCTTCGGCGGCGCACCACTTGGACGAGCAGCTCCACGGCCCACGCCAGGATGCAGGACGCCGTGATGCCGTTGCACGTCATGATGACCACGTTGTAGCTGGAGCTGTTCTCTCGGATGACGCCTGCACAGAGCGCGCTTTTCTCAGCACGGCCGGACAAGCAAGCGAAGCAAGCGGCATGTCCACTTGGCGGCGTGCAAATATTACGTCACCCCTTTAAGGCCTCTTTTTGACCCCCCTCTCCCCGTCCCACAGTGGGCCAGAAGACCGCTGGTGGCAGTCAAAATCCCGGCCACTTTTTGAGTTCCAGAGTCCCTTCGTTGGACTCGAACCGAACGTGTGACCCCACCAGTGGATTGCCCTCCGAACGAGGAATCCATTGGTGGGGTGACACGTTCGGTTCGAGTCCTGTTTAGCAACACTGGAGCTCAAAGCGCGCCTAGAGTTTTGTCCGCCTCCACTGGTATTCTGGCCTACTGTGCGTCCATCATCGGTTTAACCCAGCCTTCCATGTATATTTCAAATAGGGCCGTCATCGGATTCCGTACACCCTCCCCCAAAAGCGATGACGTAATATTTGCACGCCGCGCCATTCAAAGTGGTCGGGTACCTATGACCGGCCCGTTGACGAGCAGGAAGACGCCGGTGAACGCGGCCTGCAGCCCGATGGCCGGGGCGAGCTGCTCCAGGTGCACGTGGTCCGGGATGACGAGGTTGTAGAACACGGCGCGGACGCCCTTGGTCACGCCCAGCACCACCGCCAGCACCAGCAAGCTCGAGTAGTCCGTCACCAGCACCAGCACTGCGCACATCCAACGCCGTCACAGTGGGCCAGAAGACCGGTGGAGGCGGCCAAAACGCGTTTTGAGCTCCAGAGTAGCTAAACAGGACTCGAACCAAACGTATGACCCGACCAATGGTTTCCTCGTTCGGAGAGCAATCCATTGGTGGGGTCACACGTTCGGTTCGAGTCCCATTTAGCGACTCTGGAGCTCAAAACGCGTCCGGGATTTTGGCCGCCTCCACCGGTCTTCTGGCCCACAACCCCACAGCGCGTGGCGGAGAAACAGTGTTTCGGAATCGGCATGCTGGTCCTCCTGGTACTTGCCGACGCGCGCGCAGATGACGACGAGCAGCACGGCGACGTACATGCCCTTGGAGCTGAGCCCAGCCAGCGCCTGCAGCAGCGGCGCGGCCAGCTTGCCCAGGGCCGCCGTGCCCGACGTCAGGGACAGGAAGGTGGCCACGCTCTGCCTGTCCTGGCCGCGCTCCGCCAGGATGAAGGGCACCATCGTCTTGAACGTGATCTCCGCCATGTTGGAGACGGCCAGGCCCAGCAGCAGCACCATGGTGGCGCCGCTGCCGAGCAGCTTCAGGTCCAGCAAGCGCGCCAGCTGCCGCGCCAGCCCCGCGGCGCCGGCCCTGCCGACGACAAGCTGGTCCAGTTGGTCTAGCACACTGGTTCCGAGAGTCGTTTTCGACGCTCTGTCTCCCTCGCGCTCACGAAGCCTACTCTAAAGGTGCGAGAGAGACAGAGCGACGAAAACGACTCTCGCAAGCAGCCTGCTGAAGCTTAACGGCGGGGCGGGGCGCAGTGGGCCAGATGACCGGTGGAGGTGGCTAAAATTCTACACGCATTTTGAGCTCCACAAACCGAACGTGTGACCCCACCAATGGACTGCTCTCCGAACGAGGAATCCATTGGTGGGGTCACACGTTCGGTTCGAGTCCTGTTTAGCGACTCTGGAGCTCAAAACGCGTTCAGAGTTTTGACGGCCGGCGCCGGCGCCGGTCTCCTGGCCCACTGTGCGGGGGTGCGACTGGCTGCCTGCCACCGCCCGCGGAGTGCGGGGTCGGCCGCCTTGCCGACAGGGGAACCAAGCCGGCTGCCTATGGGCCGCTTCGCGGGCGGCGGGCGCTCAGGTGCCGGGAAACTGGAGGCTCTCCGGACGGAACTCACGCTGCGGGGGTCGTGGCGCCGCGGACGCCGCCGCTCTCCACTGGAACAGACACACGAGGCGTGACGGTGCACTGCGAGTGCGAGAGAGACAAACACGCCCCCAGTGTACTCACGGGTGGTGCCGCCTGCAGTGTGGCACACTGCGTGGGGTCGGTGCTGCTCGACGGGGTCCAGGAACGCGGCCGCCACCAGTGCGAAGAGGGACAGGCCGCCGCAGCCCACGCAGGTCCACGACGACCCCAGGTACCTGCATCATGTTCACCGAGCTCAAAACGCGTCTAGAGTTTTGGCCGCCTCCACCGGTCTTCTGGCCCACTGTGGCTGCTGGACTCACTTGAGCATGGCGCTGACGATCTGCGGGAAGAGCACGCCGGACGCCCCCGTGAGCCCCAGCGCCAGCCCCGTCACCAGGCTGCGCCGCTTCTTGAAGTACGAGTTGAGCGCCACGGAGAAGGCCGGCGTGGTGAGGCCCGCCCCCGCCGCTGCAAGCAGGAAGCACACTGCTCTGTCTCTCTCGCACTCATGGGGCGTCCCGAATCGGCGTGAGAGAGACAGAGCGACGAAACGCCGTGCTGATGGCATCTCGCGTCGCAAGACCGACCGACTGTTCCCCCTGATGGTGGTTCGATGGGTGACTCACACATGATGACGCCGTAGGTGACCATGAAGGCCATGAAGGAGGTGGAGAAGGCGGTGAGCACCATACCGCAGGAGGCGAGGACCACGCCGACCACAGCGACCCTGCGGTACCCGAATCGCCGCACCAGCGACCCGGAGACGAGCCCTGGAGAAGGAGGTTGGCAACCCTTCCGGCTAGTGCACAGTGGGCCAGAAGACCGGTGGAAGCGGCCAAAGCCCCGGACGCGTTTTGAGCTCCAGGGTCGCTAAATGGGACTCGAACCGAACGTGTGACCCCACCAATGGATTGCTCTCCGAACGAGGAATCCATTGGTGGGGTCACACGTTCGGTTCGAGTCCTGCATAGCAACTCTGGAGCTCAAAACGCGTCTAGTATTTTGGCCGCCTGCACCGGTCTTCTGGCCCACTGTGTGGTGCATCTTGGCAATAACCGGAAGCACGTTTACCGAACAGCAGGCTGAAGGATTGGTTGAACGTCATGATGGTGGCCACTCCCGTTTTCGGCATGTCCAATTCGCGAAACGCCTCCGTCAGAATCAGTCCGAAAACCATGCTGAGCTGCACGACGAACATCTGCCGATGGGAAAGCATAAAGCATGCAATGCTGGAGTGTCTCGTCTTCGTCTCAGTCGTGGGGAGGACGCATAGGTGGCTTGGGCAATTTCGTCGCTCTGTCTCTCTCGCACTCACGGGTCGTCCCGTTTGGGTGCGAGAGAGACAGAGCGACGGAACCGCCCCTCGGCATCAGTCTGCTGGGTGAGCCGGCTCGGACTCACGGTGTTGACGGAGAAGGCCGCCATGATGACCCAGCCGTACCCGCCGTCGGGGAAGACCACGTCCTCGGCGGGCGGCGGCGGCGCGTCGGCCTCCACGGCGCCCTTCCTCTCCAGCTCCACGCTCTCCGGGGCTTGCTCCGGGGTCGTCGACGTCGCCGACGTGCTGCTGGCGCGTCGCGTCATGCCGCTGTACTCGGGGACGAGCATCTTGGCGTCCTCGCCGTGTTATCGGCCGAGTCGCGAACCGCGCGCCGTCTGGGGTACGAATGAGCGATGTGCGGCCCGGGGGCAGGCAGAGCCGGCAGCCCCGGCCGGGGCCGCGGCGGCCGACGATCTCTGTCTCTCGCGCTCCCTCGCGGAACGCCCCGCGAGTGCGAGAGAGACAGCAACGAAAACGCTTCTCGGAATCTGCCTGCTGGTGCAGGGTCAGGGCCCCGGCGGAGGAAAAGTGCTCGCCGGCGAGCAGTTTTGATTTTGATCGGCCGGACAGGAACGCCAGGAACGCTGTTATGTGCGCCACAGTTTGATAATGCAGGGCCACCGTCTGTCTGACGGATAGCGCAGCGCCTGCAGCGAGGGGGTAAACACTTCAAGAAATCGTGTACAGACTACTCGGTATTACGCTGTATTACGGTGTATTACACGTGTATTACGGCCTTAAAATGCCAAAATTTGGCACATTTGACCCAAAAATGGTATTACGATCACGTGTATTACGCGTAATACACGGTTTTGGTGTACAGGGTATTACGCGAGTGGTTACCCCCTCGGCCTGCAGCCCAGCAGTCGGCCGGCAGCCGCGCCGGCTGTCACGTTCAGGGTCGGGGCGAGAATGATAGAAATGGCCAGTTTTCAACACAGCAGTAGTTGCAGTTTATTTTAAGATTGAAAATACACAAAGATGGCACACTTTTGACCTTTCTTAAAACTAAAAAGAAAAATGTCATTCATTTTTAAAGACACTGAAAACTGAAATGAATACACAGTCATATCATGTCACACAGCTAATAGCTAACAGATCATAACATAAACAAATCATAAAAATAAATATAAGGAAATGATGCCTCATTTCGAATACTCTGCTGTATACAGGCATTGATTGGCAGGTGGGATGACACCCATGCCAATTATATCATGAGTTAATAATTCAGTTATTTACATCAGTACGTTGAAACACAGGTTTATATTGCTGTTTTCTTCACAATGAAGACCTGAAGTTAGCAGTAAATGTTTGCATATTTGCCTCTCCCCCATCAAATGGAATGTAAGAGGAATACAAAACTCACTGAATCATATTTTAGAGTGATGCACATAGAATGCCACACAAAGTCTAGCATAAGAGTATTTAGAGCTAAAATTAGTTCACTTAGTCAAAAGTGATTCCCATTATATTCAAGAGGAAAGAAGAACAGAGAAGTATGTTACAGCACAACACTACTCTTTGAGCCTTAACAGACTCTGTTCTAGATTCATGGTTTTAGTCTTGAGTTTTGATTAGCAAAGGAATGACTGCCCAAAGTGTCAATCAATCAGGTTCTAAAAAAAGAGCGGGAAAAAAATAAGATCAAAAGTGTTCATAAAAGCATTCACATACAGCAAGCTAAACAAAATCATGTACAAAGCAAATAATAACTGCTCTTTGAAGACACAAGTAATTTACAGTGTGCTGCTATCACAACCAAAAGCACATCATATCATGTAATTATGTACAGGTGACAAATATTACTTCTTTGGTATTAATCAATGAAAACATTACAAAGAGTGCACGAATTTACAAACAAACGCAGTCACAAAATCAGACACCCAAAACAAAGATGAAGTGTTTCAGGGTTTGGCAAATTGCAATTCATGTAAAATTGCAAGCCAGAAAGCTCAGATAACAAATTATAGTATATTTACCCCTTCACAGTGAGTGTTTGAAATGTTTAACTAATTATAAATGGCATTTGCAGAGGGTCATGACCAAATGAAGTTTGCTCATAAGGTTATTGTCACACATTCACAACACAAAAAGAGTACACAATAGAGCAACTCACTAACCAAATCGAAACATCAAAACAAAATGTAACAAAACATGAGGAGCAAACACTACAAAATGTAAGCACACAAGGGAAAAATAAAAAATAAAGTTCTATGTCTAAAATTAAAGGGTAAAGCATAAGAAAACAGAGTTTGTAATAAGCATACAAAATGAACTCTAGCACTCCTAATGATAGAGAGACCTCAGAATATGCAACAGTACCAACAAATGGGCTCCATAGCATTGCATTGCATCCCAGAAAAGTCCCCACCATTAGCACTGAAAGATTGAAAAAGAAACCATAAAGGAAAGCATCAGATAATGGAAACATTAGTCACAGATCACAGATCAAATAAAGAGTACGTCAATCTTGCATTGGTCTTAGGTGAATCACAAATCTAAATTACAAGCAAACAAGAAAATATACTTCACCTAGAATAGCTCAGCCCAAAGACACAAATGATATAGGTAGTTCACACAAAAGGATAAAAATAAAACCATCATCAATGTATCACAAAAAATACCACTCTGTTTGAGATGGTGCAGAGTCTTAGAATGTAACACCAATAACTGCTATAATTTAAACCTTTTAGTAGAAGCCTAGAGACATAATCTTACATTTGGGGTCAATTTGCACACATCTCAACAATCATATTAACATCTATTTAAAAGAAAACAAAAAAAAAACTTTTTTTTTTGAAGGCTAGAATACTAAATTTAACATGGTGGTAATTCATTCTACTCACACTTTTCTTTACAGTCAAGCAGCAATGGTAAATAAAAGTGTCAATGGAGTCTTTGAGTAAAGAATGTACATCATTCAACAGAAATAAGTTACAAAGAATTAATATGCCAGGCATCCATCAAAGCTAGTAATCAGAAGATAATTTAATATAACGTTAATGCAAAAAAATCTCATCATTAAAACAACACCAAACCTTCTGTATTAAATGCAATTAAATAAAGAGATTCTTCAATGAAAATCTACAGAATATTTGTTGAACTTACACTGTTTACCAAAGAGCCTTCCGGCACACAACATAAAATGATTAATACAATAGTTAATTATAAATACATCACAGAATTGAAACTTTCATGCGCAGTCAACAGGCTGCTACAGTTGTCGTGCCTTAAAAGAATATTTTGACAGATGGACTTCCTCTTGTGCGCATGTAGCCTGAGGTTACCGGTAGGCACATGAGGTGAGATTGCATCCAACATACTGTAATGACAAACAAGGAAAGCACACTACCTTCTCCACAGGCCAATACAATTCAATGGCTTAAGTTACAATAATGGCAGCATCAAGATTTCATCAATGAAAACCAATTTCACTTGCACTCATGACATTCTTCATGGGCACAGGGAAAAAAATTAAAGAGACATACTGAGCAATAATGAAGCTTGGAGATCTACACGAGAACAAACTTAATGTGGTTGATAAAAAGTGGAGATGCAACAGGCACACTAAAAGCAAGTATGGCACAACCTCTGGAGACTACCAACACCACACATTAAGACAAGGAAAAAACAATCTGATCTACCAGAAATCTGAAAACATACAACCAAACAGCTATTTCACCACAAAGCTACACCAGATAGTAAATTGTCTAATGAACAATAATTCTTTAACATAATATATTAGCTCTGATCTAATAAAACATACAACACAATTATATTTGAGCTTTAAATATCAATGATTGTACAAACACAACTTTCAGAGAGATAGACGTAAAACCATAAATTAACATTTAGAGAGCTTCTTGTGATGATCTGTTGAAGAAATAAGAAAAGTTACAAATGGCAGTGCTGAAGAGCACAAAACAATCTCAAAGGAAGGATCCTACTTCAAGTCCTTTATGTGCTGCAAAGCCTCACAAATGTTCTCATTTCTTTGAATATGATTCGGTAAATACATTATCACAAGTAGATTATAAAAGGACAAAGTATAGAATATCATAAATTCCTTTTTCTCTGATAAAAATGCTACAGGGATCTAAGTCTTTGAAAGTAATTTAATTTAATGAAATACTTTAAGATTTGTTTTGATGGGCTTCATAATTCTCAAAATAACAAAGAGATCTCTAATGAGATTTGACAGTAGTAAACTACAAATACTATCTTCACACATCTTGATCTACCTCATAGGCAGTTTCCATATAGGCAGGCATATCTAATTGCATACATCATATACCATTGGTAGAAAAGAAAACAATCAGACAGGTATTTAAAGAGACACCACAAGGAATCAAGATCAGCTACCATAAAGTGTAAAAAAATGGTGATGTAAGCTGGTCAATTATAATATGAAGTGCATTTGATTACACAAATGCCACCTTCCCAGAGGACATGAAGAATCAAGGTCTCCCATGAATTGGAATCCATGACATTCAAACTGACTAAGGATTATGGACGATTTTTCAAAATTTACCATCGTCCATAATCCCACAAACGCTAGGTGATCAGCCTAGGGAAATGCAGACCTTCAACTTGTTTATCAATGGGAGGGCAGTGGCTGGTGCCCGACGGACCCCAATCATGAAGTCCCTCGGAATTGGCCAATCGATGAGTAAGTCGATGTGCTATGGAGAAGCCACCACTTCCTTCAAGCTGGGTTAAGACAATAATAACTTGCCTGAAAAGACAAAAAAAATGTCAAATAAAAACAGATAAGACTTAAAGTGTTACAAAAGAAGCAAAGAGAGATTGTAATTCAAATAAAGCTGACCTGTGAAGTGGTGGGACTGAGTCAACAGTCTTTAATTCACCTCTTGTTGAAACAACATTGTAACTTTCTTGGCAATCACACTTTACATGGATCCATTTATTTTCATGGCGGTTTTCCACCATTACGACTAGACCAGCCCAACCTTTTGTTAAGTAGTATGCTGTCATTCCCTCTCGTCCCTGTGCAAAAAAAATTATGCAAAAATTTCAAGATACCTCAACATTAAAACAGACAAAAACTACAGGAAAAAATAAAGAAATCTCACCTCATGCCTTTGACCCTTAGCCAGAGTGAGGCTAATAATCGCATCTGCTAGCACAAATGATGGAGGGGTAATTTGCTCCACCAAAATCTTTTTTGAGCTATGGATGGCTAGTACATAATCTGGGTAAGATGCAGGATCATCCATTCCTGAAAAATAAATGTATTATTAGCAAAGACAGTAGAGAAGCTAATTTAAAAAAAAAAAATAGAGAGAAAGAGTTGAACTTACCTGTATGCCAATGGTTGAATGCAAGACAGACAAGGATATAATGATCTTCTTCAAGCATTTTATGACACCCTACAAATCCACGAACTTGTCGTTTACTATGTTCAACCAATCGTCCCACTTGGGGTTGAGCAGCTGATCGAGTACGGAAAACAACCACACATAAGTCCAGTTGAGATCTTTGCCATTTCTCTGAATTCCTGAAAAAGCACGAACATTTTGCATTATAAAGACAATAAGTAAAAATGAAAAGCTAAAAAAAATATATTTTTAGAGGAGTTTATTACCTTTGCCCTTCTTGAAACAGAGTAAACTCTGCCTCAGTTGGTTCCATAACAGTTAGCAACACACAGGACAAATGGTCGATGGATGATAATGGTGGTAGTGTTCCACGAAGGCGAACTTCATTCCACCCGGATCTGACTTTACAGATGTCAATACAATCAAAATACCTAAATGCAAGACAACAATATAAGCAAGGGGCCTTCACTACCACATCCTTCCTAGCAGTCAAAGTAATAATCAAAATTTTTCAATGCTTTAACAGCAAACTCACTTCAAAACATCCTCAAATGATATCCAAAATACACCATCTGAAGCCCCATGAGGCATAAGCATGTCTCTTAACTCAGGGGTCCACATCTCTGAATCGTCAGCCCAATCACCTTTCCATGAAAAGTGCCCCCACGGATTTCGGAGCCGCAACAACCGGACGCCGTTAATGTCTTGCACATCCAACACGGAATAAGCGTGTCTGAAGGGGGGGAAAAGGACACACAAATTATGGTTTTTATTTCTTAAAATATATGTGCTTTTAGTGCTATGTAATGCATTTCTTTCCAATACATACCTAGGACGCAATCCCTTACGTTGATATTCTTCCTCATCTACTTTCATGTTCCCTCCACCACATGATGCTCCCATTAGGAACCTTGCAAGACGGGAGCTTAAAAGTTGAGCCCAAATGAGATCTCGATCTAATTCATCTTCAGATGGTAGAGATGATGGTTGAAGTGGTACACTTTCACATGGGGCACCTTCAAGCAGAAAAGTTCATTTTCAGTCAAAACTTTTCACAAACTGAGTCATGATTTCAATTTTTACAATTATTAATTAACACTTACCAGTGAGAGTTGCAAGACCTTCAATTGCACGACCCGAAACAAGAGCTTCATAACACCCATGGATTTTAGCAACAGCTTTCTCAATCAAGGGAACCCACAATTGCTTTCTTTTGGCCTAAAATTAATTTTTTATTATTACTTTCGAAATTGACTTGAAACTAAACAGTAATAAACAAACATATGAGAATTATGTTTAAAACCAAGTTACCTGAGAATATACAAGATGACCTCTCTTGTCACAAGGTAGAAGATCGTCCACCAAAACAGTTGTCCATTTGCCATCCTTGCACAAACGTACTTGGTAAGCACCTTGCTGGCAGAAGTCCCTGGTCATCATTACCCTTTTCACCAAATCTTCTCGTTCAGCAAGGACAGCGAGTGCAGAGAGTAGCCAACAATTCCCCAGTACACCTACAAGAAACATACAATCAATGCCTTGTTTAGTAAATCGACATTTAAAAAAAAAGCAGGATTAGGGGCTTACAAACCTTGAGAAATATCAGATGGCAAAGGAGTACGGAAGATGGTCCACTTTAATTTGGGATCATCATCCATAACAATTTCATGTGGCCGCAGCCATTGGACAACGTGATTATCTTTAGTATCAGCTGGATTGTAGTACAAAGACTTTGGAGCAGGGGGGAACGAATCATCAACAAACTGTTCTTTGTTCTGAAACAAACATTGAATTTAGTACAAATCTAATTATGAGAAGAACTGAGATAGACACATTCTGCAATTGAACAAACCTCAGTACAGTAACAGACTATGTGTTGCCATTTATCTAATGCTTCTTTTTCCTCAATTCGGCGTAAGTCATCCATAAGTTCACTCTGATGGCGTACAATGGTATTGGTCCCACTTAGAAGGGTTGACCCTAGATTCATGACATCTCTTGGCATGACAACAGCTGGCGAAGTAACAGTGCCAACAAAAGTCGATGAAGAGCCAGATGTGATTGTAGTGATGGTTGACGAGGACAAACATCGAGAGCTATGGCACATGTCACAGGCAACAGCAGTCACAGAGTTGTCGTAGGTACACACAGAGCACTGCCAGGTCGGTTTGGATGGGGTTGATGGAGGTGAAGACTCCTCTGGACACTGATCTGATGTTGGGGACTGACCCTTGCTTGATTTGGGACTTTGACCTCCACTTAAAGGTGTTGAAATGCCAGAGTCTGAGATTTCTCTACAAAAGTAACGTTGGTATAAGAATCTGAAGTATATTTGGAGTGTTCTACAAAAAAGTGAACCGCGCAAAGCATACCTGCTGTTGATGTTCAGAGAGGAACGATTTGAACTGGAGCGTGTTGAAGGAACTCTTCTAATGTTTCCGTTGCTACTGTTAATACTTGTGCTACTAGTTCTCAGCTTTGGTATTGCTCCACTTGAAGTTGTTGACTGAGATCTAGATCCTATACCAATACAAAAGAATACAAATATGTTAGGGAGAGCAATATTTAAGAATACTTAAGTCATACCTCTTGAATTTACGTGACAAAATCAGACCATTGTTTCTGGAGGACGAATGACGTCTTGGAGAAGGGCTTCTCTGAGCTGCACTTGAAGCACTACTGTTTGCAATTGACGAAACATCAGGGCTTTTTCTGTTATTGGCTGTCTTACAAGCACGACAGACTGAAGCACGGAGAGGATTTTTCAGAGTGCATCTTGGACAGTCCCAAAATTCCCCTTTTGGCAGGGTTTTATCAAACTTGGCAGTTATGCTTCCAAGTTTAGATCCCCCACATACGTCACAGGCCAACTTGCCAGCAGGATTCATCAGTGTGCACTTTTTGCAAGTCCAATCTGCATCAGCACTAGGAATTTCTTCACTCGGCAGATACTGCAAAAGTTACAAAAAAATAAGAAAATTAATTAGTTTTAAAGAATTGTACGAGATTGCTGAGACATACGGTAATGGCCTAGAATATTTTACCTCAATTTCATCCTCAAGGTCAGTTTCCTCTGTTGCTAACGTAGCAGCAGCACCTGGAGCAGGCACTTTGACATCACCTGGAGTGGCCTCACCATCTTGCTTAGTTGGTGTGTATCGTACACTATCTTTGGTAACGGTGATGAGACTTGGCTCATTTACAGAAGGTGGAGAGCGAACAGAATCACATATATCACACTTATCGGACCATAAAGGGTTGTAGGCATATGAACACTTTGTACATGTCCACATACGCTTCAGTGATAGGCCAGATATTTCTGTGTCTGAAGCTAAGGGTGCAGATGTTGAAGAAGGGACAGGGGATTGAGCAGTCGCAGGAGGAGAATGAGTCGAGGATGAAGGCAAAACAACACTGTCAGGCTTGGCTGGAGATCCATCAGCTAAAGAAGCTGGAAGAATTCTTTTTCGCCCCACTTTTGATACCTCTGTTAGTGATGCACTTGGCTCTGTCAGACCAATGTAGGAAAATCTTGTGCGTGAGGGAACTTGGAGATTAACATTATTAATAGGAGATTTTACTGATATGTTTCCTTGGGCATCAGTCTCAATCATGCTACGTCTGTTAGATGATGGCTTCGATTGATCAGAGGTATTTGGCATTTCTGAGAGAGACCGACGGTTGACTGGCTTATTCCAAGCAGGAGACTTGATGTTGTTCCGACTTGAAGATTGAATGGCATGAGTAGGAGTAGGTGGGGCTTCTTTCACCTCTTCACCAACCCAATTTGGTACACTTATGACCAAGCTATTGCGTGGTCCAGTTGCAGACAGCAAAGGCATGCGTGCTTTCCTGGGAGTTTCGCAAACTTCACATCTATCACTGACGCTTGAATTATCAAGTGTACATCTAGAACATGACCATCCAGCTCCATCAGTATTCTTATTAACTTCATCACTTGTTTGAACATTATCATTAATTGAACTTATTTCTGAAGTTCTTGATGCATCAGATCCGTCTTCTTCTCCAGATGCATTATCAACCATACTTGTTGGCCTTCTAAACAAACCACCGCCAGCTATTGACTTTGGTATAATGGAGTTTGACGATGAGTCCATCCACAACTTTTGAACAACAGATCCATTGGACAGTGACCGACTAACCTTAGACTTGACTCTTTCATACACAGATTGGCTATGTCGTTTTGGAGATCGGCTGGGTGCTCCATCGGGTTGGTCTCCTCCTTCCTCCTTTTCATTCGTTTGCAAACCCTCTGCAGATGACGAACATTCATTTTCCTCAGGGACTGTTGGGTCCCACTTATTTTCTTTATTGTTTTCATCGTTGTAGAATGGTGGGGCAACATGCCACGTTGTGTTACCTTCTCGAGAGGAAACTGACGACGCCATTCTTAAATTGATTAGCTTGTTAAACTCTAAACTTTGTTTGAGAGGTATTTCTTTAGTGCCACAAGCAGCACAGCTGACAGTCACACTAGTATTAAAGTAGTGACAGCGCACACAGATCCAGCGTGCCAAGACTCCAGGCACACTTTGTGAGCGATTCCTTTTTGATGGCACAACCTCTAATGAATGTTTACGTTGAGCGTTACACAAAGAGTCTAAATCCTGAAGGCTAAAATGAAAGTCCAACCGTCTTGTGGGCTTCGTTATGGCAGGGCAAGCAGTTAAGGCCGCACTGAAACAAAACAACAAGAGAAAAACATCTAAACTTTGCCATACAACACCAATGGATATCAATGAATGAAATTAAGTCTTAATGCTATTCAAGAAACCAATTAAGAAATTTACTTTGCAGTCAAATGGTGTACAATGAATCTTGCATAGAGTATTCCAGCTTTCTACACCGACTACGTACAAAGTTTGTAAAGAAATTACAAAGTATTATTTGCAGGCTTGCTAAGAATTTTGAAAATTGAGAAAAAAACACGTTTCAGCTCGATTAGAAGCACTACAACGTAATGTAATAATACGCTAAATAATTTAGGCGACAGAAAAACGAGTGAGAAACTACTTCAAATGGTGAAAAACCGACAATGACCATTTGAATGGTTCAATAAAGCAAGACACAGAACAAAGGACACTCACCCGTCAAGGGGTTTGGAGAGTGAAGCTTTGAAGCGTAGTTTCGCAGAGCGTTGGCTGGCTAGTTTGCGCGGAGACTGCAGCTTTTCTTTCGCGGTGGAAACTGATAGTGAGGCATCTTGTTGTGTTTTGATGCAGGGGACCCGTTGCGCAGAAGACGTCCTGGGGACCCTAGCCGCGGTGGCTCTGTTGGTCCTGTTTTCCCCGCATCTGCCGCAGCTGGGCCGCTCTGTCGGGTTTATCAACGAGCAATGATCGCAATGCCACTGGAGGACAGAGGCGATCGTACCCATCCTTCACACACCCTGGCCATATTCACGTCAAAAGTCACCGAAAAATGCGATTTATCATGACCAGCTGATCCACCATATTGATGCAGTCTAAGGGTGCAGTAAACAACGCTGTGATTGGTCGGTGCCAGCCGCGCCGGCCAATCGCGGGCCGTTTCCTTGCGTCGTCTGCAAGCAGGCTGCGAGCGACCCGGGCGTTTCGCTGCCAGCGTGACGGCAGAAAAGAACCGAGTGAGCCAAACCGACGGTCTCACACTCCTCGTATGAAGTGTGAGTTCTTAGATTCTCAACACGGATCTAGATGTACGAAATTTCTATCCCAGCGACAACAATGGCAGAAGAATCACGATAAAAATCGGATTTATGAAACCGAACTTGCAGACCCTGGCTCCTCTCCTCGCGATGTATGAGAAATCGCGTGACCGGCACACCGCGCGAGATTCGGAGCGCAGATTGGAAGCGGACCGCTCGCAGTGGGCCAGAAGACCGGTGGAGGCGGCCAAAATCCCGGATGCGTTTTGAGTTTCAGAGTCCAGCCCAGCGCCCTGGTGCGGTCGCGGTCCAGCGCCTCCAACGCCAGCGCCCCCAGCGTGGCCAGCGCCAGCGTGGCCCTGGGGCTGGCGGGGCTGCCGGGGGTGCCCAGCAGCCTGGCCAGCAGCCAGCAGGTAGGCAGCCCTACACGCACAGTGGACTTGCCAGAAGAACGGTGAAGGCGGCCAAAACTCCAGACGCGTTTTGAGCTCCAGAGTCGCTAAATGGGACTCAAACCGAGCGTGTGACCCCACCAATGGATTACTCTCCGAACGAGGAATCCACTGGTGGGGTCACACGTTCGGTTCGAGTACCATTCAGCGAATCTGGAGCTCAAAACGCGTCGGGGATTTTGGACGCCTCCATCGGTCTTCTGGCGCACTGTGGACAGGAGGGACTCGATGGGGGTAATGTAACACACCGTTTCGTTGTTTCAAAGTGTATTTAAACCGCGGCGCCCCTAGTCGTGTCCGCGTTCGACGGCGTCCTCGACGGCGTCCTCGACGGCGTCCTCGACGGCGTCCTCGACGGCGTCCTCGACGGCGTCCTCGACGGCGTCCTCGACGGCGTCCTCGACGGCGTCCTCGACGGCGTCCTCGACGGCGTCCTCGACGGCGTCCTCGACGGCGTCCTCGACGACGTCGTCCTCCCCCGCCATGGTCTGCTTGATGAAGTCGAAGACGTCGGGGTGCGAGAGGTCCGTGAACACGCCGGGCCGGCCGTACTCCGCGCAGCCCTGCCCCCAGGACACGATGCCGACCTGCACGCGTCGGTCCGACACCAGGGGGCCGCCAGAATCTCCCTGAAAAATATTAAAAGCAAATAAATTGTGAAAGTCCTAAAAACTAGTGATGTGGGGGCGGGACTCACAGTGCAAGCGTCCTTGGCGTAGGTGCTGGCGCAGACCATGGTCTCGGCGAAGGGAGGTACACCGTCGGAGTAGGCCATCGTGCAGACGTCGGGGTCCATGAAGCGGAGCCGGGCGACGCGCAGCGTGCTGGGCAGGTCGAACAGCCAGTACTGCCAAACAATCGCCGGAAGCAAAAGAACCTTCATTTTTCACTTCTCTTTGGCTCGAACCGAGCGTGTGACCCCACCAATGGATTGCTCTCCGAACGAGGAATCCATTGGTGGGGTCACACGTTCGGTTCGAGTCCCATTTACCGACACTGGAGCTTAAAACGCGTCTAGAGTTTTGGCCGCCTCCACCGGCCTTCTGGCCCACTGTGCACCCACCCCCAGCTGCCCCCAGCCGGTGACGGTGCCGTAGGAGCCCGGCCTGGCCTGGCCGGCCGCGCCGCGGGACGTGAGCGCGACGGGCTGGGCGCGCTCGTCGAAGGCGATGGCGGTCTTGAGGAGCACCAGCGCCACGTCCGTCTTGAAGTCGTCCTCGGAGAACTCGGGCCAGGCCTCCACGCGGTCCAGCTCGTGCACCACGCCGCCGTCGGCCCAGGTGGAGGTGCCCACGCGGACTTGCCACGACGCCGGCGAGGGGTCACTGGGAAACGACAAGCAGCATGTGGACCGCGTCGCAGTGGGCCAGACGACCGGTGGAGGCGGCCAAAACTCCAGACGCGTTTTGAGCTCCAGAGTCGCTAAATGGGACTCGAACCGAACGTGTGACCCCACCAATGGATTCCTCGTTCGGAGAGCAATCCATTGGTGGGGTCACACGTTCGGTTCGAGTTCCATTCAGCGACTCTGGAGCTAAGAACCCGTCCGGGATTCTGACGGCCTCCACCGGTCTTCTGGCCCACTGTGCGCGTTGCTTCAGCGAGGTGCGAGCTTTGGCGCCCGCCGAGTCGAGGATAGGCAGCACGCGGCACAGCCGCGGCACAGCCGCGGCACGGCGGCACGGCGGGCTGGCCTATGCCGAGGGCTGCAGGCGCCTCCCGAACCCGAACGGACAGTCGACGCACCGGTAGAAGCAGTGGGCCGCCGACAGGATCCACCTGGGCGACACGATGGAGCCGCCGCAGTTGTGCTGCCCGGTGCCGCTGTGCTGGATGGAGGCCTGGTAGTTGAAGCGCTCGATGGAGGTCTCCAGGCCACCCACGATGCGCAGCCGCCCCGGAGACCCTGGGGACCCTGGGGGCAAGGGGCGGTAGTCCGCCAACATCATCATCATCATCATCATCATCATCATCATCATCATCATCATCATCATCATCATCATCATCATCATCATCATCATCATCATCATCATCATCATCAACGCTGTTAGGCCTATGCAGACCTTTAGCGGTTCGGGTCAGCAAGGTAAGGCGAAACATGACGTCATCCTTTTTTTAACCAGTGGAGTGGCTCTGGATCACAATGCAGAAAAACATCCGCGAACGGGGCCTCTTGAGGCCGCTAAGATAACAACGGCGGTCGTGATAGCGGAACGGCAATAAACAATGAACCAGGGGATAACTTGGGAGCAGTCACGGCCAAAACCGTGACCATGACGCGTGTGTCCATTGTCCATGGGGAAGGACCACCACTGCCATGGTGACAGGCTCGGGACCTTATCGTGTTCATATTTACTGGTCACGTGCCGTGTGTGTGTGTGTGTGTGTGTTTGTGTGTGTGTGTGTGAGGGGAAAGGGGTGAGGGAGTGAGGGGGTGGAGGAGGCAATGGCTTAGGAGCCGGCTGAACCCCGAAACGTCGCCAAGCCTGGGATTCTTGCAAGGGGTCCACCACTGACAGAAAAAAAAAACTTAAAATAAAACAAAGTGTGACTGTATATAGTGAGTTTACCAGTGGGTGTAGCCTTGCTTTTGGCCTCCTTACATTGGTATGCCTCACTTACCGTGCCTCAGTTACGTGCAGGCATTTTCTGATCAAAATGGAAGTGAGTGTACGTGAGCGCAATCCGTGCTTGTTCAGTGGGCGCAAGAAGTGGCTGGCGGACCCTTTGGAGTCTTGAGAACTAAGTCGTTCCGTGAACGCCGAGACTCGTTCGCTGAACGGCGCTCGGGTCCGGTCGGGCCGAACACCTGAGCCCTATCTGTTCTCAATGTTTGGCGCTTTGGCCACTTGCTTGGAGTGGTCGCGTTATCCGGACGGTGGAGTTTGCCCCATCTCTTGCTGCCACGTGGTGCATTCGGGAGGCTAGGGTCCGGCAAGGCTGGGCACGGTAGGCAAAAGTTCCCTCCATGCTCCTGTGTCGACACGGTGGCCAACCTCAGCCTGCCTGCAAGGGAATGCCCGGATGCCCGGGGTGCGCTCTCGAGATGTTGCTCAGTACGCCCAGGCTGAGGTTGGCAACCGTGCCGACTTTGAGCTGCCCTGCAACTCTGCTGTGCGACGCACGGCGTTATTTGCTTTAACGCGAAAACTGCTCGGGTCTTCTTTGAAAACCCATAGGTCGGTTAAAGGTAAACAAACCAAATCCACCTGCGTCTGTGTAAAAGCTCATGACTGCGAAACCAATCAGGACATTTTTTTCATCCTTTTTCGTGCGAGTATTCGATAGGGCATCCGTTCGACGTACCGGCAGCCCCGGCCAGCACACTGTGCAGCACACTGTGCAGCACGGCAAGCGCCGACAGCAGTAGGAAGGCAAGCTGCATGTCGGCCAGCACACTGTGCAGCGTGTCTGGGAAGCGACGCGGTGCGGAGCGGACTGGGCGCCGGGACCGTGCCGCCAGGACCCCCGAGGACCGCGTCGCTTATCTCTGCACTCATTGCTTCCCATCGCGTCGTCCCACAGTGGGCCAGAAGACCGGTGGAGGCGGCCGAAACTCTAGACGCGTTTTGAGCTCCAGAGTCGCTAAGCAGGGCTCGAACTAAACGTGCGACCCCACCAATGAATTCGTCGTTCGAAGAGGAATCCATTGGTGGGGTCACACGTTCGGTTCGAGTCCCATTTAGCGACTCCGGAGCTCAAAACGCGTCTAGAATTTTGTCCACCCCCACCGGTCTTCTGGCCAACTGTGCGTCCTGGATGTCCCGCGTCAATTTAAATAGGAAAAGTGAAAAAAGCACCTGTATTTTGTGCTGATTTTTGGCAGACCAAAGCGCCGCTTGCCGACTTCCCTCGTCAAACAAACCGCAGCTGCTCACACCCAAGACGTTGGCATTGACGAGTCTACCGATGTGTTCGCCGATTGCAACATCGATTGTTGTTTTACTTTCGAGAGGCAACCAATCCGTTGTTCAACGAACGCCACGTCACGATCGTTAGCGCCTGAATTTTGGCGCGTTCGTTTGAAAACGATGTCACATCCGTTTGAACGTGGACCCACATTCATGGACATTCCGACGAACGTGACAAAACTCCCATTCTATAGAATTTGACTTCAACGTCTGTTGAATAACAGTGAAGATTTCTGCCGAGCAAGGGGGAGAATTCATCTGCAGCTGCAGATAGCAGAGCGATCCGCCAACAATTACTTATTTCGCCACCAAGGCCAGTGTGGGTACAAATAGGCAGGCGTGTTGGAAGGGTTGCCAACGTCAGCCTACTTCTCGAAAGCAGAGGCCAACCATTGCCCAGTAGGCAGGCTTAGGCTGGCAACCCTTCCGACACTGGGTGCATCGTAGGCAGGCTCGGACTGGCCCCCAAAAGGCCCTGGCGGATAAGAGCGCAAAAGGCCCCCGATCATCATTGTTTTTACCCTTCATGACCAACTTTGTGAGGCTACCGCTCCCAAACTAGTTGCGGTCAATAACCTTCCCGTACAGGACATGAAAGAGTAGGGTCTTAAGAATTCTAGGGCGTCGAGGGAGGCCTTTTAATGCATCTAGATTGGACACAGTGGCCACCCAAAGTCAGCAAAATCAGCAAATTTCCTAGATTCGGCCACTTTTTGGCCAACTTTGGTCCCAAAATCGTTGCGGTCAAAGGCAAAATCGTTGTGGTCAACGTCTGCCCGATACAGGGCATGAAAGAGTAGAGTCTTAAGAATGCAAGGGCGTCGAGGGAGGCCTTTTACGGTAACTAGATTGGACACAGTGGCCGCCCAAAGTCAGCAAAATCAGCAAATTTCCTAGATTCGACCACTTTTTGACCAACTTTGGTCCCAAAATCGTTGCGGTCAAAGGCAAAATCGTTGTGGTCAACGTCTTCCCGATACAGGGCATGAAAGAGTAGGGTCTTAAGAACACTAGGACGTCGAGGGAGGCCTTTGGTAGCAACTAGATCGGACGCAGTGGCCGCCCAAATTCAGCGAAAACGGCTACTTTCTGAGATTCAATCACTTTTTGACCAACTTTGTGACGTTACTGGTCCTAAACCCGAAGGCCCCGGCAGATTTTACTGCCTGTCTGCCCTGGCCAGTCCGAGCCTGATCGTAGGCATTTTCGCACACTTGTGTGGCCTAGGGCCCCGATGCCCAGGCTGGCTAGGCGTGCGGCTCGAGGCTTGGCGTCGCACCCTGCTCGCACCTGTGCATCTACTTCCCACAGAAACCGAGTCTGGCAAGGACGGAGACTTTCTGTCTCTCTCGCACTCATGGGGCGTCTCTTGCAGGTGCGACAGAGACGCCGCGACGACAACGACTCTCGGAATCGGTCTGCTGCGTCTCCAAACACAGATGGCTATAAATTGGCGACGGGCTTGCCGGAGTTGCGCAGTCCCTCTTCGACACGTCCACCATGGCGGCCAAGTTGATGTTCACCGTGCTTGCTGGCCTCCTCGCCCTCCAGGTAAGAAGGTGCCTCAGAAAGTGACAAAAAAGTGCCAAAAATTGCCACAAAAATTGTCAAAACATAACTTATAGACGGTGAGCATTGCAAGCGTCATGCACATGGCAACCAGATTGTCAACCACAGCCTGCCGTCCCGTCAACTCTGGTGACTTCTCGACAGAGCTCAGATATTGCCAGTTAGGCAGGCTGAGGTTGGCAACCCTTTCCACATGGTGCATTGTGCGAATTTTTGACCACTTAGGTGGCAATACTGCCTCTTATGGTCTTTCGCATGGAGTACGGGTAGCTGGGTCCCTCGAGATAGTGCTAATCCAAAGTAGCCGGGCCACGCGCCAGAGCGGCCAGAACCACGGGCGGCAGTCTATCTCTCTTCGTCTCGAGGAGATAGCCGAAAATCACGTCACCTCGCTACCGTTGCCATTTTTTTTTGAGCGGCACGGACAGTCTGACCAACTTGTTGACAATCAAGTGGCAATCTACGCACGTCACGGATAACCTGTTGAAAATGAAACAAGAAAGCGGCGCACAGTGGGCCAGGAGACCGGTGGAGGCGGCTAAAATTCTAGACGCGTTTTGAGCTCCAGAGTCGCTAAATGGGACTCGAACCGAACGTGTGACCCCACCAATGGATTGCTCTCCGAACGAGGAATCCATTGGTGGGATCACACGTTCGGTTCGAGTCCCATTTAGCGACTCTGGAGCTTAAAACGCGTTTGGAGTTTTGTCCGCCTCCACCGGTCTTCTGGTCCACTGTGCGGTGACACGGCTTTACTGACAGTGGATTCAATTTCTTCTCTTGACAGGCGGTGTGTGCGGAGTCTGACTCGTCGAGCGCGTCCTCCGAGGAGGTCGCTGCGACCAACAACAACAACAACAACAACAACAACTGGTGGAACTCCGCGTTGGGAGGCCTTTTCAACAGCAGGTTCGGTGGCAACCAGCAGCAGCAGCAGCAGCAGCAGCAGAGGCTCGGTGGCTTCAGCTTCGGCCTCAGCCAGGGCAGCAGCAACAACAGGAACGGCCAGCAGCAGCAGCAGGCTAGCCTCAGGCTCGGCGCTGCCCAGAACCAGAACCAGGCCAGGAATGCTCAGCAGCAGGGTAGCCTCAGGCTCGGCGCCACCCTGAACCAGAACAGGAACGCTCAGCAGGAGCAGAGGCAGCAGCAACAGCAGCAGCAGGGTAGCCTCAGGCTGGGTGCCACCCTGAACCAGAACAGGAACGCTCAGCAGCAGCAGGAGCAGAAGCAGCAGAAGCAGCAGCAGCAGGGTAGCCTCAGGCTGGGCGCCACCCTGAACCAGAACAGGAACGCTCAGCAGCAGCAGGAGCAGAAGCAGCAGAAGCAGCAGCAGCAGGGTAGCCTCAGGCTGGGCGCCACCCTGAACCAGAACAGGAACGCTCAGCAGCAGAGGCAGCAGCCGGCTAGCCTCAGGCCGGGCCAGAGTCAGAACCAGGCCGAGAAGAAGACCGCCCCCCAGCAGCAGCAGGCTAGCCTCAGGCTGGGTGCCACCCTGAACCAGAACCAGCAGCGCAGCGGCGAGAAGTCCAGCGCCGTGAAGCAGGAGAAGCAGTCCCTGTCCCTGCAGGTGGCCGCCAAGAAGTCCAAGGCCGTGTCCACCGCCGACGTGCTGACCGTCAAGAGCCTGCACTGCGCCAGCGGCGATGCCGCCAAGGTGACCGAGGCCGGGCGCCGCATCGCCAACAGCCTCAAGGCCCTGCTCAGCATCCGCGCCTCCGTGCAGTCCAACGAGGAGGAGTCCGACATCAAGCAGGCCGCCTGGGTGTCCACCACCACCAAGCTCAAGATCGCCAGCGAGCTGGTGGAGCAGGCCGCCGCCAGCCTGGAGAAGCTCCTCAGCGGCTCGGACGATGAGTCTTCCTCCTCCTCTTCCTCCTCTTCCTCCTCCTCCTCCTCTTCCTCCTCTTCCTCTTCCAGCAGCGAGGAGGAGCCCAAGCGCAACCAGGACGACAAGCGCGACCAGGACCTCAGCAAGGAGCTGCTCACCTGGCCCTCCTCCGAGGAGGACGCTTCCAACTGGTGGTAGAGCGTGCAACGACTCACTCGTTTCGCAAAATTCGTCCTCAAATTCGGGGAAATTTGATCAAAACTTGGCATTAAAATAAAATTGGAATTGAAAAACATCAGTTGCCTCGAAATGCTTTACCCACTATCCTGATGTATCACACCTTTATACTGGAAATAAAAGGCTTTCGAGGCGAGAGAGAGAGAGACAGAGACAGAGAGGTCAACAACACTGCTATCTCCGGGGCTTTTACACCTCTTGTCTTTACTGACTGACCTCCGAACTCCTAACTGCCTCCCAGGAGTACCAACCATCGGTCTGGAGTCATCCTGAACAGGTTCGGACGCGACAAGGGAAAAAAATAATAAAAATGGAAATACTTCGTTGCTCCCTAACCTAACCTGCTCTCCGATTGCTCTCCGAACGAGGAATCCATTGGTGGGGTCACACGTTCGGTTCGAGTCCCGTTTAGCGACTCTGGAGCTCAAAACGCGTCTGGGGTTTTGGCCGCTCCACCGGTCTTCTGGCCCACTGTGCGCCGCACTGCCTCGTGCCTCCACATGTGCTACTGCCAGTCAGTGTGAATTTGCGAAATGTCCTTATCGGCCTCGCCGCGGACGCAGCCGCCGGTGCGACGTCCGATCCCAGGCCGGACGAAGGACCTGATCGTGAGTGCGAGAGACTCTCGGGATCAGTCTGTCTCGCTCTCACGAGGCGTCCCTTGCAGGGGCGTGAGAGGCAGAGTGACGAAAACGACTCTCGGAATCAGTGTGCAGGGCAGGACGCAGGACGGGCCTCTAGCCGCGGACGCCGCGGACGCCGCGGACCGAGATACCGCCATGGACTACAAGACGCGGCGCGCGGACGGCGGCGCGTCACTTGGCGCCTCCACCACACCGCAACATGCTGGCCGTGCTTTGCCTGGCGGCCCTCGCCGCCACCGCCGCGGGTGAGTCCTCTCTCTCTCTCTCTCTCTCTCTCTCTCTCTCTCTCTCTCGCACCCTTGGCCCTGCCCTGCCACCGTGAGTGCGACAGAGACGGAGCGGCGAAACGACCCTTCCGAATGGGTCAGGTCGGTGTTTAGCCGTGATGAACAGTGTGGCTGCGTCACTGGCGCCGCTTCAGGTGTAGTGACCGCGTTTCCAGTGTGCCTCGCCGCCGCGGCGCCTCGGGAGGGAAGCCCCAGCGCACAGTGGGCCAGAAGACCGGTGGAGGCGGCCAAAACTCTAAACGCGTTTTGAGCTCCAGAGTCGCTATATCGGACTCGAACCGAACGTGTGACCCCACCAATGGATTGCTCTCCGAGCGCGGAATCCATTGGTGGGGTCACACGCTCGGCTCGAGTCCGATATAGCGACTCTGGAGCTCAAAACGCGTCTAGAGTTTTGTCCGCCTCCACCGGTCTTCTGGCCCACTGCGCCGCGTCGTCCAGGTCGTTGGAGGGGGCCGTTCCAGACTGCCCCAACCCGTCCCCGGCAGAGCCATTGCGCGTCACTGTTTCCCTCTCTCTCGCACCCGTGTCGCACGCCCCGTGAGTGCGAGAGAGACAGGGCGATAGGGGCCTGGACCGGCACCGTTATGACCCGCACAACCCGTGCCACGCGCCTCGGCGCCCCTCCACTGCTGTAGCTTCGTCTCTCTGTCTCTCTTGCACTCACGGGGTGACCCGTACAGGTGCGAGAGAGACACCGCGACGAAAACGACTCTGTCTGCTGAGCGCCGTATAGCGTAACGACGTGACCACACGCCTGGCCCGGCGATTCGCGATACACCGCGTTACACTGTCTGGGAAAGTTAGTCGGACGCGGCATCGATATTTTCATACTTTGCCGCGTGCAGGCGGGACTCTGAAAGTTCCAGCTGAGTGAATTTTGTTGAAAAAGTTGAGGTGGCAGCCAAAACATTGTTGTTGTTGTTGTTTGCGCTCATGTCGGTTATCCACTGTTGTTGTCGTTGGCAGGGTCACCCTCGGTGCTGCTCCAAGCGCACAACCTCGCGCTCAGTCGTGGTGGGGATGATTACTCCTACACGGTAAGCCGTCGCGAAGCCAGCGACCGCAGCAATCGCAAATGATTGCGCGACTAATATCCGGTTTGTACAAAAAAAAATTGGAACATTTGTTTAGAATATATTTTGTTTGGCGTGTAGATCCAAGTGGTCAAGTCCGGGAGGACCATCGCCCCCGCCGCGCTGATCCTCGACCAGTATGCCGTGGTCGCGGCCAACCTCGTCGGCAGGTAGCCACCGGGAACCGAACCACCGATCCACTGCTAACCAGAAGACCGGCGCCGGCAGCCAAAACTCTAGACGCGGTTTGAGCTCCGGAGTCGCTAAATAGGACTCGAACCGAACGTGTGACCCCACCAATGGATTCCTCGTTCGGAGAGCAATCCATTGGTGGGGTCACACGTTCGGTTCGAGTCCCATTTAGCGACTCTGGAGCTCAAAACGCGTCTTTGGCCGCCTCCACCGGTCTTCTGGCAAATCCACTGTGTGACACCTGCTGTCTGCACTCGCAGCACTCCGGCGTCCGACCTCTCGGTGCGCGTCGGCACCGACGTCAACATCCCCTTCATCAACCTGCAGGGCAAGAAGATCAAGGTGGACGCGGTCCTGGTGCACCCCGAGGAGAACGTCGCCGTCCTAAAGCTGGCGGAGGCTGCCCCTAGCAAGTACGTGATGACGTCATGTCAGACAGGTCTTCCTGCATTTTCTGCCTTTTTTTTTGTAATCCATCCGGTATAGACAAACGCCTGCCCTCTGAAAACCTTACAAACTATTTTAGGCATTACACAGAAAAGCAGCTTGTTGTAACAAAGGATTTGGAGCATACATAAGCTTACAAAGAAAACTGTTCGTAATTTACGAACTATTTCTTCATATAACAAAAAAAAAATTAGTTTGTACGTACTATGTATACTTGAAATACTTTGGAAGGTTTTAAGCGTGCGGCTGTCATCCCGTGAAGGGCAAAGCGGTCAAAAGTTTGGCTTTGCACGCAGTGCTTCCGTCACGTTTTATCTGCGCCCCAATCGAACTTGAATGTTGCCCACATTGTGAAAGATGTCGCGCCCTCTTCAGATTTCGGAATGCGATAGCTCATTTCGCGACGCTATCGAACCTATCGAACAGCTTCGAGTGCTTCAATTACGGTTTACATCTCCACAGTAGCTTCGGAAATCGATAAGAGACGCAACCGGACAAAATAACATTTTATCATATTTTTTTTCCAATTTTGTGGTTTTAGTTTTGTTGTTGTTGTTGTTGTTGTTGTTGTTGTTGTTGTGGTTGTTGTTATTTTTCTTTCATATTTTTAGGGATTTTTCAGAACCCTTATCGTTTTTGGTCTAGCCTAGCACCTTCTCCCATGTAAAAAAAAAAAATCATCGAGGAAATTGTCCGTAAACTGCAAAAACATAAATTTGCAACAATCGAAAACGTGATCCGTTGATCCTATCAAAAAATAGTTTGAATACAAAACGTGGCGCTCCTCAAAACCAAACCTCCTGGCTCACTGATGACTTGTTTTGTTGGCGTGCCCCAGGCTGGCCCGCCCCGTCGCCCTGGTGGGCTCCCAGTCCGCCCTGCCCGGCTCCTTCGCCGAGGTGGCGGCCTGGGGCTGGCTGAAGCGCTCCGTGGCGCAGGCCGTGCTGGTGCTGCCCAAGTACTGCATCGCCGGCGTGGACGCCTCGCCGTCCGGCCTGTGCGCGCAGACCAACCTGCAGCAGGGCGGCCTGCTGGTGGTGGACGGCGCCGTGGTCGGCCTGGCCACCGGCAAGGGTTCCGGCAAACGCGGCGGCCTGGTGCGCTTCCTGGACCTCGCCGAGGACTCCGTGCAGCGCTTCATCCTGGAGGCCACCGAGCAGCCCCTGCCCAGCCCCACCACCGAGGCCCCGCGGCCCACCGAGCAGCCCACTGAGCAGCCCACCCAGCAGCCAACCCAGCAGCCCACCCAGCAGCCCACCCAGCAGCCCACCACGGACGCGCCCACCACCGCGCAGCCCAGTGAGTGCACTGTAAAGTGGACCTGGAGTAAAGGCATTGGATGAGTCACACTGACCTGACCCTGCCCCTTGCAGCCTCCAAGCCGACCACCGTCACCCCCAAGCCCGCCCCCACCGGCAAGAGTAAGTATACAGAGTTACACGCCCGAAGCGCCATGCAATGATGCAACAGTGTGGAAAGGGCTGCAAACCTCAGCCTGCCTGCTTGGCAGCATCTGGGCACCTTTTCGACGCTGGGCAACACAAAGTGGGCCTGAAGACCGGTGGAGGTGGTCAAAATTCTAGACGCGTTTTGAGCTCCAGAGTCGCTGAGCAGGACTCGAACCGAACGTGTGGTGACCCCACCAATGGATTGCTCTCCGAACGAGGAATCCATTGGTGGGGTCACACGTCCGGTTCGAGTCCCATTTAGCGACTCTGGAGCTCAAAACGCATCAAGGAGTTTCGGCCGCCAGTCTGGTCCTCTGGCCCACTGTGCAACACGGCGCGGTGGGGCGCTGACCGCTGTCTCTGCGTGCAGCCTGCAAGATCCACCTGAACGGCGGCCTCCCCACGGCCGAACCCATCCTGCTGGCCGACAGCGACGACCTGGCGTTCCGCGAGCCCGACCAGGCCGACGCCGTGGTGCTGGAGGCCGGGGAGCGCGTGCGACTCGCCTGCCCCGGCAACAAGAACGCCTTCAAGCTCAACAAGAAGAAGCAGGTGCTGACGGCGCAGTGCGTGGAGGACGACGCCTTCCTGGTGGACGGCCAGAGCGTGGAGCTGCACCAGCTGGGCTGCAAGTCGGCGGCGGTCAACTCGGCCGAGAAGGCCGGCCGCTGCGGCAGCGACAACCAGTTCACGCGAATCCGCATCGGCTTCGCCGTCGGCGACGGCTTCGTCACGCAGATCGACAACTGCTTCGACAGCACCACCTTCGACGCCGTGTACTCGCGCATGAACATGACCCCCGCCATCGCCGGCCACGAGTCCGGCGTCAAGCGGCCCCAGTTCAAGCCCGCCGGCTTCTACGAGAACGTCAACCCCAACACGCTGTTCAAGCGCACCAACCAGATCAACGCCTTCACCAAGCTGCTGGGCACTGACGGCTCCGCCTACGTGCACCCCAACAACGACAACTACTTCCTGGCGCGCGGCCACCTCTCCGCCAAGGCCGACTACATCCTGGGCGTGCAGCAGTCCGCCACCTTCTACTACGTCAACGCCGCGCCGCAGTGGCAGACCTTCAACGGCGACAACTGGGAGAAGCTGGAGAGCAGCGTCAGGGACTGGGTCATCAGCAGCGGCCGCTCCGTGCAGGTGAGTCGCCGGCGGAACGCTGCACAGTGGGCCAGAAGGCCGGCGGAGGCGGTCAAAACCCCGGACGCGTTTTGAGCTCCAGAGTCACCTAACAGGACTCGAACCGAACGTGTGACCCCACCAATGGATTCCTCGTTCGGAGAGCAATCCATTGGTGGGGTCACACGATCGGTTCGAGTCCCATTTAGCGACTCTGGAGCTCAAATCGCGTCTTTAGTTTTGGCCGCCTCCACTGGTCTTCTGGCCCACTGTGCGCTGTGGGGAGCGAGAAAGACAGAGCGACGATGCGCTGAGTGGAGCGCCGAGGGAGAGAGAGCTCGAGTGTCGAGAACGTGGGGCCCGGCGCCTCGCGCCTGTGAAGTCAAGGGTAGGCAGCCCAGCATGCGCGTGAGCAGTGCGGGCCTGCCTACCTCGCAGGCGCCCGGCCTGGCAAGGTTCGGTTGGTTTTTCCAGTGTGTTTCCATCGGTCAAAGTTTGGACCTTTTTTCCTTCGACAGGTGGTGACCGGCATCTGGGGCACGGCCACGCTGCCCAACAAGGACGGCGTCGAGACGGAGCTGTTCCTGGAGGCCGACAAGAAGTACCTCCGCGTGCCCAAGTACTACTGGAAGATCGTGTACGACCCGGCCACCAAGGAGGGCACGGCGTTCGTGGGCCTCAACAACCCCCACCACACTACCAACGGCGAGGACCTGCTCTGCAAGGACGAGTGCGCGCGCTACTCCTGGCTGTCCTGGGCCGCCTCCAACGACAAGGCGGGCAAGGGCTTCTGCTGCGACGTCAACGAGCTCAAGAAGGTGGTCTCCACCATCCCCAGCGACATCGACGTGCAGAGCCTGCTGTAGAGGACCCCCCTCGCCCCCCCCCCTCCCCCTCCAGCCCGAAGAACATCAACATCAAAATTACGGAGAGAACCCTCCCAGCTCTGTGATCAACATTCCTGTCTGAAGTCATCGGTATTTTAAAATTTCCATGTATTAAGAGTTCACGACTTGTGAAATTGGACCCTTGTTATTCCCAACCAAAGTCTGCACCTGTCGGCTTTTGACCGGCCAACAGATGAAAAAATTAGGTCAATAAAGAACTGCAAAAGTATCATTATTATTACCATCATTTATAATTTAGTGAAAATCAGAAATCACCTTACACAAACACATAAAATATCCAGCTTGAACATGTTGTTATATGTACAAGCATTAATTTGGCAGAAAACAGAGAACATCAATTTACAGGATATCAGAGAAAAAACAAAATAACTTTGTAATTGCTACAAAAAATTCTCTATTTATTTATAAATAAAAATATGTCACTCTTATAATCATATGAGACAAAGTGTCTAAATGCGCATCTCATATATGCAAGCTTCGCTCTTTACTGTGATAGTTCTTTTCAGATGCAGTATATACAGCTCAGTAAAATCAGTCAACTCTTCATGACAATGATCATCAAATACAGATCAACAGCATCACTTAGGTAGGACGACACAACAATCTCTTTGTGCAGAATGACTATTTACAGTACAGATGGGCTTCCTGACTTCTTGCAGTTCCAAACATGGCTCTTCAAACACAGATATCACAATTCCAAATAAGTACAGACAACAAACATAGGGAAGCATAGGAGCACACAAAACCTGTCACGCTTAAAAAGTTATCAGCTTGCAATAGTCAATAATACAATTTAAAGAACGAGGTACGAAACAAGTATCAATGAAAATTGCTTGTACGCCATGTCTACATTAAACAAAAACTATTGTGTGCAAGGCTACAATAATGGAATGAGAACATATCAATATGACATGACATAATCAAGTTGAGGAAGCACAGATATGTGGAAGACAAACTAAAACAAAACGGTGACACAGCACATTGATCTATCCTTGCTTAAATTAGGGGACCAATTACGATTACTCACGACCGCATATGAAATTATCAAAGACAAGAATACTGGAGTCATTGCATCTCGTTGACTCAAGATTGCAAGGGAAGTAAGATGAAACATAAAGTGAGCATTCAACTTCTGAATCCACTGACCATGAAGTATGTCCTAAATTAGTTATATCATTGCGCATACTTTTTGTAGCACAACTTGTAAAAACAAAGAGGTCACAAGAAAGTTTGTCTGGAAATGTGCAACATTTACAATTCGGACAAAAAATATAATCTATTAGCTAGAGACATTACTTTTGCTTCTTTTCTTTCGAAGAGGCTGGTTTCTTGCTAGCAACCTCTACGAATGCTTCATAATCTTCATATCTAAAGATAGAAACATGACATAAAATTAATAAAAACAATAAAGTAAGGTGACAGCAGTAAATGGTAAGAAAGCAGCACTCACGCAAACAAGGCTTTGAGGTCTCCTTTGATGAGGGCAACACCACACGGGACTGCAATGCAACATGGCACAAGATACAGCAGGGCAGGCTGTGCGTGCTTGAAAACATGCATCACAAAAATGGTTGCCAGCAGACCCAAAAGGTAGGCAATGAGAGTTGAGTAGAAGTATGTTCTTGTGTTGCGCTTCAGGCTAAGGAAATAAGGCAAAAATGTTAAAACACTGGATGTACAGCTTAACTATTGCTCTGATAATTTACAGAAAAGTTCAATGTTTTACCTGTGGTCAAATCGCAGAAGAAGTGCAACAAAAATGCCAGGAATGACAATATCTCCTAGGCCAAGCATTGCAAAGTTGCTGGCAGACAGACCTTTCTCAAGGAGATCTTGAGGAAATACCACTGAAAAAAAAAAAAGAGTTCCAAATAAATTCAGCAAGTGATGTAAGAAAAGTGAAAGTACACAATACAAAGAAATCCATTTTTAAGATGTAAAATTTGAAGAGAAGGCTTACATTTGATTGGAGCTTCAAACGAGTTTGCCACAGTGACCATGACATTGGTACCAAATACCCAGAAGATGTCATAGACAAACAGACCACAGAGTAGAATACAGCCAGTCACAATGTTGTTCAGGTGGAGCATTTCAACTCCACTGATGGCAAATGCGATGCCAAAGAGGTTGTTGGCAACCCAGTGCTGAAAGGGGGTGACAGAACAACACTACAATGTCATAAAACTCAAAATATGATGGTTGAATAAGAGAGGGAATCACTAAAATCCTTGACACTTGCCTTCTGCCATAAATACCACGCTCCAAATACTGAACAACAGATCAGAGACACAATATCATGTGAGGTAAATTTATAGTTGATAATATCTTCTTCCTCATCTCCACTTCCACACTTAAAATGCAAGTGGAATGGTGTGTTTGGTATAGCAGCAGGTACAAGTGTATTTATCAGAGGACTGTAAAAAAAGGCAAAATTTTCATTAGTAGTGGAAATTTATTGAAAGCAAGTTCATAAAAGACTGGCTCTGGTCTTACCTCACTAAGTGCGTAAGAGTGATAACACCTAGTATGAAGAAGTATCCAGTCAGCAATAAGTTAACGTACTCCTTAGAGAAAATCTGATTTAAAAAATAAATATTAGATAAATAGGTAAGTAAGAAAACATACTCCCCGGCCCTAATCTGATTAAAATCAACCAAAAAACAAAAAGAACAACGACGGTCAAGCATCATTACACTCATACAGCACTAATTTTTTAAAAATCTAGTTACCTTGAAAAATAGATAGAGGCCAAATAACGCAGCACTAGCAACCAGGGGGAAGACGGCTGCGTCCTTCTTTGTCATAGTTTCTGGTTTGGTGCCAGATTCCTGAAATGAGAAACAACAGAGATATTAGACGGTTTGAATGAATAGGAGTGTAGGAAGCAGGAATGGCACAGTGACTTGCGCAAATCATTAACATCCAACTTCAAGCAGTTTCTTGATTCAATTATTTGAAATTTGTGAGGCTTTTGAAGAAATGTACACGAAAAAGGTCTAGTCACGCTCTGTGGATCACAGTGCTGCATAGAAGGTTCCGATTTGTTGCGGGGAATAACTACTGACTACCAGAGCGTGTTTTCGACAGAATGAAAATTTGAATTACCAGTCGAGAAGGGCAAAACTAAAATCAAGCAGTTTGACAGCTTCCAGTTGAAATTTTCTGCGTCCGTTTAGATTAGCGTTTGACACATCCCAGACCTAACCTGGCATATGGTAGTAACAAGACGAGCTCAACGTCTCTCAAACAGCCTCCCTGGCTCATTTTCGTGAACAGAAACTGTCTTTTTGTGGCGTCTGGCAGCGCTGACGGGGTTAGCGTGATTGAATTCGGTGCAACAGCGGTGGAGTGCACCGCATACGTGTCCAACCGGGACGGCCGGGCAGTGTAGGGGCAGTGGCAGTGGGTCGTACTCACCATCTGCACCTTGCGGTAGCGCACGGACCGCAGCGCGCCGAAGAAGATGGGCAGGACAGCCATGACCACCAGGCTGGTGTAGGCCATGGCCATCCCCTCGGGGGTGGCCGGCGTCTTGCGGGTGCCATTCACCGGCGAATCTGTCAGAAAATCCTTCACTTGGGTCACAACATCTTCCACTACGTCAGCCATGTTGTGTGTGTGTGTACTCGGAAGCCCCGCAGCAGACGAACAGCAGGAACGACGCGTTGCCGCGTCGCTGGGTTACAGTGGTTACAGTTTCGCCGTCGTGGGCCCGTTCCGGCGCGGATGAGAAATTCGGAGTGGTTCGCTCCGCGCAGACGATTTCTCATAGTCTGCTTCGCGTGGCGGCTGTGCCGCGAAGCGCGAAACCGCGAGTTGGCCGCGACAAACCACAAACTGGAACGCGTTTGGCCGCGACTAATAATTCTTGGAATGACGCGTCGACAGCACAACGGCGCAGATTATAAAACTCGATCACACTGTGAAAAAAAAAATACAACGATGATTGCCACGAGCGTCTCACGCAATGCACCTCTGTACTCACAAGATGCATTGTGCCGAGTTGTGCTATCGAGCAAAATGGTTTTTAGTCCTGTTTAGCTACTCTGGAGCTCAAAACGCGTGTAGAATGTTGTCCGCCTCCAACGGTCTTCTGGCCCACTGTGGAAGGTGAGCGGCGAGGCGGAGCGGCTGAACGCCTGCCAATTCGGGGTAGGCAGTACCGCACAACACATGAGTTCGGCGGGCTGGCCCGCGCGGCAGGCGATTGCGATTGCGATTAACGGCTGGACCACAAATGATCGTCTGCCTCGCTCCTCTAAACAGTACACTGGTTCCGAGAGTCGCTGTCTCTCTCGCACCTACACGGGACGCTCCACGAGTGCGAGCGAGACAGAGCTCCCAGCACATTTCCGTCGAGGTCCTAAGCAACCCATTTCGAACCGAATGTCTCGTATGCCTCTAGGCCGGGCGGTTCTACCCCCCGATTGGAGCGACGCCAGCACACTGATCCGGAGGGTTGTTTTCGTCGCTCTGTCTCTCTCGCACTCACGGGGCTGCCCGTACAGGTGCGAGAGAGACAGAGAGAGAGAGAGAGAGAGAGAGAGAGAGAGAGAGAGAGGAGAGAGGAGAGAGAGAGGAGAGAGAGAGAGAGGAGAGAGAGAGAGAGAGAGGAGAGAGAGAGAGAGAGAGAGAGAGAGAGAGAGAGCGCGACGAGAGCGACTCTCGGTGCTGCGCGTGCTGCGCGGCGCGGTGCTGCCCCCGGCGGGGGGCGGCGGAACTACGGATAAGCCGGTGGTCGTTGCCGCGTTGCCGTGGCGTTGCCGTGGCGTTGCCGGTAGCGACGCGACGCTACGGCAGGGGCGGCAGGGCGGCAGGGGCGGCCCGCGGCGCGGCACTGGCGCGGTCAGTACGCCGGCGCGCGTCACAGGGGGAGGTCGCGCCGCGTCGCGCCGCGTCGCCGTGCCCCGCGACCAGTGCTGCCAACCCAGAGCCGCCCGCGCCGCGCGGCGACAGAGGGCCCCGGCGCCGCCATGCGTCCGGCCTGCACGTCGGCCTGCACCACGGCCTGCAGTGTGTCCGCCACGTGAAACTCCCTGACCCGTACGTGTCTCGCGTGTGCCGCCAGTGCCCGCGTTGCTCCGCCAGTGTAGCGCCGCGAGGGTGGCGCCCCGACCGCCCCGGCGCCACGGTGTTGTGTTTACCGTTGCGTTCGTCGGGTGAATGGGTATTTGGGTCAGAGTGTCCCTCTAGTGTGGCGACCCTCGCGGGCAGCCGGGCCGGGAGGGGGCCTCCTGGAGGAACCCAGGGGAACCCGGAGGGACGTGGCCTTTGAAACCCAGCACCGCCAGACCGCCAGCACCGCCAGCAGGGAAAGAGGATCTCTCGGGGCGGGCGGAGCGCTAATTGAAATGAACCTCACACAGTGTGGTGACTCAGCGTTGACGCGGGTGGCTTTGTTGTGTCTAAAAGCGACTAGAGGCAGATTGCGTTCTTGTTGACAGCGCGATCACGCTGACAACACTCCTTGCCCGCGAGAAAACACACCAGTCTTTCCGAACGACGCTCGCCAGTCGGCACTCCGGGACCAATCGCTGTGCATTCCCTGCAGACTGCTTCCGAGAGTCGTCGCTCTGTCTCTCTCGCACTCGTGGGGCGTCCCGTATGAGTGCGAGAGAGACTCTCAGTCTGCAGGGAAGAGAGAGCAAGTGCTGTTGAGGTTAGGGACGTTCATCCCCCAGTGCCGCCCCCCGCGTCCCGCCCCCACCCCGCCGCCCCCGCCGCCCCCGCCTGCCCGCTCCCAGTCCATCCCAGTCCCGCAGCTGCGACCTACTTTCGGATAGGGGTCGCAAGGGGGGGGGGGGGCTGGCGGGGTGCTGCAGGTGAACACCCCCCGGACTCCAGCCCGCCAGCCCGCCAGGCCACCAGGCCAGGCTCCGTTCTCATAATAGATCCGGGCCGCCCAGCCCAGCCCGCCCAGCCTGGCCTGTCGATTCTGGCTCTGGCGGGGCTGGCCGGACGGCCGGACAGCAGCAGACTCTGTCTCTCTCGCACCTACACGGGACGCCACACGAGTGCGAGAGAGACAGAGCGATGACTCTCGGAATCAGTCTGCTGTGTGGTGGTCTTAGCCGCCTTAGTTTGGGAGCGGTATTGCAGCAAAGTTTGTCGAAACGATAACAAATGTGGTACTAGGGCTCGCAGCGCACTTTCACGCTTTTCTGCACGTGCGGTGGCTGGGATCAAGTCCGCTGTTTGATTTTTTGACTACGCTTTTGGTCTACCAAAAACACAAACAAACGAAAAAACAGAAACTTAAACAATTTGCTGCTTGCTGACAGGGTGGCTGGCCTGGGCTGGCCTTTGGCGGTGAACTGCAGGATGCTGCACTGGAGGAACCTGGAGGAACCTGGAGGAACCTGGAGGAACCTCGGGCCGCCGGAGTCAGAGACATTGTTAGCCGCCTTTGTCCTCGCCTGTTGTTGTTGCTGTTGTCGTCGCTGTTCCTTTGACTCGGCCCGTCTCTTTGAATCCACCCCAATCCATTCCGGTGCATGCCTTCTTTCAGTTTCCGGCGCAGAGGGTGGTTGCTCTCTCTCTCTCTCTCTCTCTCTCTCTCTCTCTCTCTCTCTCTCTCTCTCTCTCTCTCTCTCTCTCTCTCTCTCTCTCTCTGGAATGAAGAAAGAACGAAAAAGAAGCCGGCTGCTGGCGCGCGGGTTCAAACGCTGCGAAAATAGAGGAGTTTTCTTGTCTTTCTGTATCCGACTCGCCTCCTCTGTTTGGCCGAGTCAGAGGTGGCGGGGTTTGGCGCTCTTTGAGGTTGCACTGGCAGGCGCGGATACGGAAAGGGGGGGGGATTTTGCCCCCCCCCCATAGCCGCCTGAAAGGTAGGCAAAAAGTGCTAGGCCGCCACTGGATCCGCCACTGTGCACTGGACACCTTAGTGTCTACTCTGTGCCCACACATTTACGAGTGGAAGGTAGGCAAAAAGTGCCAGGCCGCCACTGGATCCGCCACTGTGCACTGGACACCTTAGTGTCTACTCTGTGCCCACACATTTACGAGTGGAAGGTAGGCAAAAAGTGCCAGGCCGCCACTGGATCCGCCACTGTGCACTGGACACCTTAGTGTCTACTCTGTGCCCACACATTTACGAGTGGAAGGTAGGCAAAAAGTGCCAGGCCGCCACTGGATCCGCCACTGTGCACTGGACACCTTAGTGTCTACTCTGTGCCCACACATTTACGAGTGGAAGGTAGGCAAAAAGTGCCAGGCCGCCACTGGATCCGCCACTGTGCACTGGACACCTTAGTGTCTACTCTGTGCCCACACATTTACGAGTGGAAGGTAGGCAAAAAGTGCCAGGCCGCCACTGGATCCGCCACTGTGCACTGGACACCTTAGTGTCTACTCTGTGCCCACACATTTACGAGTGTGTGTTCCAACACGGGCGTGCACAAGGGGGGGGCGGAGGGGGCGATCGCCCCCCCCGAAGGACCCCAAAAGGTATACTTTTGAGGCAGGTTTTGGCGTCTAACTCCTGGAAGTTAGGCAAAGTTCCTCAAAAAAAGGTTCCACCGCCCCTCCCGAGGAGGCGAGCTGTGCACGCCCCTGTGTTCCAAACGTATGCTCGGCGAAGTACACACTAGCTGCCAGCAGCAGAGCCAGCAGAGCAGCACCCCATGGCCCTGCCGCCAGCCCGAACAAAGCACCGTCCAATCGAAACGGGAAGCCATGCTGTTTTGGCGGGAAATTGAAATACGGCTCTCTGATTGGCGCTATTGAGAAAAAGTGGTGCGGGGGGCGGGGCAAACGTCAACCTGTCTCTCTCGCACCCCAGCGGGTCGCCCCGTGAGTGCGACAGAGACAGAGCCTCTTATTCGGAATCGGTCTGCAGTGCGCGGGGCGCGGGGGGACCGGGGCTGTAGGCGCCCCGGGGGAAATCGCAGTGGAACGCGAGCAAACGGACAAACAAGGACGTCTGTCTCTCTCACTCTCGAATAAAGCGTCACTCCACTCCAAAATAGTTCCTGCCGTTGTAAACCGTTGCGAGTTGGCTGTTTTTTTGTGGTGTGCCTCTCTTGTGTGCCAACTACTGCGGACCGCCCCGCCCGGGGACTGGCAGCGGGGCAGCGGGCCGCCCCGGGGGTAGGCAACACGAGCGCACCGGCGCGGCGCCTGGCGCGCCATTGCCTACGGCGGCCTCGAACCGAACGTGTGACCCCACCAATGGATTGCTCTCCGAACGAGGAATCCATTGGTGGGGTCACACGTTTGGGTTCGAGTCCCATTTAGCGACTCTGGAGCTCAAAACGCGTCCAGAGTTCTGTCCGCCTCCACCGGTCTTCTGGCCCACTGTGTGCGGAGAGCGGAGAGAGCAGACAGTCCCGCGTTTCGGCGGGAAATTGCTGCCACTCCACGCGGCGCAGTGCGGCGCAGTGTTTACACGGCGCGCTCTCATCGCGACCCCGAAGCTCTGTCTCCCTCGGACCCGTCCGCCGCACGGGACGGCACGCCCCCCCAGCCGAAAATCCCGGTTACGGTTCCGAGTACGGTTACGACCGGGACAGGATTCCGACCGGGATACGATTCCGGCCGGAATACGATTACGACCGTAATTTCGGACATTTCCGGTTACGACTACGATCGTAACCAGGAAGGGTTTACGACCGTAACTGACCATTCCGGTCGGAGTACAAAGTGTCACAAGACATCAAGTTTGTCTTCTGTGGTGCTCCATCAAGCAGGGGTCCGCGTTATATATGCATGACCACAGGGTAAACTTTGCGAGCTACGCCCAATTTTGACTTCAGAAATTTATTATAAGTTACCGTTCACAAGTTATGGAGTGTTTCTGAAAATTCGCTGGAGACTTAAACGCATGGGACATGCTTCTTCGAGTCCGGCCTCGGACCCGGATCTGGTCCGATCGTAACCGGAATGGGTCCGGTCGTAACCGGAACGAGTCCGATCGTAACCGGAACAAGTCCGATCGTAACCGGGACGTGACCGACCGTAACCGTAAATTAGGTCCGGTTTCCGATCGCAACCGGAAAATTTGGGGCGATTTACGATCGTAAGCGGAGATTTTCTCCGGAACCGTAACCGGGATTTTCGGCTGGGCCACGAGTGCGACAGAGACAGAGCGACGAAACGGCCGGGCGGAATCCACCGCCACCACACTGTATACCGACAGTGGCCTGGCAGTGTCGCCGCGGTCGTGAAACCGAGCCTTGAATAAGAGATCGTTTGCCAGTGTGTCGGTGAGTCGGTGCGCCAGTGTGTTGGTGTGTCGGTGTGCCGGCCTTGCCATGTCGATTTCGCACCCCCTTCCCCCGCCCCTCCCGCCGTCCTTGAGGTTTGAATTTTTCAACTTCCTCCTGCTTTTGTTGCCAGCCTAGCCGGCCTGCCTGCCTGCCTGCCTGCCTGCCTGCCTGCCTGCCTGCCTGCCTGCCTGCCGCACCGCACAGTGGGCCAGGCATGGCGGGAATTTTCACTGTGTACCAGTGTGCATCAACCCGTTCTTTACGAATCGATTCGGGTCCAATTAGCTGTAATGAGCTGTAGTTCCGTTGCCGTACGAGTGGTCTCAGAAAACGACCCCCAGCTATATAAAAAAAACAAAAAACAACCTCTCATTACTTTGTACACGGTATTCGACTCCCGGAAGTTTCCGCGCGCCGCTACAAAACCTTCATGAAAAATTAAGAGGTCCAGGGGGGAAAGCAGAAACAAACCCCAGCAGCGCCAAATGCAAATATTTAAACCCCACAACAAAAGTGCTCCGCCCTGCTTTCTCGTTTCGGGAGGGCTGGCTGGGCTTGGACCTCCCCTTGAAAGGGCAGCGCGCTCTGACCTTGCATAGAGCATTCGCCTAGCCGTCTGGTGGTCTGCCTGGGGGAACAGAGCTCTACCCCTCCCCCTCCCCTGGCCCCAAACTCTGCCACCGCCCGAGGCCCCGGGGGTGACAAAGTATCAAACATGCATGCCCAATTCGGCCCCATCCGTGCCGCGTTCATATCTCGTCTGCTCGGCAAACACGACGCGCTCCATCAGTTTCGCGCCGCTTCCCCTCGCCCGGCCAAATGCTAAACGGGCAATCG